AGGACGAGTTTAAAACAGGCACAAAAAAACCCGAAGACCTAAATTATTCTTTCGAAAGAGTAACTTGAGGTAAATGCCTTAAAAAGCCCCATTTTTCTCTTCAAATTTCCAAATGACTTTCTACCGAGCCAGATCCCTAAGCTTCTACATAATGAAAGAGAAAAAAAAATTAATTAATTAGAAAAAGATCCTCTTTTGAAATGACAGCAGCTGAACCAGGAAAATTATGAAAATGTACTTTTTTGGGTCGCATAGGGAATGGCTTAATTTTAAGTCTTCGCGGCTTTTTTTTAGTCAGATCTCTAGAAGAGGCCTTAATTTCAGAAAACTAGGGATCAGAAATTTTTGACTCAGTAAAAAATATTATTTTATGTTCCTAGTGTAGCCTGACCCTCTCAGATCACAAAAACTCAAAAATTTAAATTTTAATAATTTTTTTTGTTACTGCGGTTTTTTTTGAAAGTTTTTCAAAGCCGGAAAAATTGAAAAAGCTGATTTTACCCGCTTTGAAAATGTCAAAGAAGTTGGAAAAAGAGGTTTTCCAGGCTTGATAACTAGATGAAAACTTGGAAAATTTTTTTTTATCGAACTCTCGATGGTTTAAATTAGATTTCAGCTTCAGAAAACTTTCAAAACTCTCATTTCTGAACAGACTCTTTCAATGACAGAATGCACCACCTCTTCAATGAAAATCCATTCCCAACCAAAAAAAAAAAAGTGAAATTACAACTTTTCAAGAGGTCAAACATCGAAAAAAGGAGAAAAAGGCGTTGGCTCAAGAAAAATTCACACGAGAAACAGCGACAGGAAGTCGCCAATTGTGTATGTGTGTCCCTTGGGATTTGTGAAAGCCAAACTCGGCCAAAAAAAAAGAAACATTTTCGGGACATGAAATCTCTAATGATGAGAGCGGCTGAGAAAAGAAAAACATCACATGAAAAGCTAAAAAGAAACGTTTGAAAAAATATTCAACGATTATTAAAAATGTTTCAAATTCGATAAATGTTAGGAAAAAGTTCAGATTTTTCATATTCAGCTTGTTAGGATTACACAATATGGCCTTCAAAAATCAGAATCAAATCAAAAAAATGACAAAAATTTGATGAAAAAGATAGTTTTTTTACCCATGAAAAAACATAATAAACTTTCCCAGAGCTTTCAAAAAAAGCAAATTTTATTCATTTTTTTAAGTTTTTCAAAGGCGTGGCCAACCAATCAGCCAAAATAATTCGCTAGAGCGAACTATCTGATTTTTTTAAAAAGCTGTTTCATATTAATTTTCAATTTTTTTCAGAAAAAAATTTTTCACATTTCTGAAAAAGTGAGCGAACTATTCATGATTTCCCAGGTTCTTTTTCGAAATTTACTCATTTCAAAGATAGAGATTCAAAAATAAGAAAATAAAAATAATGGCTCACAAACTCTTTTTTTAGTTAACCCAATCGTTCTGAAATTAGCGGAATCGAATTTTCCGTCAAAATGCAATTTGAAGAGAAGTCTAGTCTAGTTTCCACCGAAAAAACTGTCTGACTCGTCTGCGCCTTCTTATGTCTCACTAAGTGGAGACAAGAGGGTGAAGACAAGTTAGATATTTGAAAGTCGTGAAGTATAACATCCTCTTTTATATGATAGACTGACTATAATTCACTTAATGAAGACCATCCTCCAAGACTTTCAACTCTCTGACTTGTCTGCGCCCCCTTTTCTCTACTTGGTGAGAGATGAGAGAGCGCAGACAGGTCAGACATTTTTCAAGCCTGTAAACATGAATAAAAGTTAGTCTATCACATGAAAAATCATTCTCCGATACTTTGAACTCTCTGACCTGTCTGCGCCCTCTTTTCTCTACTTGGTGAGAGATAAGAGAGCGCAGACAGGTCAGACTTCTCCAGTTCACAGTTAGAAAAAATTTCCAACTTCAAGTTCAATTGAGGCTATCACATAAAAAATCATTCTTCACTACTTTGAAGTCTCTAACCTGTCTGCGGCCTCTTTTCTCTTCTTGGTGAGAGATGAGAGAGCGCAGACAGCGAGAGAAGAATAAGATGACAAAGAGTTGAATTTCAAGAAAAAAGTAAGAAAGGAAGGTCGAAAACTCAAGTTTCCGAAACGCTCCTGAAGAATTCGATACGTTTTTTTGTTCATTCAGCTAAAAGTTTATGGAGTTTTTGCCCCTGCCGGACGGCTAATTGAATGGGCGCCCATTGTGCCGGCTTATACTCACTTTTTTCCCTTCTTTTCTAGATCTTCCATTGTTGGAATGGATTAGGGAGGCCGCCAAAAAGTCGGAAAATTTTGCAAAACTTCTGAAAAATTCGGAATTTTTATGGCAAAGATCACGGATTTCACATGTATCGAGTCATTGTTTAATGTGTAGAAAGCGGGATTTTCCCACGTGATTTGAGAAAATCTTGTTTGTTGGAAAAAAAAAAAATTACGTTCCGGTGGTCTTAGTGATGAATTTTCGCGGAAAATAATTGAAAAACTGGTTGATATCAACGAAAATTGCTTTGGAAGCTGTCTCAAAAACTGAATTTCCGAAAAAAAGAAACCAAAAAATCGAAAAATTTATTTGGAAAAAACGGCTTGAGTAAATTTCAAAGCGGTACGAGTCCGAAAACTATCACCTTCCGTTGGAAATTTCTCAAAAATCGAGAGAAATACGACTTTTTTACGAAATTCAAACCTTCAGAAACAAATTTCAACTACTGGGAAAACTCTAGTGGCCACTTAAGCAGTTATTCAAGGACACTAAGTGGCCACTAGAAGCCACAATTTTGCGTCTTAGGGGCCCCCCTACAGTGGTTTTCAATGGTCTAGTACCACTTTGACTCCAAAAAGGCTACTAAACTTTCAGTCACTTAAGTGGCCACTAATTTGACTACTATAAGGGGCACTAAAAGGTCGAAACCCTAAAGTGACAACTAAAAATTTTCCCAGTTGAGAAGAGCAATAAATAAAGAAAAATAAATTCGAAACAACTGTTTTGCATCCAAAAGACCGAAATTTAACACTTTCTTTTTTTTCTTGTTTGAAATAACATTTTCTCTCAGTTGTCACAAAGTTTCCCTGTGAGTGACAACTGAAGAAATCTGACCTTTTTCAAAGATCCAAGAATCAAAAAATGAGTTCAAAGGATTTTTTTGAAAAGAGTTTCAAGCATGTGGTCGCACCTGGATTCCTGCGTGAACATATAAACTTTTGGGATATTTCCACCCATTTTTATGTCTCTGATCAACAGATGTTTGGGCTTTAAAGTTCTAAACTTTCAACAAAATACTCCAAGGTCTTCGTTTTTTTCTCAAAAAATAACAAGGATAATCATTGATAACAAAAAGGACAAATGTCATGTTAATTCTTAGCCGCTTGAATGGCTTCAAATAGGCTTGAAAAGATGCATAATAACGAAAAAACTTCATTTTCTGGAAAAAAATAAAGTTTCAAAAAACCTGAAGCCGCAGTTGGGATGGCTTGACGCGTCGCGGTGGCAAAGCGGTTTCTTTGAGCCGAACTAGGGAAAATAGGATTTCGATTATATTCATTAGAAACAAGAATCATTTTGAAACTTAAAAGAAAAATACGATTTTTCAATTGGGATCACAGGCAAAAACGACGAATTCGTTAAATAACGATTCTGGGATTGCTTTGAAACTGATTTGTCACTTAGATCATGAATAAGAGACTTTTCGTAGATAAAGAACAAAACTCTAATAGAGAACCAGAAATGAGAAAAAAATCTATAAGTTTGGCGCAGTATTTTACTTTTCGAAGCGAGCTCGCGCAAGTCGTTTCATGGTCGGGCGCAAAATTTTTCATATATTTTTTTTTGAATAACTTTTCAACGACAACTGACATGCGTCTACATTACGGCGTTTCAAAGTCAGAAAAAAATATGTTAAACTTATTTTTTTCCTATAAAAAAAGTTTCAGAACCTAGAAACTGAAAATGGGGCGAAAAAAATGGCCGATTAGTGAGCTCTGCCGCATTTGCATTTTCTATTATTTTGGGCCGAGTCCCGAAGGCCATTCAGCTGGATTTACGAGTCTCCTTTCGATAAATCTCTTTTTATCGAAAGTTGGCCCGAGAACTAAAAAAACAGTATTAAATTTTATGATTGATGGAGCCGCGTAATACAAGTTCAAGTCAAGTTAGATTGAAGTTGGACAATAAAAGAAACGGCAAAATTTATGAGGATGTCGAGAGGAATCAGCCTTTTTTCTAGTTCCTTCTCCGATTTTTTTCAGATTTTTTAAGGGTAAATTTTTTTTTATGAAAAAAATTTATTTGAAAGAAAGTTTCGAGAGAAGAAATTGGAAGTTTTGTTTCTGAATTTATTGATCTCTACAGGTCATAGAGCTTTTGATTAACCTCAAATAACACAAAAAATATTTTCCACTCGAGACCCTTTTTAAAATTTATCGATGCTCCTTTAAGCATTTCGAATAAAAAAACGTTCAGGCTATAAGGAAAAACCCGTATTGGGTTATTTTTAAAGCAAATAACTCTTCAAAACCAGATTTTATCAAAAAGAAAAAAAGAAATGGCAGCTGGAACGGAATCTGGAGCATTTCAAGTCAAATTTGATTTTTGGGGGCAGCCAAAAAAAGCCTCTTCAAAAAGTTCGCCGTTTCGAATTCGGTTATGAAAGCTGGAGCAAGCTTGAATCTCGGTTGAACTTTGGATAGAAATCTTGGTTCATTCAAAAATTTAAAACTTTTCTAAAAATTTCGTAAATATCGATTTGAAGAGATTAATGAAATGATTTTTTTATCTTTCAGACAAGCAAAATCGAGTTTTCTTTGAGTAAAAGGAAATTTTTGAAACGACTTATGAAAAAATGGTCTCTCAGCTGTCAATTTTCTGAAAAAAAGATAAAAGTTCATACATTCTAAGAAAAAATTCGAGAAATTAGACTATGAACGACTCTCAAAGGCTACCTGATCATTACAAAAATGTCAAAAACGCTGAAAACCTATCCAAAAGATGAGAAAACTTCAAGATGAATGCAAAAAATGTGACCACGACTGGAGACACCGACCATCAACGGCCTGTGAACTATGAGCGTGGCCGTCCATTTCCCTTCTCAATTCCCCGGACACGATTCCATCTGTCGGTCGCTCCGTCAACTTTGAGAGGATCCGAGCCAGCGACCGTGCAAGCGCCGATCCGACGCGTTGCCACTGCGCCAGCTACGCATAGCAGGCTGGAGGAGCGCGGCGGGGCTATACTCTCGATGAGGCGAGTGTGTGGGATTCTTGCCGACTGTTTTTCAAATCAAAAAAGGTTTTTACATAGTAAAGAAGCAAGAAATCACAGAAATTCATAGAACACGTGCTTTTTTGGAAAATTCCTCTTAAAAGCATAAGAAAATGGTGTTTGATAAACTATTCAGAAATAAATAAAACAGAAATGATGGGAAAAAAAGGACTCTTGTAAGAAAAAAATTAGAAAAATATGACTTATAAACTTTTTTTCAGCAAAAATATAAGGATCCAGAAATATCAAAAATTTTAAAAAAAGAAGTCATAAAAAAAAGACTTTTCGCCTCAAGACCTACTTTGAAAATCGTCTATGCTCCTTTAAACGCTACAGAAAAAAACTTTTTTTAACAAAATAAACCTTGAAAAAAAGATTAAAAGTTTGAATAATTCTGAAATTTTTTTGACAGATGAGACATTGGAAAAAAGGTTAGAAATCTGAAAAAAACTTTGAAAAATACGTGTTTAGGGTCTCAAAGTAGAACGAGTCTGGGCGACGAATAAAAGGCGTCCCCATATGGTCAAAAAAATAAGCGTCGCCCTCCGGCTCAATGAGCAGCATCATCAGCTCCGCGCACCAACTTTTTTCTTTTTTTTTTTGAGCTTGGCAAAAGTTTCTCTGGCTTCTCAAATGAACATCTTCAAACGTCATAGAATAGGAATTCAGAAAGGAATAACCAATTCCAGAAGCACAAAGCTAAACATTATAGAGTGTATAGAAAACTGGAAGAGATCACTTTTTTGTTGAGAATTTTCAATCCTTTCAACTTAGAAAAAAAAAAAATAAGAAATTCAGCTTTAGATTCAATTCAGGATTCAAAGGTTTTGAAAAAAAAAATGGGTACAACAAACAAAGAAAAAATCAAATACAAACCACTTTTCCCAGCTGAAATTTCATTGAAAAATCCGGCGGTTGAAATCCATTCACTGAAGGATTGGCACTAAAAAATCTCTGTGGGTATTTGTTTAAAATGTGGATAAACGATTTCAAAGCGGGCATAAAAAGTGAGAGAAAAGTAAACAGTGGATAAATCTACACAGAAAAAGACTAACATGAAGACATTTTTATTTCATATTTATTATAAACAATTAATTTCGAACAATATTTATATTAGAAAACAAAAAAAGGAAAGAAGTAAAAAAAGAAAAAAAGAAAAAGAATGGAAATATTTGAGTTTTTCGCGACAAGTGCGCGCTATCGTAACGGCGAAAAATTTTTTTCTATTTTTTTTATAAAAATAATTATTAATAATTATTAATTTTTTTCCCTTTTTCTTTTTGCTTTAAGTTCATATTCGAGTTAGTTTTTAAGGTTTGATGTTTGTCAGGAAAGCAAAAAAAGCTCCTAGAGTTTTAAGTTTTTTGAGCTTATTCGTTTTTCTTTCGTTCCTGTATCGGCTGTTTTTTTTTTGAAATAAGTTTAAGTTCTTTCAAATTTTTTGTTTCCCAAAACTTGATTCGATTCAAAGCGAAGATGACAAACATTTCGAAAATTTCCCAAGAAAAGTCCCATTCGGTTCTATTAGTATTCGGAAGGCTTCAAATTCAGCTAATTCAATTGAACTCGAAAAAAAGAAACTGGACCACCGGAAAAATTATTCTTCCTTCTCTTTGAACGAGATATGACGGATAATCATATTTCGGGGAAGGCTAGGAAGGTTTTTCTGCCCCAAAAAAGGTTCAGTAATTCCGTTATTTATTTATTCTAGAAGAAATTTCCGCAAAAGTAGGAGGCTTTACTGGCTTTGGAAAAATTGAATTTTTTTTTTCAAGGTTTAAGATTTTAACGTTTTTTTGGAAGCAAATTTGATTTTCCACTGGATTTTGAAAATCAAGGGATTTTCTTAATTTCATGCAAAAATAACTTTCTGCAAAGAGAAATATATGTTTTCTGAGGTATTTCAGGCAGATGTTCCAAATTAGCGCCATTATTTGAGATTGAAAATGTGCTCTGTTGATGATTAGAGCAAAGTAACAATCTCAACAACTTTTACAGGAAGAAAAAAATGAAAAAAATCTTCTTTTTTTATAAAAGCTTTGTTGATCCTCTCATTTTCATGCGTAATATGAATAAATGATACATTTAAAAATGTGATCATCGAGATTTTCTCAGAAGCATGAATAATTTCAGACCCCTACACATGTCTAGAATAAGTGATGCGGTGGGATTGGAAAAATAATAAAATGGATTCAAAAATTCGAAAAAGAAATCATGAAAATTAAAGATTTCCATGTTGTTTCTTGAATAATCTTGGGTTTTTTGAAGAAGTTGGAAATTTTGAGCTGAAGGTGAATGTACTACGTGGGAGGGGATAATCAGAGGCAAAAAACGGCTACCGTAATCCAATAATTCCAGTTGAGAGCACACAACTATTGGATCAGACGCAATCAGTGAAAATTTGCCTAAAAACAAACATGTTCCAATAAGGAAGGTTCAGGTTCCTAAAACAAAAGAGTGCCCGCGACAAATTTCGACAATAAACGCTTTGACAGAAGTTGGTCGCATGTGGAATGGCTCGAAGTGTCGCGGTTGCGGATGAAATTCAGCCCGATTTCCCCGAACTTTGTGGTGCCTTGCGTTGGGGATAAAGACACCGAAACTATTTATAAATATATTTTCAGTTCAATCTCATCTTCCTGGTAAAGCTTCGATATGTTATTTAGAAAATCAAAAATTTCACACTTTTCCAAGAACTTTTTTCTTTTTCGGGTAGAAAATCGAAGAAAAATTAATTCCTTGCGAATTTGAGAAATCCCTGCCTCTTTAAACCTCTTCTGTTACAGAGAATGATTTTCAACCGAGAAAAAACGTTTTGAAAAAGGTAACCTTGTTAAAACCTGAGGATCAACTGTATTGGTCGATTCTTCGAACGAATTGAGCGAAAAACGTTTTTTCATCCAGGTTCTAATTTCTGATTTCCGAAGAAAACAGTTATTTTATTAAGGAGAAAGCGTACGAATAATCTCTCCAAAGCTTTTTCAACTGAGAGCCTTTTCCAATAACGCTCAACTATAGCCCGTTCACGGCTGGCTTGGGACAGCAAACGGGCAGCTCATTTTCGCGACGAAGGTGGATCATGGCGACTATCCCTGCGCCTTCCATAAAAGCCCCGTTTTATGTCTTATTTTTTTTTCTCTTATAATTAGTCGCTTTGAAGAAAAAATCGTGAACGGGTTAAATCTTTTTCGGAATTTTATAAACTTTTGAGTTTTATACAACTCAAATCATGACTTTTACAACCGACAACATTTGACCATTTGATGGATAAACATCATCATTCGGAAAAAAAAAGTAGCTACAAAGTGTTCTCTAAATCCTGTTTGGGAGCGAAATAAAGTCGCTTTCTGTAAAGTTTTGAAGTCACCAATTTTTCAATCTCTTCAAATGGAAGTTTATTAATCTTAATAAAACTCATCAATAGAAAAAACTAATTATCTGAATTCATTTCGACACACCACCCTTATAATAGGAATAAATTCATTCTAGCAGTTCCATCACTCATAACTTTCTTTTATTGTGTAGGGCCTCAGCAGTACTTCTCTCTTTTCCACGTTCATATTTCTTTTTGACCCCCGGGGAGGTCTGGGCCGTGCCCTGCAGCAGTGCAACGCTGGGACGACCCTTGAGCGGTCGGAGCAAGCTCCGGATCCACTCTCGGTTGCAAAAATAAGTTAACCTATATTGTACTCATTCGAGCACATACCGTAGGTTAATACGATAAGAACAGATACTACACTTTGATCTTAGCCAATAGGCCGAGAAGCGATACTGAACAATGGAAACGAGTCCTTCTTACGATGCTGCGTGTCCCGACGCCAACCGACTTGCTCGTTTCGGCGAGAACAGCGATGTCGGGATGAGGCCGAGGCGAGCAGACGGCGGCGTCGCGTTGTCTTTCCTCCCTTTTTTCGGTGAAGAGAACACACCTTTTTTTATTTGTTTTTCCCTTCTTTTTAAACTATTCATTTTTGATAATTACGAATATTTGAGTGTTTTATTCTTTGAATTTTTTAAATTTCTTCGTCAAAACTTTACTGTGAGAAGAGTCGGTTCTTGTTTCAGTTCAGTGAGTTTTTTGCTTTTCTTTCAATTAATGGTTTGGCAAAAATAAATTTGAACATTTGTCAAATTATTTTATTGGATACTTCTCAAGTCATTCCGACGCTTTTTAGCTGAACTGAATAGTTTTTTTTAATTTTCTCGGTTGATGAGTTCTATCATGATATCGAAAAATTGGTGATTTTCAAGGATTTTCGAAAATATTTCTTGTCTTCCCATTAACGATGCAACGACATCGTTTTCTGCTCTTTCGATGCAACTTCAAAACTTTACAGAAAATCTTCGAAGCAACTTTATTTCGCTCCCAAAAAGGATTTAGAGAACACTTTGTAGCTACTTTTTTCCGAATGATGATGTTTAATAAAATGGAAAGATTCACTGCAAATCCATCAAATGGTCAAATGTTGTCGGTTGTAAAAGTCATGATATAAGTTGGATAAAACTAAAAAGTTTATAAATTCCAAAGAAAGAGGGCCGGCCGATGCACGGCAAAAATACATCAAGAAGGTAGTCGTGAAAGATTGAAGAGAAGAGTTTCTCATTTCTTCTCCTTCTTGGTGTCTTTCTCCATTTTTTCGTCGGGACCCGTAGGATGTGGGAGCGCCTTTTTCATCTCGACGTAGTCTCTGACGACGACTTTCTTCACCGGGTTGATTCTCAAGTGGCGGGCCTTGGCCAGAGCGGCGATCTTCCTGTTAACCTGCTTCTCTTCTGGAAACATTCCATCAACTTTGGAAATGACCAAATCTCAACTCAAATGGCGTTTTCTCATTGCGAGGGGTGTCTCGCCCGGCAGGATTATTTGGTTGAGGCTCGTCGTTCCTGAAAACGATCGTTTTGAGACGAAGAGGCTTTGATTCAAGAAAAATCACAAAAAAATGTTCAGAAGTCTGAATTTCTTCGTTTTCAGCACGTCAAGTTCACTGGAAAAAGGGGTAAAATGAATTTTTAAAAAAACCGATTTTGCAATTTCTTTGGATGTCGCCAGTGACACAGCAAGTTAATTGGAGGTAAAAATTTACAAGCCTTTTTTCTTTCAAAGAAGTTATTTTCGTCCGCTTGGACCGTAAGGCTAATTTTTCTAGCCCTCTACTGGAACTCGCGTTCGAAAAAGGCGAAACTCACTGTTGTGGAAATAGAAGTAGTTCTTCGCAGCGGAATGCAAACGCAACGCGCGGATTCGTTCTTGCTCTTCCATCAATTTGAGGAGCTCCTTGTCCTTGGGATCACATTTTTGGCGGAGCTGCACCAGGTTCTCGAAAAACTCTGGAACAGAGGAAAACGTGGTCATTTCGCCCTTGCACATCGAATCTCACTCCAAAATCCTAACTCTTCGTTGTAAGGATCCACATCTGTCGCCTTTTGATTTTCCGTTTTCTTCGGCATTCTTTCTGACTTCGGGACTTGAAGATCAACACCAACGGTGTCATAGATCTCTCTGTCGAAAACGGCAGCCGCCTGTTGTGCCGATTCGTTGAGTATGACCAGAACTGAAGACGAAGAACGGATTTCCTTCAAGTTGCGACTTTTTGTTCACCTTTCCTGTGAACGGCGAAAAAATTCTCGAACTGGTCACACATCAACGTGAAAACGGTGAAACCATCCCCTGCAAAAAACTTTATTTTCATCGTGAAGCGAAAAAAAAAATAGTGAAAACGTGCTAAAATTTATAAAGAGATGTTCATTCCAATTCAAAACAGATCCACTATTTTTCCGATTCGTTATTTTAATCGACTTCATAACGGCATTCGAAAAATTGTAAGATTTTAAAAACTGGAAACTAATGCAAATTTCAAAGATCTTCCAGGCTTCATAACTGGACTCAGAATTAAAACAAAAAACTAAAACTCAAGAATTGGAAGGAGACTTCAAATTGAACCCCAAGGGGATTTCAATTTTTTTTCAAGTTTTGAATCTCCTTTTTCATATCCCGAAAAAATCATCGAAAAAATTCCGAAAGGGTTCCGACTAATCCAGATACTTGGTCAAAGATTTTTTCATTATCAAACAAATTTCTTCGTTTTTCTCTAAAGCTGAAAAACACAAATGCAGGAAAACTCACGGACAACTTTCGATTGGAGATCACCCTGAGCTAAGTACTTTGAGGAGTTCGGAGTCGTTCTAAGCGGCTTGCAGTCTTTCCTCTCGACTCGTTTCAGCGGCGTCTCTTGAGGCATCGGTTCAACCTTTGGCGCTTCAATTTTATTTTCTTCAACTTTTGGCGCGACTTTTTTAGGCTCCTCCTTCTTCGGCTCAGCTTTCGATGCGGTGTTGCTGTACTTACTGAGAGGCGTATCCTCGCCGGCCTTTTTCCTCGGCTTTTCTTCAGACTCTTTCGCCGCTTCCGCCGCTTTCTTGTACCCTTCCCAGGGTTTTTCGGCATTAATTTTCATTTTCTTCAGAAGCACGGGAAACTTCTCGATAGTCCTACACTTCTTCGCTATTACGGTCATATCCTCTGTGGGATTCTTTCGGCGGAAGTCTGAGACGGCCTTGGTGTCTTTCGGTGCTGTGAACTCTTTGCCGGCGACGTGAGCTTTTTTCACGATCTCCAGCTTCTCAAGAGCTTCCACGAACTCTGGATTATCCTCCAGACTCTTGGCTTTGGCCGGAAAGTCGTCCTTGCAGCGTTTCAACAGGTTGTACTTGAAGTCAACCTCGAGATTGACAAGTTCGTTTCGTCTTGAACTTGGCCAACTGTGAGATGCTCATTTGGTGCCAAACTTTCAGTTGATTGCCTGAAAACCGAAATTAAAACAGATCACGCCTCGTTGTTAGTTTTCTTTGACTTTTTGAGAGCTGCATTTTTTTTTCGCTTCAAGGAGCATATTTACTTCGGCTTAACTATTTGAGAGATGCATTTCGGTCTGTTCTTCCAAAAACTCAATTTTACTGCTTAAATTTCTTGAGAGAATTTTGATCTGTCTAGCAGAGGAGCCTTGGAACAAACTTAGGAAGACAATCTTTTTTTCATTTATCTTTGAGCTTGATCCTCGCGAAATTAGATATTATCCGTAGGAAAATAATACTTCAATTCTTCAACTTCTCTGAAAACAGAATAAAAATCAACGTACTGAGACTTTTGACCTTCGACTGACGTATAAAGCGTGGGATCAGTTCAACTGAAATCTCAAATGAAACTCGCCAAAAACTGAGGAAACTGACTGATTTTTTGGTCCTGTTCCACCTCCATTGCGATTATTGTGCAGATGAGCTGCGTTGCATACGAGCCTCAAATCAGAAGATTAGCTCGAGAATTTGAATCAAAAGTCGAACAAAAATTGTTTCATACTCGTGAGGTAGATAATTTTACTTGGCGGCTTGGTCAGAAAAAAGCGTGCTCAACTTCCCAGTTTTTGAGAAAGCCTCAAAGCCAAGGAGACCAGTCAGAACTACGGATATCCCTACTCGTCCTACCAGAGCCCCTACGTCAACTCTGCGCCTATCAACCCGTATCCAGCCTATAACTACGCCCTGGGATCCTACCAACAATCCAACGGATATTCCTATTCGCCCTTCAAAAGTGCGGACGGTTTCTACGCTTCCTGCGGCAATACCGCCGCCGTCTGGGGATGCTGATTTCCTCGGGAAATCTTCCAAAAACGTCATATTTGATCTCAGAATGTATTCCTACGTGTATGGACTTGTGAATAAATTATCCTTATATTGATTTTTGTTTGGAGCGAAAAAAAATTGAAGAAAAATCACAGAGAGGACTATTCTAATGTCTCCAAGGCGCCTGGGATTTTTTTGAAAAATCAATTTTAAAAAGTCAAGTTTATGTTTTCATTGAAAATTTTTTTCCCTGAACTAGAGCTTGAGCTTTTTTTAGTATGAAATAAACTGGAAAAAAGTCAAAAAATTGTATGAAATACTGGCCTTTTTCTCTTTAATATCATTTTTTTCGTTTTCAAAACTTTTTTTAAAAATACAACCTGGGAAATTTGGAGACTTCTCCGACACCCGCGAGTTTTAAATATAAATCCCCCCGCCTTAAATCAAAAATCAAGGTCTAATTTCTTTTTAAAAAAATATTTTCCCTCGAAGTTTGAAGATTTTTTTCTTGAATTTTTTTCAAAAAAATTCGATTTTATTTATCTTCCGCAAAGGTCAAGAAATATTTTTTTGGTTTTTCAAGACTATTTTTTTGGATAAGCTAATGCTAAAAATTAGCCTCTTTTTCACTCTTTTTCTGACCTTTTTTTCCAGCTTGATGCCTGTAAAAAAATAATTTTTGGGGGCTATTTTAATGTCTCCTAAAGCTCCTTGGATTTTTCAAAGTTCAGTCAATTTTTTTTACTTCCGCAAAGGTCAAGAATTAAAAGAGCCATTTTTGGTTTTGAGCCATGATATCTCGAAAACTAGAAACTTTTTCCTTTTTTTAGGTGTATTTAAACGAAAAAAACTCTCCTAATTCTGTTGAAAACCAATTTTGAAGCTTAGCTGTGGTTAAAATGTTGAATTAAATCATTCAAATCTTCTGAACTCAATTTTGTTCCTAGAAAGCTGACTAGAAAGAATGCTCAATTCAATAAAAAAATTCCAAAATATTAACTGATCGAGGCGAGAGAAGTTTCTGCAACTTGTACTCTCTTTTCCTGCTCTTTTCTCAAGGCAGCCAATCTCGATGCCCAAATGTAGACGATCACGAGGCCCACAATCATTATCAGAAGGGCGACCACTGCTACGACGATCAAAATATCTGTAATTTGGAACGTCTGCTGAACTCCGATTATTATGCACGTTTTCTTAAGAACCATCACTATGAAAGGCTGAAAATATCCGTGTAAAGATATTTATCCACAGAGTTGCTGATGGAACGGAACACCCCGCGAAACGCTCAAGACGCCAAAAAAGACTTTTTTTCTCAATTTCAGCTCGGCTCTTCAAGTTGTTGTTTGAGAGTCACTTTATCGAGAAATGAAACAAAGTTTCCAATTTCTCAAACTTCTCCGATTCAATCAGAAGCATACCGAAAAAACACCCTTTCATGCGAATTTCAATGTGAAACTAAGCAAACCTTTTTTGCGCAAAGTACAAATGACTTTCCACGGAAATGCGACTTCTTTTATTGAAGGACTTATTTTGGGAAACTCACAGTTGGTAGGACATATCTTGTCTTCGTCAACCGCAGCGCCGGCCTTGGCGTTGTTCTGAGCCGGGGCGCAAATCACCGGAGTGCCGGTGGCAGAATGAGCAGACGTCGTTTCGGTTGCCAACCGTCGTTGTGGCCTTTTTCGTCGTTGTTGTCGTGAGAGCTGTAGTCGTGGCCGCAACTGTCGATGTCAGCGTTGAGCATTTCAAAAGCGTCTGAAAAAGGAAATGAAAAAGAGTTGGAAAAAAAGAGTTGGAAAAATACATAGGAGCAGCTGAATTTAAAAATTGTGGGAAGCCTCAAGAAGCAAATTTTTTCCATTGTAAAAGTGAAAGTTTTATTTTTTCCATTTCAAAAGACATGTTGCGACTATTAAATAGACGATAGCATTGCAAAATTTCTTATAAGGTTGAAAAGTCTCTCAGAAGGGATGGACATTCAAGCGACATACTTTGTTGGCGACACTCTCCAGTCGTTCTCTCCAGATTGCTTTCGAGCTTCCTTTCACAACGACGAGGTCGCTCTTGAGACAGTAGGGTTCTATTTCATCAACCGTGATCTTTTGGAAGCTCGAAAATGAAGAATCGTGCAAATCGGCATCATCCAAGTATATTGCCGGACCTTAAACCAGAACCTCAAGCTTCAAATAGTTGCTATTTGAACTTTTTTTTTCAGATTCTAGGCGAAAGTCAGTGTTAGAAGAAAGACAAATGATGGAAATAAGATTTAAAAAAACCCATGAAGTGATGAATATTATGATGAAAAACTGACCCGGCCCTTTGTGGACAACTTCCACAAGACTTGCGAACATGATAGACCCAGCATCCTTGTTGCCGATGATGGTGAGAGTGCTGGTTTTTGTTGTCAAGGGGAAGAAGCCGAGCAACGGTGCACTTTCAGTACCCGGCTTTTCGATGTGGATGGACGCTTCGAAGCATTTGGATTTCCCGCACTCAGGCGGAATGGCAGTACCAGTCGCATAGCTGAGAACAGCTCTTTTGCAGCAAATATCTGGAAAAAGCTCATTTCGAAAAATAAACTGAACATGAAAAATAAACTGAATATGAAAACGCTTTCTCTCTTAAAATCAACCTTACCCTCAAAAAAACCATTTAATTTTTCCCAATCAAATTTTCGAGATATTCTGAAAATTGTATTTCGTCCTAAGATCAAAAAGCCTGTCTAGTGCAAGATAAGAATGTGGTTTAATTTTTAAAAAATGGGTTTGGACTAGGAAAAAGTTTGGTTTTCATGGTGTTTTTCTACTGTAAACCTGAAAGTGGGCGGAGCCCGATAAAACCTTGTTTCAATTATTAGAGAGGTTGTTTACTATATACGATAGCAGGAAGAGCCTAGGTGGTACCAAACAATTTTCGCATTTGTTCGTTTTTCTGAGAGAAAAGTTTATCCGTGTTTCTTTAATGTTGTCAATGAAATAAACGTGGCCCAACCCAACTTAACACGCTGTCTCCGTTATTCTCAAAAAAACAACGGGTACAATAAAAAAATATTTTTTTGATTTTGATGAAACTTCATCCAGTGTGATAGCCAATCATCAGAAATGCGGACCCAACTTTTTTTGAGTCATTTCCTCTTACTGTAGCCGGGTTACGGTAGCCAGGTAGGCACCTGCGTATCTCAGCATTGAAGAGTTTTTTTAGTAGACAAATGATATATAAATCGATAGGTAATCCTATTTTTGAAAAACTTTTACAGTACATACCATCTTGGGTTACTGTGGGAAAAATTTTTGAGTTACGGCACTTTTTTTGCGTCTGTCGAGTTAGTTTTTCGACCACCACGAGCTTGAGCCGGGAGATCCATTCTTCCTAGCTTTTTCAAAAGATACCTTATGAGAAGCTGTACAAGCTGGTATAAGTTCGAAGAAATCCTAGGTGGACCATCATTTCGAAAAATCTCCCCGAAGGCGCGCAATCGTGGTCTTGCGGCGGCCAAATGGGGGAAGTCCATGACGCCTGACGGCTCATTCTTCACAGATCCATTCTAAACTTTGTTTCCATTTCACTTATAGATATCTATTAATGGTTTTTATTACCACTTGAGATGATTTCAGGTTGACCATCATCTCGAAATCTCATTTTGAACTCAAATTTGGCCTAAAATGGCCGACTCGGCTTTTTTCACGGGATCCCTGACCCCGTATGTGACCGTTATCAACTTTTTTCTTCCTTAAAAATGAACAAAAGTGTCTGAAAAATAGTTTTATAACGATCGGAAAATATTTTGAGAGGACCATCATCTCGAAATCTCATTTTGAACCCAAATTTGGCCTAAAATGACCGACTCGGCTTTTTTCACGGGATCCCTGACCCCGTATGTGACCGTTCTCAACTTTTTTTCTTCTTTAAAAATGAACAAAAGTGTCTGAACAATAGTTGTATAACGATCGGAACTTATTTTGAGAGGACCATCATCTCGAAATCTCATTTTGAACCCAAATTTGGCCTAAAATGGCCGACTCGGCTTTTTTCACGGGAAGAAAAAGAAAAAACCCGACACTCTGACCACCGGTGAGGTTGAAACTTAACTTTCAAGCTGATGTTTTATAAATGTTTTTTTTATTATAACCTAAATAGTAGTTTTGAATCTTCAGACTTTTTCATACCTAAAAAAACAAGACATTCGTCTTGTGACTATTTTTTTGTGAAAAAGAAACCAAAATATTTCGATTTTCAAGCGAAATTTTTATTTAAAAAGTGGGTTTCCCAGGTAAACAGTCATTTTTGGAATTGATCCAAAAATAGAATTTATTTTCAGTTCTCAGGTTTATATTCTCTTTAAAAAAAGTGAAAAGGGCCAAGATCTGTATTGATGGAACCAATAATCTTATTAGAAGGGTAAACCAAAAAGTTTTCAAGCCAAATTTGGGTTCAAAAATGAGATTTCGAGATGATGGTCCTCTCAAAAATAATTTCCGATCGTAGTACAACTATTGTTCAGACACTTTTGTTCATTTTTTTAAGGAAGAAAAAAAGTTGAGAACGGTCACATACGGAGTCAGGGATCCCGTGAAAAAAAGCCGAGTCGGCCATTTTTAGGCCAAATTTGGGTTCAAAATGAAATTTCGAGATGATGGTCAACCCGAAAAACATCTAAAAATTGAAATAAAAAAATCAATAATAGACATGTATGAGTAAAATGGAAACAACATTTAGAATGGATCTGTAAAAAATGAGCCGTCAGGCATCAGGGACTTCACCCATTTGGCTGCCGCAAGACCACGATTGCGCGCCTTCGGGGCGATTTTTCGAAATGATGGTCCACCTAGGATTTTTTCAAACTAGTAATAGCTTGTACAGCTTCTCATAAGGTATCTTTTTGAGAAGTTAGGAAGAATGGATCTCCCGGCTCAAGCTTGTGGTGGCCGAAGAACTGACTCGGAAGACACAAAAAAAGTACCGTAACTCAAAAATTTTCCTACCGTAACCCAAGATGATATGTACTGTAAAAGTTCTTAAAATTGGATTACCTATCGATTGATATATCGCTTGTCTACTAAAAATTCTTCAATACTGAGATACGCAGGTGCCTACCTGCCTACCGTAACCCGGCTACAGTAAGAGGAAATGGCTCAAAAAGTTGGGTCCGCATTTCTGATGATGGGTTATCCCACTGGATGAAGTTTCGTCGGAATCAAAAAATATTTTTTTTATTGTACCCGTTGCTTTTACAAATTTTTGAGAATAACGGAGACAGCGTGTTAATAGCCACCCATCCGAGAAACCTTCAAGGTAAGTGTAATGGGACATCCAGAAAAGAACTTTGCAAAAAAAAAAAATCAAAGTGGTTTTCGAAAGAAGTTGAAACAGACCAACGGCTTCGACTCCAAAGAAGATGATTGCGGTGTACAGGAGGACTGCGATCTTTGTACCAGGAGACCATGCTGGAAACATTATTATAATACGCTATAAAAAGTGAAGAGATTCAATACAATTTCAAGCGCTCTCGCAGAATGAGCCACGTTCAGTTAGCCCCTTATTCTGTTTCACGGTGTTTTTGTTAGGGGAAGAAAACGCGAATCCAAAAAGACGGTGGGCGGAGTTAAAACCTTCGCCGATCCTGAGTGACGTCATGGGAACGACAGAGATTTCGGCTCTAAGAGCTCAAATACCAGGGCATATCGAAGGCGCATTGCCAGAGGTCTACATACAACATACAAGCTGTATTTTTGCGCGAGAGCGGCACAGTGTATGCACACGACACACGACACTTTACGGAGAACAGAAATCAGAAATCTCACCCATCTTGGAGAAGGCGAGCTCGTCGGAGCGCTCGATGTTATTATGAGACTCGGTTACTTTCCCTTCCTTTTATTTTCTATTCAACGTGGTCATTCACGAGTTCATTTACCGTGAAAACAAAATAGAAAAAAGATAAGCTTGAAATTCGACGAAACGTCACGTTTCGAAACGGCATTTGCGGCAAATTAGCGCCGACCGACTAGTTCGCCATGATGATGCTCATCCGATACATGGCCGAGAAAATGAGAGGAAGAGGTACTGTTCTATTTATTGATGCCGTTTTCAAAGTAATTTCGTGAAATGCAAAACAGCCGTCAGAGAAAGAAAAATATAACAAAATTTTGGAGAGTCAGAGATCATTTTGCCTTCTGCGAAATTACTTTGAACACGGCATGACTTTCTGGTGCGATCAGTTTTTCTTTTTCATGATACTTGTTTTTCTCTATGAATCGACTTGCTATGAATAGTGAAAACTAAAGTTGATACATCAGCGTGGGCCAATCAGAAGTTCTCGCTGGAGCGCACTTGTCTGGCTCAAACAGCTTCTTCAAAAGCTAGGGGGATTATTTTCTGAGCTGCTAGAAGCCGTCGTGGAAAAGTATGCAAATGAAAAGTTCTCGTCGAAATTTCTTCGGAAAGTCTTTGCATGAATATCTTTTGCTTTTATCAAATAGATGATAAAAAACTCTCCACTCATCAAAATTCAATTTTTTTAGATTTACATAATTCAAGTCGAACCAACCTTGTTGTATAATATTTCTCCAGTTATATAAATATCTTACTGTGGTCCAGAGTCCCATATGCTGTACCAGCCCAGCGATAGGAGAACCTTCGACCACGCCCCCGCGTGGGCGAAGGTTCCTCAGTTGGTGGGTTGCTGGTTCCGCGTGTCCCCTCTATCTCTCCTTAACTCCTGCCTGCCTGTATTTCCCTGTGTCAAGCAGCTGACATCCCAAACAGGAAGGTCCAATACGCCAACCTTTAGAATTGTATCTGGAGGGAGTCTCTAGACTCTAAAGGCGGACATTTGGAATATGGAGGTCCCACTTGAGACTCGATTCTTGGGTTTTCTTTCCGAGCAGTCCAGTGCCACATAAGCAGGTGAGTCGTGGACGTGCCGTTCGGAAGTCTAGCTAAACGCTACTTCCCATCCGCTGTGGACATATTTCTTCTGTCTCTGGAGCTAAACACAGTTGGCGTCGCCATGGCGTCCTCTGGAAGAGAGGTGGATTAAATCATACAGCCCTTCGCGCCTATTTTTGTATGGAAGCCGAAAGTGCCTCTTTCTCGCCAGGATCGACTACGGTTTGTGAAGCACCCCTGATCAAGGTGCCGACCATCTCCGGACGCTTTCATTAACGAGGAGACGCATCACGTGGATCCGTGGTCGCTCAATGTCCCAGGGCCCATTCCACGTGTAGAAGTTGCGATCCTGCTCGTACCTTCTCGACGCTGTCCTTTTTATGAACGGCCGCTCACCGTCCAATACGGCTCAGGATTGAAGAGGAGACGTCGCGAGCCCACCAACTCATTCCCCCCTCCGGTCAGCCCATTTTATTTTAATTATTTTACTTTTGTGTATTTTCGTGTATTTTCGTGTATTTCTGTATTAGTTTGGTTCGTTTTCACTATTTTCGTTCAAATTTTTTTTTTCTCACACCTTTCTTTCAAATTTTCAAAAACCCATTCCTCACTATTATCGTTCAAATTTTCAAAACCCCTTTTTCTCATAAATTTTGTTCCAAATTCTCAAAAACTTTTTATTTTCAACTTTTAATCTTCAAATCAAACTGGCATTTCTTCAATTTCGTTTATTTTTATCACTTAAAATTCCACTACACAACCAAATTTCCCATAGAGTCTCACAACATTTCTCACTGTTTCTTACAAAATTTTCACTCGTTTTTCACAATACTTTTCTTATCGAGAAATATTCTTTTCTGCTTTTCAAATTTTCAACTCAAATTCTTTCAATTTTTGTGTTTTTTTCTACGCGTATCTATTTTTTCTTTTGTCACTCAAATTTTCAAAGTTTCTAGCTTATTACTCAACTCCAATCAATTTTTCTTCAAATCAAATCGTTCAATTTTCACCATTTATACTGTAAAACAACATATCTAATCTCTTTCCCAGGTACTGTATCGTAAATCGTTTGCTAATATCATTTATTAGGCGCTAAGTTTCTTTGAAGATTGTTTTTGGGTCGCGCTACCAAGCGTCCCACGCCACATGTTCGTGTCTCATACCGTACTCAAGTATTACAATCACCCTAATCTCCTAGGTAAGGTCACCAGACGCTTGCTTGAAGCGCAAGACGCCGACTTAGGACGCCAGACCCTTAGCAACTATTTATCTTTTAATTAATTCCCACACCTTTTCTGACCGGAGTTTACTGTCCCACCCCCTGGTACTGTAGTCACACACTCCCAGCTCTTGTTTTCATTATTTGATGTGTACAGTTTTCAACTTCTTATATCTTTTTGTATTTTTTCTTCTTCTCACAAAGGCTCTTCAATCTCAAGTTGGACCAAAGAAATCCTGACGCGTTTCAAAAGGCTAACCCAAGCTTCTCAGCTGGGAAATCCTTTTAATTTATTCATATTAAATATTCATTTTTCTCTAAATTATAATTCAAAATAATTTTTTTCTCACTAATCAAACCTTATTTCAAATCTAATTTATTTCAAAACTTTCAAATTAATACGCAAAAAGGAATTCTTTGGGCCAAAATTCAACAACATCAAAACCAATCTTTTTCTTTCTCACTGCAGTTCTTTGAAGCTCCCAAACTCGTCAAAGCGCCAGAAAATGGATCTACGTTCTTTCTCATTGGAAAAACAGAACAGATTCAACAATCTTCCTCTGCAATACGCTGGTTCTCTCCGACGAAGATCGAAGATGTCAACGACCGAAGAATACGTACCACCAGAAGCTGAAGGGGAATCCCAACTCCCGCATCCACCAAAGGACGAACAGGACTTCGAAAACGAGCTGAATTTCGAAAAAAAAAAAATGCAAACTGGCGAATCTGATCAGGAACGCCTGACGGGGATCATCGAAAAACACCGCGACGCTTTTCACAACGAGGATGGCTCGATAGGATGCTTCAGAGGACCTGTTGAGCACAAGATCAAGCTCCAGCCCGAAGCGACTCTTCCCCGGCCAAGGAAGAGTCGCTTCCCTCTAGGACAACTCGCCGAGATCGACCGCCAAGTTTCAGAATTAGCTCGATAGGGTATATTTGAGAAGTCGACCTCAATGACCCTTAGTCCCATCGTTTTGGTTAAGAAAAAGGATCACAGCTTTCGCTTCACCGTGGATTACCGTCAGTTGAACGCCATCACCGTCCGGGAAAATTATATCATCCCTCAAGTGGGCGACATCATCGACTTGGCATGTGGAAGCCGCTTCTTCACTTCGTTTGACCTGATCCAAGGATTCTTCCAGATTCCTCTGCGAAAGAAAGATCGAAGCCTCACCGCCTTCGCAACTCCGAATGGAACTTGGCAATTCCGTCGCATGCCGATGGGCCTCTGCGGCGCGCCTCACACCTTCCAGACCGCAGTTCAACTCCTTCAGGAAAAAGTCACATGCCGGTTGTTTGTCTACTTGGACGACTTGCTTCTCACGTCACCGACAGCCGAACAGCATCTTCGCGACCTCGAAGAGGTTCTTATCGCCATCAAGGACTTCGGCCTGAAGATTCGTCTGAAAAAAAGTGTAAATTTGCCTGTTCCTCAGTGGAATTTCTTGGTCTTGTCGTCGGCAGAGATGGAGTGAAGCCGAATCCCAAGAAAAGTGGAAAGCATTGTTGATTTCCCAACACCGACAACGGTCACCGCCGTCAGAGGATTTTTTTGGGGATGGCAAATTATTTTCGACGTTTCATCAGAGGATTTGCCGCCATCGCCGCCCCTCTAACCGAACTTACGAAGAAGGACGTCCCTTTCGAATGGACCTCGACGACTGAAGAAGCTTTTTGAGACTTTGAAGCAGAAACTCGTCACTTGTCCCGTTCTTCAAGGTCCTGCCATTGACCAGCCGTTCATCCTAGAGTCTGACGCCAGCGGAATCGCCGTAGGAGCCGTTCTTCTCCAACGAAAATCGCCAGAAGAACCGCCACATGTCATCGCTTATGCAAGCCGGAAACTCAACAAAGCTGAAAGGATCTACCCGCCAATCGAAAGCGAAGCTCTTGCTCTTGTCTTCGCCGTCACTCAGTTCAGAACTTACATTCTCGGTCTCAAAACGACCGCGATTGTCGATCACAAGCCGCTAACGACACTCCTGAGAAGACGTGACCTCATCGGAAGACTCGCCAAATATCAACTAGTTCTGAGCGAGTACAACTTGGAAATCGTCTACCGTCCAGGACCTGAAAAACTTCGTTGGAGATGCTTTGTCTAGGTATTTCCCAGACGAAACGAAGGAACCGAAGCCGTTGCCAATGAAGCCGAAGCCGAAGCCGAAACCAGCAAAAGAGACTTCAGTTGCTGCTGTGGAAGTCGAAAATCTTGCGCCTCAAGTCGAAATCGATCTCGACGAAATCAGAGTCGCCCAAGAACGCTCCGAATATTGCCGAGAAGCCGTGAAAATTCTTCAAAAAGAACGCCGAAGACGACGACAAGAAAGCCAGAAACATCCGGAAGCGCTACAACCTCGAGAATGGTCTTCTCTACGAGCGACAACGTTCAGGAATTTCTGCGGCAGTTCTCCATGTTCCGATAAAAACTGCGGATCCCGAAACCATTGCAAAGATCCTGAAAAGGTTTCACCAGGACGCCTCAACAAGCGCCCATGCCGGAATCGAGAGAACTGCTTCTGCCATACGTCGTCGTTTCAACTGGACGAATCTCCAAAAAAAGACGTCGAGGATTTTTGTGAATAAATGTTTTCTCTGCCAAAGAAGAAAAAAACAAACCCTCACGAGACGACAGTCGAGCCCGCAGAAGAAACTTCCAGTCACTTCTTCGCCATTTGAAAGATGTCATATTGACGTTCTTGGTCCGCTTCCAATCACGATCAACGAGAATCGCTACGTCTTGACCATCGTCGACGCTTTCTCGAAATGGATCATCGCCGTGCCCCTTCCGAAACAAGATTCTGCCGCCATCAACCGCGCCTTCACAGAAAATCTTGTCCTGAAGCACGGGCCGCCTTCGATGATCATCTCCGACAATGGAACGCAGTTTGTGTCGAATTCCTTCAAAAATCTTCTGAAAAAGTGGAAGATCCAACACCAGACGACAGCTCCATACCACAAAACTTCCAACGGACAAGTGGAACGAGTTCATCGTACCCTCGAGGAAGCTTTAGCTTCTTTTGTGAACAATTTCCAATCAGATTGGGATAGCTACCTGCAAGCAGTTGTCTTTGCTTTGAACACCCTACCAGGAGCTTCCACAAAACTTGCGCCGTTCCACGTCCTTTTTGGTCGTGAGCCTCGTCTGCCAGAAGACTCAACTTGGAACACGAACGTTGGACTTTCTTTCATCGACAAAGAAGACTACGTTGAGTATCTACAACTTCAACTGAAGGAAGCCTGGAGTTTCGTCAAGGAAAAACTCCAAGAAACAGCGGAGAAACACGCCAAGAGGTTCGACAACGCAAACAGAACAGCGCCAAGGAAGATCGTCGCCGGCTCAACAATTCTCGTCAAGAGAGCTTTACCGAAAAACAAGCTTTCTCCATTTTTGTTTGGCCCTTTCACCGTTGTAAAAGTCAATGGTTCGAATGTAGAGTACCTGGACTATGGGAAAACATTCGTGGCTCACAAAAATGACGTCCGCCAGCTGAAATCGAAGCCGCCTACGCCAGAAGAAATCATCGACGAGGACGTCGAAGAAGAAGAAGAAGAAGAAGAAGAACCTGAAAAAGAAAAATATATTAGAAGAAGCCGAAAACCAACCGAACACAGCTTCACCGTTGTCGTTGCCGCAGTCTTCAACCACGAATCCAGCCGCCAAAAAAAGCCGCCGATTCGGAAGACTCGCAGCTCGACGGCCAAGCGACAGTCGCCGAATTTTTTTCCGCTTCTCCCTCGCCGCCGTCGCCCGTATCTACAAAGGACCGCACCGCCAGTTCGACACTCCAGTCGACTAGCAGTCCGGCCAGCAGTCGCCAATCGTCGCCAGCCAGCCGCCCTCCAGCCCGTTCGACTACACGCCGAGCAGCAGCTCAGCCATCAACTACAAAGCCGAGAACCCGCCGAGGAGCAGCCACGCCGACGCCGCAGAGGTCGACTACTCGTGATGCCGGACGTCATCGTGGGCAAGACACTGAGAAGAGTGCGAATCCAGCCGCCATCGATGAAGACCGCCTTCGAAGAGCCACCCCGGAGGATGACGATCCTTGCAGCTCGAAGTGGAGCCGTTTTCGTCCATCGCGATTTGGACGACTATAGTCTCTAAGACAGTAACCTATAAGTTTGTTTATTTTTTTTTTTATTTGTACTTGTTGTATTTTATTTTTTTTGTGTGTGCTATTATTTTCTGTATTTTTTGTTTGTTTGAGTGCCACTATTTTAGCTAAGAAATTTTTAAGCGAAAGCAATAATCTAACCTCCCTTTTCAGGAATTTTTAAATTTTTCTCGCTGTTAAGATCTCCCTTTTAGCCTTATTTTTTTGCTTTTAACAAAATGCTTTTCGCTAGTTAAGAATCATGTTTTTTTGTCAAAAAAATTGTCTGTTTAATTTTTTTGTTTCGATAAATCACAGGAGTGATTAAAAAAACAGGAAAAAAATAGGGGGAGATGTACCAGCCCAGCGATAGGAGAACCTTCGACCACGCCCCGCGTGGGCGAAGGTTCCTCAGTTGGTGGGTTGCTGGTTCCGCGTGTCCCCTCTATCTCTCCTTAACTCCTGCCTGCCTGTATTTCCCTGTGTCAAGCAGCTGACATCCCAAACAGGAAGGTCCAATACGCCAACCTTTAGAATTGTATCTGGAGGGAGTCTCTAGACTCTAAAGGCGGACATTTGGAATAATGCTACACTTTTTTCCCGATACGGCTCCAACTTATTCGCTCAAATCAACTCGTCCAAGAACGCTGAGACCAACTGTTGAGCTCAAAAAGCGCCACAAACACACGAATCACGACTAGAGAAATGACAAAAAAGAACTTGAAAAATGAAAAATGATAGTTTTGCTTCTTATCTTTTGATCTCCAAGTGGTCCTGTTTTCACTGAGTGCTACTACATACTGCATTGGATGCCTACTTCATTTTTACTCTTTCCTGTGGCCAAGAAAAACGTGTCTCCCTACAAGGGGCACTTCACTTTTCGTGGCTGAGCTTTCGTGATTTATTTGAAACGAAAAACTCAGACTCACCTTTTTCAGAAAGAATTCGAGGAGGTTCCGAGTCGACCACTGCGCCAATAAGTCTGCCAATTCCGATGGAGAGTAAGTTTTGAGAAAATCAATTTGTCGATAAAAAAATACTAAAGCGTTCGAAATTCAAAGTATTGAGATATTACAGCTCACGAACTCCTTGTTCCGGTGCCATTGCCGGTCGTCGACACTAACAAACCGGAAGGATTTCTAAAAGAATGGCCCGGATATCACGGGTTAATTATATCTATTTGTTCTTGATTTTTCTGATGATCATTCTGGTATAAAATGGAACATAAAAGCCAGAAACAAAAACCAGAGAAGCTGGAAATCTCTTTTTCTCTGGTCTCTCTCCGGACTTCTCTCTATCTCTCAAAGTCCCTTCAAGTCGAAGGCAAGAGATTATTGTTCCGGGGGAAAATCCACAAAATTTAGCTGAAATTTGTGGCTTCGCAGAACGCTATTTATTTCATGCCGCTGATCCCGAATTTGGGCACCATTTACCCAATTTTTTCCAGGTACCTTCCCGACCTGGACGCTCGGAAAATGATCCGCCACATTGGCGACTACATCATCCGATTGGAAAACGGTCCGTCGGGAACTAGACAAGGCGAAATTTAGAATTTCAGACGAGCAAAACACATTGATCATTTTGAATGTTGGAGAGGAGTTGGTTGAGGACAGCTTTTGGGAAATTGATCCGAAATCTGAAGACGATGAAGGTGAATTTGCCTATTTTCAAGACTTTCCTTCGAAAAGAAAAACTTTTTATGATCGTAATGGTTGATTCTCAACAACTTGAAACAGTCTCACACTCCTGTGTTTTTTCCCTCGACATGAAAATAGCACGAAAAAAGAGTGTTTGAGAAAAAAATTAAATCCGAAAGTTCGTTTACGTTTTTTTAACTGAAGGAGTTGTAGTTTTTCTCAAAGTTTTTCCCAACTATTTTCGAAAAAGTTTGTATATATGGATCGAGGGACGTTTTCAAAACCACTTTCTTATTTTTGAAAATCCAGCCACGAGCGAGGAGGACGAGGAGGTGCCGGTAGTTGTCCGAACATATGTAATCGAAAACACCGAGTTGGGCTATTCCATCGACGTTGAACATTGTTTCGAAACGGTTGAGAGCCTGCTCTCTTATTATGTGTTCCATCCCGACAAGGTCAGACTTTTTCTGACCAATTCAAAGCTGTAAAGAGAAATATACAACTTGAAACCGCAGAAAAAATTCATTCTTTAGTCAGTCCTCGACGTGAAACTGCTCCATGCTGTCCCTCTCAGGGTGTTTGAGATCGAATCGGACGACATCCAAGAAAATGAAAGACGTGAGTGACATCTATTGTCCGTTCTCGCAACTTGAAAGGAGGAGACTTCTCTGCGCACTCTTCGTCTCTAGGCGACTCTCTCATGTTTATGTGCTAATTCTATTTTTCTCTGACCTCGCCGGTGAGGGAACGGAGAGACGCAGACACTCGAATACTGTCAGTTCGCTGCGGGCGAACCCTACTAGGCTTCTCTCAATTTTTAAAACGGCAAAAAAAGATTCGATTCGCGAAAAGAGAATTGATATCCTTACTTCTCTGCGATTCTCTCGTTTTTACACGGTATTTTCATGGTTTATGACCTCGGCAAAAAGAGACGCAGACGGGTCAGAATATTCAAAATCAAGTTGAATGGACTAAATAATTATTTTGTTTCTATTTGACAAGCAATTATTCTCTTCGAAGTTATATCGTCATAAATAGAAAGGCTCGGCACGAAAATCTTCAAAACACCGGCTTTCTTCTTTGCGCCCGATTAAAACCAATCTGCGCGAGATTCCATCGGAAAGCATTAGGAAAATGGGACTTTGACTTTCTAGATCTCATTCTAGTACCAACGCGTTCAAAATAAGACAATCTTGTGAATTTTCAGCTAGGCAGCGGCCAATTCGGCGAGGTGTATATGGCTTTCGTAGATCGACCTGGAATACTTGAAGAGACAGCGGCTGTCAAGTCGGTCGGTTTCAAGAACTCGAAAAAGAAAGAGCATTTTCAAAAGTATTCTCAGTATCATTCAGTTCGAAAGAACTGTAAGCCTAATTATGGTAGCTAGTCTCGAAAAACAAAGTTCGAAAGGGCAAGAAAGTCAATATTTGATCCGATCTCAGGTGAAGCCCGGACTGCCAAATGCGTCGGAGTTGAGTCAGAAGCTGATAGACGAAGGAAGAATCATGCTGGGCTTGGAGCATCCGAATATTGTGCGGATGTACGGGTGGTGTCTGGATGAGCAACCATTGAAGCTTGTCCTCCAATTCGTGGCTGGTTAGTTCCGGAAAAATTCGATGAATGAGGTTTTGAAATTTGATGTGAGAAATACTTTGGAAGAAAAAGCTTTCGTTTTTGAGAAACTGTTGGTCATGAGACTTCGCATCAATGATTGTGAGCAAAAAAAATAAAGATATGATAAGAAAGAGAAACGATTCCTAAACGTGGGTAATTTTTAGTGGCCACTTTAGGGTTCTGCCGTTTTAGTGACCACTTTAGTAGTCGGAATAGAGGCCATAAATGGAACCTATAGATAGGGGGCGCAAAGCCCCGCCCCTTCACGCCACCAAAATGACGATTTTTTTGTTGCAGAAACGGTTTTGAGGCGTTTATACTAGCTAAAGTCCCACTTTAAAAATAAACTGTTTTTGCTAAACTATGTAATCGACAACGCTCTACAAGACTGAAAAATTTTTAAACTATGTTTTTTCAAAAATAAGCGAAAAAGTAAGATTTAACACGAAAAAAACTGACAAGTTTCACAAAATCGTCGCGTTTCAGAAAGCCAAGTGAGGAACGCTTCTAAATTTTAAGTATGTTATACATTAACACTTTCTTTATTTTTTTGAATAAAAAAATTAAAAAAATCTAACGACGCGAAAAAAATCGAAGCTTGTAAAGTGACACCAAACTTTGAAGCTGAAATGCGAAAAAAATTTCAGCGACATGGTATACTTTTTTTATTTGATTTAAAAAAACTCACAATGTGTTCAAAAAAATAAAAAAATTCAGAATGAAAAATAATTATTGGGACAGCGAATCAAATTATATTTGAGTTTTTACCAAAACCTCCTTTTTTTCGTCTGCCTCGTTGACGCATGAGAGAATATGATCGCGTCTATATTTTTTTGCTTATGTTATTAAGCGTTCAAAAACTCTATCTATGAAAAAAATTATGAAAAAAATCTAACGACGCGAAAAAAAGAACGGCTTTCGAAAAACCTCGAAAAAAATGGCAATTTTTTTGAAATTTTGGAAGAATTCGTGCAAGCATTCGTAGCTGTGCTTGCGTCAAACACACCGATGCGCCATTTTAAATGTTGCAGGAGCCGTTTTTTTCGGCGTCAAATTGCACTTTTTCCTGTTTTATTTCGAAATAACATTATTTTTTTCATTTTTTTCTTTCTTCCAAATCGAATGATAATAATTTTTTTCAGATTAGAAAAAAACGAAAAAAATAAGCTAAAAAAATTCCTTCTGACCTTTTTTTCTAAGTAGTTTTTTTGATATTTTGTCAAAAAAATTCTTATGAGGATTGTACAAAAGATTCATACCAAAACATGAGGCTCAGTTCGGACAACCTCTCAAAACAGAAAACCGATTCGAAAACGGTTCAGAAATGCGTAAAAACATTTAAAAAGAAAGCGTGCGGCAGCGGGTAAACCGTGAGATTTTGCCTCCAGTTGTACGCCGCGCGCGCTAGTTTTTTGGCCATAACTTTTTTCTTAGTGGAGCTTTTTTCTAAAACTGAACGGATTATGAAAATGGACAGTCTCCTCTATCGAACAGTGTAAAAAACATATTTTTTGGATCGTTTTGAAGAAATGGCTTGCGGACCCTACCTATAGAAGTGTAAGTGGTACTACCAGAGCACTGTAAACCACTACAGTATTCCTCAAGAACAGTAGCTTCTATAGAGGTGTTGTTAGTGACCACTTGAGGTCCTCTCGATGTTGTCCTTGAGGAACCTTTTAAGTGGCCACTAGAGTTGTTCACAACATTGTTTAAAAAAATCAATTTTGCTCAATATTTTTTTGTTTTCAAGTAAATTTCATTTTCTTCAAAAGACACCGTTTAATCTAATAAATATCCTACTTTCTTTTCTAATCAAAAAGAAATATTAAAAGTCCTGAATGAACGATCATTTTTTGCAGGAGGTTCCCTAGACATCTACCTCATCAACCACTATTCGGTGACCAGTACGAAAAGACTGATAAAGTTTGGAGTGGATATCGCTCAAGGGCTGGAGTACCTTCACAGCAAAAACATAATACATCGAGACATTGCGGCCCGAAATATACTTCTAACGTCTGACGGAACGGTCAGATATTCAAATTTCAGGAGTTGTTTGCAAAACTTTTTTGAAAACAAAGCGTTTTTTGCGGAAAAAGTGACTGAAAATCTCCAAAAATGTTTTTGTAGGAATCTCTGAAAATAAAAATCTATACAACAGAAAAAAGGAATTTGGTGTAGTCCATTTGCCGCGACTTGAAACAGTCTGATTTCTCTGCGCCCTCTTTTCTCCCAGATACACTCCCTTTTTAAGTACGGTTTTCGAAACACGCATCTTAAATCCAAAAAAAAAAGAAAATAGTCCATTCAGTAAAACTCGAAACTTTCTGTTTTCTCTACACCCTCTCTCCCCTCGTCGACTCTCTCGTTTTCCCATACTCTTTCCTTTTTTTATGACCTCACAGGTAAAGAAATAAGAGCGCAGACAGGTCAGACTGTTTCTAGCAAGAAAGACTTTTTTTTTGATTTTTGCAAGCTGAAAAGCTGTGAGAACTTTCTGAGCCTCACTTTTTTACCGGAAGTTTATTTTTCAGCCGAAGATCTCCGATTTCGGACTTAGCATAAAAGGATCCTTTCACCGGATGAAGGTAGCGGAGAAACTTCCCTCGCGACATTTGCCTCCCGAGGTTCTCAACCAGTTTACTTTCTCTCGAAAGTCGGATGTTTACTCCTTCGGGGTGAGTCTTTTCTCCAACCAGTACTGTACACAAAAACCATTTGCAGGTGCTCCTCTACGAGGTTTTTGCAGGGGGGCGCATCCCCTACGCAGGCCTTCTTTCATCCGAAGTCAAAGCATGCGTATGTTTGATTTATTTGTTTTTTTCTTTCGCCTGACACAAGTAAAGTAAATATACCAGAAAATGAAAAAAAGAGTCTAAGATACATAGAAACTTCAAAATCCTTTTGATTATATCAAAACAACTAATAAAGAATATTTTTAAAAGCAATATAATTTATTGTTTTTTTATGAAAAAGAAAACGAAATAAAAGGTAAGAAGTCGAAAATTTAAACTTCACATTTCCAAACCAATTCCAGATACTTTCCGGGATCTACAATATTTTCCCGAGCAGAACACCGCAAAAGTTGGTAGAATACGTCGAAGAGAACCTTTGGGCATATGATTTCTCCAGAAGGCCCTTATTTGACGAAGTTTTCCATGAGTTTTTTTCGATTTATTTATTTTTTGGGAACTTCCAGATTGTCGATTATCTTGAAGCACTGGAAAAAGAAATTGAGAAGGTCAGTTTCATTTTCTTTCTGTTTTCTATGGAAGTTTTCCAGGATGGGGAGCATGGCTATGTGACAGAGGGAGAAATGGATGAAGTTTTGGTAAGTTTTTAAATGGTCGCATGTGGAATGGCTCGAGACGCGTCCGGCTTCTAGCGACTTGCGCTCATGCACAAAACCAGCTTTCAAGTGTCTTTCGAATCATTTCACGTGTTCTCCGAAGCAATGCCCATGAGAATCGAGAAAAAACATAATTTTGATAAGTTTCTAATGATTATTGAGCTAACCCCGTTGAACGGATTCTGTTTGAAAATGTATTATTAAAAAAAGGCGTTTTCGGCTCAAAACAGTTTTGCGAACAAGACTCCAACTTTTGCAGATCAATTATCATCCTGATATTAGAAAGGAGTCTCGCCAGCGCCGCCTTCTCAAACTTCGCAAGGAGGTCAGTTCTTTTTGCCATTGTTTGAATTTTAAACCTAGAACTTCTTTCTCAACTTGCCAAAAACATTTTCAGGATAGGCTGGAGGAGTTTTGTCCCACTCAAGAGGAGACGGTCTCCAAAATGACACAGGAAACCGACTGAACACGTTTTCCTTTTTTCTATTCTTTTGTAAAGAAGGCTGTCTTTTATTGTTGTTTTATTCGGTGATTTCATAATTGACTCGTTAGTCTTTTTTTTCTTTTTCTCCAGAGTTTGTCTCGCTGGGTGCGGGATCGGCTTTTCTGGATCGTTGTCGTTTTATCTGCTACTTGGTCTTTTTTGCCGACTAAATCTAAAAATGGACTATTTCTAGCAGGTCGTAGCTTCTCTTAATTTTTTATAAAGTACTTCTGCAGTTCCTTTCCACGTTCATATTTCTTTTTGACCCCCGGGGATGTCTGGGCCGTGCCCTACAGCAGTGCAACGCTGAGCCCTTGAGCGGTCGGAGCAAGCTCCGGATCCATTCTCGGTTGCAAAAATAAGTTAACCTATATTGTACTCATTCGAGGACGTACCGTAGGTTAATACGATAAGAACAGATAGGTGAGCCAGCTGCGATAGAGGTACTGTGAGCATCCGCTCAGCCCTCCTTCGCCAGGGGAAGATGATTTGTGAGTAAGCCTTAGTTCCTGGTCCTCACTCGGACCGCCGAATAAACGGGTCGGACTAGGTTGCTTCGGAGGTAATAGCTACACCTAAGGTTTTGTGTCTTGCCGTAGCCACTGGTTGTTGTGGCTACCAACAAGACCCTTGGCGTAACCTGCCCCCTCAGCCCCACTTCTCCTTCATCCACTTAGCTAAGCTGGATTCCTCCGTCACGGCCGAAAGCGTTGGCGCTGGAACGCCTTACTCCCGGCCAGAGTTACCCACCCATAACATTGCTGTTCTCATTTTAGCCGCTGCGCGACTTATGTCCGTTCTCCCTTTTTCGGGACGCCTGTCGGCTGATGCCTACGGTAAGGACCTTGCTGGCAAGAATGTTGGCTGACAACATCAAAAACCAGTAAGTCTTTACCGTTTCAAAAAAAGCCTTCATGGGCTTGTCCATAATTGGACTCGAGTTTAAAAGGACCCGCCGTGGGTCCGAGTTCCGAGGAACTCTTCCAAAAATAACCTTTGCAGGTTTGAGCCTTGAAGGCAACGAAAAGCAAAAAGAAAAATAATACAAGAATGTGTTTATTTAGGCCTTTTAATTCGCCCTTTTGGGAGAAGGTTGGGATGAGGAGGATGAATGTCGCCTTTTTTAGGTATCAATTTTTTGAGATGTAATTTTCCGTGGTTAGAGGTTGAAGGTGGCGGTTCTTCAAAACTTCATAGACTTTTTGCCAAAATTTAGAGGTTGTTAGTAGAAGTGTTACTGGTATTTTGGCTTTGGAGGCCAGTGCCTTTACGGTCTCCGGGGTGGCTGTTTTGTCATAGACACAGAGGGCTTGGAATTCATCGGGGATTTCGGTGGCAAGTGCGTCGATGTACGGTGTTGCGCCTATCGCTACAATGTCGAAGGCTGTTGAGAATTCATCCCTTTCTGGGATGTGTTTCTCTTGTGATCATCCGTCTGTCGTCCATGAATGATCATGGCGTCAGCAAATTTTGCCGTGCCGACGATGATTTTGTATCCGGTCTCGTTGAAGGCACCGGCTCCCGCGATTGGGTTTTTCTTCAGATCGTATTGCGTTGCGAAGCGGGTCACTTTGTGCAGGTTAACGTTTTAATAAACCTGGAAGCTTGTTGCTTTATTTATTTATTTTTTTCTTTGCTGACCAGAGCGTTCGTAGCCGCCTGTAGGCGTTGGAGTGTCGCTTCGTCGGCCTTCAGGACCAGGTACAAGTCGAACTTGTCAGCGGCGACTCTGAGCATGGCGTCAGCAAATTTTACCGTGCCGACGATGATTTTGTATCCGGTCTCGTTGAAAGCTCCGGCTGCCAGAATGGGGTTTCTTTTCAGGTCGTACTGCGCTGCAAAGCGGGTGACTTTGGGCAGGTGGACGTTGGAATAAACCTGGAAGCTTGTTGCTTTATTATTTTTATATATTTTTTTCTTTTTGCTTACCCGATAACGGTTTCTGGAGGTTGGTAGTTCTTCTATGATGTAGGTGTTGTTCCTCGTGGAGGTCAGGTTTATCAAGGCTCTCTTGATGAGCCCAGCGTGATCGTCAAGAAATACCACCTCGGCTTCATCTTGTGCCTCCTGCCTGACGTGCTTAGAGAAGTCGTCAAGCAGAGCTGCACAGAGACGTTGCGACGAGGGGTTTTTCGTGGCGGATGACGTAGTCGCCATGGCTCGGCGTAGTCGCAGTAGATGCCACAGTAGAAGTGGCTGGACGTGCTGAGAGATGAGTGTAGTCGAGTGACAGTTGAGGGAGTAGGATTAAATGACTATTTTCAAACTGGCTTATGGGTTTGTGTGTACCGACTTGCCCCGGCCTACGCCGAATTTCATCTTAATGAGTTGGGTGGACATTTGACCCTTATGTTCTTTTTTACTTTCATGTTTCTTTTTGACCCCCGGGGAGGTCTGGGCCGTGCCCTGCAGCAGTGCAACGCTGGGACGACCCTTGAGCGGTCGGAGCAAGCTCCGGATCCACTCTCGGTTGCAAAAATAAGTTAACCTATATTGTACTCGGTGCTACGACAAGAGCGAGTTTTCCATTTGCGAGCAGTACTGTATGCGGCAAAGCGCATTGCGTGCATGCACTCTGCGTGTTTACACTTTTGTGGCGTGACGTCATCGCGCCGTACATCTGCGGGTTTTTTGCTTGCGGGTTTTTTTTTTCGATTTTTTTTTCGGATTTTTTTTCTTTGAATTTTTTTTCCGGTTTGGTTTTGATTGTGCGAATATTTTCGGAACAAAAAGAAAACTTCTTTTTTACCTCATAAGAAGGCTCCTTTTTGTCCTCAAAAAATCTTCGTGTTCTTCTTCTTCTCATATTTTTTTCTCTCGTTCAGATTTTGAAATGAAAAAAAGTGGTGCTATGAATGAAATTCAGGATGGAAAGTGACGATTATGTTAACGCCATTGTTTTTCGACTCAATTTTTAAAGCAACAAGAAATCACAAAGGAAGTTTTTGGCGAAAAAAAGATGTCCCTGCTCCTCCACCCTCAACACCGGCATTGTACAAGAAACCAATTTTCGTAAAATTTCTGACAAGTCCCTTCAAATCTCTCAATGTACATTTAAAATATCTTGAAAATTTTCTGGGAAAATGACTTTTGTTTGATATGGTGGTTCTGTAAAATTTGTTATTTTCTTATTTTCTTATTTTTTGATATAACTTATTTCAATTACTGGTATTCGTTATGATGCAATTGTTTGATATTTTCCTCTTTGAAATATCAATATTAGCTTACTTCTTTTTTTTTCTATATTTGTGGAGTTGACCTAATAGCTATCTATAAAGAAACATTTTCCTAAGCTGCCCCCATGTCAAACAGAGTTTTCATCAATTAAAAAAAAGTTCTTTTTGTTTCGAAAAATAAATAAGCCGGAAAAAAAATTCAAAAAAAAAATCCGAAAAAAAAAACCCGCAAGCAAAAAACCCGCAGATGTACGGCGCGATGACGTCACGCCACAAAAGTGTAAACACGCAGAGTGCATGCACGCAATGCGCTTTGCCGCATACAGTACTGCTCGCAAATGGAAAACTCGCTCTTGTCGTAGCACCTTGTACTCATTCGAGCACATACCGTAGGTTAATACGATAAGAACAGATACTACACTTTGATCTTAGCCAATAGGCCGAGAAGCGATACTGAACGATGGAAACGAGTCCTTCTTACGTTGCTGCGTGTCCCGACGCCAACCGACTTGCTCGTTTCGGCGAGAGCAGCGCTTTTGGGATGAGGCCGAGGCGAGCAGACGGCGGCGTCGCGTTGTCTTCCCTCCCTCTATTTGATGGGGATAACGCAAAACTTCCAAAGTTTTCAAGTCACTCACTATGTAACCTTTCCAGATTTCTTCGTAAAAGCCTTTTCTTCTGGCATATAAAGCCGAATTTCAAAAATGTGAGAACCGAAAAATGTTCAACCAGCATTGTTAAGTTTCTGAAAATCGGCGTCATTTTCTTTCAATCGACTTTTGATTAGACGGAAGATTTGAGAAATGCAGCTGACATTGATAAGCGTCTTATCAAAGAACACGCGGTTCAAGCGGTGATATCAATTTGGAAACTTTCACGAGTAGAGGGTCATTTCTGGAATTTCGCTAATATAAAAACCAAAAAGCAAGTAGAAAAAATGAATTCAGAAATAAAAAATTTACATTTTTCGTGAAGAACCTTCGCCTTAACAGCTAATCGTTTTCCCTATACGTAATGAAAAATTTTTTTAAAAAAATGCTAAAAAAACTAGCTGAGACTTTAGAAACTCTATTTGAATGTTTTTCAATCTTTTTTTGAACAATTCTTCTTCAGAAATTCAACTTTTCGGACTTTGAGTTCTAACACCTCAACTGCTTCAAAACCCTTCTTTTCCGACAGTTTAACAGAGTTTGAAGCGTTCTAATTTGAATAAATGTCAAAAAAAAGTTTAAAAATTTTTTTTCGGGCAAGGTCTTTAACGGCCATTTTCCAATTTGAATGTTGGAAAACGGCCGTTGAAGGGAGAGGCTCAAAAAAAAAGCGTAGAAAGGCAGCAAAAAAGGATCAAAAAGGTCGCAGAAAGGCCGCTAAAAGGCAGCAAAGAGAGTCCCTTTATGGAGCCTTCCATTTTTTCTGGGAATTTAAAGGCTCAAGAAATGGTGAAAAAAGGGAGAGGCAGCAAAAATGGTGAATAAAGGCCGAGAAACTGGCGCAAAAAGGCAGTAGAAAAAGAACCTTTGTCACCCTAAAAGGAACATTTATGTAGCCTTTTTTCACCCTTTCTGACTTTGCCTACGTTTAGATGTATCAGGACGGCCCAACCAAGACAATTTCGTGCGATTTCCCGAAACTTCCTGAGTGAAAAAATCTTCTCGGAAGTCCAGCCGATCCAAAATCACGAATCGATGAACATCAGTTATCTTTTCGATGGGATTTCGGCTTTGACCCGTATTTTCGCCTCCATTTTCGCCCTTATCACTTATCATTCCACTGGAACACGTATTAATCCGCCAAGATCCAATACGATCTTTTGATTTATTTTTTCTTCAGTTTGTCCTTTCTTTTCTACTAATTTCTTTTTATTCGATTTCTTCGGTCCATGGCCTCAAAATTCTGCATTTTTTTTTTCAGAAATCGTTCATTTCCAAAGATAATCGTTGAAAAATAGCAATTTCTAAGACTCCATTTGAATCTAATCAAAGCGTGTTCGCACTGGGAATGGCTAAAAGTGTTACGGTTAGAATCTTCGGTACAAAACGCTCAAGCGCGCAAGTCGGATTGGGTCGGGTGCACCTAAAGACACCGATTTTCAACCATTCCTCGCGACAGATTTTAAAGATCTTCTGATTTTTTTTTTCTCAAGATCTACACATTATCCTTGAATTTTTAAAATCTACTGTTTTCAGGTCCATCCAAGAAAATACCATCATTTTTTTCCGGAAAAAGTGAACCTTCTGAATCCTTCAAAAAATTATAAAAAAGGCTGGCGGCGGAGAATGCGTCGACACGTCTTCAAATGCTCTTCCAACTGTTTTTCGCATTTTCCTTGATTTCAGGTGAGATAATTTTATCAGTTTATAGATAAAATCAACAGCATCTTCAATTGATTTTTCGAGAAAAAAATCTCTGAAATTATGCAATACTTTACAGTTACTATGTGCATTCGCCCCCGTGGAATCGGCCTGATTCGCTTACCTTTCGGTTTGTTAAATTTTTCTTCTTAAGAACTTTCGAAATTGATTTTCACTCATTTTTTCCTCACAAAGAGGTTATTTTACTTTAATATTGGGATTTTCCTGAAAATTTGCCAGAACTCTTCTTGAACTAGAAGAAGATCCTGAAAGTATCAAGTTACACAACTTCCTAATTTTCGAGAAATAAAGGCTCAAAGCCTCAAAATAGCCAATTTTAATGAATTTTGAGGGGTTTGTTTGACTTTGAGGCGTCTTTTCTCAAAAACGAGGGAATTGTGCAGATTGAGACTTTCAGAAACTTCTTCTGGTACGTCAAGGAATGTTCTGGCCAAACTGAAATGACCTCCCTTGTCAGACATATTATCAAAAATCAAATAAGATTTCCAGGCGTGTCCGATCATCGTTCCGGCCCATATCTTCCTAACTTGTACATTGCTGGCAACAAGCTTTATCACAAGGTTTTCTTCTTTAAATAACTTCAAGCCACAATCGCTGCAAGAAAAAAATTCAAAAAAGCTCTATTTTAAAAATAATAAATTTCAGAAAAAGGTAAACTGGAATATTAAAGACATGAAATTTATTCTCTCTGAAATTTGTGATTTTTCGGAATTTTCGGAATTTTTCAAAAAAATATGTCACTCCAATTGAAGACCTACCACATGAAAAAGTTTTCGATAGGTGGTGCTGGAATTTTTTCTAAAAGTCAGCTTCAAATAAAAAACCAAAAAATCTCTCTTTTTATTAATTTTTTTTCGTTATGGGTTGTGATCATAACGATGTGAATCGAAAGAAAAAAATATCTTAAAAATCTGAAAAAAACTGGGATCAAGTTATCCTTTTAACTTCACCTAAAGTATATTGATCAGAAACGGCGAAACGATTTAAAAAAGTCTTTTTTTTTCATACTCAAAATTCTCTCTTTTCAAAAAAACCCAGAAAAAGGATTAATCCAAAGATCTTGATTTTTCACACTTTTCCTCTTTTTGATTGTTTTTTTTTATCCTAATCCGTACAGACGCAATCGATCCCGGATATGTCCCTCCCGGGCCAGGAAAAGCACTTTTCGGGACACGCCCAGTTCAATCCATTCACACACATGTTGGCCGTCAGTACAAATCACGATTTTGGCGATTCTTGGGGGATCGGATATGGACTTCAAGGCGTCAATTTCATGGGTAAAGTCAAAAAAATGATGAAAAAGATGGCCGAGAAAGATTTGATCTTATGTGCTCTGTAGCTAATTTCTCTTTGAAAAAAACTTATCGGAGACTTAGAAAGTGAAAGTTTAAATATAGACTTGCTAAAAGCGAAAAACGACTTTAATCATGACCACTGAACTTGTTAAATTTCGAAAAAATGCCAAAAACTGCTGAGAAATAATAGCCACGCAATTTCGCAAAGTGTGCTCCAAGGCAAATTTTTTTTGTTGAAGGATAAAACATCCCAATCATGATATAAAATTGAAAAATGGAAAAAAAAAGAGAAGTTTTAATTTTTGCAATGAAAAAAAATGCTCAAAAAGAGCTGAGAAAAAATAGCCGCAGAGTTTCGAGAAAGGGCGCTCCATGGCTAATAATTAGATGAATAAGGAAAAATGTTAGAAACGCTATATTTTTTTCAAAAATCCATCGAGGTATATTACAAATCTCGAAAAACGTTTGAAAAACAGCTAAAATAGGTTCTCTAAGGCTAATTTTCAATGGGGAAAACTTAAAAAACAATTTTTTTTTCATTAGACTTGATAGAAAAATCGAACCTTCTTTTTCTAGGCCTGAATATCCGAAAGCAATACCGTCAAATTGCCAGACTTCCACATTTATTTACCGATGGTCAATATCAACCTTTCCAGGTATATCATCCTAATTTTTGGCTTTCGAAACTTTCTTTCAGAACTCTTTTATCGTTGGGGCGGAAGTGGACGATTCGAAATTCAACAGTCATGCCGTGGCAATGGATATTCCTCTGCCTGGGATCAATGAAGTCAGTTTTTTAATTCAAAAATCATAATTTTGAAGTTTTCCTCGCAAAAAAAGAATATCGACTGGGAAAATTTTAGTGGCCACTTAAGAGGTTTATAAGGAAGCCATTCTTTGGCGTTTTAATGGCCACTACAGTGATTTTTAGTGATCTAGCAGTACCACTTACACGGGAAGTGCGAAAGGTCGGAATTTGATGAAAATTTGTTTAAAAGTACTTTCGAACACCCTGAAACCAAAGAAGTTGGAAAAATTCATCATTTTTTCCAAGAAAAAAATTGGCAAAAATAATTTTCGCCGTAAGGAATCGAACCTGCGTCATAGGTTCTACAGGGCAAGGCCGCTAGCCACTACACCACGCCGCTTTCCAAACTTTGAGGCGCCATAACTCGACTAGAACCAAAAAGGCGCACTTTTTTTCAACTTAAATGGATTCAGGGTATTCGAAAGTACCTATAAACCAAGTTCCATCAAATTCCAATACCTCTACCTTTCGCACTTCCAGTGTTAAGCTTCTAGAGGGGCCACCGAACTTTTTTTTTTGAAGGGACTACTATAGTGACCACTAAAGTTTTCCCAAGACATATATTCAGAAACTGATCGTATTTTAAAGATTTAAAATCAATATTTTTCGGCTCAAAACTCGTAAAAATACTACATTTTGAACCGAAAGACAATTTCAAAAGCCTCTTTTGAATCTTTTCCATGAGAAAAACTCGAAGCTTCTTGAGAAATTAAAAGTTGAGGCACCGTGAAATAAAAAATTCCTTCATAGACCTTTAGAGAAAAAAATCAGGATTTTCGCAGATATAAAATTCTTTTTTTATTTTGTTTTTTTGTAGAAAAAAAGCTTCAAAAATACAAATTTCTATATTTAAAAAAATTCTGAAGCCGATATGTCACATAGGAAAAAAGTTAAAATTTCTCACTACCGTAACCTAGTTAGGGGCGGAGCCTCACAGTTACTATTCTAAAAGTTTACACACATGTCTAGTAACTGTGAAAAAAACTTCAATTCTCAAAACGAAACTTGAAATTCTTGAACCAACGTTTCATTGTGAATCTGAGAAAACGTGATTTTAAAGGCTTGAAAAATCCCTAAAGACCCAAAAACCTTTATTTTTAAGGTCTTCGATTTCCAAGAAGAAACGTTGGAAAAGAAGGACGAAGAAGCGACGGACATTTTCCACACTCGGATGAATTTCCCCATTCCCACAACCAATCAAAGGTTCCCATTGAAGGTTTTGTTGCTCATATTAGCAAATATTATGATTCCATTTAAAGGCCCACTTTTTCGAGCGATTCAACGACCCGGATCTCAATTTCGGTCATATTCTTCCTAACGTCAATTTACCTTTGGTTGATACTGATAAGGTTGGTTTTCCTTTTTACTGCCTTCAAAAAAATTTATTATTTTCTAATTTTTCAGATCGTCGACCAACTCATCGAGAACAAGGCTAATCCGACGCTTGTCGGCTGAATTTTCCCATAGAAAAATCAATAATTAGTCAGGATGAAACAACATTCATTACGGCTCAAAATTGTAACTATAAAATGATTTATTTGCTTCCAATCATTTTTTTCTTGTTGGTATGACATCATACATGATATTTTGAAAAATGTTTTTTTTATAAATCCGATAGCTTGGCATTTATAGTTTTTTTCTCTTTTTAACTAGAATAATATTGAAAATAAAATCAGAGGTTCGAAAACTGATAAATCTGAAAGAACCCAGACTCAGTAATTTAGGCCATAATTACATCGAAAACTTGCAGATTTTTAAGTCTCAGTAATAAAAACTCATTAAAAAAAAATCAAACTTCAAGTGAGAGGAAAAAAAATAATAAGAAAATCGGGCTAAATTTAGAGGACAAAGTCTGAAAACTACAACACCTGAAGCGTTTAGATTTGGAAAGTTAGGTCATCGAAATGTGTTTGATTTGGAAAGTTAGGTCGTCAAAAACTGTTGGATTTGGAAAGTTAGGCCATCAAAAACTGTTCGATTTGGGAAGTTAGGTCATTGAAACCTGTTGGCTTTGAAAAGTTAGGTCATCAAAACCTGTTGGATTTGGAATGTTAGGTCATCGAAACCTGTTGGATTTGGAATGTTAGGTCATCGAAATCGATTTGAATAGATTTTCAATAAACTTCGAATTTCAAAATGAGATTTTCAGAACACTCGCGAACTCATCTCACAATTGAAAAATCAAAAAAAAAACAAGAAAAAAATCAATCAAAGAACATAGGTACTGCTCCGCCGTTTTCCAGGCAGGGCCGGGTTCAGAAGGACCGCACTTTCCCGTTTCAGCCTTTCCGGGGCGCCAGTGAACAGGCCGGCTTCGGTCTTCTTCAGTTTCTTACCTTGAAAGGATAAGTATTACTCATGTTAGCCGATGGTTGCTCACCAAATCGTTCAGCGTCTTCGATGGACATCGGGAGGGGTTCTCCGAGAGTTTCAGGCAATAAGAACGCCAAAACACCTGCCGATAACGCCATCAGTCCCATTACAAGGAGTGGGAGGATTTTCATGTAGTCGCCCTGGAATTGTATGAAAGATGACGTCATAAAATGAAAAATGACGTCATAAAATGTAAATATCGAAAAATGGATTGTCTAAAGTGTTAGTTGGAAGAAAATAATTTCGAAAGTCGAAAAATTGAAATAGATCCATCAGAAATAATTTTGAGGAAACTCCTAGCTTGGAAAAAATGACGTCATCAACCCCTATTCAAAGAAAAATGGCGTTCTTGTTTCGAGGTTATTAACTGAAAATTTAACAAGAAATTCATGTTGCCTTTTTTTGAGCTCATATTTTCATCACACCAACTACAAATCTATACAAAACTTTTGAACAAGGTTTTGTTAAGCTCCGCCTCTTTTAAAGATTACTGTAACCGAAATTCAAAAAAATTCGAATTTTTTTCTCCGTCGTCTAAATCGAATGAAACTTTTTTTAAACGGAAGCTAGTAGCAAACTGAACGTTTTTTTTTGTATTTTCACACCGAAAAATTGATATTCATGAACAGAAAGAAACTTCCAGTTCATTGAAAACTTTCTAAATTCGAAAACTGACTAAAAACCTTTGAAAATGGCTTTCAATTTTGAATTAGGTTGAGAATGAAAATGCGAATTTCTCAATTTGGAAAAGAGACTAACAGCTGAAAATGATGAAAAGAAGCCTTTAAATTGCGATAGAAACAGGGAACGAAGTTAATTTTGAAAAAAAGCCGAACTTTTACAAGAATGACGTCACTGATTGCTGACTGCGGAATGTTTTTTACCCTCAGGTTCAACTTTTGATGAAACGTTGCTGAAGTTTACTTGAGGACCTCTTGATTCCAGAACAAGAAAAAAATGTCTCGCAATAAATCTCGTTTTCGAGTAAAAAAGATTCACAAAGTCCGCGAAATAGGCCATTTCTTTTGGCGAGAAATATTTCCCTCGTTCTGCAATCAGGAGGTCCTAAAGTGCACTTTAGCTAGCAAGGTTTCATCAAAAAGTTCACACGGGGGTGAAAAAAACGTTTCCTAGTGAGGGAAACATGGAGTATAGTATGAGCAACATTATCTGGTTTTTTACTTTTGCTTCATCTTCAAGCTCAATTTTTTCTGTTCCTAACTGTAAAAAATGAAATATTCCTGTTAAAAGACATGCATTTTTCGAAACTTACCAATTTGAGGGCAGCAAAACCTCACGAAATTCATTAAACCCACCAATTTGACGATATAAGAAACCGAAAAGCCCCAAGATATTCAAGCAACCCACCAATTTGACGATATGAGGGGCCAAAAGGAGACCAGATCCGGCGACCATGCTGCTCATTCCCATGCCAATTGCCCTGACCACCGTCGGGTACAGTTCCCCGGCAAAAATGTAGATGACTGCGAAGCCGGAACCGACGCCGAACTTGCCGATGAACGAGGTGCTGGCCACCAGCCATGGATAGCCTGAACCTCTTCATTTCTGTGGGAGATGTTCACATTCTCAAGATGTTCGATTTGATTAACGAAGAAAAGGAAATAGTCCTCTGAATGAGACGAAAAACACTAGATGAAGTTTTTTACGCTGATTCTGAACCTTTCTTTGAAAGTTGCCACCGAGCTTCGTGAAAAAAGTTAAAGACATAGGGGCAGTAAAAAACGGTGTTTCAGTTCAAAGCAGTATTTTGTAGAGCTTTTCATTGCGAATCGAACGGTGAACTTGAATTCGTACAGAAGTTGCTAGCTTTAGAGAAAAAATAATTCAAAGTCAGAGAAAGGAAAGTTTGAGTTCCCGCGAAAAGGGCGCTTTGCGGTAAAGTTGCTCCATGGACAACAGGCTTCGCCATTTTTCGCATTTTCGCTTTTTTCTTCGTTTCTTTCAAATTTCAATTTTTTCTGTTCTCACCAAAGTTCTTTTCGTCCCAAAAGCTTTCTATTCATGTATAATTTGCAAACTTTGATTGCAAAATCGCTTTTCTGGTGAAAAATGATGATTTTACACAGGTTTCGATTGGGATAGCAATATTTTGTGTTTTCTTTATTATCGGTGTGTGTTTTTTGTTTTCTTAATCGATTTTTCAGAGTAGAAACCCTTGATTTGAAGCATATAGCCGGTTATTTCTCACAAAATGCGAGTCTTATGAGACGTCCGCAACATCGCGTGATCATTAGGAAAAGAAAAAAATTTAAATTTTTTTATTTTCTTGTGTAAAGACGATGAAATTTGAAGCTCTGCTCTTTTAAATTTCTTGACAAGGATCTTCAGACAAACTGCAACGAGAAAAAAAATCAAAAAATAGTAAAAAAAAAAGGTAAATTATCGAAGCTGATTTCTTACGGATTCATACCGACAAGAGGGCTATTTTTCGGATTTCTCTGTATTTTTGAAAGAATTTTCAAGCTTTACTCAAGCAAAATTCGCATTCCATAAATCGATTTTTGGATTAAAAAACTCTGATTCACCTTCTGGGATAAACATGGCCGAGACGCAGCCGATCCCACAAATCATCATCGTCGACGCAAGAGCCCATCTGAAACTCGGAAAAATTAACTGTCAAACTGAAAACTTACAAAATTATATTATTTATTAAATGGTATTCTTTCACAAAACTCGGGCAAAGTCGGTATGGTGGATAATGGCCGCTAAAAGGGAGAAGCTCAAAAAAGACAACAAAAAGGGAGCAAAAAGGCTGCAAAAAGGCTGCAAAAAGGTCGCAAAAAGGTCGCAAAAAGGCTGCAAAAAGGTCGCAAAACGGCAGAAAAAAGGTCGCAAAACAAATCCCTTTATCGAGCCTTCCCTATTTCTGGGATTTTAAAGGCTCCAGAAATGGTGGAGAAAGGGAGAGGGAGCAAAAATGGTGCATAAGGGCTGAGAAAGTGGCCCAAAAAGGCAGCAAAAAAGGAAAATTTTTATGGAGCCATTTTCACCCTTTCCGACTTTACCTATGAAGTTTGAAAAAAACTCGAATTCACAGAGCGACAGTTTGAATTCCCACCAAAAGCGCTCAGCAGTAAAGTTGCTCTATGGACAAAACGCCATTTTTCGGGTTTTCACTATTTTCTTTTCAATTTTTTTCAGTTGTCAGCAATCAAACCTTCTCCCAGCCTTCTGGAGAATCGGCCAGACCACAAAGTATCCGGGAAGTTCGACGGCGCCGTTGATGATGAAGCTCCAGTAGTCGTCGACCGGCAAGTTCGAGACGTTCAACGTCAGTCCGTTGTAGATGATCGCGATCATTACCCTTCATTTTTCACGTAGACAAAAAACAACTTTAAAAAGTTAGCTAGAACAAGGGACCTGAAGAGATTACAGAGAAGTAAAGAAACTTTTTCTCTGGCGTCTCTACTAACGACGTTTTCTCTCGTTTATTAAAAAAAATACGAGGTCCTACTAAAACCTAGAGTCTATCATTATCACTACAAAATGAAAAATCAAATGGAAAAATTCGAAAACGCTGAGTAAAAAGTTCACGCCTCTGAAGAGATTCCAGAGAAGTAAAGACCCTGTTTTTCTCTGACGTCTCTTCTAACCACGTTTTCTCTCGTTTATTAAAAAAAATACGAGGTCCTACTAAAACAGATAGCCTATCATTATCACTACATAATGAAAAATCAAATGGAAAAATTCAAAAATGCTGCGTTAAAGTTCACGCCTCCGAGGAGACTCCAGAGAAGTTAAGAAACTTTTTTTCTCTGGCGTCTCTTCAATCTTTCCCTTTCTCTCGTTCCGTAGTTTCCAGAAAAATCCCTGGATCCTACAAAAATCTGAAGTCTATCATTATCACTACAAAATGAAAAACAAATGGAAATCCAAAAAAGCTAAGTGAAAGTTCACGCCTCTGAAGAGATTCCAGAGAAGTAAAGAAACTTTTTTTCTCTGACGTCTCTTCCAACCGCCACTTTCTCGCTCACTTATACGAGCTTTCTCAGCCATTTGAAGGGTATGACCCACCATATATAGGTGACGATCAGAGTCTTCTTCCTCAAATTAGGAGTTCGGAAAAGGTCGGTGACATTGTGACTTCTCTGTTGCTCCTCGAGTTCCGACTCGTTTTGATTGTTTTTGAGCTGAAATAATATAGTTCATTCATGGCCGGCTTGTTCATTCACAGCTTTTTCTTATAAAAGAAAAGAATTATCATCTTGCTCGAAGAAAAACTGGGTATAGTCCGTTTTTTCCAGACTTTTCTGCGCCCTCCTCGTCTCTCGATTACCCTCTCATGTTGAAATGCTATTTTCATGTTTCTCTGGCCTCGCCGGTGAGGGAACAGAGAGACGCAGACATGCAAAAACTGTCAAGTCGCGGCGAACGGACTATACTTCATCTCGAAAAATTCAGCAGAATGATCTGCTAAAAATAAAATCCTACAGTAATCTACTCTAGCTTTAATCAATACTTAGGAGCGTCCGAGTGATCCCTATAGGGATTAGAATAAAAAAAGTCCTTATAGAGGTGAAACTGAATTGGCCCCTATAGGGATTTAAAATCTGAAAGATTCCATAGCAATGGTCGACTAGCATGCCCCTATGAGGGCCACTAACTAAACCCCTATAGGGGCCACTCCTGCGAGTTCCAATGTCCCTATGAATTGGCCCCTTAAGGGGAGCATTTAACAAGCCTTTAGGTTTTCCTTATCGGAAAAAAATTGAAATTTTAGCTCTTAAAATTCATATTTTTTGTAGTTTTCAAGAAAAAAACAAACAATAGTGAGAAGTTCCTCAACGTCGACGTCAGTTCTTCCGTTGAGTTTGGCGATTTTCGAAAGTTGCGTTTTGGCCTCTTCCCACCGCCCGACAGAGACCAGCCATCGGGGTGATTCCGGCAGAAAGCTTGAGGAAAATTGAAGATTTTTAGAAAAAGAAAAGCTTACAAATAGTAGCAGAAAAGGACAGCAAACGGGGCGTTGCAGAAGAAAGTCAGCTGGCGCCAACTGGAATACACTTTTGTAAGCTTCTTTCTACAGTATACCACTTCTATCTATGGTACACAACATTTCTCTACAGTTCACTGGCTTTTACCATAGTTTACCGTAGTGTTCTACAGTCTATCGTATCATTTTACAGTCTACCGTATCATTATACAGTATACCGCCTTTTTCTACAGTATACTTACCTTTTCCTACAGTGAATATACTTTTTCTGCAATATACTGCGTACTTCTACAGTATACTGCTCTTTTCTACAGTACACCACTTTTTTTTCCCAGAAAACCGCCTTTTCTTTTACAGACCGCCTTTTTTTACAGCCTACAGCGTCATTCTGCAGTACGCCACCTTTTTCTACAGTGTACCTTCTTCTTCTACAGTATACCATCTTTCTCTAGATTATACAGTGATTTTCTACAGTAAACCGCCATTCTCTACAGTATAACGCCTTTCTCTACAGTATAGCGCCCTTCCCTACAATATACCGTATTAGTCTACAGTATATTACTTTTCACTACCTTTTTATTCTACAGTACAGCTCCTGTTCCTACAGTATACCCCTTTTTCTACAGTACACTGCCATTGCTTACATTACACGGCTTATTCCTACAGTATGCCACCATTTCCTACAGTATACTGGCTTTTACTACAGTATACCGCATTTTTCTAGATACACGCCGATTTTCGTTTGAAACATTATATTTATCATAATTCGCAAACCTCTGGCGGCATTTGGAATGGCTCAACGCGTCGCGATCGCGGTGCGGTTTAGCCGCGATAGGCCGAGCCATTCCAAATGCGACCACCGATCATTTTTCCAGAACAAACCGTCGAATGAACATGGCGACGACGCCGAGAAGAGCCATCGCGGCGCCAAAAAACAAAGAAATCATGAGTCCTGAGAATATTCGGCCCGATTTTCCCATAAATTCCATGCCTAAATATTAACTTGTCATTTGAAAAAGAAGAAAAGGCTTTTTTTCACTTGATTCATTCCTAGTTAAAGCCGAAAAAAATGCAAAAATTCGTCTGAACCTCTTCGTTTTGCACACTATTTCTCTAATACATCAAGTCAGAACTGAATCAACTATTTCAAAAAAAAAAATCTTCTAAGTTCATTCGAATTTTCAACTGTACAAGCTTCATGTATCTGGAAACTATTTAGGAGGTTTTTTTTCTGATTTTTCAAAACCTTCAAAACGAACATATAATGAAGGGAATTTGGAAGAGGGCTGGAAATGGGAGACCCGTGAAGAAACGGAGAATAATGAACGATTCAATGTCCTGAAAACCAAGATTTTATATTTTAAAAAGCTACCTTATTTTGAAAACCATCATTTCTCGAGAATAGGGGCGTTTAAAAAACTTCTGATGAAGCTGAAAAGTGAATTATAAATTGGAAGGCGACCTTTCGTAAGAGTGGTCCCTAAAGAAGCAGCCTTAGGGGCGTTAGAAGATTCCCTCTAGGGACCACTTTACCTCCCCCTAGGGCTTGCAAAAGTGGTCACTCTAGGGGAGCATTCTGGTCGTTTATTATTGCGAACTTTTTGAGAAGAAGCATTTCCATGCGAAAAAATAAAAAAGCGTTTTTTGAATAAAATTGAGAGACCCCTATAAGGACCACTTAAGATTTAGGGGCCTACGAATCAGACCCTCTACCCCTGTAGGGACCAACTGAAATTCGTCCCTATAGGGACCAGTTTTTCGTTTTTTTTTTGTTTCAAGTTATTCCCAGCTCGAACCGCAACGCGTCGAGCCATTCCAAATGCGGAACTTCGAGAAATTGCAAAAAAAAAAATTTTTTTTAAGAAAACGGTCTAGAACAAACATCAATTGATAATGTGACGAATTTAGTCAAGAAATATTTCTGAAACAGGAAAATGAGTTAAAAACCTTGGCGAAAGAATTGGCCGTTCCGCAGATGACGAGAACCGTCAGAATGATGAAAAATGAGCGGCGGCGGCCGAATCTGCAGGAAAATTTCATTTTTGAGAAAAATAGAGACCTCGAAAACCATTAGAAGCAAATAAAATTACCAAAAAAAAAATTGAAAATGAGATCGAAAAGAAGGAAAGTTCAATGATAAAAGACGAAAATTTGAAGCTTTTTCAAAAAAATTTGTTTTTTTAAATAAGTTTTTTTATATTCTATTCCCAAATTCCAAGTTATAGAGGATGTTCAAAAAAATTCGGAAATTCGAAAAATTCAATCAATAATTCGGAAAAAAAGGCTAGATTTCTAAGATTTTCTGAATATTTTTTTAAATAAAATCCCTCTTTTTTTCTTCATTTTTTTAGCCCATTCTGATCAATCCTATATGATAAAAAAATTTCTAAAAAGGCCCAAAAATAAATCAAACTTGTCAGCAATATAGCCGAAAAACGCAGTTGCCAATGAAGCTTCCAACGTAAAAAGAAGTCGTCGAAATTTCCACCCACGCCTGTTTTTTTCGCACACCAAATCGAACTGTAATTTTTGAGAAATACATGAAAAAAATCTCTATAAGCGCCCAAAAAAATCATAATTTTTGAAAAAAATTTTAAAAAAAAATTTTTTTATTTGTTTTTTTACCACTGACAAGGGAGGTCATTTTCACTTTTTGGCTCGGAATTCCCTCAAAATTGGTCAGATTATTCCTTGGTCAACCACAAAAAGATCCTGAAAGTCTCAACCTCAAAATCCCAAAAAGGCCAATTTTACGAATTTTGAGGGTTTCCTTTGGTTTCGAGGTGTCTTTTCTCAAAAATAGAAGAGTTGGGCAGCTTGGGACTCACAGAAGTTTCATCTGATATATCGAGAAGTGTTCTGGCCAATTTTCAAAATATTCCCAACCGCAAAGTGGAATGACTTCCCTTGTGGGGCACCCTTTCCGAGGACGATTTTTTTTCAATTTTTCTCAAAAAAATTGGCTTATTCACTGGTAAATCTTTTTAACCACTTTATTTTTTTATTTCATTTCTTTGTTCATTTCAAGAAAAAAACCAGAATATAATGTACAAGGAAAGGCGGATTTTTTTAATGTGAGCAAGTGCGCTCCAAGGCTAAAGTCAAAAACTTTCAATTGATTTTTTTTGAAAGATTTTTTTCATTCAGAAGGCAGCTTGAAGAAAAAAATACAGATTTTTCAAACAAACAGATTTAAAAATAAGCAAACGCGCTCCAACGAAATGGCCCACAAAATCAATAAAGAGGCGTGTCCAACCAATAGAAAGCTCAGTTTTTCATGGCGCATTTGTAAAATCAACTATCTTAGAGAGAGTAAAGCCCTTTTACGTCACAAAATGCATGTATTTTTTGACAAAATCAATTTTTATTTCGAAAAAAATCAACCTCAGTGACCAAACTGTCCAAGTAGGTGTCGTTGGCGTAGTCCCAGCCCATTTCACACGGTACGACGCTCAAGTGGTCCCTTAAGTAATCAGAATTTCAAAAAATCGTTGAAAAACATAGTATAGCCCGTTCAGATTTTGAATGTCAAGTCGTCGCTCAAGCTCCGCCCCCTAATGGTGCGATAAACCAATCAGAGAGCGAACCATCCACAGAGTTTTACTGAATGTCGTCATTGCACTTCATTTAAAGTCTGGACAGACTATATAGTCCATTCAGATTTTGAATGTCAAGTAGAATGACGTCATTCGAAAAAGTCTCTGTGGATGGCTCGCTCTCTGATTGGTTTATCGCACCATAAGGGGGCGGAGCTTGAGCGACGACTTGACATTCAAAATCTGAACAGACTATAGATCCTAGAATGCGCGTCAGCGAATCATTTTTTAAATGCCCCATCATTTTTTCAACTTCTCGGACCACGGTAATGCAAATCGGACGCGCTCACGTTTGTGAGCACTTCTAGGGATCACTTAAGAGTTCGGAGGCTACTAAAGTGGTCACTAGAAATGCCGGGACGCATCCGGTTTGTATTAGCGAGATCCGAGTTGTTTTTCCAGCTTTCAAGCGTGAAACCCCGATTTTTCATTAGAGCGCACTTGTAGGGTCATTAATAGCCTTTTCTAACCGAAAAGTATCGATTGGAGCTGAAGTAAAAGTTCGGTAGAGCTCAACTTGCGAGTTGTTGTACTGGAAACAGCTCGTGATTTTCTGAAAATGTTTTAAATGGTTTTTTTTCAATTTTCTTCGAAGTGAAGCAGAAAGTCATTCAAAATGCATCCTAGAACTAATTTTCAACTCATCCAAGTTCAAAAAAAAAAAAACAGAAAAGCCTTGCCAAAACTTAGATCTGCATTTGGAATGGCCTTTTTTCAAAAACGAACGGAAAAATCCAAACAATGCGTTTTCTAAATGGAGCCTTTTTAATCTCTTCTCGAAGAAAAACTAAAAAGGCCATTCCAGATTTAGATCTGCATTTGGAATGGCTTTTTCATTGGACGAAGTTTTGCAAAAGAATCGCAACCCTTTTAGTTCATTTTCAGCTACATCAAAAGCCGATCTTAGACTTAGATGTGCATTTGGAATGGCTTTTTGTGAAAGCGTAGAAAACGGATCGCTGAAAAATTAAACTCGTTTATCAGATAATCCGTATGCAAAACGAGAAAGAAAGAGCTGGTCCTAGACTTAGATCTGCATTTGGAATGGCCTCTCATACGAAACCGGATCATCAGTCTCCGGTCGAAGAAACTCGGCGCCATCCGGCAGATGACACTTGTGAGCTGGAGCTCCGACGACGAACGGCTGGTTGAAGGCGGAAAAAGCCGAGGGAAGACTCGCCGGCAGACAAATGACGAAGAAGAAGACGATCTGGTAGGGACCGAAGTCGCCGACCTTCAACGCAACATTGAACATTTTTTGACTGAATATAGTCAATCCTTCACAAGTTGAAGATTGACAAGGGTGAAGTTGAGAAAATCGACTATGTGGTCTTTATAAAACTTCATGAATTTCATGGAACCCAGTAGTTTTTTGATATGAGAGGCCAAAACAGGGTTTTAGCAAGAACCTAGTTTTTCAAGAGTTCCTGGCCACTTAGGGGTTTAAAAAACAGATTTTCTTAAGAGAAATTAATAACATACTGGAAAAGTTTTTAGTGGCCACTATAGTAGTCAAATTAGTGGCCACTTAAGGGGTAAAAAATTAGTGGCCACTATAGGGGTCGAAGTGCTACTACTAGACCGTTTCAAATCTTAGTGGCCACTTTAGGGGTCAATGGATCAAAATAACTGGTCCAATCTGTTTGTTTCGAAATTATCAGAGTTCCTGGAAGGAATACGGGATGAAAAACTACTGAAGCGGCCACTAAAACGGAAAATAGTGGCCACTTTAGTGTCCTCTCCAAGTAGTCCTTGGCCAGCCTCTATGGTGGCCACTAGAAATTTTCCCAGATCAAGAAAGGGAAAAACGTTTCCAATTAGCCATGGAGCACACTTTCATCAAACTCTTGCGGCTCTTCTGTCCAGTTTACTTTCTTCAGACCTTTCTGAGGACTATCACAAGCTTATTTTTTTCAAATACCCGCAATTTCTATTGCCCCTATGTCTCGAAAAAAATTTTCTTTCAGGTGCGTTGCGGTCGCGTCGCGGCTCTCACCTCCGACAAAACACTGTCAAAATCGTGATGTTTCGAGGCGGAGAGCAGGATTTGCGCACTGATGTCCACTAGTTGATCCTGAATTTTCCACCTTTTTTGGATTTCCGGGCACTTTTCTACAGTATCTATTCCACTGGGAACTTCTCAAAAATAGTAATTTAGGAAAAAAATAGGAAAAAGAACCAATAAACTTAAGAATATTTTTTAGCACTCGTTATCCGTGGAGCGAACATACTCCAAGCCAAAATTTTCGCCTGATTTTTTTCCTAAACATTTCTGAAATTTTCCTTATTTAAAAACCCTCTAGTGATCACTTCTTTCCGGATCGGAATTGTCGGAAATCGCTGCATTTCCATTCAGAAACATTCAACTTTTGAAAAACTCTTTTCAAATTTTTCTCATTTTTGATCGATAAAAAGTTTCTTTCTGCTTCTCACGAAACTCTCCAGTAGTTATTTGGAATATCTTATTATAATTATATATTTAGAGATTATAATATATATTTCTTATTGACAAATTGTATTCAGTAGAAATCCCAAAAATTCCCGAAAAAAACCCACCATTTTTTTTTTACAAAAGTGTTCTAGATGATAATATCAGTTCATAAACAGCCAAAGCAAAGAAAAATCAGGATGGAAAAAAGGTAGAAGAAGCAGAAATGAAAGAAAAAGGCGATCCACTCGAGAGCCGAGGGCGGCAAATTGCCCGCGGGCCATCCTATCAATTTCTAGTCAAGTCTTTTTTTCGCCTTCTGAGTTATCTTCATATTTTTTTCTGCAGAACTTCCAGGGAACTGAAATTTCTTTTGAAAACGTTCTGAAAAATGAAGAAAAATTCGGCTAATTTGGTCTTTTTTTTTCCTTTTTTCAGCAAAAAATTCTCAAGTTGGGATATTTTTGATCAAGATTTCCTCCAATATGCCACCTCTAAACTTCAGATTTTCAAATGAAAGTTATTTAAAAATAATTTTGACAGAGATTTCGGCTCTAAAAGCGAAATTAACAGAGCATATTAAAGGCGCAGGCCGCCGTATTGCCAGCGGTCTTTGAGACGAGTTTTCTCTAGATAGAAGCAATTTTTTCTGCGTGAAAGCGGCGCAGTGCATGCACAAGACACACGAAACTTTACGGAGAAAAAGTGGGCGTGGCTTCGTTGAAAAAACGCCGCGAAACGAATAAAAAATTGGAATACGAATTTCAGGTGATATTTCCGAGAATTTGCCTGTAAACCAATTTTTTTTTGTCCGAAATTAAGAAAAACTAAAGAAAGTCTTAATGACCGCACTTAAAAAGTGTCGAAAGTTACAGAAAAACTTTTTTGAAGATAAAAGAATCAAATGAAAACACTTCATAAAATGAGATTTCGTTTTTTTAAGCTTCGTCTGAAACATAAAAAGTGCGGTGCACCCACAAAAAAAGTAAAAAAATAAAATGCGGAGAAGCAAAAATATTTCTTTCAAATATAAAAACCAAGGTTCTCAAATTTCTAATTTTTTTCTGAAGTAAACTGGGAATCGGTCAAGCCAAGCGACATATTGAGAAAAAAATATATAAACCATTTATTAATTTAACAAGAGATATTTTTAAAGCAAAAAATAGAAGAAACCCAAAAAAAGATGGCAAAAGGCGGCAAAGGAAGATCACATCAGGGTGAAAAAATGAATTGAGAACCGTTGATTTTTAAAGTTTTTGATTAAGTAACAAGGTGAGATTGGGACGAAAAATAGAGGTAAATTTACAAGGTATCTGGAAAAATTGTGCTTTGAAAATGACTCTAGCTTCATCGACTAAAAAAATCATTTTATTTTTTTCTTAATTATTTTTAGAGATGTGTTTTTTTTTCTAGAATGTTAATCATTAGGAATGAAAAACTTGTTCAAAAATACATGTTTTTGGTCCCCTCAAAGTCTCTCTTAGTCTCCCTTAAGGTCCCCTTGATGTGCAAATTCTCAGGCCAAGATTTTTTTTTAGTTTTTCAGAGTTCGACAGAATTTTCCTATGCTCCAGAAATAACCTCGGAACTCGAATTTTCCAAGCAGTGTTCGGAAAAATCGATTCTTCATCATTTTTCGCGGATACATTTTAAAAATGTATTGAAGGGCGCTCTATGGACAAAAAAAAATATTTTCTTCGTCCATGTCACTTTTTTTTAAGGAAAATTCGTTTTCAATGTTAAATTCTGGCTGCAGAGACGAATTTTAGGCTCAATTTTGATTTTCTTTTTTTTTGCAAAAAAAGGTCCATGAAGCGCAAATAGATAGATTTTCAATGTCAAAGCATGAAAAGGAAAAAATTTTGATATTTGTCCTACCAGAAACCAATTATTTCCAGATATTTGGAAGCGAACACAAGTGCGCTCCACGGACAAAACAAAAATCAACTTTTTAGTTCATCTAATTATTTTTTCAAGGCGTTTGGGAAACAAATTAATAACTACAGACACGAAACTCAGGCTCGATTTTTAAGTGAAAAACAGCAACTTGTCCATGGAGCGCAAAAGGTGAACAATTTTTTTCTGGTTCAAAGCCGGGTTCAAAGCTCAATTTTCAGGAACACAAAAAAGGGACAATAATTCCAGAAAATGAAAAATCTAGCTGAAAGTCGATGTCTTCGTAGTCGTCGTAATCGTAGTTGCCGATGGGGTCCTTCTCGATCCAGGCCTCCGTCGATTCTTCGTTCATCTTCTTCATTTTGTCGTCCATCCGGTTGACTTTCTGCTCGACTTCTTGGTCGACCGTTTTCCACGTCGTTTTCTTGGCCAATTCCTTCTCGGCTGTTCGTTTCGCCTGGTCGTTTTGTCTGGAAAGGCAAAAATGGAAATTTTGCTGTTTTTTGGAAGAAAACGGCTTTTTTTGGGGTCCTTATAGGGTCACACTTAGACCTTGGCGTCAATTTGACATTTTTCAGCTCCTCGAGTGTCTGCGTCTCTCTGTTCCCTCACCGGCAAGGTCAGTGAAACGTTAAAATAGCACGTCAACATGAGAGGGTCGGCGAGAAATGAAGAGGGTACAGAGAAGTCCCGTCCTAATTTCGCTTCAAAACCCGTTTCGCAGTTTTTCAGCGCGTCTTGAAGCGAAAAGCGCAAACAAAAGCGGTATTTACGGTAACTTTTATGTTTTGGTTTATAAACGTCTACTTTTTTCACTTTCAAAAAGCATGGTCAAAGTATTACCAGGTATCAGTTATCAATGGAGCGCACATAATGCTGAGCAGGTTTTCATAAAACTTAATTTTTGAATATTCTTCTGTAATGCTAGTTTGGAACATAAAAATTGGGACATTCTTTCTCTGATTTTCAACTTTTTTTCCTTCCTCCAACTCAGGCGCTTAGGCAGGATAGGCGATCCGAGCTTGGACCTCATTTTTGCAAAGAACCTTGGCTTGGGCCTCGAAAAATTTAAGCAAAATGCTTTTAACTCATGAAATCGAAGTTTCTGTTGGAAAAAACGTGATTTTCGCTGCGAAATAGTCTGATATTCGACTGGAGAAGTTGCAATTTTCGGGCTCCCCTTTTTGTTGAGGGCCTCCCTAAGGCCGGCCCGGGCCGACCCTCACAGAATCCCAACCAAAACTCACGCTTTGGAAGTCCGTGCAAGGTCTTCAATGCGAGCCTGGACGATCAGATCCAACTTGGTCTTCATTTCCGGGTTGTACTTGCTCAACGTCGGCAGCATGGTTACCTAGAAAGAAACTTGGACTTGAGGGAATAATCAACAAGGCTATAGTTGTTCGTATCTAATAATAGAGCTCACAAAGTGGCTGTCCGTCGCATTGGCGACGTAGAATAAGGAGTCCTCGACGTCGGACCACTTGGTCTTCGGAATGAGACTGTCGCCGGACCGGGCGTTTCTGTCACCGAACGCGATGCTGCCCACCGTCAGTTGCGGCATGTACACGCCACTGAAAATGATCAACTTTTCCTGTTTCAAAACTGGGGTAAGTCACATCCAAAATTCCAAAACCCCTGATATCCACCGATGGCTATTTCTTCCCAACAAATGTGCTCCACCGCGAAATTTTTTTGAAACACGTTGCTTTCAATATCAATCCATACGTCGGTTGGATCCCACCCCCGCTTTTTGCACGCGAAAAAAAAAAATTCGAAAATGTACTGAAGTAGGCCGCACTTTTCGTGGGTAGGCCGCACTTTTTGGGGGGTAGGTCGCAGTTCGAGGGGGGTAGGTGGCACCCTGGGATCCAGCCGACGTATGTATCAATCGCTATCGATTTAAAAAAAATCATATAAAACCACATTTATAACGTCATAACTTCTCAAAATTTTGTAAAATTCTATATTTTGTTCTGGGAATTTTCCAATTTTTTCACACTTTCAGTTCCATAAAAGCGGCTTAACCCTCACGCATTCTTAAAAAACCGTCTTACTTTCTAGCTACGCCTATAGAAATCGATATTGCTCAGAAACTCGTGTTATGTAGTCGGAGGCTATTTCTTCTCGAAAAGTGTGCTCCACTGAGAATTTCTTCGAAACTCGTCCTTTTCGATTTTTACCACTGTTTATGTTCACTAATACCCATTTAAAACTGCAATAACATTTTCAAAACTTCCCAGGTTTTCGAAAAAACCCAAAAAATTTATTTTGTGAGTGTTTTCAAATTTCTCCCACTTTCAGTTCCATAAAACCGGCTTAACCCTCACTCATTCTTTAAAAAAACGTCCCAATCTCTAGCCACGCCTCTAGAAATTGATATTGCGCAGAAATTCAAGTTAGGCAATCGAAGGCTGTTTCTACTCAGAAAGTGTGCTCCATCGCGAAAATTCTTTGAAACTCGTCATTTTCGATTTTTACCAATCTTCATGTTCACTAATACCTATTTACAAAGACAATCATATTTTCGTAAAACCCCAACTTTTTTGTGAAATTATCAAAATTCTACTTTTCTCTGTTCCATAAGAAACTGACGCGTGCTTATAAACCCGTCCCAAGTTCTTGCTGCACTTGCCACAGTTGATATTGCACAGCGGGATCGTGTCGTCATCGATCCATTTCGTCTTTTTTATCGGTTCAACTCCCTGAAAATCCCTTTTGAAACGATTTTTTCTTGATTTTCTACCGCTTCAATTCGAATTTTCGACCAAATATCTTCGTCCACGACCACATAATTGCTGTAGATCTGGATAAAAACTTGCAATTGATCCATAATTTTTTGATTTTATTCAACCTTTTTGATGCAATGGCTCTCCGTAAGGAAGAAGTTGCACTCGCCGCACAAAACTTTGTACCTAAAAATGTCTTTTTTTTCATTTTTTCATTATAAACTTGTACAGAAATATCACAAATCACCAAAAACATTTTTAAAATTTTCGCGGATTAAATCTGAAAATATCTGGCTATTTTTCCGATCACAGTGTTGCTAAAAAGCTTGGAAAAAAGTCCTGGAATTTCAAAAAAATGAATTTAAAGTCCATTCATCGCGAATTGACACTTCTCGGATGTCTGCGTCTCTCCTTCCCTCACCGACGAGGTTAGAGAAAAATGAAAATAGCACGTCAAAATGAGATGGTCTGAGAAGTCCCAAGTCGCAAAAAACGGACATTTTCCTGGGCTATTTTAAGATTCATTCGATTTTTTTCAAAAATATTTCCTAGAAAAATTATAGCCGCGGCTATTTTTCCATGCGAAAACCGACATTTTATCCTTGTTCATGGCCATTTTTTCCTTGGCCTCGAGCTCCCGTTGCTCTCTTTCTCGTCTCAGATTCAACTGCTCTGCTTGGACCTTGAAATTTCGCAATTATTCTGGGAAAAGTCCCGATCAAAGTCCCAACTTTTTGCGCCAAATGCTTGGGCCCATTCTTCTGGATCGTGCTGACACAGAGATTCATCAGCCGTTCGGCGATCAGGGCGTCGTTTTCCTTCTCGTGGACATTTCCCGTCACGGCAAGGAGGACTGACCTCGATCCGTAGGCACGAGCACGACCTCAAAAGTATGCACGTTTTCGAGGAACTTAGGACTTTGAAAAATGAGAAGGAAATCTGGAATGACGATGAATCAAGAAATTGATTATAATCAGACAATTTCTAAGCATACATGGGATAGTCTCGGTGGGACCTGAAAAAGGACAGGGGGGCTTGGCTGTCGTCAGTCATACTCAGAGATTCATCCCCTTGACTTTATATTTTTTTCTCAACAAACAAAAAAATAAACTTTTTCAGAAGTTTTAGAGGGATTTGGACGAAGGAAAACGGAAGAAAAATGGCAAAAAAACTAGACTGGGATTCAAAAAAGGCGCTGGAGCTTATTCAGGTTGATTTTTTTGCAGAAATTAAAAATATGGTCTATATTTTATGATGCATCGTAATTTCAAATTTTGAACAGGTTTTCGACAAGAAAAATTTTAAAGTACATAAATCTTTATAAATGAGCAGTTTCTAAGTCTGATCTTCTGATCTTAAAGTCATTTTCGTAAATCACTTGTGAGTCATTTTCTAGGACCCTACCTCTCCTCTGAATCAAGGAAATCGCGTTTCCAGAGCAATTGTACTTGATGATGAGGTTACAGGCGGTAACGTCCAGACCTTCTTCCACCACGGAAGTCGCCACAATCGCCTATAGAATCTTCTTTTTTTCTTGTCATTTTCTGAGACAGACTTTGAGTTTTCCGGAGTTGAAGCTGTGAAGGACGGCGGCTTGTTCAGCCGGGGACTGTTTCGCCAGATTTCCTTGGGTGTTGCTCGTACCTGGGATGATAATGATAATTCCTTGTAGAGCCTGAACTTCGATTCTCATTCTGAGGCTTTCACTGATACATGGTCAAGCGAAAAACTCAACTCGTCCGGGAGGAGGGGTTGACTTACAAAAATATTAAAAAAATGAGGTCAAAAAATAAGTTTCAACCTCAGAAGGTAGTAATGACAAAAATATAGTTAAGTTTAAACTTCAGGAGGTACTGACTTTCATTTAAGGATACTCGGGAGGAGGGGTTAATGACTTTCAAAAATGGTCTGCCCATGAATACTACCACCTAAGAGCAGGTCTCCGGGCTCCAGCCGAAGATCAGCTACATTCTGAGCTCGTCAGGGCGCTAATGGATGGACTAGCGCGGAAGAACTAGGCGAAGGACCGTAAGACCATGCTCTCAACTTGATCAACTACACGATTGGACTTCTAGTTCGCCAATGGCGGTTGTCAGTTATAGGTTCGAAAATTCTTGTTCACCGCCTAGTTTTTCTTCTCATACTCAATTTTTGACTGTTTTTCCGAGGTTACACATTCCCGAGGGTTCACTTAAGTGCCACAGGAAGAAATTTAATTTCTTTTTTGGAAATGGTACAAAGAAATCCCAGAAAACGTTCGCTCCTTACCTAGAAGTTGTCTTTTGCAGTGTATTTTTGTATTCTCTTCTTTTCTCTACACTCACCGAGGACGAATCCGAAGGGATCGCCTTCGTTGGGACCGCGCAAAATATTAGAATGGTTGAGGAAGTCGCAGACGCGAACCGCCGTCGCTCGCTGCTCGACGAAAATGATCGCGCGCGAGTTCGGATCTTTGGCGAACTGCGTCTCGAGCTCTGTCTGAACAGAACTGGTTTTTCGAATCCAAATGACTCCAAAAAAACCAAAAAGATTGTGTTTTTCTACTATTATAGTCAATGTTTCCCGACTTGAAAGGCGAAGGAGGCGGGGCAAGGGTGGGACGCGTAGCGTGTGCGTTCGCGGTTCTTGACGCCAGTTCAATTCAATTGCCGCCGACTATTTCAAAAGCTCGGAAACCGCTCTTTCTCTGTATTTTCTACTAATTTTTGATGCACAAATTAACATAATCAATAAATAATTAAAAAAGAAGCGTAAAGAGCGATAAATGAGCTCTCTGAATGCTCGCTGGCAGTTGAATTGAACTCGTGCCAAGAACCGCGTACGCACACGCTACGCGTCTCGCCCCTTGCCCCGCCTCCCTCGCCTCTCAAGTCGAGAAACATTGACTATAAGTAGTCTTGATCAGTGCGTTTTCGTGACTTGTACTGTCAATGAATGTTTACATATATCTCAGACATTCCGGGAAAGAAATTAGTGGCTCCTTGAGTGAAAATTAGAGTAACCTGTGTTCCTTACAAAAAGCAAAAAAATAGTCCAAAATAGCAAAAAATTAGCTAGAACCTTCATTTACAATTTCTCAATTAAAAACTTAATTTTAAAAAAATTCAGAGTATAAAAATTTTTCCTTCTAACTAACTTTCCCGAATAAACGCTTCTTTTTAAAAAAATTTCGAAAAATGGATTTTGATCTGTACCATTTATGTTCAAATTATCTTCGAAAAAAATTTTTTTATTTTTTTATTGAAAATTTCATTATGCACTCTCTTTTTTTCAAATATCAGGATCTTCTTATTTTAAAAAAATACCACAATAATTCCGTTACTTCAATTGAAACAAAAAAAGCCTGAAATTACCCAAAAAAATTTTTTTTTCGTTTTTTTCTTTGATTCCCACGCGATTCTAACGATCCCCAACCGCTTTTTCCTCAGATAAATTTTTGGAAAATCCTCAAAAAAGTCGGGAAGAACTACGAAAAAGATACCTTGAGTCTTCTGACGATCTCCGGATCTCCGCCTTTTTGTTGAATCATAAGAGCGTAACTCTTTTTGTTTTCTAAAATGTTTGAATTCTTGATTTTTGATTCAAAAAATTCAGAAAAACTCATGAAAGCATCATGAAGGTCAGGCATATCGTATTTATGAAGTTCGTCGACTTGGCTCGTCAAAAACGAAAAAGCGACTTCGGAAGGCATCACTTCCAGAATGTCCCGGGTGTTCAGATAGGCCTGCAAATCAACTCGGGGAATTTAAAGAGTCGTCTATTCTATGCCGTGTACAAAGTAATTCCGCGAAGTTCAAAAATAGCCGTCAGGGAAAGAAAAAGATAACTAAATTTTGGAGAGTCAGAGATAATTTTGCATTTTGCGGAAATTACTTTGAACACGGCATTAATAAAAAAAATGTCATCATTTCGAAAAATTTCAAATTTAGTCCGTTTTTCCCAACTTGAAAGGACTTCTCTGGGCCCTCCTCGTCTCTCGACGACCCTCTCATGTTGACGTGCTATTTTCTCGTTTCTCTGACCGGCGAGGGAACAAAGAGACGCAGACACCCGAGAAAATTACAAATTTTTCACAAATTTTACGTTTTTGAAACAGAAATGCGTGAAAAGAAAAATGTAGATGTCATGAAATTTTTTGAATTTCATTTAACAAGTGAGAATTTCATAAAAATTGGCCAGAACTTTTTTAGATGAAAAAGCTAAAAGTCCTGAAAATCTCACTTCCACAACTTTCCAGTTTCTCAAGAAACCAGGGCTGTAAGACTCAAAAAGGCCCATTTTTTCTTTCATTTTCTCGTACACTTATCTCATCAAAAATAATAAGGCCAATTTTCAAAAAAACCGCCGAGTTGAATATTACTCCTTATCAGAAAAATTCCTAGAAAGTCAGCAAAAATATTCCCGCCGCCGAGAGGAGTCGAACCTGAGACCCTGCCCCACCTTCAAGTAGTTGCACATGACGGACGCCTTGAGTTTCTCCGTCGAATGGAGTTTGTTGAGGTTCTGCTGGACGGTCATCAGCCAGATGTTCAACATGAACGGATTAACTTTGTTCGCCTTCCAGTTGAATTTGTCGAATCGACGCGACTGGAAGGAGAATTCGCGGTGGACCTTGGAAAGTCGTTTGCATTCTTCCAGAAGTTTCGCTTGCGTTTCTCTGGAAATTTCAGAGATCAGAAACTGTGAAAAATGCCACTAGAAATAACTGCCTAGTCCGGCGCGAGGTCTGTGGCGGTACATTGGCGACATCGCAGATCGCTAATTTCTTGACGCGATCTCGCGATTCTTTCGCTTTTCTCACGCACCCAAAGATAAATTTGAAAATTTTCAAAACGTCAAAGCGCGCCAAGTCAAATGCAATCCCGTCGCGGCCACAATGCAGGACTTTCGCGATGTCGTTAGTGCACCGCAAGCGATATCGCGTTCATCTCTCTTTGTGACGAAAGAAACTCGTTTTCCATTTCCAAAGGGTACTGTATGTGAAAGAAAGTTCTTCAATCTTTCGGAATATCGCAAAAAAATTCTTAGACCCAAAAAAATTAAAGTTTGGATTTTTGAAAAAAATGACCTCAAAATATTTTTTGTAATGTTCCTTAGGTCAGAACTGAATAAAGGTTGGGAAGAAAAAGTTTGAATTCCCGCTAGAAGCGCATATTGCAGCAAAGGTGCTCTATTGACAAAACTCGCTTTTTTCGCTTTTTTTCAAAAAATTTCTATGTCGTCCATTAAAAAAAGAGCTGTGAATAAGTTGCCATGAATAAAGATTACGGTAAGCAACTTTCTGTACACCAATCCTTCCCCGTTTTGGCGCGAAAATTTAAATTCCGAAAAAGAAAGACTTTTTGTACTTTCTCTAGCTGCACGATACGTGACTATCTCAAAACTCATGTTGAAAACAAAAAAAAGAAATCAAAAAATGACATGATCAATCGATCGACGGCGTTGTGGAAATGACTGTCGTAATCGGCAGTACATTTGATGACTTCTGAAGGAAATGTTCTGGGGGGAAAGCTGGGAATGGGTTCGAACCGTCGTCCGGCTTGGGGACGTGTTCCTCCAGGATCGAGAGGTTCATCGGGTCCTGGACGGTGCTGAGCTTCTCGGCGTTGAGTTTGGCCATCAGTTTGTAGATTTGGGACAGCATTACCGACTGATCCGTGAGGCTGGTCGCGGCCAAGGAAGCCGTCATTCCGAGGATCTGTGTGGTTGAATATCAGAAAGGCAGAAACGTTGATTCTCTAGTAAGGCTCGAACTTTTTTGATTTCATGAATTCTTTGCATACATACAAACCTGAGGCTTTGGTCCTTTGTAAACGTCGATCATCTCGAGAACTTCAGCATAGGCATGACTTCCGGTCGTTTTGTGGACCTCGTCGATGATTAACATCGAAATGTCCGCAATGTACAGACGTTCCTTGGCTCTGGCGTTTCTCAGCATGTTTCTGAAGGATCCGCTACTTTTTTCTCTATTCTAATCTGAGCTTAAAAAATATATGATTCTTGAATTGGAGTTATTTCTGTGACTGAGGCTTGAAGGGGAGATATTCGAACTCACCAGGGAACCTTTTTTACCCCCCGGTTGGACTTTTGCTGAAACTTTGCCGATGTGTACTTTAGGTCCCCCTGATTGCGGATCAAGAAATAAAATGTCTCGCAATAGATCTTGTTTCCGAGTTATGAAGCTTCAAGGTGTGCAAAATACGCAAATTAAGCCAAAAAAGCGCTATTTTGGGCTTTTGAAGCGTCCTAACTCGAAAACGAGATCTATTGCGAGAAATTTTCTTTCTTTTCTGGAATCGGGGGGTCCTAAAGTACACTTCAGCAAAGTTTCCGCAAAAGTTCAACCAGGGGGTAAAAAAGGTTCCCTAGTCAGCCAAAAGAACAACATTTAGTGCGCCTAGTCTCATTCAGAAATCCCACTGTGAGCTCAGAACATTTCTTGGTGAAATGCGTTATTTGAGTCATTGGAAAAAATTCAAGAAAATTCCACACTTTTCAGCACGTTTTAAGGAAGTTTTTTTTTGACCAATCCACCTTGTTTCTTCATCAGATCACTTGAAATGACACATTTTCACAAACAAAATCTCTAACTATTTCCCTTTGAACTCACAACAAGATCTGCGGAGTCATGACCACAATATGAGCGTCCAAAACGCCGCGAGTCCTTTCGGAGCCTCGTTCGCTCTCCGATCCGTGGAACCCGTCGACCAGGTACTTTCCTTTGCAGTACTTCTGGAATCGCTCTTTCTGCTGGAGCACCAGCACGATTTTCGGGACAATCATCACTACCTACAAAAAATGAAAGTTTTGTCTTTTAATAGAAGCGTCAATCCAAAACATCAAAAACGCTTTTCAAAAATCTTTTTTTTCAGTTGGAATCAGCGAGGGCCGGCTCGTGAGCCTATAGCCCCCCTTATCAGCCATTTTTTTCCAAGCCCGGCTCAAACACTTTTCAAGTCGAATATCAAGCTTTTTTTACGAGAAAAGTGATGTTTTTGCTTTTACATAGAGTTATCAAAAACTATGATTCAACTTTTCGGTGAACATTTTTTTGATATCATTCAACTTCGAAGCCCGGCCTGGCCCGAGCCCCCAAAGCTTTTTCTGAAAAACAGAGAACCAAAGCCCGCTTGACGCACAAGCCTGGTTGGAACGTTTTGGAAAAAGGAATGAAGTATTTTTTTCAATTCTAAAGCTTGTTGGGTCGGTGGTTGAACCAGAATTTCAGTCTTTTGCAGTTTTCAACTCACCCTGGAGGCTAGTTTCTGCTCACTACGTCGATCGATATGATTTTTGGCGGCGTAGATGGCGACTTCCGTCTTACCGGCGCCGGTCGGGGCGACCACGATCGTATTTTCGCCACGGAGCGCCGGTTGAACCTTCAAAGTCGTTGAATTAATCGAAAATGACATTTTTTGCCTGCGAATCATGATTATTAAAACTCCTGAAGTTTTACCAATTCCTCCTGGTAAGATCTCAACTGCAACTCGGCCCGTTCGCCATCAGCATCTGGAAAAAATTATTGGAATATTTCCGAAATTAAAAGAAAAAACCTGGCAAATTATCGACGACGCTCTCCCGCTGCGGCCTCAACTCCGTGACCTGGAGAAAAATATTTATTTACTAAACAAATAAAAATTTTAAAAAGTCGCATTTTTCGCCTAAACTTGCGTGAAACACTACAAGAATGATGAAAAAAAAACTTAATTTCCCTTTTTTTTCAAGAGAAAACCTGAAGTAAGGTATTGAAAAAACAACTGGATAAGCGCAAAAAAAGCCTTATTTTTTATTGCGAATTCATCAAACGATTAAATAAAAAAATTGAATTTTTCTTCAGGCAAAACAAAGAAAGATTATCTTTTTTTCATTTTCTCAATTCTGCAGAAAAAAACTTATTTTTCGAACTTATAGCACAAAAATTATATTTGAAAAACATTTTTCAAAAAAATTTTCAAACCCTAAAAAAACCGACCCAAAAAAAAAACCCAATTTTTAGACCTTCACGCCTCGAAAATTCGAAGGTAGACATCATTGAAAAACATTTTAAAAAAACTATAAAGGCCTTTTTTTGATTTTGTGAAGTATACCTTATTACTCAGCTCAAATGGTAATTCCTTCTCAAATTCCTGTATGAAACTTTTTTTTTGCGGTTTTTTTTTCCGATTATTCACCTCATTACTGAGATCAATGGCGTCTTCCACCGGCAAATTCGCATTATTTCCTTGCTTCTGAAGACGTCTTTCGGCGAGTTCCGCAGTTTGGCGACTTTCTTAAAACGAGGGAAGGACTTGAATCTTGCAAAAATGATTCACAAAGTTCAAAAAAATGCAAAAAATTTAAAGAGATCGCAATATTTTCCTTTTCTTGTCTAATCACATTCTCTAATGGTAAGCTAAAAAGTTGGGCGAACAAATTTTTTTCTTTTCAAAGTTTTATAAATCCTTATCACTTTGAAAGTCGTTTTTGATACCTTAAAACTCTTTTCAAAAATGATCAGTCAACTGCTTCAAATAACGAAGAAACCCCCAAAGTTTGAAAATTTTAAGCAATTTTTCTTCAAATGTCACCTTAAATATGAATTTGTCACAAAGTTTTTCCCCTAAAGACCCGAAAAACCGACCCAAGTCAGCTTCCCAATTTTCGTGGAGAACCATCAAAACGGCTCGATTGTACGGATCCCGGCTCATTGCGTAAATCAGGTTATAGTACCTAAAACATGCAAAAAATGGCTAAAAACGGAGCGTTTTGTGCGCCCCATGGATAAAATTTTCTTCATCATGTTTGAATTATTTAAAATACTGAAACTGGACAAAGATACTCTCTTATTCAAATCAGGATATGCACCTAAAAAAAAAAATGAAAAATAGCTACAAGGAAAGCGATTAGTGCGCCCCATGGATAAACCCATTTTTATCAGGCTTGAAAAGCTGAACATGAAAGAGGATAATTTCATAATTAAATCAGGATATGGTACCTAAAAAACAGTGTAGAAAATAGCTACAGTGAGAGAAGCATCTGCGCCCCATGGAGAAAAAAAAACAAACCAACGATCGTTTCTGAAATATGCACATTTGTGAGCCGGGAGCATTGGCAGATTGGCCAGCAGCGAAAGAGAACTGCAAATTAAATATTGGGACTGGAAATTGTCAAAATCCCTTAGTTAGAGGTATCAATCCATATCAATCAATAACAATCAATAATCCTTTTTTAAATGTATTCAATCAGGCGATGAACCACAGTGATAACAAAAAGCCCGAAACTAGAAAAGCGGTTAAAAATGATACTTTTCGTCGATTTTTAACGAGTTGGTCGCATTTGGAATGGCTACTCTGAGATGAGACGCAACCGACCACAAAGCGACTTTCGCGCGCGGCCATAAAAACCCCCTTTCGTTCAGAGTAACTGCAACGCGCTCATTCCAAACGCGGCCAGGTGACTTCGTGAATGAAGTATAAGATATTGAAAAATGTAGAAACCGATAAAGAAGTTTTTTGAATGTTATGAAGTTTAGGACCTATGATTCCAGAAAAAAAAATCTCCCGAATTTTTTCGACATAAGCCGGGGAATGTCTCAGGATTTTCCAGAGTGGTCCCAATAGGGGATAGGGGAACGAACAGCCCCATAGTGGTCGAAAAAGTGGTCCTTATAGGGGTGAAGTTATGGTGGTCACTATGGGATTCAGTGTCTGACCCCTCAGCCCTTAAAGTTCAAGTAGTCCCTAAAGGGGTCAAATATCGACCAGCATGTCTCCTATAGGAGCCACTAACTAAAACCCCAATAACTGGCCCCTAGAGAGGACCCTCCAAGGGCCCCTGTAGGGGGCAGATAGCCGGTTATTTCTCCCAAAATACGAGTCTAATGAGACGTCCGCAACATCGCGTGCACGGTTACTGTAATCAGTTGTCTGCATACCGATCCAAAGAATTTTTCAAAATTAAAGGCGGGAAAGTAAAATCACGTTTTTCTTCAAAAGTAGTCACATCTGTAATTTTTTTGAGTACACAGTTCGATTCGCAAAGAAAAACTATATAAGACGCTGCTTTCACCTGAAACGTCATTTTTTCCTGCCCCTATGCCTTTAAAGGAATCGCGAGAACTTGGACAGAAGGCAGAAAACTTTGAAAAGTGGTGAAAAGTGGACCGCGTCGCAAACACTCTTGGGAAATGTATCAAAAATCTGATAAACCTCGCTTTATTCATTTTGATGTGTGGATACATTTGCGCTGAGTTCGATAGCGATTCGACGCGTTCCGTGTCGATATCTGAAAGAGCTATCCACAGTAAAATGGGAAAATGGTACATTTTCAACAGCATTTCTAAGAGAAAGAATACAAGGTGTGCGATATCGCGTCAAGGGAAACGCGGCACTTTCGCGATGTCGCCAATGTACCGCGAGCGACATCGCGCTTATCTAAAGAAAAATCCAAGATCGCGCCGAGGAAAATGCGATATCGTGTCAAGGGAAACGCGGAACTTTTGCGATGTCGCCAATGTACCGCAAGCGACATCGCGCTTTATCTGGCCAGTTTGAACCAACATTTGGCAAGGAACGGGTTTTTGATTTCGAAGCTTTGCAACTTCAGAATATCGTTGAGGGCCTGGAGTTCTTCTCTGCGGTCGGTTTCCAAATAGGCGGCGACGATTGGACCTCCGCGGACTCCGGCGGCAACTCTTCAAAGAGATCAGTCATCGAGAGAACCAAAATAGAAAAAAGGTTCAAAATTCGCATAAAACAAACTGATCCAAGAGCTGGTATCCGCAAGGATCTTCCGGGAATTTCGGATCTCCGGGCGGATAATAGAATCGCTTGAGGAATTCGTCGCGCGGCGGATAGTCCTTCGGCAAGTCGATCAGATGAACCGCCGCGAAAAGTTGGGAGTTGTCTGGAAATCCACCATTCTCATCGATTGATGTTATGCCGTGTTCGTATCTTAGGAGTTTCAGAGTGATCCCTATAGGGGTTAGGGGGATAAACAGCTCCTAAAGTGGTCCCTATAGGGCTTTAGGGGTCTGACCCTTTAGCCTCAAAAAGTTAAGTGGTCCCTAAAGGGGTCTTTCCGTTTTATTCAAAAAATCTTATTTATTTAGTTTTTCGCATGGAAATGCTTCTTCGCATATCGGTTAGCATTTCGCCTATTGCTTTTTTCACTGTAATTTTTTCACCGTAAGCCTGAAAATGGGCGGAGCCTCATGGAGCCATGTCTCATCTAATCAGAGTACCTTTAAGTAGCTGTGGTACAAATATGAAGTCAAAAGAAGCTACTTGAAATCTTTGTACCAACGATAGTTTCACTTTTTGAGAGAACACGTGTTAAATGGATATTTCAAAAAGTTCTTAAAAAAAATGTTAATCACCAAAAGTGAAAAAAAAGGAAAAGAAAATGAAAGGAGAAAGTGTATTCTTTGCTGTTATTTAAAGGCGCATCGGCTAACTTTTCAGAAAAAACTCGCGACGAAAAGCCGTTTCGATGACTTTCGTGTTATAAAAAGATAATATAAACAATCAAAACGCGAAATTATTGCTTTGAAGTCCGCGTACTTGATACAAAAATGAAAGAAAAACGCAATTTTGCTTCGAAATTGATGTCAAAAATCGAGAATTCAACAATAAACCTCGGAAATCGTCTCTTAGCCTTTAAAATATCTCTAAAACTCAAAAATAAAATGCAAATCATATCAAATTTTGATAAGAACACCTCGAAATGTCTCTTAAAATAAAAATAAAAGACAAGTTGGCATAAAAATTCGATAATTATTTCATAAACCCAGAAAACGCCTTTCAAAGTTACAATAAAAAGTGTAAAAAACCACATAAAAATCCAACTATTATTTAATAAACCCTAGAAATCGTCTGTTGGCCTTCAAAAATCGCTGAAAAAACGATTCTCACTGGCGAAAATCAGATAATCGGCTCTCTGGATGCCGTCTTCGCAGTAGAAAACTTTGCGGAAGAAAATTTCGACGCATCTTCTCTGGAAATTTCGATCGATTCGACTTTATTCAGAACATGGGAACCTGCAAATCTTTCACTTGGTTCTTGAAATACCGTTGTTTCGCGATTTCGCGTCGCTTTTCGGCCTCGACTCTGTCGTTGACGTCTCTATAAATATCATTTCTAAAAGGGAAAAATGATTCAAAAATGGATGAAATAAAACATTTTTCATCGTTTTAAAAGCTTCAAATTACCTGAAAAATTAATTTTGAATTTGAGCTGTGAAGTAAAAAAATTAATATTTTTTTGAATGAAAGTTGCTTATTGTCGGTACCAACGTTATAATTTTGAAAGTTTGAGGTTTTAAATTTTTTTAACTCGAAGAATAACAAATATCTTTGAGAAAAAAACGTGGTATTACATCAAATTTGGCGGATTTTCGATAAAAAAATTAAATTTTAGCAATACAAAAAAATGAAATGAAAAAAACAGGGAATTAGAGATATATTTGATATTTTTTTCAATGAAAGTTGCTTATTTTTTTCGGCATCGATTACACGGCAAAAACGATCTCAGAGATTATATTTTTTTAACATTTTGAAGTTTCAGAGGTTTTTAAATTTTTTTAAAACTGGAAAAAAATAACAAATTTTGCTCGAGAAAAAAACGTTAAATTTCATGAAATTAGGGAGTTTTTTTCCAATAGAAATAAATTTTAGCAATACAAAAATGGAAAGAGGAAACAAAAAATGAAGTAAAATTTAATAATTTTCGAAGAAACTTGTTCATTTTTTTCGGTACCAGAAAACATTTAAAAAAAGTTCTCATACTTTTAAAAATATTGAAATTTTCGAAGACTTTCAAGGTTTTCAAACTGAAAAAACACTGATTTTTTTGATTTTCAAAGTTTCAAAAACAAAAAAACTACGAATTTTCTTCGATTTTCAAGATTTAAAAAAACTGGAAAAAAACCATGAATTTCTTCGAGAAAAAAACGTACAATTTCCTGAAATTGGGTAGTTTTTTCAATAAAAATACACTCCAAAATGTAGGAAATGAGATGAAAAAAACCGAACGAATAATCGATTTCGACGAATTTGACGTTGCCGCCAAGTTCTTGGAAAAGCTGCAGCGGACCTTCTTCCCATTTGTCCGAGAAACATTTTCGCATGTTTTCAATGTCTTTGTCTGGAATGAAATAAGTTTATTGTGCAACTAGAAAATAAATTAGATTACGCCGTGTTCGAAATTTCGCGTCAGAGAGGGAAAAAGATAACTAAATTTTGGAGAGTTAGAGATAATTTTAATTTCACGGACGTTACTTTGAGCATGCGGTAACTTTTTGAAACTTCGAAATCATCCGAAAAATTCTGAACTTTACAAAAAAATTCCATCCGAGCTAGATGGAAAAAAAGAAAAAAATTAACGTAAAATTGAAAATTAAATAAAAAAATAAACTTTTCAAAAACAATTACCTGAAAAAAATGCCCCTGAAAACATTAAAAAGCATCGCCAGACGTTCTCCTGAGGCAAATTTCCAAAAACGTGGTACCTAAAAAAAGCTTTCGAACAAAAAATTTGCTTGTAAAATAATATGCTTAATTAAAACTATCACTTTTGAAAAAAATCTTTTCAAAAAAATTCAGAAAAACTTTATCAAAAAAATTTGTGAATTCTTTTTAAAATTAACATTAAAAAAATCGTCTCAACTCAATTTTTTTCAATACAAAAATAATGAATTTAAATACAAGAATCAACCTGTAATATTTTATTTATAAACAAATACCTAAAGAAAAAAATTGCATAAAAATCAAAGAAAAAACAAGTTAAAGAAAAACTTTTGAAATGATCATTAAAAAGTCCATAAGATAACCTAAAGAAAAACTTTCAATTCACTCACAAAATTCAGTAATAAAAACAACAAAAATCCAACTTGAAAAAGCCGCAAATATGCCGGGAAATACGGATCGCCGAGCTTCATACCAAAAATTTGAAGTTTTGATGGCCCTATACTCGTCAATCGACTTCATTTGAGCCATTTTTTTGCTGAAAAAAATAAATCAAAAATAAGTTCTATAGAAACTGAAAAAAACAACTTAAAGAACAGAAAAAAATCAGAAAAAAACACTGTAAAAAAATAAGCTTTTTTTCTCCTAAAAAAACGATAATTTTTCTAAAAATAATCTAAAGTTTAATTGAGAAATTAAGACACTGAAGATTGTCAAGTGTGGATGGGCTGATGAAAAAAATTAACAGTTTCTAGTTTCTCAAATAAAAAACGAAGAGAAACTTCCGAACTTTCTTTCAAAAATTCTTTCGAAAAACTGATTTCTTATCACCTTAAAAATGAGCAACTCCTAAACAAACATGGAAGAAGGAAAAGTGGGGAAGTTCGGACGTTTTTATATCACTTTCACATCCGTTTTAAAACGCTGGGATTCAATTTTTTTTTCTTTTTTTGAATTTATTCGGTGCCAACCAAAAAGGTATTTTAAAAAATGATAAAAAGAACGAAAAAATTAACTTCATAAATTAGGAGTCTTACATGACGTTATATGTGTCCACAACTATAAAATTTCATATTGAAAGAATTTTTGCGAAACGTTTCTTTGAAGTTACAAAAAAAGCTTTCTTTTTAAAAAAACTCTCTTTTCAGGAATCTTTAAAAAAATCCCAAAAGAAGTCTTGAAAAAAAAACGTCCGCACTCCACAGAATTATCTTAAGTCCTCTCTTCCTAGCAATTCATTGGGAAAATCCAGAAATAAAACAAAAAAAAAAATTAAAATTTCAAAAACTCCCTCAAAATTTTTTTGAAACTCGCTGAAGAGCAAGTGTGCTCCATTGCAAACCCTGAGGCTGCCTTTTTTTTCTTTCGATTTCCCTTGGAGCTGCAACCACTGCAAAACCCGAACAAAGACTATGATATAAATCGTTTATTAAATAATATAGAAAACGTAAAAATATGAACGCTGGATCAATCTCTTGAAAAGACAAGAGCCATGATAATTTGTTGATAAAATGAAAAACACGAAATGAACAGAAAAAAAGAACAATACCAGTCATAAAAAGTGTTGGGCCAAGGGTATAGAATTTCTTTTCAGCAACAAAAAAATACAAGATTTTAGGACAGTTATTATTATGAAACACGACGCAACCGGTTAAAAACGCCTGAAGACGCCGATGAAATGATTGAAGATTCAGGAAAGAGACTATTCGAACAGGTAGAAGTTTCTGGATTTGAAAGATTCGAAAGGGCTTAGCGACCAAATTACAACAAACAAAAATGAACAAGAAGAAAGAAGTTTTGACTCGAAAATACCACGTTCCATGAGGTTTAAAATCGAGAAAGGTTTGAAAAAAACGGATCACAAGTGGCTTTTTTGAGGAGAAATATATATCAAAATTCCATTAGAAGCAACGTCGAAAATGGGAAAATAAATAGGAAATATGAGAATTGAGCTGAAGGAAGTGGGTTTCGAAGGTAAATTCATTATTCAACTTGTAAATTTCTACCTTATTTCTTGATGACTCTATCAAAAGCCTTAAAATCCAAATTATCTCTAGGCCCTCTTTTTCAAAAGTTCTGGCCATTTTCTTTCGTTTTTCGAATCAAAAATTTCGTTTATCATACTTTGAATTTACCTAACCCTTTTTCAAAGCCTTTTATCAAGCCTGAAATTTGACCAACTTTTGATCATTTCAAAAAGCTCTGAAAAAAATCTTTAAAAAAAGCTCAATTTTTCAAAATTTTTGAAGTTTCAAGCTTCCTAGGCCTTTTTTTCAAAACTGGATTCTTCGATAAAATACGAAAATTATCAAAATTATACTTGAAAGCTTGAGAAGTAGTATAAAGAGCCAAAAAATGAGCTTCAAAAATCGTGAAAAGCTCAGTGTTTTTAAAATTTTCGAAGCTTAGGACCTCCCAAGGTCTATTCAAACCTTAAAAGTCTGCGAAAATCGAAAAATTGATCACAATTTTCAGCCATTTCTCTCTATCATCTTCAGCTCAACCCCAATAATTCCTGGAATCGAGAGGAATCCATCAAATAGAAAGTTAATAAAGTGTTGCGATGGGACAAGAAAAGGGGGGAATTATTGATGGCGCATGGTCTGGTTCATGTTGTTGACGCGGTTGGTCGTGTGGGTCCGTTCGTGTTTGGTGAGATGGTCGCTCCGCATGAACTTCTTCCCGCAGTGGGTGCACTGGAACCGTTTCTCGCCCGTGTGCGTCCGTCGGTGCCGTTGCAGCTCGTCGCTTCTGCAACCCAGATTTCATACTTCACAACATTTTTGTGTGTCAGTCCAGCGACCTCCAGGTCATTTCTAAGCCCGACTAGGCCCGGTCTGAGGGAGGCCTCAAGCAAAAATGGCCGGCCCAGTCCAAAAAGCTCAAATTCTTCCTAATCAAATATGGAGCTTTTTCACGTCGAAAGTCACGTGTTTGATCAATTTTACTTTTAAATTATCATTCAACGTAAATAAATTTTTCGGTGAAAACGTTTTCAATGAAGTTTAAAACTTTTTCAAAGCCTCGTCTGGCCCAAGTCCGCGCAAGCTTTTTCTCAAAATTAAGTTTTTCTATTGCGGCATATTCTTGGCTATTCTCATTTGCTTCCAACTAGAGAACGGCCCCCGGGTTTTCAGCTACAACACTCGCTACAGCCGATTCAGGGCTAGGGGGACGTGCCCTGTCTTCCTTCACCACCCAACCAATGTTTTTTTTAATCGTGTCAGGACCCTTTCCGATGGCTCAAGTTAGCAGTAAATTAACTGTATATTTTGAGCTCGTCAAGGCGCAACTGAATGAACTACGCGCAGAATTACAAAACGAAGTACCTTATGGTCACGCTTTCAACTTGATCAACTACACTTTTGGACTTCTAAATCGCAAAGGCGGTTATTCATTATAATTTCAAAAGTTCATATTCACCGCCTAGCCCATCTATTGAAACAGAAAGATTAACAAATATCGATTAGTTATTCAGATAGAAACTTGAAAAAGGCAAAAAAAAAGTACAGCTCTGAAGTTCCTAGAGGCTGCTAAAGGGTTACATTGAAATCTTGCCATTTTTCACCTTTCGCCGTCATTTTGTCGGCTCTTAGGAGCCTAGTTTCTTTGTCGATTCTTGAGTAAATTCTTGGAAATAAATTGGGAGGCCTTTACGGGCTTCTCCGGGGCTTTTTGCCCAAGAATCTTTCATTTTTAAAAATATTTCCTTAATCTTTGATTTTTCCTATAACAGGACTCTAAAAAGAAGATCTTACAAAAATCATTAACTTATTTTTTTTGTTTGAAATATCGATCAAAGCTTTTTTCACGTTTATACCTCAAACACTTGAATGGAAAAAATCCCCTCTTCCCTGGATTTCAAATAATAAATGCTCGAAATCTGCGCAAAAGAGTCTTCAAAACAAAACTCTGAACTCGAAGATATTATCCCCATGGCAACAGATTCATTAAAAGCCTAATTGGCATGATTTCCGATTGGCAAAACGAGATTTTAGTCTAATCAACTGTCTAATTAATTTTATCAGTGTTTCTAGAAGTCCTTATGATATACTTTGATTAAAAATTAACACGAGATACAGTACCGTCAGAAAAGATACGAAAAAACGCTTTTTTTAGGTCACAACTTTCTTGAAGGGAATTCAATCTTTCTGGAACTTTCTGGAGATGTGATGACTGTTATTTTCAAAACTCTGATGAATTTGCAGTTCACAGAAAAATCGCAGCTTCAGGAATTTTCAGGAAAATTGAACTACTTACAAGGAAATTTGTGGCCGAAACCCCATTTTTTCGTATCTTTTCTGATGGGACCTTTTTATCTTTTAACTGACACCTATACGAATGAGAATAAAGGGGAACTTCGAGTTTTATCAATCTATTGAAAATGGGAACTCATTTTTTTGTACAAGGAGTTCTAAAAACGAAAAAGTTTTCAACTCAACAAGAGGCTATATTAATCCCGCCCTTTCAAGCCGCGAAAAACGGACTATAGTTCAGTGAGATTCTTTTTAGGAAACACATTTTCGAAAAGTTTCTTTGAAAATCAAAAAATTATTGAAAAACAAATTGAAAAATGAAGAGAAGGATACATTTTAAAAAAGCCCCATTGAAAAGAACCATTTTTGGATTATTTTAAAAGTTCCAAAACAAATCCTTACGTTTCATTATGCTGATGTAGCTTTGTAAAAATCGTTATCAAACCGATTCGTGAAAATTTTTCGAAGCCAAAAATTAATTTCAAAACACTTTTAGAAATTATTTTTCCAGTCACCAAACCAGAGATTTTCATTATTTTTGATTAAAAAGTTAAAATCCTATCGAAAACTGCAGTCCGTTCAGATTTTGAAAGTCAAATACAATGGCGTCATTCGAAAAGTCTCTGTGGTTGGCACGTTTTCTGATTGGCTTATCGCGTAATTAGGGGTGGAGCTTGAGCGACGAGTGGAAAATCATATTCTGGGCAGACTAGGGCGCACGCATGGTTAACAAATTATTCAAAACTTCGAATTTTAGCCTTAATAAACGGATTCAAACCTTGTAAATCGTTTGTTGCAATGTTGCCAATCGCAGGCGAACGGCTTATTACCCGCATGGCCTCGGAGATGAGCCCTGCAAAAGTTTACATTTAATAATTTTAATATATTTTTATAAATATCAAACTATAAAAAAATTAGAAATTTCGAAAAAAATAAAAAGTTTTAAAACACATGGAAAAAAAGTTAGAAAAATTCCCGAAAAAAACCAACCGTAAATGAGAAGTTTTTTTCCATAAGTTTTCGAACAAATATGACAAATATGAAGTCTCGTCTTTCCGTCGCCACTGAAAAATTGAAAAACCTCAAATTGATTCATCTTGAAAAATCGAAAAAGAGTTTTAAAAAACCAACGTTCTCATATTGTTTCCTTGACAGTTGGGACACGTGCAGGCGCATCTTTTTGGCGTCTGAAAAAAATATTTTTTTTTCAATTTGTTAGAAAAATACTTATGCTATCATCTTGAAATATCAAAGATATATTTTTCTTGTGAGAAGAATTTTCCAAAAAAACATTGAACAATATTGAAGGGTTTTTTTGGCCAAAAATTTGACCAGGATTCTGAAAAACTCTTTGAATGTCAAAAAGAATTTACAAAAAAATCCAAGAGTTTTTCGACTGAAATTCTGGAAAATCTTCTAAAAATTATGAAAAAAATTAGCTGAAATCGGAGAAGAATAAGATTAAGATGGAATATTCTAAAAAAATTCAAAAAAACAAAATTGACTGGGATCAAAGACTTTTGGGCAAGATTCTGTAGAATTATTTAAAAATTATTCAAGATAACTGAGCTGGGCTAGGAACAGAGGTGTTTTTGGCTGGGATTCTGGGAAATTTCTCTAGGATTTTAAAAAAAAAATTTCCTGAGATCAAAGGATTTTTAGTTTATCATTGTTAGATCAAAGAAGATTTATTTAAGATTTTGAAAACTGAAGGAAAATTAAAACTAGGATAAGGTCAGAGATAATTTGACTAAGATCCTGTAGAAATTTCTGGAAAAAAAATTTAGCAGATTACAGAGTTTTTTTCTGAGATTCCGTGGAACTTTCCAATTTTCAGAAGAAGAATTTGGCTGAGATAAGCGACTTTTCGCTAAGATTCTGTAGGATTTCTTAGAATCAAAGATGAGAAGGAGAAGCTGAAGACGTACATCCAAGGAGCCGGTCATGTCGTAGTCGATGCCGCCCATCATGGTCGGCGAGTCGCCGCCGCCGATGATCCTCTGGTTGGTCATGATTTGCGTGCTCGGCGGGTTGACGGGCGGCGCGGACGAGGCGCCGCTGTCGTTGGTGATGATCCACTTCTGCGGATCGTTCGGGTCCTGCTGGAAGTGCAGGTTTCCTGAAATCGAACTACAGTTTGTTGGAGTTAGTGTCTTGTTCTGGCGACTTTTCTGTTTTGTAAAATCTGACGCAAAATTGGAATTTTGGGAGCTGTTAGAGAAATTGGGTCCTACAACGAAATGATGACTTTTACGGGCGAATTCAAAACTTCGCTCAGAATCCCGTATTTTGTGACATAAAAATTATTTCTGAGCATTGATCGAATTTCTTTCTTTAGCCAATCGGCCGGAATCCACTGAAAAAACGCGCCAAACTGCAGAATATTTATAGTTTTCCAGAAAAATATTGAAAATTGAAAAAAATTGCAATTTTTTTGAAAAAAATCGCTTTCTGTAATCGTTTATCAATAGCAAAATTGATTTTTTTACATAAAAAAATTTTTCATTTATTTTCTGATTATATTTTTTTATTTGATTATATCCATTTAAAAACTCAAAAGTTTTATTATGGAAAAAAAGTCTACCTGGCAGGCCCCTCATAGAAAATTTTTTTGCGTAATTTTGTGAAATTCAGTTTTTTTCCTGAATCGAAACTTGGCAATCGTACAAAGTTTAGGCCGCGTTTGGAATGGATTTTTGTAAAAAAATTCTTTTTTTTATTTATTTTTTTGTTGTAAAAACTTTTTGAAATATCACTCATTAAAGCCATTTTTCTCAAAGAAAAAGTTGTGAGAAATTTTTTTCAGAAGGATAAAAAAATATTAAAAAGTTATTATATTATAACCAACCAATGAATTGAATTTTAACCAACCCAGGGTAATCCTCTGTTGACTGGCCGTACTGGAAGTCGTCGGCTGGGACTGGACGATCGGAGGAGCGCCGCCGGCTCTTCCCGAGTCGATCTGAACAGTTTTCCCTTTAAAAATGATCATCTACGGGTTGTAGCTCACGACGTTCATGTGCTGGGTCGGCTGGACGGGGCTCAGCAGCGTCATCTGTTTTTTATTGTCGCTCGGGATTTGCACCGGAATAAATGTGACCTGCAAATTGATACTTCATAATTGAAAATGGAAAACAAAGTTTTGTTGATTAAAAACGGCTTTTCGTCGCGAGACCTTCAGAAAAATTTGCCATCCTTCTTTAAAAACATGAGAAAGGAATTTAGAACAGTTATACTCCATCAAGAATATTTATTTGATTGAAGAAAAAGTCTGCAGTTTTATTTTTGATTCGTGGATAAGTTAACAAAGAATTATCAAAATGTAATTTTTTTAAAAACATAATCATTCTCTGAAAAATCATGTAATCAAAAACCCCACAGAAAGTTTAAACAGTTAAAGAAAAACAAAAAAATGAGTTTTTTTATTCAAGAAAAAAAGTGAAAAATGTTTTTTTTACTTCGCGTAAAAAACTATTTTTTTCAAAAATAATTACTTTAAAAAAATTTTTACTATTCAACAAAGTATACAAAAAAAGTAACGAAACTGCGATTTTAAACTATTTCAAAAGTTATTGAGATCCTTACAATAAAACTCCACATCAAACTGTCTCTAAAGAAGCTGAAAAGTAATAAAAAGCGAACAAGGAAAGATAAAACTAATCAATAAAAAGGATAGCGTGGTCGTAAACTGTTCACCTAAGAAAAATTGGCCAAAATCGTATGGTTCCAGAAAAATGATTCACTTGCAAAAGAAAACATAAATCTCAAAAAGTTAAGCCACGCCTTCTTTGATAGGAAAAAGTTTTTTTGTTCATTTATAGTCTTTAAAAATTGTTTCATGATGTTTCAAAGGAGCAGAGACAATATTCACAACAATATCAAGAAGAAGAAACTTTCAAAATATATTCCGAAGCATAAAAGAGATGGCAATTAACAAGCGGATAATGAGAAATACGAATATTAACAATGTTTTTTCTTATCTTTCTGGCAAAAAAGGAATTTTCCACGCCTATTGGCATTTGCTATCGATAAGGTGAGGGAAATTGATAAAAACTCGAGGAAAATGGAACGAACCGGCTGCTGTCCAGTCGCATTCTGCTGCAGCAGGTAAACCTGCTGGACATTGGTCGGCTGGACCTGGGGCTGGATAAAGATGACCTTGGCGCCGTTGGCGTTCGTGCCGACGCCAGAAGCTGTGACGACGGTCTTCGGAAGCAGCGGTGCCTCCGACATTCGGTGTGGGTGGAGCGAATGTAGGGGATGGGCTTCGTTGGAGGCGCGGCAGCAAAAAGCCACGCCCACGAGAGACCGCGACGCGTCACGGGGCACGCGTCGCGTCACGACGACTTGTGCGCCCCATCGCACGCCTCCCTGATCTCACCTTTGTCGCTTTTGAGACTCTTCTCTCCTACCTGTCTTCGCTATTTCTTTATTGCTTCAACTTTTCTTTTCCGCGAACGTCAATCGCCTTTTTTTCTTCTCGTCCTTATCTTTCTCAAGTTTTGCTGATTCAGCTTAAGAGAGGCCTTTGAAAAGTTATATTGTCGAGTTAAACTGTAGTTTTTTTAAAGGTATAAAAAAATATGTTTTTTTCTGTTCAAATATACATTCATTATATCCTGTAAAAAAATTAATTTTGGAAATAAAGCTTGCTTGATAAATGTATACCAAAAAAAGGGTTTACTTATTTGAATATTTACATTAAATTCGCCCATGTTTTTTTTTAAAAAACGCAGTTGAAATTCTGAACGGAGCATTTTTTTCGATTTAGCTCTTCAAGAGGCAATTTCGAACCCGATATCTTGTCAATTTTTTTCTTCCTGGAGAATTTTGTTAGGTTTCGCTGTAGAAATGGTTCGATAAATACTCGCTTATGAATATTTTTTTCAAATTTCCTTCTTTTTAATTTGGAAAAAAAGCTGTGGCTCCAGATTTTTCGATTTCTCAAAAAAATGGTTTTAGGTTTCTGGGTATTTATTTAAAAAGACAATGGATATTTTTTCGTCAATTTTCAAAAGTTCAGCTTCTCTCTGCATTTTTGACTTTAAAATAAACTTTCCCCACTATTCGGATCGAAATTTCGAGCCAAATTTGAAGAAACCAACAATTTTCCTCGTCAAAATTCCTATAATTAGGTTGAGCTTTTTTTCTGTCGCGAATCCCCCAGTCCAGTTCCATTGGCCGCCGTTTTCCCACACGCTCAAACACAATTCAGCGGCCTCCCACTTTTCTTTTTTTTCTGTTTTTTTTTCTTTCCACACCCCCTAACAATTCGTCTGTTCCTCGCGAAGGCAAAAGAATCCGAAAACCTTGGAAAAAAAAAGAGGTCGGGCGGACTGAAATTTCGGTCTAATTTTGGTGGAATCCGTCGCCTTTTTCTCTTCGATTACGCAGTTCAAAATGACCTTTTTGTCTTCATTTTAGTTTTCGGGAGAAAATCTTTATTTATCTTTGAATCAATTCTCTTAACTTTAATCAACCAAATTTCATTATACGAACAAGGATATTTTTTTTATTTGATTAAAATCTGTTCGAATAGATTCTCTTGTTTATCTTGCTTCGTGAAACTGGTAGAAACAGTTTTTTTTTTCCATTTTAACAAATAGTTCAAGTCAAAACCGGTCTTAATCTGAGTTCCTATACTGTATTTTCGAAAAATGAAATTCCAAATTTGTATTCGATTTGAAACTTTTTTTAATCTTTAGTGAAATCGATAAATGTGAACATTTTTTATTAAGTTTTTTTTTTAGTTTAGTTTAAGCTCTTACAGTGCTAGCTGTTTCTGATATTTAAAATCCAATTTTTCGGGCTCTAAAGTCTTCTAACTTCGAAGCTTCTTCGTAAATCCCATAAATTTCACTTGAAACTCGCAATTTTCAAGATTTAAGGTTCAAAATATCCAAAAAAAAAGGCCCCTAATTCCTTTTTTCTGAAAAACGTCTGCAAAAAAAGCCATAGATCATCACTCTCGAACGTCTTCCCATCATCATTCTTCGTTTTTCTATCTCTTTCAAGCCCATCCCCACACACAGCAGTTGTTTTTTCTCTGCAAGGAACCACGACAGCGTGACTTCGGCCCATTGTTTTCGCTCATCACTTGATTTTCGTTCACGATAAATTAACAGACAGGTAATTCATCCGAATCGGGAGAAAAAAAAGGAAACAAAATCAATCAAACACCGCAAGGAAAGGAGCAAATCAACATTATAAATAGATAGAAATGAATATAACAACGGCAAACAATCACCAAAAAAGCTATGAAAATCAACTAAATTATGAATTGTGGATAACAAGAAGATGGGGAAGAAAGGCACGTGGAAGATAATTTTCTCGATTATTTCTTCTTGGCGGCCGTCAGTCCAGCGCCGGCGTTGAACTTGAAGAAAATGATGTCGCCGTCCTGCACGACGTACGTCTTGCCCTGCTGTCGGTACTTTCCAGCAGCTTTCACCTGAAAATCATAAACTTTTTATTCGATGATTTAATTAATTTCTTCGAGGAAAGAAGACGTCAAATCCAAGTTCAAGCCTGTCTATGGGGTTCAAAGAGAAAAATCGAGTCCAGAAATTTCAAATTATCTTCATAAAAATCGACAATTTGACACGTAGAATTTCTCGAGCAAATTTTGAAAAATGATTGACACCTGAACTATTCCTCAGAGATAACAATCTCCAGCCCATCAAAACCACAAATCAAGTTTCTTTTAGAGTTTAAAAACCCAAAATTATCAGAAATAAAACTGAGAACTCCACTAAAACCAGCATGACGTTTCTCTTTTAAAAAAATGATTCAAATTGCACACAAATATTATTTTCTTGATTTATTTTCTAGGTAATGCGGGAAATTGCTATTATTGTGAATAAGAATATAAACTTTGTAAGCTACATGCTAAATGGTTCATATTTTTCGAATCAGACCTGAATTCAGCTAGAAAGGTATCTGTTTTGGATCATTGTGTAACTCTCAATCAAAGTCACTTCTTTTCGGATCATTGCTCGATTTTAGGAGTATAACTTCGAGTTGAAGCTTAGAAGTTAGGTCAAAGTCAGAGACTTTTGGAGTAATACAACTGATTATCCAAGCCCAAGACGATTCATTTTCATCTGGAAAAAGACAAAAACTGCCGATCCGCGTCAAATCTCCACTCATAATCACTGAACCTTCCAAAAAAAAAATCCAGAATCCCATGCGAACTTTTAAAAATTATCTTTGATGCAAAAACGGCCGATCCGTATCAAATCTCCACTCGAAATCGCTTTATGCTCCTTCCAATGCTTTTCCTGAGCTTTTCAAGGCTCCATTTATTCCCCAAAAAACCATAACTGTCTATCCAAGCTCAAATCTTCTTCGAACCTTCCCAAAAATGGTATTTTCTTCCTTGAGCTCTCAAAAATGTCGTTTCAAGCTCGGGATACACGGGAACTCCCGGTTCAAGCCAAATCTCCGCTCAAAATCTCTACTGAACCTTGCCAAAAAAGTTCAAATCGATGAGGGGGGCGGAAAAAGTTGAGAGGCGTTCATGTGATCGATCGATGGTGTCTCGAAGGCCTATGGGCTGGTTTTTCTCTCGCGCCGCCCAGGCGACCGCCTCGCTTTTCACGACGAGCGCAATAAGAGATAGCGCGGTGGGTGAGGGAGAACGTCAATTGGAGAGAGGGCAGAGTTTTTGAGGCGGTAGTATGGGGACGGAAAACAAGACGAGAAGGAGAAGAAGAAGACTTTCGTCGACGTCGACGGAAAAACCGAAGAGGAGGGACCGACGAGGGCTGGAGGCGGTTGAGAGAGGAGGGATTGGCGGCGGCGGTTGGCTGGGCGAGCGAAACGGGCGTGCCTCCTCGGTTTGTGGGCCGGCCTGTTTGAGAATCTTTTCGAGGAGGCGCGGCTCTCCAAACAACAAACTTACGAACCAACCAACCAACGACCCCGCGGAAAGGACGCAAAACGACGATCGTTTCGCAGTTAACAAGGGACTTTTATACCTCAGAAAGAATCTTAATTGGTCGGAAACAGGGAACTTTGATGAGGGAAATTATGTAGCTTGTTGATTTTTTGGTTGAAATTTCAAACTTTTAGAAAAAGAGTACAGAAAAAACTAGAGGAAAATTAGGTCAAAATTTCCAGAATTATTATGTCAAGTTCTAGCGAGAATTCGCGCTCTATTGACAAAAATAAACAAATCTGAAATATAATTAATACAGTAATCGCTCATCTTCACGATAGAACTACTGGAGTTATAGATCGGGCTTATTTTTTTTGAAAAACATAAAAATCATTTCAGACTTTCATTTTTTTGCTCTATTGGACTCCAATAAGCTTGAAAAATTAATTTTTTTGAAATTGTCCATTCAGATATATGTTTCATACATTCTCTAGAAAATCTTTTTTTGGGCTACATGAACTGAACTTGAACTTTGAACATGTTTTTTTGATTCGCAAAGAAAAAAAGCTCATATATATATACACTACTAAATCAGTTACCAACCAACCACATTGATTTTTAAAAAATTAGAATCTTTCTCAAAAAACTATCACAGGGAACAATTAACCCTTAATTAACCGTGAACTTTGGTTGTTGAAAATCACATTCCAGTTCTGTAATTCTTCAAGTTTCCAGTTTATTATAACTCGTTTCTTCTAATTACTCGGAACACATTTTCAAGATCCTTGATTTTCAGTGACTTTTTTTCTTTTTTTCTACATTTTTTTATAAAATGGAATAACCTGAAATCCGTAGAAAAATGATCCCAAATTTAATTTTCTCAAACCTAATCAGAGCGATTTCTGAATAAGGTTTTTTTCGAAAATTATTGCACCTTTTTCCCATAAGCTAAACTTCTTGGAAAGTCACGTTAATAGACTACAAAAAGATATTAGAAGGGCTAGTTTTTACTAAAAGTTCAAACTAAAAAGTTCGTACCTATACAAATTTATAAAAAGTACAAAAAATCTGATATTGGAGCTACAAAAAGCTACTATCAACCCATTCGGAGAAAAATCGTACTTTTTCTGCAGAGAATTATCGAAAAAATAGATCTGAAGCTTAATTTTTCAAAGAAAAATTCGAAATTTTTCTTAAATTCTTACAATTTTTCTTCAATGTCCAAAAAAATCTTAAGCCAACCAAGAAAAACTACCAATTTCTCTTCAATTTTCCATCATCGTTTTAGCGAAAGGGAAAAATCTTTTCATTGTGTGGAAACCAAAAATTTTAACAAAAGACCTTTAGAAGGCAGATGGAAACAATAAGAGGCAAAAAAAGCATCTTTTTGAGCTCGACATTTCTTACAAGAAATTCCTAATAAAGACCATATTTTTTGTTTCTGGTTGAGAAAAAAAGAAGAAATGATTTCATTTATAAGAGCTTAACTTTTTTGAAAGGAAAAATGAAAAGATGAAGGATTTTCATTAAAAAAAAACCGAAGAAAAGGAGATTTGCGGATCAAAAGAACAGCGAGATTTCGCAATTTCTTTGTTCTCAAAATCGAAAATTAAAGAATTTGATATTCACAGTGTACAACTTGAGAACTTTTAATGAGTTTCAGTTGAAAAACTTATTTTTTTCACAAAAAAAAATCAAGTACCCGCTGATAATTGAAATCAAGCTCCAAAACGACAAGATCGTACTAAAATTTTTTTGGACATCAGAAAAAATTCCCCGCCGCCGCGGCGCCCTATTCATAGTGACTCAAAAAGCAATCGGGATTTTACAGTGGCATTTATGGCACGAAAACCTTTTGAAAGCGTTCTTTTATCAGATAGAAAAGCATTGAATATAAACATATTTCTTTTGGACCTAGTTGGAAATATTTAAGACTCTATTTCAAAGAAAAAAATAATTTTTCAATAAAAAAATACTCTAAATAATGATTGCAAAGCTGATCAGATCGATCTTTGCTTCAAATTGACTGAAATTTTATTAAATTCTATTGTTTCTAATAAATAGAATATTTCTAACTTATTATAAGTTTCAGATAATTATGAAATAGATCCGATTTTTTTTTCCAAGTTCGAATAAGCTTTTTTCTCAAGACGTGTTCAAAGTTATTCCGCGAAATGCAAAATAGCCTTCAGTGAAAGGAAAAGATAAATAAAATTTGCCACGGCATCATATACATATATTTAAAAAAACGACTTTTTGAAAGTTCAACGAGAAAAAAATTTAAAAATTTAGGTTAACCTATTCTGGGACGGAAAATAATCTCCTTGTGTAATACAAAAAGTCCAAAAAAACGATATCTAACCTTTTCCTCAGTAAAATTACATTTTTTTTTCTTTCCATCTTCAAACTTCGCTCTTTTGCCTTGAAATTACTCAAGCAAAATGAGATTTAAAAATCTCATTTTCACGAGAAAATATCACCAACGAAAAAAAGATAATGGAAAAATCTGATTCAAGCCATTCTTGGGCACGATAATCTGATAAAGCCTTTCAAATCAAACATCAGCTTTACAGTTGACTCATAACTACCTTTGAACCGAAAAACGATGTTCTTTGGGCTAATATTTATATATTCGATTGAAAAATTTAAACAAATCTCGAAAGTTCCTGGGCTTCTGCCTCTTTTTTTGAAGGCAGGACTTAGTTTTTGCACTCTTTTAAAAATACCTTCTTCCATTCTTCCTGAGAACTTTGAGTCAGATTTGTTTGTTTTTAATCTCGAATAAATAAATCTCCCACCTTTCCCATCGGCAAATAAAATTTCCATAAAGCCATAAATACTCGCAAATGGAAAAAGGAAATTCACACGCTCAAATTTAATCTTTGAGAAAGGCGGATATCATTATAAAAAAATTATTTCGGGGGATTCAAGAATGAAAAATTTTTTTCGTGCGCTCAAAAAAATTATATCCGATGAATTTTTTTCTTCTAGATTACTTAGTTACAAGTTAAAATTACCAAAAAAAGAAACTAGAAAATCTCAAACTATATTTCTCAACCGGCCCAAGATTTAAGGTATTTTTTGAGTCCTAATCACATTTCCAAGCAAAGAAAGATTGAAGTTTAAGAAAAACCAACAGAAAAAAAGCGTTCAGCTTATAATAATTTCTTATTGGGGGGCTCAAAACGACCGAATTATTACACACGACTTGACGACACGCTCACGTTCGCTTTGAAGTCCCAACACTAAAGTTTGAGGTTTCTTAAATTTCAAAGAACTTTCCGAGTCAACTTTTCTCCCAGCTTTTTCGAATTTCTGAAGCTTCGAGACAAACTCTGTTGTGAAAATTTTTAAAAAAATAAGCAAATCAGATTTTTGATTTTTTTTTTAAATTTTCACTATTTGATGGATTTTTTTCACCATTTCCCTTCGTAACTAAGATAAATGAAGATTTCAGCAGTAAAGTTTTTTTGAAGCAAAAATTCCATTTTAGCAGGTATGTATCAGAAAAATCACAGAGTGAAAAAAATTAGCTTAACATGAGTTATTTTAAAATAAAATGGAATGTAGCGAACTTTCGAAAAAGCGGAGGTAGTCAAAAAAATATTCTGACGGGGTTGGGGGATTTTTCGTGGTTGGGAATTCCCTGAGAGTCGGCTAGCTCACTTTTTGATGTGCCAAAGAAGTTTCTGAAAGACTTGACCTGCACCAATTTCTAGTTTTTTTGATAAATAAAGTGAAAAATCCAAAAAAACATGTCTATTTTAATATATTTCGAGGGTATTATTCAAGTTTGAGTGTCCTTTTTCAAAAAATAAGGAGCTTCGCAGGTTGAGACTTTCATGATCTTCATCTGGTTAATCAAGGAGTGTTCTGGTCAGTTTTAGGTAGTTTCCCACAAGTGAAATAAAATGACCTTCTTTGTGAATGATCAATGAGAATAATCTTTCAACTTTCATCCGAACGAATTTTTTTTTCCAAGTTGCAACGCCAACTCCAACACCAATACACAATCAAGCGATTCCCAACGCAAAAACGCCGATAAGACAGTTCCGCCCCATCGACAAGAAACGCCAAGGAACAAAAATCGCGGTCGAAGTAGAAAGATGATGATAGGCAGGTCGAATGTCTTCCAAAAATGGAACGAAGAAGGGCGGCGCCGAGAAAGTCTCTTGATTTGTTTCCAGCAGGAAAGGAGAAGATAAATGATCTTCCGTTTTTTTGCACCATTTTTTTGGGCATTGACAGAACGTTTCCGTTTCGAGACGAAATTATAAAAAAATAAAAAAATTGTTTTTTTCTATGAATATTTTGCGGAAAAAGCATGAAATGGTTCAAAAACGCTAAGGTTGACGAAGAAGTTCATTTTATCTTTTTGAGTTAGATTTTTTTTGAAAAATTGGCCAGAATTCTCCCTGATGAATCAGATGAAGATTCTGAAAGTCTCAACCTACACAATTTTTAGAAAACAATTCCTCGAAGAAAGACCCTTTATAAAGATTTTTGGTTTTATTTATGACTGAAAGGATTTTTTTCAAATTTTCAAGAGCTTGATCTAGATCATCAAAGTTTTTTCGACCAATTTTTTGAAAATTCTTGAGCAAACGGTGAAATAATACTACTTGTGAGCCGCTCTTTCGTTTGGAACTAATCCTAGAGCTGCGCCCGACCTTGAGCGACTTTCTTATCATGCTAAGGGATTCCAAAGCGAGCAAGCATCTTTTTGAAGTTTTTTTCAAGTAACCGAGGCAATGCGCATTTTAAAAAAAAAGAATAGAAATGGAAACTTGCCAAGACATTTGAAAAATTTTTCGATTTTTCTACTTATCAGTCAAAAAGGAAAAAAAATTACAGTCCAAGATGCTTAGGAAGTTTTTCTCGGCCAAGCATCACACTTTTTTTGCTAGACCCGAGATTTATCGCGGAAAACAATCGGGAAAAAAAGTCTCGAACTTTATAGAAAGCCAAAATCCTAAGAACGCCGGAAAGACAAAATAATCTCAGATATCTCTTTTCACAAACACTCGCATTTTTCAAAAATCTGTCTCAAAACCTATTCAGCAACATAAAACATATTTTTCATCTCATTTTCAAAGTAAAAATAATGAAATGTTCAAAAATTGAAAAAAGAAACTCTCTTTTCATCAATAAAAGCCTTCAAAATGACCCTCTGCCCCATCAAAAGCCTCCAAAATTAGAAAAAAAAACCGTCAAGAAGTCCTTCAGATCTGATAAATGACGACGTTCAAACAAAAAGCGAAAAAAGGGAGAAAAAAAGCCGTCTGAACTTCTTTTTTTTCCTTCGAAAATCCCTCGAACAGATTATCCCCCACGCAACGGATTATATGAGAAACTATAGGGAAAAATTGAAAACTGAATGAACCAAAAAGCTCGGTTCCATATGATGAATATTTTTTAAGAATCCGTCTTCAAGAAGTCATAGAATGAATGAAAAATGAAAATATAGGAAGTAATTTACTTTTTTACTCACAAAAAATAAGGATTTTTTTGCCCGTATAATAAATTTTTTTCAATAACCATGCCCAAAGTTTCTTAGAAGATTTTTTTTTCCAACTGTAAGTAAATATTTGATTCATTTTTTTAATTGGAAGTTTCAAAGTTCAACCCATTTTGAAAACATTTACAGGTTCTCTCTTATCAAAAAAAGTCTAAGCCGGACATTTTGCAAGTATCAGAAAATTCCTGACGAATATTTTAGTAACGATACTTTCTGATAAAAAAATCAATTTTTCAAACAAATTCAATACTGGAACCTATTTTTTCCTTCTTTGGAGTAAAATTCTTCTCATTTTTCTCAAAACAAACCTTGGCCTCGTCCCCGAGTTCCATCAAATCAGAGACTTTCATGACTTCAGCCATAATGAATCCTTTTTCGAAGTCAGTATGAATCCGCCCAGCGGCTTTTGGAGCGACCGCTCCTTTCTGAAATACAGTTTTTCCTCTCAACCATATTCTTAATTTATTTTCGGAGTTTTCTTTGAAATTGAAAAGATCAAAAAGTTGTTTCGCTGTATAGTTATTGAATTCCGCAGCTTTCCATAAATTATTTCCCCATTTCGACCATTTTGAATAACAAAATTGAGAGTAAACACCCGCAAACAATGTCCTCTTTCATTTTCTAACTAGGAAGCGTTTTTTTACCCCTGAAACTGGCATTTCAGAAGAACTTTTTAAAGCTATTATGTCAAATTTTCGAAAACATCCCTATTTTTCAAACGATTCAATTTTTCAAATTTATCAAAAAAATAATGTTGGCTTTTAGATCTTCAAAAAAAGAATTTTTTTATTCTAATTTCTTGAGGGGAAAAATTATATGCGTCTTTAAAACTGAGTATTATTATAGTCTAAATTTTTTTAAAATAGGTCACTAAATAGTCCAGCTTAAACCCTAATTTTCTAAAAAAACTCTTTTTCCTTGAATCTGATAGGTATTTTTTTGTTCTTCCTACTGTTAAAAAAACAATGTTTGCCTTATATTGAACCCCTGAATTCTCAAAACTTATCAAACTATTACCTGAATAGTCCAGGCCTTGACCTCGTCCTCGCCGGCCGTGAAGAAATACTCCAACTGGAGAGCCTTGTAACCAGTGTGGACGATCTAAAAATCCTTTTCTCTTGAAGATTCCAGCTTTTCGATTGACCTTGTCCAAGTTGGAGCTGGTCTCCTGCTCCTTCAAGTACTTCTCCCGTTCGTCTTCGGGCATGTCGAGGAGTTTCAGCTCGAAAGCTCCGGAGAACGGGATCAGGACGGCTCCGGGGTCCTTGAGGTCGATCCAGGCCTTGATCTTCGCCAGCCACTTGTTCTTCTGGACAGAAAAACGAGTTTATTTCAAAATTCACAAACCACAGCTTTTCGGCGATTATTTGATTGAAAAATGGAAAAAATTGTTAGAAATTTTTTTCGAATCTTCGGATTATTCTGTTCTGAATCAATTTTTTCGCGCATACCAACTTTTTTCTAATGCTCCCCGATTTTCAACCTTGCAAATTGATCTTTCATAGGGAAAAATAAGAAAGGCGGTCTCAATCAAATTTCCTTTGTAATCTTTTTCGAAGAACTAGTTTTTGAATAAATAGGGTGCAAAATAAAAACTTTTGTTTTCTGAGATCTTTTTCCGAGATAAAGATGAGGAAACTGTTGATTTTTTTAAATCTGGATCTTCTCAATTTTCTTGGCTTTAATGGATATTCTTCAACGTCAAATTATTCAAAACTCGACATCCTTATAACTTTTTGGGATATAGAGAGAGAAGAATGAATCCAATTTTTAGATTTTCCACTTTTCAATCCACTTTTCGCGCATAATAGTGCCAAATTTGTAATTTTTCTCAATCTGGACCCTCATTTTCAAGTTTCGAAGCCTTGTCTTTTACACGAAATTATTTAAAGTTTGATATACCTATGACCTTTCTTGATATAGTCCTTCTCTAGAGGAAAAATAATGTAAAGTTTTTTAAAATTTGAACCGTTTTTTTCGCTCGTTATTTTGCTTTCCGAATTTGTTAAATTTTAGTTCTTTTTCTGTTAAATTAGAAGCATTAATGTTGGTAATTCAGAATTAATTTAAATATCCCTATAACCTCACTAACACATTCTTATATTGAATGGAAAATAATAATTTTTGGGCATTAATAATGGTCATTCACCCCAAACTCTTCAAAACTGGATATTCCTTATAACCTTTCCAACACCATCCTTCTCTAAACGGAAAATAAAATAATTTTTTTCAAGGCTTTAACTCTGATTTTCGCGCGGGATTCTTCAAAACTCGATCTGCCCCTAACCTTTCTGATATAGTCCTTTTCGGACAAGTTGACCAGGTAGACGATTGGTTTCGCCGTCAAGAACAGGTGCTTGTTGAGAACCTGTAACCAAATTTTCTACCTATTTTCCTAATTTTGATTATTCTGACCTCAACTTCTTTCTCGTTCCAAGCCTCCAGCCGGATCGGTTTTTTCTCGACCAAGCACTGTTTCACGCGGGCCAAAGTGTCGAATTCAACCTGAAAAATGAGTTTTTGCGTCTTTTATGCTTTTTTTTCCCCTTCATTTGAATTCCATACGTTTCAAAAATTATTTTTACTTCTATTTTTAAATTTACAATTTTCTGAAACCTTTTTGGTCTTGTCATTGGCTCTGGTGACCAATTTTTCAACTTTATCCAGGGGTCCTTCCACGAATTGCATGTCTTTGGCGAAAAGTTCATCGCTGATGATTTCCAGATCACGGATTGGGTTGACTTCTCCTGAAAAAGGAATATTTCAAAAGTTTTTTTTAGAAAGATAAAAAAACTGAAAAAAATTCCTAAAAAGTGAAGAAAAACAAAAATTTAAAAACTTTTCTCAGAAAGCTCAATTTTATAATAGAAGCTTCTCGTGGAAAGAAGTGAAAAAAATATTTTTGAAAAAAATTCTTGAAAAAAAACTTTAAAATCGAATAGAAGCTTCTTCATGAAATAAAAAAGAAATAGAAAGAGAAAAAAATTATCAAAAAAATAACCAAAAATAATACTAACTTGATAAAATGAATAATTAATCAAAAAAACCTATACAACTTTTTTTCAGTTCAGAAAAAAACTCGACTCTTTTTCGATTTTTTTGAATCAAACGAATCAAAAATTTTTTTCCAGTTTATAAACGATTTATGATATTTTTTTCTATATATTACTGGTAAAGGTTATCACGAGTTTTACTACAATCTAGGAATTTCAGCGTTTCCGAACTTAGATAACTTTTCTTTTGAAATAACATGAACTCAATTAACATCCAAAAAAACAGTAAACAAGTTGAAACAATAAACACTGTCCAGTTCTAAAACTTCAGAAAAAGAAAAAAACTATGAAAATGACTGAAATTTCTAATGAAAATTCAATATTTTACATGTGCAAAGGGTTCTAAAGAATTAATTTTGAATAATTCCATGAACAAATTCAAAAAACTCTTTAGAATATTTTTGAAATGTTTCCCTTTCTGAAAAAGGTGTTCATACGTTTCTCAACAACTATTTTATTTCTGCTTTTCAAAAAAGTTCAGTAACAAGATCTTTGTCCCGAATTCGATTCAAATGAAAGCTTTAGGTTCCTTACTTTTCTGTTTGACGCAACTTGAAAAAAAAACTGAATTCACTATAAAAATTGAGTCTTCGAAGGCAAGGGAGCACTAGTGAACAAGAGGGCGTCTAAAGAAAAAAAGCGTCTGTTATCTCATTTTTCAACGCTCTCTAACTTGCAAAGACTCAGGCATACACTTTAAAAATCGATGGATGAATATTTCATTTTCTAGTGAAATTTGCGATTAACCCTCGACGTGAGTGACGTCATCGTCATCGAAGGCTCGACACAGGTGAAATAGTGCGTCGCAGGCGGAGACGTGGGACAGGAAAGCGTTTCCGAGTCCTTGGCCCTCCGAAGCTCCTTCAAAAAAATAAAAATTATTGCAAAAACTTTATATTTCCATAAATACCGCTGATTGAGGAAAAAGCGCACAAAAAAAACTTCCAGAATTAAAAAAAAATGTTTCTATTTTAATTAAATAATACGAAAAATCGACGAAAATGAATCATTTTCAAATTATTTTAATATCATTTCCTCACCCTTGACAAGACCGGCGATATCTGTGACATTGAGGAAAGCCGGAACTTTGCTCGCCGGCTTGTAATGATTGACCAGCCAATCGAACCGGGTGTCCGTCACGGCTACCTAATAATAAAAATTCTTTAAAAAAATATGGAAAACTTCCTCATTTTACTTTTTTGAGGACTTCAAAAGGTGCTGAAAAGGTTCCGGTAAAAGCTCAGAAATGAAAACCTTGAAGAATGGGGAAAACGATGCAAACGTGAAATGAAAAAGACTTTTTGGGGACCTTCAAAAGATATTTTTTAACAAAATCTTCTGAGGATATTTTGTGTTTTGCCCGGAAGAGAATATCGATATAGTCTATGTGCCACTACTTGGAATTTCACGGAACGACATTCCGCTGTTCCGCTGCTTGTGTTCGCGAAGCGTCTTTCGAATCTAGGTCACGCTTTCAAATGATTGTCATTGCTGTGGGAGCACATGAAAGCAGAGTACCTTAATAAAAAAAAAACTTGAAGCGCGACCAAGGTACGCAAAGGCGCGCAGCGGCACAGCGTAATGCCGTTCCGTGAAATTCAAAGTCGTGGTACACAGGCTATAGAAAAAACAGCTTTTTGAAAAAATAATACATCAGCTAGAGCGAGGATCTTCTAAAAAAACTTCAAATAAATTTTTTCAATGAAAAAAAGGAATACGAAAAGCTTTGAGAAAAAAACTGTATTATGTGATTTTGATACGTCTCAAGGTACATTTAGAAGCAGCCTAATGAAAACGAGATCTTTTTTTTAAAACAAATACAGGAATAATGACAAAATTCAGTGAATCTTCCACGTCACCTCTTTTCAAACGTCATAGAAAAATCTCTTTGAACCAAATCGGACCATATTTCATCACGGATTTTTTATACACCTTTTCCTATTTTCCCTTAACAGTAACAAGGGAAACTAACGATTTTTAGTTCGACTTAGACGATTTAAAATAAAAAACCATTATTTTTTTTTTCCCCCAATTCGAAACTTACACGACTCTCATTGGGATCAATAGTACAGAAGGGGAAGTTTTCGGCCTGCGCTTCGGATTTGGTGAGGACGTTGAAGAACGTACTCTTTCCCACGTTCGGAAGACCCAGAATTCCGACCTAATCATCGACATTTTTGGCTTTTTATTCGATTTTCATGGGGAAACCTTGAGATTTGTGCCCAAGCGTCCGAGCAACGCCGGCCTTTCCTCAACCTGCTTCTTTGGTGGCATTTCTATAAAAAATTTGCCCGAGTGTACCCTGAATAGTTTTTTTTCTTCAATTATTTTTGATCATATTCTGAATATTTTTTAAGAAAACAGTGCAAAAAAAAACCGTGAAACCTTGGAATTTTGCCAAATCGTGCGAAAATATATTTTTTCCATTTTCAGCGCGAATTTTAATAAAAATTATGAAATATTTTCAAGTTTCTCATATACCGTTATGATTGAAGCATTTCAGTAGCGATGCCGTCATTACGGCACGACCCATCAAAGAACAAATAAATATAAAACTAATTCAAAACAAGTTTATTTATAACGGAACGTTTATAACAAGATTGGGCAACGCTACGAAGGACGTCAAAATTGAAACAAAAAGTACAAATGAAATCAAACACAACGAGGGGAAATCCCGCAGAAAAAGATCATTGGAAAGGTGTTCGCATAAATTATAGATAGCAATTGGTGAAGAATTCCCAGATTCGAAATTGGAAAAATGAAGGATCGGAGGTGTTGTTTAGAATCTGGGCATACCGGGAGGAGCGCCGTATCCGGGTTGCATCGCCGCCATGCCGGGACCACCTGGAAATGAAAAATTGAATAGAATAAATTATAAACTGGGAAGATTTTTTTATTTCCGAAATTCAGGAAAAAGGCCAGCAAAAAAACTTTATTCACAAGAATCCTTTCGGAAAAAGAATCTCAATCTAAAGAAAGAACTGTTCTCTACATCCTCAAAACAGAAAAAAACAACACACTGGCTGTTGAAATTATTTTTAATAAGCTTTTCTTAAGGGACAAAGATTTTTTTCAAAAGTGGAAAAAAATGACAAAATTAAAAGTGTGAAAAACAGCTACTTGATATAACTATGCGGAGCCGAAGAAATAAGTTAAAGTTGTTTTTTTGAAAAATTTATCAAACTTATAACAGCTGGAAAAATTATTTCTTTGGTTGCTTCCCGAAATTCGGCTAAAAAGTACCTTTTTAAAAATGTGCCCAACTTTCAACTTCTGAAAAAAACTCAAGCTAAATTGAAAGAAACAAAAAAATTTCTCCAATACAAGAAAAAAATATTAGCAAAAAAACAACCCTACTTTGAAAATTGAATGACTTTCCTTAAATTCACAACTATCCTTTATTTCTCATAAGCTAAGCTGTTTTTTTCTTATAATAATTAACACTAACCAACTCCTCGAACAGCGCCAGCCAAGCCTGGAGCACCTGGAGGCATACCCGGCGGCAGAACTGGCATTCCGCGGCCAGCTGGTTTCGCTTGTCCGGGACCTTAAACATTGAAATTTAATAAAAATTTTCCCAATTTTTCTTATTTTACCAGCAACACCACCAGCCTTGGGAAGGCGGATGGAGTCCTCATCCTTCGGCGGAGGACCATCAATCGTCATCGACACGATGTGTTCTCCTCGCAGCAAAACTAGGCCCAAAATTCGCTTCTCTTCGCCATCAACCTGAAAAGATTTGAAATTCATTCAAAACAATTTTTTTTTCTTTGAAACTTACTCTCTTTCCGGCCTTTGGTCGGATCTGACGGTGTTCTTCGCACTCGGCGAGCAAAATGTTCATGTGCTTGTCGAAGGCTAAAATAAAAGTAAACCCCGGAAAACATTCAACTTTATTACCCTTGAAAAAGCCAACGAAAGTGCGAGAATCCTGCAGAATGACCTTCATCCTGTAGTTCAGGTGGCCCATCATCTTATTGTTCTTACTGATAGTCTGAAAACGTGTACTTTAGGCTTTCAAATTTGAAAATCGATCTCACCATTTTTTGTTTTTTGAATGTGCGGCTTCGCACTCGCTTCAAAAAACCTGAAATTTACAAATTGACTTTCAGAGGAATAACAGTAAAAATCGAAGACACGACACCAAAAAAAGCTTAATGTATGATAGTATTTTTTAAATTGGAAGTGAGCAATTTTCTTTTGGAACAAAGAAAAAAGAAAGTATCCACTGAAAATCTGAGCCAAATAATTCCTAGAAATACATTCGAAAAAGTTTTTCAAACTTAGAACAAAAATTAAATTGTTTCTGATGCTTTATTCTCCTTTTAAATCAATTCTAAAGCTGAATTAAGCTGTCATTCTATCAAAAAAATTACTAAACAATTAAAAACAATACTTCATCGAACAGATAGAGAAATAAAAAAAACTACAACAAAAAAATAATTCGAAAAAAACTCGATGGCGGGGGCTTGGCAAGGAGGTCGCTGCGAGACGCAACCTAAAGGTGAGCATGCGCCTTTAATAAGGGGATCCTCGAATATTTTCATTTTCTTCGATTTCCCCGATTTCTGTGTCAATTTCGAGTTATCTCGAATGCAATAAGTAAAAAAATTAAGTACTTTTTATTGCTAATGGTAATATGGTTTTCATTTCTTTGTAAAATTGTTGAATTGCGGTTTTCTGTAGGCGATTGTGGTCAAAGAACGCAGAAGCCGTTCGTTTTCTTTTACTCGTTCTCGTTCGGCATAAGTTTCCTGAAAGATATAATATAAATATTGTAAGCGAATTGAATTTCAACCTTTGGTTGACTTTTTCTTCTGTTGAGTCCTGGAGCACTGCTTGCCCTCGTCAAAATCTGCTTTTTCACCACGCTTTGCATGTCAAGAACCTGTCAATAAAAATTATTTGTGACGTATTCGATGAGCGGAGATAATATTTCAAATGATTCATTGGAAAAAGAAAATATTTTATTTTGAAATGGGCTTGACATTCGGGAAGTCTCGTGAGAGAAAGTACAAAGCCAAAAATAAAAAAATTCGTTTTTTTCTATACATTATCCTCGATTCTACGAACAAAGGAGAATTGTCGGAATTGTATTCTACTAATCGAATCAAGAAATTCAATTGGAATGGACTAATAAAGGATGAAAAGCGAAGGGAAACCGACCCGTTCTCGGTGAGCAATGAATTTTCGCATCCGTTCGATGTGCGCCACACGATCTCGTTCCATTTCAGCTTGAAAATAAAATTAAAGATTGAAATATAGAGAAAATATGGTCGAAAATATGGAAGAAAGCGAACGTTTTTGGAAAATTTTAATTTTTTTCTTTTTTACTTATTGAAAGTGACGAGTTTTGTTTCCAATACCTGTCTTGAATTTTTACAAAGTAAATAATAAAGTTATTCAATCGAAGTAATGGATTTATTGATATAGTTTTCCAAAATCCTCAAAAAACTTTTTTCTGAAAAAGCTTCAACATCAAACTCCTTGAAGCATAAAATAATTAAAAAGAAGCTAATTTGCGATCGTTTTCTACGCTCCACTGCGAATTTAATAAATACCTGAACACATGAGCTCAAACATCACTATTTTCCTTTCCCAAGAGTTCAAACTCGTCAAAAACTCGAAGTTTCCGCGGAAATTCAATTCTTTCTCATTTTCCCGTCCTAATAGAAAAACTTGGCATCCTTTTGCTACTTCGGGGATATGTACATAGAAATGCGTATGAATGGGATTAACGAAAAGAAAGAAAAAAAACTAGAGTCGCTCCGAGTAACGACGTCTTCATATGGCCGGCAAAAAAGGAAGAAAAAATTGAGGGGGGGTGAGAGAGGAGAGAGCGCAGACGAGCAGACGGTTAGGAGAGCCGGCCCCTAGTCAGGATATATCAAATCTCCCTTTCGGAGGCTCTTTCTTCTGCTTATCTCTTCTTTTTTTTCCATAATATCCTTATCCTGGCTGAGAGTTGCTGATAAAGGTCCCTCTGGATTGATTTTCGTGATGGACGTCCAGATTCCGACGATTCAGGTTCGTTTTGAGACCCTTTTCCTTACTCGTTTTGTTGGAATTTTTTCAGTTCTTGATAAAAAGGCCAAAAATAGGAGCCAGAAGCCTCTGAGTTGCTTTGCAGAAACATTATTCTAGGAATTTGAGCGACTTTGTTATGTTTTTTTAAAGGAAAAAAATAATTGAATGAGATTTCAAAAAAATAAGATTTAACTGATCTTATCGTTTCAAAGAAGATTGAAATTTTGAAACCGAGTAATATAATTCAATTTTTTTCATAAGGCGCCGACAATGAAAAACGTTAAAAAAATCATTCTTTAAATGTTTTGAAAAATTTGGAAAATCCCTGAAAAAAACCCTCGAAACTTCTTTTACTTTATTTCAATCAAAAAAACAAAAATCTAAAAAAATGTGGCTTCACTTTGAAAAAAACGAAAATTTTAAAAATTAAGCGATTTCTTAATTTTTCGCGTTTGTGTGTAGCATTTCGTCATTCATCTGGTGTATTTTTAATTTCGAATTTTTCCGAACTTTTATTTTTTTCCTATTCGCAACTTCTAGGTTATTCTCAAGCGATTGGAGTTGATTTTTTTTTCAAATCATTTTTTTATATTTCACAAATTTTATAGATTTTTCTTCTCTCGAAAATTTATTCAACCTGAAAATTCTTCCATTACATTTTTCAGTACTCGACTGGGCAGTAACTTTCTAAAAATTTAGATTTCGTTTTTTTCGTAAATTGAGAGCTTTTCTAGTTGAATTTTTTTCAAGGTATTTCAGAATAACCTCCATTAAATTTCATAAATTTCAATTTTCATCAAACGGAACAATTATTTAATTAGTTCAATGTTTTTGATCAAAATATATTATTTAATACCTGAAACAGGAGCGTAATTTAATAAATTTCAAAAAGTTGGAAACAAAAATCACAAAGTCCTTTGCACAAAACTTTTCACACGGAAGTTTTTTTTTCTTGTTTATTTTTTTAATCTTCTCAAAAAAAGAATTATCATTTATGGACTATGGCTTCTTCTTACATAGAACAGCTAAAAGGGGATATTAATCGCATGAAATATCATTTATAGACAGGAAATTGGAGTTGCGGGCAAAGATGAATGGAAAAAAAGGGCTTGCAAGTATTATAGGGACAATTTTTTTGTGATACTGGGATAATTTTTAGTTGCCACTATAGGGTTTTGATGTTTTAGTGGCCACTATAGCGGTCAAACTATTGGCCACTTGAGGGGTTAAAAATTTGTGGCCACTATAGAGATCTAAGTGCTACTACTAGACCACTTGAAATTTTTGTGGCCACTTTAAGGGTCATTGGATCAACATAACTGGTCCCATCTGTTTGTTTTGAAATTATCAGAGTTACTGGAAGAAATACTGGATTAAAATTACTGAAGTGGCCACTAAAAGGGAAAATAGTGGCGACTATAGAGTCGGGTTTAGTGGCCACTTTAGTGTCCTCTCCAAGTAGTTCTTGGCGAGCCTCTTAGTGGCCACTAAAGATTTTCCCAGTAACTTGCAAGGGCCGCATTTGGAATGGCTCGGCTGCAATGAGGGCGCTTTGAAAAGGTGCGCCCGACCTTAAAACGAATTCTGCGGGATTAGAGAAAGTCCAAGCAGGAATTTAGGTTATATCTTGAACCGCAACGCGTCGAGCCATTCCAAATGCGATCGAAAGCCTTCCTATTCTTAAAAATGAAGTGAATCAATAGCAATGGACCTGAAAAAATTTTTTATCAATTAATTTGAGTTACAGGAAGTTATCAATGTGATTTTCGTTCCAATTTTTCCAAGGAAGCCTGTGAAAATTTGAAAAAAGGAGCAATATTAGCTTGAAGAGAAGAAAAGAAAAGAATGGAATAAATAGGAAAAGTAAAGCGAACCCGAAGAAGTTTCGAGAGGCAGTATAATGACTGGAAAACCTAGCGACGGCCGAAATTAGCCGTCACCCGGGAGAAAACAAATCTCGCGTTCATTTTAATGCACTTCAATGAACTTTACGGACTACCTTTCGAATAATATTTTCTTCAAGGTTCAATTTCGGGAAAATTGACTTGAATAAGGGCCACAAATGCCCAAAAAAGGTGCTTTTTGAAGGGCTTTCAATAGCCTCTTATAGGGAAGGTCATTTTACTTTCAAAATTCGCCAGAACTTTTAAGAGATACAAGAGGAAGATCCTGAAAGTCTAAACCTGTAAAACTGCCCGATTTTCAAAAAAAGACCCCTCAAAGTCAAGGAAAACCCGCAAAATCCGTTAAAATAGGCTTATTTAGGCCCGTATTTCTCAAAAACTGGGAAGTTTTGCTGCTTGAGACTTTCATAATCGTTTTCTGGTACCTGAAAAAGTGTTTAGACCAATTTTTAGGAATTTCCCAACCGCAAATTGTGGTGGTATGAAAAAAAAAAACCAACGAAAATTCAAACGACGACTTTTCCGATTTTTTCATATCGCTAGGGAACTTTCCGACGGCCACCTTTCCGACGAATCTTTTTCCGACTTTTTTTCTCGATAAACTCTTCGTTTTAAATCTTCCTATGTAAAGTAGGTAGTTTGGTTCATGATTAAAACACAAAAAATAGGAAAAAAAAATGTTAATAGATGTTTTAAAAACCGAAAAACAAAAGGGAAAAAAGTCGGAAAGGGATTCGGCGGAAAGGTGGCCGTAGGAAAGTTCCCTAGCGATATGAAAAAATCGGAAAAGTCGCCGTTCGAATTTTCGTTGGTGGTTTTTTCATACCACCCAAATTGTAATGACCTTCCTTGTGAATGCTGTCTATTTTTGTGACCCGAAACTTTACCGCGATACATAAAAGTCATTTTTTAAGTTTTTTTCCATAGATATTTAACAAATCCACTACTTTTACATAATTTATAATCCTTGTCCTCATTTCTTCAAATACCTTTGTTTTCAATATAAAGTTCGTTTAGCGCCTTTTCAAGACTTTTTATCGGAAAGGTCCTTTATGAAGAAGTTTAAATAATTCAAATAAACTAAATTTCAAAAGAAGAATAGTAAAAAGCTGAGAAAAAGTTCATTTTCTTGAAAAAGCGAGAAAAAGAAGATAAGAAGAAGCTTCTGAGAAAATTGTCAGTGGTCAATATAGAGGCTCGCCAGAGACTACTTGGAGAGGATACTAAAGTGGCCACTAGACTCACCTCTATAGTGGCCACTATTTCCCGTTTTAGCGGCCGCTTCAGTAGTTTTTCATCCAATATTCCTTCCAGTAACTCTGATAACTTTAAAACAAACAGATTGGACCAGTTATGTTGATCCATTTACCCCTAAAGTGACCACTACAAATTTAAGTGGTAGAATTTAGACCACTATAGTGGCCACTAATTTTTAACCCCTTAAGTGGCCAATAATTTGACTACTAGAGTGACCCCTAAAACTTCGAAACCCTATAGTGGTCACTAAAAAATTTCCCAGTTTTCGCACCTTTCCAGAAACATTCGTACCCCATAAAAAGTCACTTTGACTTTTCCGGTAAAAAGTCTGTTTTTTTCTATCATTTTTATGGAATTCTGATCAAAAAATAGATGAAAAGGAACTAAAAAGTTTTTTTTTTCAAGATGAAGCTCCCATGCTTGATAAAGATGTTAAAAAAACCGAAAAAAAAATTCTTTTTTTTTGAATATTATTTGAAAAATTTGCCGATTTTTTTCTCGATTTCCCTGATTTTTTTCAGATCGCCAGGAACCTTCTGGAATACGCGACAAGAGGGAATCTGAAGAAAGTCGAAGAAGAAAGTCGAAGAGAAGACGTCGACCCGAATATAACCGATGCCGAGGGAAATACTCCGCTCATTTTGGCTTCTCAAGCTGGTTTCTTTTTTTTTTCTTCTGTTTACTGTTTCAATTGAAATTTATGGTTTTTCAAAAAAAATATATACAATTAATCAACTTCCTAGTGTTCTTAATGCAAGTTTATCCGAAAGCAATGATGATCCCGATTTTCAATCAAAAAAATCATTTAGAACCAAAAAAATCTATATTCTCAGCGACCGAAAAACCCAAAACCTTTAAAAACTAGGAAATTCGAAGAAAAAAAGCACATGATCGAAAGTTTGAAAAATTATAAATAAAAGGAACTAAAAATTTTTGAAAAACTCGAAATTTTTCGAAGTTCTTTTTCAGCTCAAAATTGTTTATGTTTCCAAAATGCGTAGAACTTTTTGCATTGTTAAAAAAATTGTAAAAACTAAAAATATTGCCGGTCCAAAAAGAGGAGATCGTGTTCAGTGAACATTTTTTTGGAAAAAAAAAAAAAGTAATTTTCGATTCAATTCCCAGATTTTCAAAAAAAAAAATCAGACTTTGAAACTGGTCAAATTAGGAAAAAATACGTCTTTCGAAATCGTAAGCGCCTTAATAATGTCCGAAAACATTTCTGAAATTAGAACACCTCGAAAATTATTCAAACCGACTATTTCCTCAGAATGGCTAGGACACTTAGGCATGCTGGAAAAGTCGGTCGGTCAGTTTGGAAAAGTAGGCCACGCCGCAATATTGCTCCATGGAACACTTAGAATTTCAATCTTTTTTTTTTCTTTTCTGAATTTTTTTTTTTTCTTTTTTCAATTTTACTTTTACTATTTTCATTTAATCGTATCTTTCTTGCGAGTAAAATACAATGTTTGCTACATTCAAAACTATAAACTGATTTAATTTTTGAAAATTCTTATTCATTTTTTCGGATCTAAAAATAACTTCATATGACCAAATGAGTGAAATTGAAAAATTGTATGTAATCGGAAAGTGAGATAATGTGTAAAATACACACAAAAAAGGCAAGATACAAAATTACCTCCAACAAAAAGTAAAACATTACCTAGGGAAATAATGATAAATAAAGAACAGTTTTTGAAGTGAGGAGCATGTGTCACATATCCTAGAAAACTGATAAACAGAAAGGAAAAACATAGAAAAAGAAAAAAAAAAGTATGGAATTCGATTTTCCATGGAGCAAAATTACGGCGTGGTCTGGTTTTCCAAATCGACCGACTGACCGACTTTTCCAGCATGACGGACACTCACAAAGAACAGATTCCAAACCATTTATCACGTTTAATGATTCACTGAAACTGTAAACTGCTGGAAAATGATCCGGCAATTAAAAAAATATATAACTGGCTAGAAATAATAATTTCTTGATGGGTATTCCTATCTTTTTCAGTAATAATTGAAAAAGAAAGGTGAAAGAACTATTTAAATTTTTTTCTGTATTCCATAAACTTTTTGAGGCTACACCCACGTCGTGGAAATGCTGCTCGAGAAATTCCCTACAATAAATATAGACCAAACGAATTTTCTGGGGCAGACGGCCCTGATCAAATCGGCGATTCAAGGCAGAGTTTCTTGTGCCAGATTACTCCTGAGAGCAGGTCTGTCCATTTTTTTCAATTTCGAAAAAAACCCAATGAAAAAAATTATAAAGAACAGATATAGTCAAAAAATTTCACAAAAAAAAATTATTGCTCAATTTAAAGATTTAATTTACTTGTGGATCAGTTTACAGTTTCTGCTCGGAATGAAACTATTTTTTTTTCTCGAAAAAAAAGCTAATGTTGCAATGAATTAACATTGAAGTTAAATTTTTCAAGATGAAAGTTTTGATTTTCTATTTTCGAATTTCGTATGAGAGCCTTATTTCCATGAAAACTGGGAATTTTTTTGCAACTTTACAGGGTGACAAATAAATATTCAAACGCGTTTGAAACGTTATAACTTTCTCAAAAGTCAACCAAACACCGCCAAACTTGGAACAAATTTTATTCATACAATATAGAAACAAAATTCGAGAATAGTTTTCAAAACGTCCTCCTTTAGCTTTGATAACGGCCTTCAGTCTCTTCGGATACGCATCGATCACGGCACGAGGGTAGTCGTCGTCGATTTCGTCCCATTTCTTGATGAGCGCGGTCTTCAGAGCTTTGATACTTGGGTAGTTCTTAGAAGAGACCTTCTCGGTCAGATATATCCACACGGCATAGTCCATCGGGTTGAGGTCGGGCGAGGAAGCAGGCCAATCAGCAGCCGAGATGAACTCGGAAAAATTGGCGCGATACCACTCTTGAGTCCCTTTGGCACGATGAGCGGGGGCGCCGTCTTGCTGGAAGGTCCATGGTCGGTTTCCGTAGTGAGAATTGGCTCAGGGCAACACCCTCAACTTTAAAATCTACTCCCTGTAGTATACTTGGTTCACTTCGACTCCAGAATCCACAAAAATCAGCGGAGTTTTGCCGTCAGTGGTAATTCCGGCAAAAACCATCACGGAAGCCGGATGCGAAGTTTTATTCAGAATTTTTTCTTTTTCACAGGCACTCTGATAGTCAGTAACGATGATCCGATGATTTTGGCCGTTCTTGTTCGCCTCCACAGTGAAGATTTTCTCGTCGGTAAATAGCGTCGTCAGATGCGAGCCATCTTTCGTGCCAGCGAGCAGCTTTCGAGCCTTTTTCATCCGCAATGTCTTGTTTTTTTGATTGAGGAAGGCTCCTTTCTGCATACGGTAGGGAATCATCTTCAGCTTGTCCTTGACAATAGTTCTCATCGATCCTTGACTCATTTCGTATTCTTTTGCCATCTTCCTCACGCTTCTTTCCGGAGTGCGTCTGATTTTCTCTCGAACGGCTTTGACTGCTTTTGGAGTCGTGACGGTGACTGGACGTCACCTTCTGTGCATGTCCTCTGAAGTACCGAGACGCCGATAGCGTTGTGCAGTTTGAAAAACGAGAACACGAGACACTTTCAGCTTTTTAACGATCTCTGAATTTGTCATTCCGCTTTTGACACAATCAATGATTGCGGTACGGTACGGAGATGGGGCCACCATTACCTGAAAACTGAAAAGTATGAGCTGTAACTTCAAACACATGATAAGTGAGCCTGAATGAACGAAATAAACAAAAAAATTCAAAGGCCAGTCCTTTGTGCAAAAAGCAGCGATCAAACAAAAAACGGTTTCAATATTTATTTGTCACCCTGTAGATTTCGGATCTTCATCCGGTACAAGTAAACTTATTCTGACCAATTTTAAGGAGTTTGCTGGTCAAAATATCATTCAAAAGTTATAGTCTGTACAGATTTTGAAAGTTAAAAAGATGACTGGACCCTTGGGGCTACTGTATCTTTCGCGGCGATATTTTATCCTGCCCGAAGATGATCCTTTAGCGCTTCATTTTTTGATTTTTTCGATCTAACAGCTTGAGAAAAGGTCGAAAAATTGCTGTTAAAGGGTCACCGTGGTAGAATATCGACGGGAAAGGTACTGTAGTCCTGGGGGCGGAGTTTGCGGCTCGGAAATCGAAGTCTGAATAGAATGAAGTTTGTTCGGCGCGAGACAGTCACGTTTAAAAAGAAAGCAGAAAAATAACTGCCGTAAGCTCAGCATTCGCTCTATAGAATTGCAAAAAAAAGGGTCTTGAAGCGAAAGATGATCTAATTTGAGCTCATTTGGTATACGGTCTTTTTGGCAGAAGAAAACGTGACAAGCTGACCTTGAATCAGTTATAATAAATAGTCGATCCTTCCCGATAAAAAATGCGAGTTGGGTAGATTGGAAAGTTTGATGCGTTGCGTACGCGACGCGGCTTTTCGGCGGGAAACTTGAGGTCAAAAGAGACCATTTCTCTCTTCTCTTGATGATTTTTTTCGATAATTTTTTTAATTTTTTTAAGGGTTTGAGAGAATTTAGTTAAACTGAAAGACGTGAAAAAAAGGTATGAAAAAAAGTTATTTTTTCAACAATTTTCAATGTTTGCTTTTGACCTCGAGCTCCCCACCAAAAAGCCGCGTCGCACACGCAACGCGTCACCCTTTGTCAATCTTCCCATTATAATCATATTAATGATAATATTAATAATATTTTTTTTCACCTATCCCGTCTTTCGAGCCGCGAATTATTGACGATAAAAGTTCGATAAGCTTTAGGTAGGGGGCGCAAAGCCCCGCCCCTTCACGCCACCAAAATGACGATTTTTTGTTGCAAAAACGGTTTTGAGGCGTTTATACTAGCTAAAGTTCCACTTTAAAAAAATAAACTGTTTCTGTTAATCTATGTAATCGACAACGCTCTACAAGACTGAAAAAAACTTTTTAAACTATGTATTTTTTTCAAAAAAATAAGCGAAAAAAAGTAAGATTTAACACGAAAAAAACTGACAAGTTTCACAAAAATCGTCGCGTTTCTGAAAAACCAAGTGAGGAACGCTTCCGAATTTTGAGTATGCTATACATTAACACTTTCTTTATTTTTTTGAATAAAAAAATTTAAAAAAATCTAACGACGCGAAAAAAATCGAAGCTTGTAAAGTGACACCAAACTTTGAAGCTGAAATGCGAAAAAAATTTCAGCGACATGGTATACTTTTTATTTGATTTAAAAAAACTCACAATGTGTTCAAAAAAATAAAAAAATTCAGAATGAAAAATAATTATTGGGACAGCGAATCAAATTATATTTGAGTTTTACCAAAACCTCCTTTTTTTCGTCTGCCTCGTTGTCGCATGAGAGAATAGGATCGCGTCTATACTTTTTGATTATGTTATTAAGCGTTCAAAAACTCTATCAATGAAAAAAATTATGAAAAAAATCTAACGACGCGAAAAAAATAACGGCTTTGAAAACCTCGAAAAAATGGCAATTTTTTTTGAAATTTTGGAAGAATTCGTGCAATCGTTCGTAGCTGTGTTTGCGTCAAACACACCGATGCGCACTTTTAAATGTTGCAGGAGCCGTTTTTTAGAGTCAAATTACACATTTTCCCGTTTTATTTCGAAATAACATTATTTTTCATTTTTTCTTTTTTTCAAACCAAATGATAATAATTTTTCTGATTAGAAAAAAGAAAAATAAGCTGAAAATTCCTTCTGACCTTTTTTCTAAGTAGTTTTTTGATATTTTATCAAAAATTCTTATGAGGGTTGTACAAAAGATTTATGCCAAAACGTTAAGCTCAGTTCTGACAACCTCTCAGAACAAAAAACCGATTCGAAAACGGTTCAGAAACGCGCAAAAACAATTAAAAAGAAAGCGTGCGGCAGCGGGTAAACCGTGAGATTTTGCCTCCAGTTGAACGCCGCGCGCGCTAGTTTTTTGGCCATAACTTTTTTCTTAGTGGAGCTTTTTTCTAAAACTGAACGGATTATGAAAATGGACAGTCTCCTCTATCGAACAATGTGGAAAACATATTTTTTGAATCGTTCTGAAGAAATGGCTTGCGGACCCTAGCTTTAGGAGCCGATCCAAACAAAAGAGACAACTGCCGCGGATTCTGCGCTCTCCAATGGGCCGAATATGTCGGCAGAACCGAATGCCGTCATATGATCGCCCATTATATGCTCCAACCGGCGACACCGATAAAAAGAAAGAAAAAAACGAGTGTCGTCCGGAAGAACGATCTCCACAAGGTGATACAACGATGCTCCAAATTACGGGGCTTTTTTTGAAATTCTTTAGACTTAGGAACGCTAGAGTGGTCTTTATAGGGGTTAGGGAAGAAATCAGCCCCTGAAGGGATTTAAGGTCAGATCCCTTCAGGGGCCCCAAAAACTCAAGTGGTCCCTAAAGGGTTTTTTAGTTTTTCGTTTAGCTTTGAAAAATTATTTTTGATTTTTCAATATTTCCCTCGATTTGTACTAATCCAAAAACCAGGTTTCGCACTTGGAATGGCTCTGATTCCTTTTTGAATGCAACCGACCCAAAACGACTTGCGCATGAAAGCATGTAGAAGTTTCAAGGCAATGTTAAATTCAAACCGCTATTAATCAAACACTGATATTGACCAAATTTTGAATGCGAAAACTCGGAAAAATCTACAGGAAATCTGAATTTTCAAACCCACAACGCTACCTTGAGCACTTTGAGCCATTCCAAGTGCGACCAAAGTATTTTTTTTATCCTTCCAATGAGTGCAGACAACTTTAAAATCAATCATTTTGTTCAAAAATCGAAAAACTCGAAAAAGTTGATCCAGGTGACGGCCGTGGCTACAGTACCCCTTCTCGGGGATTCTGTAGAGACCGTAATCCCAAGGCCTCGTCTTGGCTCCGCCCCCATTCCTCGGCTCGAGATTACGGTGGCTCCTGACGTCAGTTTATCAATCGATAACTTTGAAATTATTTAGAAGTTTCAGATGATCCGCAAACACAGCTACGGTGCACACAGAAGGCCGAAAAGTTCAATGTGTTGATTTTTTTTTTCAATTTTAATGAAGAATTATCATTCAGCTTTTGGAAATAAAAAAATGGAAAAAAAACAAGCAGAAATTATTTTCCAATGGCTGGTTTATATGGGCTTCTTCAACCCCCTTTTTTCGAGAGTCCAAGAAAGTACTGCGAAAACTTGAGTGGCCACTTAAGTGGTTTCTTAAAGGCTACTTGCTGAGGACACTAAAGTGGCCACTAAAACCAGAAGCCACTAATTTGCGTCTTGGTGGCCACTACAGTAGTTTTCAGTAGGCTAGTTGAACCACTTGGATATCCTGAAGAAGCCAATAAATTTTAGCTACTAAAGTGGTCACCAATTCGATTATTATAGTGGCCACTTGGTCTTCGAAGCCCTAAAGAGGCCAAGTACCTCTAAAGTCGTACAAAGAAAATATTTGATAAATATTTATGACAAATTTGGCAAAAACGACTCATTTTTTAGAGAAGAAACTTTAATTCGACTTCGATAATTCCGTGTAAAATCTTCACTCGAAGTGGTCGCTCTCCTTCTGAGGCTTCCACCTAGAGCACGGTCTCCGGGCTCCAGCTCAACATCCACTACATTCTGAGCTCGTCAAGGCGCAACTGGATGGACTACGCGCAGAAGGACAAGACGAAGGACCGTAAGAACATGCTTTCAACTCTTTCGACTACACGTTTGGACTTCTAGCTCGCCAAAGGCGGTTGTTCGTTATAGCTTTTAAAGTTCTTGTTCACCGCCTAGTCGATTACATCGGACTAAAACAACAAAATAAATGATTTGATTTGATTTGATTGATTGATAACGAAAACCGGGCGCGCTCGGGAAGTTTTTGAGCGATTCTAGGGGTCACTTGAGTGTAATGACGCTACTAAAGTGGCCACTAGAACCCTCGGAAAGTTCGAACTAACGTACATGAAGTCATTTCAAGTGCGAAAAATCTGAAACTACTGAAAATAAAGAAATCGAGAAAAGAAAAGTACTATATAGTTCTTTTGAAAGGTATCAACAGAAGGAAAAACAGAAAAATAATTCCTAAAGTACAATGGAACGCTTCGAAACGCCTGGGAACTCTCAAAACACCTTTTATTAATTTGAAAATTATTCAAAAGGCTTCAAATATCATTGAAGGGTTATCAGACTGATATAACTATAGTTTCAAACTTCTAAAAAATCATTTCATTTCTTCAAATTGGAATTAGTCTTGCAAAAAAAAACTCGAATAAACTCCTCTCCCACTCTTTCTTCCCAACTCTTTGAAAATTGCGAACACTTCTCGGAAAAAAGAAACAGAAAACGCTCTTCGGAGACGCACGGAATGGATGGAATGCGGGGGAATATAAGATCATAAAAACGAAGTTATGAATTAGATTCCATCCTGGTGCGACTAAACGTCCGCTCTCAAGGGCTCCAATAACCCTTCCACGTTGTTCTTTTTCTTCTTTTTGATACCTTTTTCGGGATTTTTGATGGAAATATGTGCGTCATCTACCGAAATAAAGCCTTTCCATAACCTAAAAAAATTATTTTATAACTGATTCAAAACATGTTCACGAATATTGCACCCAAATGCTTGGAAAATATAAATTTAGGAATTTATTTCTTTTTTTCATCATTTTTTTAAAGTTTAGGGTTATAAGAATAATAGAAATACCGATGAGAAACAATTGAAAAATAATCTTTTTTTTATTTATAATTTAATTTGAACGTGCTTTGCTTCTACAGTTTGAATAATTTAAAAGTAGTACTAGGTCATTCAAAAATAAAATAACTCACATGTACAAACAGCGCTAGAAGATGAAGAAATAGTAGCGAGTAGAAAACGAACTTAAAAACGAAGTTTTAAAAAAAATGACAGAATTTTAAATTTGAAATTCCCGCGATTACTATGGAGCGCTCTTTCGCTCTTTTCCGTGAATAAATTTCTTCTTCTTTTCTTTCGTCCTTTTTTTTCGTTTTCTCCGTTTTTATGCAGTCTTTAAACATAGTTTCTGTGAATCAGAAAAGTTTCGAAATTATTAAAAAATGTAAACTTTTGAATTTGGCTTTTTTTCCTTCCTTTACTGGTAGCTTCACCTAAAAAGTTGTTTAAAAATTGAATAAAAAAATCGTATGTCTTTTAGAAATTTGTGAAATTTTTGATTCTTACAGTCTTCTGTTAATTTTTTTAATTTTTTTTCTGTGAACTTATTTTTTTCCTTTTTAATCCAACTTCTTACTTAATAACCTCATAGAAACTAAAGAAAAAAATTTTTGGAAAAAGTTTGATAATTTCAATTCGAACACACCAAAAAAACTATTTATTTGAGAGTAGACGGACCCAAAAACTGGGTATAGCTCAAGGAACACGCCTGGAACCTGAAAATGGAAAGAATGGGGGAGAAATTGGCAGAAAAGGTCGAGAAAGGAGACTTTGAAGGGTCGTGCAATCATAATAGTTCTCCTTTTCAGCCGCTTTTTGGTGTTTCTCCTGGATTCGTTCTATTTTTCTCTATTTTCAACCTGCTTCTTGATGTTTTCAGTTCATTTCGATTAACTTTTAGAAATAAAAAAGTTGAAAATTGAAAATGCTCACTTTTTGTTTGTTACTTTTTCATTTCGTGTTTATAAATCCGCCATATTACATGGTAAAAAATAACAAAAGTTATTTTTTCCTTCCTACAAAATGTTTCAATATATTGTTCTAAATAGTCAAGAGGCAATGTGTAGCGCCGGCGGCTGCTGGGCTGGCGGATCCCATGTGGTCTAGTGGTTAGGATTCGTGGTTTTCACCCACGCGGCCCGGGTTCGATTCCCGGCATGGGAAGATCCTTTTTGCCTTTTTTTATTTCGATAATCTTTCGGTTTCAGAAGCTTCAATGAAGAACTTTACATTGAAAATCATTCAAATAATGGAAGAGGATGTGGAAAGACCTGATTTCTGAAGGAACAATGCTAAAAAATAAAATGGTGAGTCTGTTTTTGTTATTTCTTTTCCAATTTGAATGTTTATAATTTTTTCATTTGTTTAATCTTGAGAAATCGTCTACGTATAGCTCAAACAATGGCGAAAGTTTCGAGGAATCCTTGAGATTTCTCATTTTTCTCTTGCATTTCGAGAGAAGGGGGATGCCCACATTATATTGAACATGTCGTTTCCTCATTATTTGAGCCATTTTTTTGAAAGTTTTAAAGGCCAATTTCAAAAAAATCGTTTCTGAAGCATCTTGAAAGTTTTTTTCAGCCGCTTTGTTCGAAAAAAATTTGTTTTATTTTTTTAATTTTTCCAGCGAGGTATTTGAAAAAAATAAGCTTCAGTGACATTTTTTTCCATGGAAAAATTTTTATTTCTTTTAGACATTTTTGACTTTTTGAGCTTTTTTTAAAAATTTCCTGAAAAACTAAGAAAAAAATCCCAAATATTCATGAACAAATTAAAAAGAACCCTTGGTAAAAATTTATTCAGTTTTGAATTTTTTTGATTCATTTTTTTAATGATTTTTGGGCACTAGATCTTTTGATTTTTTTGCCCAGTTTTAAATCTTCTTCCTTCTTCTTTTTCCAAATAAAAACGTTTCTCTAATATTATTTTTTTGAGTTCAATTACTCGGAAATTCTTAAAGAATTCCCCACTAGTCAGTTGTCAATTTTTTTCCTCAATTTTCCTCCGAAAAAAAGCCACCCAATTAGCGGAATTCTTGGCACCAAGAAGCCCGATTCTCTCGCCGATTCCGAAACCATTGTGAAATATTCATTTTGGATTGTGTCTTTCTCATATTTTTCCCGTGGCTTTCAAGGTCTCAAGATCCAACTGCTCATTTTTTTAATTTTTTTGGAAATATCAGATGTTTTTTTGAAGAGTTTTTTTGGCGTTCCAAAAACCATTGAAAAAAATTTTTTTGACCATAATCTATTCACAAGAGGTTGTGTTCAAAGGTGTAAGATTTGGACTTATATAAAAAAAAGTAGTCTTTTTTCAAAATTGAGGGGGACCTCGTCGCTTTTAGCCATTCCAAATGCGACCACAGTGTGCTTTTCCTCAAAAAGACGTTTTACAAGTCTGTTCGCATTGAGAATGGATCAAAGCGTTGCGATTGAAGATAGAGCTTCCTCAGATTCCCAGAGCCAAACGCGTGAGTAGTTTTGGGTCGGGCGCATTCTTGAGAGTATTAAAAATAACTAAAACTCAGCCCAAAGCGAGCCTTAAGTCAGCCATTCCAAATGCGACCAAGTCGTGCTTTTTTTGAATAGTCTTTGTCCTCCAATAAACTCATAAACGTGCTCAGAAATTAGCTCCAAGGCATCGAATTTCGGACTTTTTGCCAACTTTTTTTCTTGTTTTCTTTTCTTTTCCCTGCAACAAAGGCTAGTAGAAAAGTTGAAAATAGTCGTCTGGAATCTGGTCAGTTTCCCCAAGTTGGTATCGGATTCTAAAGTGTGGCCTGCCTGCCTAATATGGGAGTTGGTGCGCGAAAGTTTCCGATTACACTTCTTTTTTTTTTCGGTGGCGCCGGCGGAAGCCCCGGCGGCTGTTTTTACCAAATAATCCTTGGGCGCGGCTCATTTCCAACACGGAATCCTGCTATATTCGTACTCGTTTGAATTTTGAAGGATCATTGTATTTTTAGAATGTTAAAGGGCTGTTTTTACGATCCCATATGTCGCCGGGGAGAGATAAGAGACGCAGACATGCTAGAATTGTTCAAATAGCGAAGAGGAATTAATTCTGAAATCCTTGCTCTTTAAAGACGCATAAGCTTTTTTGAAATAATGAAGTTTTCAGAGCGATATTTTTCATGTATACTCCAGGCGCTATACGTTGAAAAATTCTGATATACCTGCACTCTCTGGTGTCTTAGTGCTATTTTTACGTTTCTATGACCTCGCTGGTGAGAGATAAGAGACGCAGACATGTCAAAATCATTCAAATAGCAAAAATCAATGTATATAAAAAGCCTTGCTGTTTAAAGGCGCACAAGTAAATTCAAAAAGGTCTCAAAACGATGAGCCGCCCGCCCTCTAAACATAATAAAAATCACTGGACACATTTTCGAAGTTCGATGCTTTCTCACTAATTGATAGCCTTGTCAAAGACGGCCAAACGTGGCCTAGTGGTTAGAAATCCTGAATGTCATCACAGTGTTTCTGGTTCGATCCCCAACGAGTAGAGGAACTTTTTTGCATTTTCATCAGAAAATTTGTCGTTTTCTTGGTGTTTACGGAAGATTTTGCGCGGTTCTCCTCAAGAAAAGGCTCTGGGAACTTGTCGCATAACTGAACTATCGACTCAATGATTAATTACACGTTTTTCTATGCATTCGGCTGTTCCTCGCAATTTTTTTAAGCTCATTTTCATCCAATTTTGGAGCTTTTAAAATAACTTTAACGTCTCTTAAAGTTTTTTTTTCAATTAAAAAAAATTATTGTCTCTTTTTCTATGAACTATTCTCGTTCACTTCCATATTCTGGTCCCTCTACTCTTTTTTGAAACACCAAAAATAAGATAATGACGTAAGAAAACGAGGAAGTTTTGCGGCGTTTTTTTCTCATTTCGAAGCTTTTTTCGTCCACTTCAGTTTTTCATCATCTTTAATATTTTCCTCCGAAATTCTCATTTGCATTGAAATTCGGAATTTTATGAATTTTCCCAAAGTTTGCTTGCTTCTAACTATATAGCTATAAACGGTACCGAGTGTTATATGGTCACAGACCATCGACGACGCCATCTGCTTCCGTGGCGCAATAGGCAGCGCGTTCGGCTGTTAACCGAAAGGTTGGTGGTTCGAGCCCACCCGGGAGCGAGACTTTTTTGGCGTTTTTCTTTTTTACTTTTCACACTTTTCGAAATAATTGATGTTTTAAAGAAAAAGTCTGGGAGTTTTTTTTTCGAAGATCTCCGTTTTCTCTAGTCAAATACACTTTCGCGACGAATATCTTATGCTGAGCCGGAAAAAAAGCGGCTCTCTTGTTGAGTTTGGTGCAACAGAAAAGACTTGCTTCTTTTTTGTTGACATGTATAGCCTCAATTATTTGGGTCGCCGCGATTTGTCACAGAAACTTGGATTGTTCTGGAATTTTTGCCTTGAAACGATATTTTTTGTTTTTTATGTGTTTTTTTCTACTTTGTCGAATAACCGTTGAGGATAAAATGAATTGAGTTTTCACAAAACTAAAAAAATTATTCAAATTTAGAAAAAGAAGCATTATACGAGGTTAAAAATCTGAAAAATCCTCAAAATGCCTATTTAGATAAAAAACTTTGTTTTATTTTTTTCGAGCGGCCTCCAGTCTTATAAAAAAACGGGAGGTTATGACTGAACCTTCCATTTCTGAATATTTTGAAATAAGTTGATGACTTTCAAGTCGTTTTTTTCATTCGGTTATGTCTGATATAATATTTCAGAATCTTGATTATTCCAAGAAAAAGTACATATATGATTTAAAAATCACTCGAATCTTCTTTTCCCAATTTTTTTACGCAAAAAGAAAACCTTACTCCATTTTCTGGAAACTTATAATGAACTTGAGGAAGTCATACCAATTTCGCAAAAAATGTCTCGCTCCCGGGTGGGCTCGAACCACCAACCTTTCGGTTAACAGCCGAACGCGCTGCCTATTGCGCCACGGAAGCAGCTGGCCAACGGCCTCCAATTTCGACGCTATTCATCTTCTCAAAAGACGCGTGAAAGGTGTTCTTCACTAATTTTGCATTCCTTTGTTCCAAAACGTTTGAAAATGCCAATAATTCATGGTATTTTTGCGAGCCGAGTGTCTTTTTTCTTTGAAAAGAGACGTGTTTTTGCCTGTTTTCAAGTGTTTCTCTCCCCCGGAAATGTGCCCTTTTTTCCTCGTTTCGAGTCTTCTTGGCGACTCATTTCACTGCAAAAACTAATTTTTTCCTCCATCCTTCTTCTCCGAGAATATTAGAATTGCTCTTTTCCAGTTGTTTTCTTGTTTCAGGATGCACCTGAGCAGGTGAAATCGACGAGGATGTTTCTCAACGTTTTGATGATTGTTCATCATGCCGTCGCGAATGTGGAAAAACATCAGGAAATCGGGGATTTGGGCGATTTGGGGTTGGTTTAGTTCTATTTGTTTTCAATTAGAAATTTCTCCGAAAAATAATTATTTTTCGAAAAGTTGGATGGCATCAAAGAGATTTCTTCTCTGTTTCAAGGTTTTTTCAAAAATGGCTCTTCGGATAAATATTCAATTTTTTTGTCTATTGGTGTTGAATTCCGATCGAATACTGCTTCAAACCCAATAACTCAAAAATAGCGGAAAGCGTCGCGGTCGCGTTGCGGTTTCCACTCCGTTGCTTACTAAAGTATGCCTCTTGCACAAGTCGTTTTGGGTCGGGCGCATCGATTCTTTCCCCGTTTGACCGCACTAGTTTTAGTGATTGATTCATATTCAATTGAAAAAACCTTTGTGTTTTTATGACTTCATCGGTGAGAGAAAAGAGGGCGCAGACAGGTCAGACAGTTTAAATTCATGAAAATAGAATATACTTGATTCAAAGTGCTAAAAAATGTCCATTTGGAAGAGAAACTCCAATCTCATTCAAAATCCGGTTGATGTATGCATTTTCAGTGAACTCATATTACACTGAGGGAATTTTTAGTGCCCCTTCAGGGTTTTGACGTTTTAGTGACCACTATAGAGATTAAATTTCAGTGGCTTCTTTAGGAGTCTAACTAGGGAATGGTCTCCATTCGCAGTGGGACTTCTGAATGAGACTAGGTTCACTAGATGTAGTTTTTTACGCTGATTCCAAATCTGGTTTCAAAAACTGCCCTCGAGGCCTGTGAAAAAAGTTAGAGGCTCTCAAAGTCGAAAATTTCGATGTCTCCGATTGAGCTCATTTTTGGAGGGTATACAGCCCTTGTATCCCCGGTCACGAAAAACCTTTTGATTTTTTTCGAAAAGGTTCTGGAGCCCAGATATGACCTTTAAAAGCCCCGCCTAACACAAGAGAATGCGAGCGCGGTGTCCTATTGCGATCCGGCGACCGTCGAAGCAACGGCAGCGAGGAGCAGTGGTAAGGCGGCGGACTGGGGATCACGAGGTCATAGGTTCGGTGCCCACTCTGTGCAAATGTTTTTTGCAATTTTTCCTTTTTCGGATAACTTCGTCTAACTGCTCCTTTTTTGAGTTTTGAGGCGTATAAACACGAAAACAATGCGTTTTGAACTTATTCAAACAGCTGGACTTTTTTTTTCCGCAAATTTTTTTCATGAACTTTTCCGTGATTTTCCATGTGTATGAGCATGGGTTGAAGTGTCAAAATTTTCAAAAAAAATTTTTGGTTTTTTTTTTTTTCAAATTTTCGACTTTGAGAGCCCCTAACTTTTTTTCACAGGCCTCGAGGGCAGTTTTTTTGAAACCAGATTTGGAATCAGCGTAAAAAACTACATCTAGTGAACCTAGTCTCATTCAGAAGTCCCACTGCGAATGGAGACCATTCCCTAGTAAGTGATACTAATAGAATACAAAATGTACTGTAGTGACGACTAAGACGCGAAATAATGGCTTCTATAGTGATAGTTTCAGTGGCCACTTTAGTGTCCTCTGCAAATAGCCCTTGAGGGACCTCTTGTGTAGACACCAGAGATTTTCTCAAGGTAATGGAATTTACTTAAAACCCGAAAAAGTAAGAGTGAATAAAATCATTCAAAAGGAAGAATGGAAAAGGTTAACCTACGTTTCAGAGAATTCTTATTTCATTTCTCTTTGGAAAAAAATCATTGTCCAAAAGATCGAAGTGATCATACAAAAAGGAACTGGAATAAATGGAAAAAAACAAATGCTGAGTTAGTAATGGGAAATATTCTTTAATTTTTTTGAATCCCATTCGTTTTCGGCTTGAAAATACTCAATAAACCCGGTACTGAAAAAAAACTCTAGTGACCACTTAAGAGGTTCCTCAAGGACTACACGGTGAGGACACTGAAGTGGCCCCTAGAACCACCTCTACATAAGCAACTATTTTGCGTCTTAGTGGCCACTATAGTAGTTTTTAGTGGTCTAGTATTCTCGCGATTTGAAACTGCGGTTTTTCTCTGGGCCCTCCTCGTCTCTCGGCGACTCTCTCAATTTTACGTGCTGTTTCCACGCTTCTCTGACCTCGCCGGTGAGGGAACAGAGAGACGCAGACACTCGGAAACTTTCAAATCGCGACTAACTAGTTCAACAGAAATTTTGAACTTTTCTCAAAAATTTTTGAAGAATTTTGGAAACAGAGAAGTTGCTTATAAGAAATTTTCAAAAAAACGATAAATTTTTAAATTTCGAAAGTTTGAAAGTTCCCTGTTGTTATTATTTTCTACAGAAAACATTATTTCTCGTTATTTCTTTGAAGTAAATTTTTGATAGAAGAATTTTTTTAGATACGAGAAACTTCTGGACGAGCAAAGAATCATCCGAAGATTACTGGAAGATTCTGATTCGGACTACGATTGGCGCGTAAGACCGCGAGGTTTCAATTTTTATTGGTTTTTCGAAATTTTTTAATTCTTTATTGACTATAAGGCTTTTAAAAGATTGTAAATTAGTTAAGTTAAAACGTCATTGTCGCATATGGAATGACTTTATTCATGGAGGCCCCTTGCGCCCGACCATTGACGGCTTTCGCGCTAATCTATGACAAATAATCTCTATTAAGTATGGCAGAAGATCTCTACCACTCTCCACTGATCCTACAGTTTCTAATTCTTGAAAAAAATCGAAATTTACTCCCAGAAAGTCATTCTCCATGCTACCAAGGCACTGGAAGTCTTGATTGAAAATAAATTCCTACTTTTGACCGCATTTGGAATGGCTGAACGAGCTGTGGTTGCTATGCGGTTGTAACGGATGTATATCGAAAACTGAGCGTTAAATACCAACGCGCTCAAGTCGCTTTAGGTCGGGTGCACCTTCGAAATAATCGTTCTGAACCATTCTCAGTGCGACCAAGAAACTGGTAGTTTCTATTGAAATACATTCTGGCTCCTGGCCGCATTTGGAATGGCTCTAGACGTTGGACGGTTGAGATTCGAAATTTCGCATTGAGAATGCCAACGAGCTAAAGTCGTTTTTTGTCGGGTGCACTTTCATAACAGCCGCTTCAAGCCATTCTCAGTGCGACTAAGATCCTTCGAGTTTTTTATTTAAATGAATTTCAATTTCTGGCCGCATTTGGAAAGACTTAACGCGTTGCGGTTGAAGCTGATATTTCGAAAATTGAGCCCTAAATACCAAGGCGCTCAAGTCGCTTTAAGTCGGGTGCACCTTCGGAATAACCGTTTCGAACCATTCTTTCACTTCCAAATTATGTGTAGAACTCGCCACGACTTCCAACTGTCTGATTTTTCTGCACCCTCTCTTATTTACGCGCTATTTCCATGTTTCTATGACACCACCAGTGACAGAAAAGAGAGCGCAGACAGGTCAGAATGTTCAAAGCCGGGATGAATACAGTTATGAGTTTTAAAATGATTTTTCAGGATCCCTCGATCGAAATTATGAAAATGGGCCGGTTAACGTTGAAGTCAACATGTATTTGAGGTCTTTTTTTGGATTTTTTTTTTCAAAAAGAATATTTTCCAGGAGCATTTCAAAGGTGGACGATGTGAATATGGAGTATTCCCTGCATTTCACTTTTCGGGAAGAATGGGTCGACGAGAGGCTTTATTTCAACAGCCCTGTCCTGAAACATATCATTCTGACGCCCGGGCAGAGAATTTGGGTCAGATTTCGAGTTTTTCAGAAAATCACGGAAATTTCTGATCATCGTTTCAAGCGTTTTTTAAATAATGAACAAGTGTAAAACTCTTAATTTTTGGAGCTTTGCTACATGTTCATGTGTTTATTGGGCCTCTAGTGGCCACTTAAGAGGTTCCTCAAGGACTACTTGCTGAGAACACTAAAGTGGCCACTATTTTGCATCTTAGTGGCCACTAGAGGAGTTTGCAGTGGTCTATTAGTACCACAGACCTCCAAAGAGCTTACTAAAATTTAGCCACTTAAGAGGTCGCTAATTCGACTACTACAGGGGCCTCTATAAAGTCAAAGCCCTGAAGTGGCCTTTTTCAAAAAAATTTCCCAGTAAATATGATGGAATAAATTTCAAAAAAATCTCGATTTTTTTGCTCACTTATCTTCATATATATTGAAAAACCCCCTGTTCGAACGGAAAATGGCTCTGCGCGCCCGACCAAAAACGGTTTGCGCTTGAAGACATTAGAAATTTCAAAAATGTCACATTTTTCATTTTTCGAATCTTTTTTTATCTGTTTTAAGAATTTCACAGTGCTCTCTTTCGAATTTCTTTGCAATTTTTGTGGCCGCTCGGAAAATGGCTTCACGCGCCCGACCAAAAACGGTTTTCGCCTTGAGAGATTTAAAATGAACTTTAAAAAACTATAAAATGGGAAGTTGGCTCAAAAATACAACGTTATTGCGAAAAATCAAGGAATTCCTCATGCAGCCAGGATTTTTGAGATTTTAGAAAATTGAATACGGATATGAATGCATTTGAAAAAATGGGTTTTATTCGAAATTTCAGGCTTTTTTCCATACCGAACTGTCGAAAAGTCTTCAATTACAGTTGAAAAAGTGAAAAATAAGAAGAAAAAGAGAAATTAGAGACTGAAATTTAGGTTTCCCCCTCTTTGATAGCCTGTTCGGGTTGAATTATTTCTGCTCAAAGTGAATCTTGCGGTTTTTTTCATAATTTATTGGCAGTAAAAAACATTAAACACATCTATTATATTTTGTGATTTTTCAGGCTCCCGACACCTTTTTCCAAAACGAAAAAGACGGAAAGAAGCACGACATCGACACGCCAAATGTCCTGATGAGAGTTCACAACGGGACCGGAAGGATTCTGTATTCCTGCCGTTTGACGTTGACTTTGAGCTGTCCGATGAGGTTATTTTCATGCATTTTTGATTTAGAATCAAAGTTTTGTGACAATAAAAGGTATCCAATTTGTCAAATTTGAGAAAAGCTACAAATTTCCTATCAAAACGACTGAACTTCACAACTTTGGCAGTTCAAAGCATCTCTAGACAAAACTTTTGGGTTTTCTCTTTGAAAAATTTTTTCCAGGGTTTCTCAGATATCCTGAAATGGTCAAATTGAAAATAATTTGCACTATATCTACTTTTAGACCTTATATTGAATATTTGAAAAAGCAAAAATGTTTCTGCGTTCGGGGGGAATCGAACCCCCGTCGAATGCTTGGAAGGCATCCATGCTGACCATTACACCACGAACGCTTCTGCAACGTAATCTTGAGAAATCGTATCGAACGCAGAAGAGACGGGAAAATAAAGAAGCGAAATCGGGTCAGATCTCCATTCGGAAGCGACTTCCGAAGCGTATCTCAACCTGTTCCTCCCGGGTTGGATACGATTCCTCAAGATTGCGCTGCAGAAGCGTTCGTGGTGTAATGGTCAGCATGGATGCCTTCCAAGCATTCGACGGGGGTTCGATTCCCCCCGAACGCAGAAACATTTTTGCCATTGTTCAAAGGTTGGAAAATATTATTAAAATGAAGTTCATTCATGAAAAAAACCAAGTTCAGCCATTAAAATGAAGAAAATTCGTCATTTTGTGCACCTAGGTTTCCAGAAAGTCACAAAATTACTGATTATTCAGTATTTTTTTTTCTTTTTTTCGGGAAAATGGAAGTTTTCGTCCTTTTCCAGACTCGTCGACTATCCTCTGGACGTTCAAACTTGCGTGGCCGATTTCGCCTCCTACGCCTACACTACCAAAGATATCAGTAATATATCTCAAGAAAAACTTGGAAAAAGTATATTTTTCAGTGTACCACTGGAAAAACGTGAAGCCGATCCAGATAAAAGAAGGCTTGAGACAATCTTTGCCTTCTTTCCTTCTCAGTGCCGTCAAAACCGACGTCTGCACTTCCAATACCACCACTGGTACAGTTTTCGTTTTTCTTTCTTACTTGGGAAGTTTTAAGTGACCACTTCAGGGGTTTTGGAGTTTTAGTGGCCACTATAGTAGACGAATTAGTAGGCCCTTAAGCGACTGAAATTTAGTGGCCTCTTTAAGGAGTACTAAAGCCCGGTTGCCGCGATTTGAAAGTTTTCGAGTGTCTGCGTCTCTCTGTTCCCTCACCGGCGAGGTCAGAGAAACATGGAAATAGCACGTCAACATGAGAGAGTCTCCGAGAGACGAGGAGGGCGCAGAGAAAAACAGCAGTTTCGAGACACGAGAGTACTAGACCACTAAAAACTACTGTAGTGACCTCTAAACGGAGAATTAAAAGCTTCTATAGAAATTGGTTTACTTCAATGTCCTATCCATGTAGTCCTTGATAAACCTCTTAAATTGCCACTGGAGTTTTCCGCAGTACCGGATTTATTCAGTATTATCAAGCCGAAAACGAATGGGATTCAAAAAAATTAAAGATTATTTCCCATCACTAACTCAACATTTATTTTTTTCCATTTATTCCAGTTCCTTTTTGTATGATCACTTCGATCTTTTGGACAATGATTTTTTCTTAAAAAGAAATGAAATAAGAGTTCTATGAAACGTAGGTTAACCTTTTTCATTCTTCATTTTGAATGATTTTATTCACTCTTACTTTTTCAAAGTTTTAAGCGAATTCCATGACCTCGAAAAAATCTCTAGTGTCTACTTAAGAGGTCCTTCAAGGGCTATTTGCAGAGGACACTAAAGTGGCCACTGAAACTATCACTATAGAAGCCATTATTTCGCGTCTTAGTCGCCACTACAGTAATTTTTGTATTCTGTTCGTACCACTTAGACACCTAAAGAAGCCACTGAACTTAAGTCTCTATAGTGGTCACTAAAACGTCAAAACCCTGAAGGAGCCACTAAAAATTCCCTCAGTGTAATATGACTTCAATGAAAATGCATACATCAACTGGATTCTGAATGAGATTGGTGTTTTTCTTCCAAAATTGGACATTTTCAGTACTTTGAATGAAGTATATTCTATTTTCATGAATTGAAACTGTCTGACCTGTCTGCTCCCTCTCTTCTCTCACCGATGAGGTCATAAAAACACAAAAGAGTGCACCGAGAAACGAGATTTTTCCAAGTCTTGGCGAATGATGTATCAATCTTTTTTTGTTTTTTCAAAAGCTCATGCTCCTTTTCAAGGCTCCTACTCGTGCCTCCGGACCGTCATCGAACTCAAGAGGGAGTTCAGTTACTACCTCCTCCAGCTCTACATCCCCAGCTTCATGTTGGTCGCCGTTTCTTGGGTCTCTTTCTGGTAAGTTCCCAGAATATTCTCAAAATCTCCTCTGGGATTTCCAGGCTCGACAAAGACTCGGTCCCCGCCAGAGTCACTCTAGGGGTCACTACGCTCCTCACAATGACCACTCAAGCGTCCGGAGTCAACGCCAACCTGCCGCCGGTCAGCTACACCAAAGCCATCGATATTTGGATCGGAGTTTGCTTGGGTACGTCTATCATGGCCGCATGGAGAATGGCTCTGGTTTTTGCGGCCGACCAGAAACGACTCGTGCACTTTAGCATTAAAGAAATAGGGGCAGAAAAAAACGTAGTTTCAGGTGAAAGCAGTATCTTGTATAGTTTTTCTTTGCCAATCGAACTATGTGCTCAAAAAATTTACAGATGTGACCTTTTTTTGAAAAAAAAAAGGCGATTTTACTTTCTTGCCTTTATTTTTGAAAAATGCTTTGGATCGGTATGCAGACAACTGATTACAGTAACTGTCCACGGGATGTTGCGGACGTCTCATTGGACTAGCATTTTTTGAGAAATTATTGGATTTCTGCTTCAAATTAGGAGTTTCTTTTCCGAAAAAAACATTCAGTCAAACAAAAAAACAGAAAAAATTGCAAAAAATTTTAATTTTCGAGAAATAAGGACTCAAAGCCTAATTTTATGAATTTTGAGGACCTTCTTTGCCTTTGAGGTGTTGTATCTCTGAAAATAGGAAGTAGGTTCAGACTTTCAGAATGTTCAGCTGGTACATCAGAAAGTAATCTGGCCAAATTTTAGGAAATTCCCCAAAGTAAAATGACCTTCCTTGTAGGTCAAAGTTCCCCAAAACCCAACGGCCTTCCGAAGAAAAAGTCACTTCGTTCTTACAGGGTGACAAATAAATATTGAAACGCGTTTGAAACGTTATAACTTTCTCAAAAGTCAACCAAACACCACCAAACTTGGAAAAAATTTTATTCATACAATATAGAAACAAAATTCAAGAATAGTTTTCAAAACGTCCTCCTTTAGCTTTGATAACGGCCTTCAGTCTCTTCGGATACGCATCGATCACGGCACGAGGGTAGTCGTCGTCGATTTCGTCTCATTTCTTGATGAGCGCGGTCTTCTGAGCTTTGATACTTGGGTAGTTCTTAGAAGAGACCTTCTCGGTCAGATATATCCACACGGCATAGTCTATCGGGTTGAGGTCGGGGGAGGAAGCAGGCCAATCAGCAGCCGAGATGAACTCGGAAAATTGGCGCGATACCACTCTTGAGTCCCTTTGGCGCGATGAGCGGGGGCGCCGTCTTGCTGGAAGGTCCATGGTCGGTTTCCGTAGTGAGAATTGGCTCAGGGCAACACCCTCAACTTTAAAATCTACTCCCTGTAGTATACTTGGTTCACTTCGACTCCAGAATCCACAAAAATCAGCGGAGTTTTGCCGTCAGCGGTAATTCCGGCAAAAACCATCACGGAAGCCGGATGCGAAGTTTTATTCAGAATTTTTTCTTTTTCACAGGCACTCTGATAGTCAGTAACGATGATCCGATGATTTTGGCCGTTCTTGTTCGCCTCCACAGTGAAGATTTTCTCGTCGGTAAATAGCGTCGTCAGATGCGAGCCATCTTTCGTGCCAGCGAGCAGCTTTCGAGCCTTTTTCATCCGGAATGTCTTGTTTTTTTTGATTGAGGAAGGCTCCTTTCTGCATACGGTAGGGAATCATCTTCAGCTTGTCCTTGACAATAGTTCTGATCGATTCTCGACTCATTTCGTATTCTTCTGACATCTTTCTCATGCTTCTTTCCGGAGTGCGTCTGATTTTCTCTCGAACGGCTTTGACTGCTTCTGGAGTCGTGACGGTGACTGGAAATCCCCTTCTTTTGATGTCATCTGAAGTACCGAGATGCCGATAGCGTTGTGCAGTTCGAAAAACGAGAACACGAGACACTTTCAGCTTTTTAACGATCTCTGAATTTGTCATTCCGCTTTTGACACAATCAATGATTGCGGTAGGGTACGGAGATGGGGCCACCATTACCTGAATACTGAAAAGTATGAGCTGTAACTTCGAACACATGATAAGTGAGCATGAATGAACGAAATAAACAAAAAAATTCAAAGGCCAGTCCTCTGTGCAAAAAGCAGCGATCAAACAAAAAACGGTTTCAATATTTATTTGTCACCCTGTACTATCGGATTGGTAGGGGGCTGATTAGGTTTTTTGAAAGCGGAAGTCTTGTTTCATGAGGAAAAAAAGTTTCTGATTGAAAATCGATATTTCTTCGAAAATATGATTTTTCGAATCTCAAGAGAACAATGTCCATTTTCACGATTTTCGGTTTTTTGCTCACAAATTTGGTCTGACTTGAGCAAATCAGTTTTATTTCTGAAAATAAGTAACTGCATAGCTGTTTGAAATCTGTCCAAAGTTTCAAGTCATTTGAGAAACTTTCAAAGAAGTTATGCTGGAATAAGCACTTTGAAATACCTTTATGGCCAGTACTGTATAGTCAATGTTTCCAGACTTGAAAGGCGAGGGAGGCGGGGCAGGGGGCGGGACGCGTAGCGTGTGCGTTCGCGGTTCTTGGCACGAGTTCAATTCAACCGCCATCGACTCTTTGAAAAGCCCGTTTTTTGCTCTTTTCATTCCTTTTTCAATTATTTATTGATTATGTTCATCAGAAAATAGTAGAAAACATTGAAAAAGAGCGCTTGCCGAGCTTTTTAAGTAGTCGGAGGCAATTAAATTGAACTCGAGCCAAAAACCGCGAACGCACACGCTACGCGTCCCGCCCCTTGCCCCGTCTCCCTCGCCTTTCAAGTCGGGACACATTGACTATAAGTGACGAGGGAAGTATCACTTTAAGCCTTCATCTTCGGCGCTCTCTTGGAATTCGCCCTGGTAAACTGGGCGGCGCGGCAGGATCTCGTCCGGCAAGGATTCCGGGCCCGACAACAGGCCAATCTCTTTTTCAGGTTTGCATTTTGAAAAAATTTTTTCTCGAAATAAGAAAAATTTTCAGGCCATCAGACCCATCACATGGCTACTACACGGCGTTGCCTGAGGTTTTTTTTTCTGGAAATACTTATTTTTTCTGGTATTCAAAAAAAAATTTTCGACTGAACTTTCTGAAAATGTTTGCAAAAGCGGTCACTGAGAATATGCATCCGACCAAAAACGACTTGCGCAAAAACGGAGGGCACTTGTAACTCGAAGTGTCGAGCCATTTCATTGCGATGAAATTTTTGAGCTAATCAATATAATGGGTAACCAAGTTTTTTGAATTTTTGAATTTTCGGATGTAAGAAATATTAAAATACTAGAAGACGTAGCTATAATTATCCTTAGAGCGTAGTTGAGCCTTATTTGAGCACTTCTCGGACATTTTTAACGCGAAACGGACGTACTCCTGACGTTTCTAGGGATCACTTAAGAGTGCTGACACAACTAAAGGGGTCACACCAGAGCTGTTCTCAGGGCGACCCCGGTCGACCGAGGGCCCCCCGACTTGCGGCGTATTCGAGGGCGGCCGCGGTCGGCCTTTGGTAAGGCAACTCGGTCGACCCGTAGATACAAATTTTGTTTTGACTCCCGGTTTTTTGCGAATTATAAGGAGCGCGACCTTTCTGAAATGAAAGTGAAACAAAAAACCATATTTTATCGAGCAAATAAAGAAGGAAAACCAATGAAATTATAGTCAATGTTTCCCGACTTGAAAGGTGATATGGGCTGGTTGGCAAGGGCGAGGTGTTGCGTGTGCGACGCGGCTATTTGGCGGCGAGCCAAAATTCAAATGTGGGAGACAATTTGGAGAATTCGGCCACCGCTTTTTGATTTCCTTTTTTCTTTTTCTTATTCTTTTCTAATGGAGTTTTTTTCGATTTTATTCATTTCCTCATTGTAATTTTTGTGAGCGAACATCTTTTTCTGTGCGTTTCGCATAAAAGTTTCTCAAACTTGCAGCGAAACGTGAAACATTTACGGAAAACTTTTCGCTGGTTCTTGTTTTTTTCGTATTTGCTGAACTTCTCAATTTTAAGCTCCTAAAATTTTTATAATTTCTCTATTATGATTGATTGCAGGTCGTAAGAAGAGAGAAATGAATGAGAAATACACTTCGTTGATGGCAAACAGGTTTTTTTCAATTTGTGTTGAAATTTCTCATTGTCTTTTTTTCCAGCAATTTGTGGAGTGCCATCAATATAAACCAGGATTGTACTGAGAAGATTCACAAAAAAAGAACGGATCTAAAAACTAAGTGAAAAAAAATATTCATCGAAAGTAAAAAATGAAGATATGTTTAAATCTTGTAAGGAAAATTTTTGACTTTTACTTTCTGTGATACTTCTACGTGCAATCCTGTGAAGACTCCGATATAAAGTGAGTTTTTATTTTATTCAGTTTTTGATGTTTTGATTTTTTCATGCAGCTGTTAGCCACCGGGAGCTAGGTAGGTTATGGAAACCTGGATGACGAGTGATCCCCTCACAATCACTGGAATGCGTACACGATGTTTTAGTGAAGGTTGAAATATGCATTGCATTATGAGTTTTATTTTCTTGATTTTTCATATTCAATAAACGATTTGATCGGTTCGTTGCTTCAAGAGATTGACCCAAAAGAGAATTTGGTGAATAATGTAGCGGAATATGAAAAAAATGGAACGGTTGAAAATACATTTTGTTTGAAGTTCAATAAACTCTAAAGTTCATCACTGGCCTCGTCGGGCGAGAAACTCCATTTTTCGGAAAAGGCACGTCGTCAGAAGAAGAACACGTTGATGAACATCGGTCACCGTTAGAAGATATTTTTTATTCGAACTATTTTGCTTAGGCTATTTTATTGACGTATCACATTATCCGTGTAGTTTCGTTGTTGATCTAAGACTGGCATTCTTAATTACTCTACGATTCCGTCCATCTATTCTCGTTAAAACAAATTCAAGAACGTTTTAAACAAGTTTATTGGAAGGAAAAACGAAGGAACAGGTTAGCAAAACGTAAGGTTGCTGATGTAGACATCACAGAAGAGAGACTTTATGATGTTACCTGAAAAATAGTATTTATTACCTTAAGAAAAAATCAATTCTTGATTTTAACCTTGAAGAATGTCATGTTCGTTAATGTAAAATTTTCGTGGCGAACAATAAATCCACAAACTTTTTTTTTTAATCTAAGCATTAATTGAAATAATTCTTATTTAGGGATTGAAAAGTAGTCAAACCAAAAAAACAGAAATAGAATAAAGGCGAAAACTTACAAAGCTTCTGTACGCGACTCGTTATTTTCTCTCTCCATCTCGAAAAATCACTGCACAAATCCTGAAAATCTTCAAATCAACCGACTCCATTAAAAAAAACATTTTTAAAGATGGTTATTGATTCGAAAAAAGACTTCGCAGCACTCCGCAAATCGTTGCTTCTGAAAATTTTCACTGCATGCAAGAAAAAAAGATGAATGAATTTGAGAAAAAACCATGACCTTTATTGAAAATCGCCTCTTTTCGATGTGAAACCCTCGACTTCTGAGTTTTTGAAATCCTTCAATAGTATTTTGCTTGGTCTGAAAAAGTATCAAACATGAATAAATACAGTAAATTTTTTTCACGACATGAAATGGAAAAAGTGAGAAAAATTCATATTTTTGCGACAAATGAATGAGCAACGATCAACTTGAAGAAACTGTTGTTTGTGCGAAAAAAATATTATTATAGGTTCAAATAAAATTCCGAATTTACTGAAGCAGATAATTAGCGAAAAAAAGAATATAAAAAAAGAATAAGAAAAAAATAAAAAAAGGAAATAAAAAAAGCGGTGGCCGAACTCTCCAAATTGTCTCCCACATTTGAATTTTGGCTCGCCGCCAAATAGCCGCGTCGCACACGCAACACCTCGCCCTTGCCAACCAGCCCATATCACCTTTCAAGTCGGGAAACATTGACTATAATTTGAAATATTATTTTTTTATTTCCAAAGAGAAAAAAACGAAAAAAAGATGCGAAAAAAAGTGAAATCAATAAGCACGATTTCTGTCAAAAAAACAATAAAATGAAACTTTTCAAGAATCATAAAAACTTAAACATTCATTTCAATATGAGAAACAAAAACAAAGAATACGAAAAAAAAAAATCCTCGCGCTTGCTTCGGGGGCCTAATGCCGTGTTCAAAGTAATTTCCGCGAAATGCAAAATACCCGTTAGAGAAAGGAAAAGATCACTAAATTTTGGAGAGTCAGAGATCATTTTGCATTTCGCGGAAATTACTTTGAACACGGCATAAATGAAAACCGCTTCGCGGGCCGGGGCGCGTCGCGGTCGGGTCGGGGCGGCCTCGGCCAGAGTCGGCCCGACTTGAGAACAGCTCTGGGTCACACTAAAAATGCCCAGACACGTCCGGAGCACGTCCGTTTCGCGTTATCAATGTCCGAGTTTTAAACTCATAAATTTTCACTTTTCATTTATGTAAACTTGCTTTTTCGGCTTTTCTATAAGGTAAGAACTGTTTGTGAGTTGCACTGGTGATAGGCAATAAATTTTGATAATTTTCTAACATAATAATATTGAAATGGTCACTAGAGGGCACTCTAGCAGTTTTTAGAAATTTTTCGAATTAAATCACTTCAAACGCGACATGAACAGTTCGATTTTTTTTCTCGGAAATTTTCAAAAATTTTGTTAACGCTCCTCTCCGGTAGACACTACTGAAACTTCTAAATCTCTCTCTCTCTCACACTATCTTGCTAATCGTGTCAGGACCTTTTCAGGAACGCCAGAGTGGCCCCTTTAGGGTATTTATTTTGATTTTTCGTTCACAATTGAAAATTAAAAAGATGAGTTTGATCCTTTGAGGATATTTTTCATTCAAAAACGAGTATTTATCAAGTTTTTCGCACCGAAATGCTTCTACTCCTGGAGTTCATAATAATAATCGATTAGCATGTCTCCTATAGGGACCCCTTTTTGAAGATTCACTGGCCCCTATAGGGTTTGGTAAAGTGGTCCCTGGGAACCTTTAGGGTCCTATAGGGTCCACTCTAGAGTCCCTTATGGAGTATAGTCCTTTTCATTCAGACCTTCGAACACGAAATCGAGCCACGGTCTTGTTGGTCCCGCATGTGGTACATGCGTTACACGGAGCACAGCCGAAGGATCGATCTCATTTCTCGGGTCATGTTTCCACTGTTTTTCATCATCTTTAATATTACTGTGAGTTTTAATAATAATAATACTAATCATGTATTTTTTTATTATCAAAAAAATGACCAGGAATGAAAGTTATCGTTCGTTTGAAACAAGCAAATAAACTAATAAAACTTTCAATAGTTTATTTGCTTGTTTCAAACGAACTGTAAAAAAATATTCAAATGGCCTTTTTGAACTTGGATCTGCTCAAACGTTAGTAAAATGTTATTTAATTATTTTTTTATTTTTTTCTAATGAAGATGCAGTGAGTGGGAAAAGTTCGCTCTGTTGCCGATTTAAGGACTAAATTTCGAATCTTACCAAGTTTTTTTCAACAAAAATGACCCAAAAATTAAAAATATATCTCATATAAGCCGAACTAAGAAAAATTTTTCATTTAAAAAAAGAAAGTTTGTAAGTCAAATCTTTTTTTCAAAAAGCTTGAAAAAAATCGGGCAAAGTTGGAATGGTGAATAATGGCCGCTGAGAGGCTCAAAAAAGGCCATAAAAAAGCCGTAAAAAGGCAGAGAAAAGAGCCACTTTATCGAGCCTTCCACTTATTGAGATTTCAAAGGCTCAAGAAATGATGAAAGAAGGGAGAGGCAGCAAAAATGGTGCATAAGGGCTGAGAAAATGGCGAAAAAAGGCAGCAAAAAGGAACCTTTTTTGCTATAAAAGGAACGTTTCTATCGAGCCTTCCAGCAGCCTTCCGACTTTGCCTATGAACCTTAAAAATAAAAAAACCATATTTCAAAAAAATTTTTACTTCAAAAATGAGTCAAAGTCCTATTTTGTTGATTTTTTAAAAATAATATCATTTTTTCAGTACTGGTATCGCTACCTGATTCCCTACCTGGCCGTCCAACCCGAAGATTGGTGATTCCAAAAAAAAACCTCCATTTATAGCCTTTTTTCAATTTCTCAGTTGAATATACGGGTTACTACAATAAATATTGCATTTCGGTTCATTTGCACAAAAAATAGTGTAAATTTGATTACTGACAACGAAAAAAAGTCAAGAAATGACGCAGTTTGAAGTGTTTTCGACGCGGACAGTGCGGTGGGTGCGGAGATTCGCGAGTTCGGCTCCCAAACGGTCCACCTGGTAATGAAAAATGATGATTTCAAGACTCTTTTATTTCCCGGTACTTTTAGAAAATCCATTCTCCAGAGAAAGCAGTAAAAATAATCAGATTTGAGATTTTCTCTAGTTCAAGTCAAAGAGACTAGGAATAATTTGAACTGAAAACACTTTCAGACCTCTAAATAAAATTAAAAAAAAAAAAACAAAAAGGTTTCTGCGTTCGGGGGGAATCGAACCCCCGTCGAATGCTTGGAAGGCATCCATGCTGACCATTACACCACGAACGCTTCTGGAAGGAAAGCATGAGAAAACGTATCCAATGCGGGAGAAACAGGAAAATACAGGAGCGAAATCGGGTCAGATCTCCTTTGGGAAGCGACTTCCGAAGCGTATCTCAACCTGTTCCTCCCGGGTTGGATACGATTTCTCAAGATTGCCTTCAAGAAGCGTTCGTGGTGTAATGGTCAGCATGGATGCCTTCCAAGCATTCGACGGGGGTTCGATTCCCCCCGAACGCAGAAACATTTTTGCCTTTTTTATATTCATTTGGAGGTCAATTTGATCATTTCAACATATCTGAATTAAATTGCCAACTCTGAGAAATTCAATTTTTTTGAAAACCGAATTTTATCGATTTCCTATTTTCACCTCACAGTTAACACTACTTTTAGGTTAATAAATGAAAATCAGAAAATTGTATATAGTCCGTTTTACGCGACTTGAAAGGGCGGGACTTCTGTGCGCCTTCTAATTTCTCTACGTCTCTCTCATTTTGAAAAGCTATTTCCATGTTTTTTCTGACCTCCCCGGTGAGGGAACAGAGAGACGCAGACACGCGAAAACTGTCAAGTCGCGGCGGACGGACTATATTGAATATGAAAACTTTTATTTTTTATTTTTACTTTTTTCAATAGCCATTTTTATATTTTTGAGACTGAATGTATAGTTATGATAGTTTTTCAGTCTTTCATAGAATTATCAAAAGGCAAAAATGTTTCTGCGTTCGGGGGGAATCGAACCCCCGTCGAATGCTTGGAAGGCATCCATGCTGACCATTACACCACGAACGCTTCTGCAACGCAAGCTTGAGAAATCGTATCCAACCCGGGAGGAACAGGTTGAGATACGCTTCGGAAGTCGTTTCCGAAAGGAGATCTGACCCGATTTCGCTCTTCAAGTTTCCTGTTCCTCCCGGGATGGATATGATTTCTCAAGCTTTCGCTGCAGAAGCGTTCGTGGTGTAATGGTCAGCATGGATGCCTTCCAAGCATTCGACGGGGGTTCGATTCCCCCCGAACGCAGTAATCTTTTTGCTTTTTTTATATTTATTTTTGAGGTCTCGAATTAAACTGTAAAAAAAAATTGTATCGAATAAAAAGGCATGAACACAACAATAGTCAGCAATATTCCATCTTCATTTTTTTTTTTGATTTCTGATACACTTTTTTTGTTTTAATCTAAAATTCCGGATTGAAAACTCACTTCAGCACTTTTTCGCATGTACTTAGACTCAAGGATGGAAAGAGCCTTGCGGAGATCTGCCGCGTATTCTTTTCTGAATAAATTTCCCATTTTCTCTTTCTCATATTCAGTATAGTTTTCAATTATGCTGTGTTCAAAGTGATTCCGCGAAGTTCGTAAGAGAAAGGAAAATATGACTGGATTTTGGAGAGATAATTTCGCATTTTGTGGACATCATTTTTCAAAATTTTTTGAGTCTTTTTCAAAACACACTTGCTGCTCAATTGAGTGACCAAAACTTCTTTCAATTTATTGGATTGGTCAACGTTGTTGGCCAGTGTCGCGTTGTCTTGCTCGGCCATCGCGTAGATTTCTTGAAATTCCTAATTTTTATACAAAAACACAACTTAGGAGAACGAATCAACTCAAAATTTCGATTGAAAAAAATTTCTGAATTTAGAAAGGAAAAAAAGTTGAGAAAAAAAGTCGCATGGAGAATGGCTAGGTGCGTCGCGGTCGCGCGGCGATTTGAAATATAACTCGTTTTCATTTTTTTATTATATTTTTTTATTATATGAACCCAAGTCCGTCAACTCGAAAAATTTAAAATTGCGAGTACATTGGATCGATTTTCTTGAAACAACACACATAATATTTTTTTTCTGAAAAAAAGTTTCGGAACGAAATTTTTCAAAGTTTTACTTTGAAGTTTGATCCAAAAAAGTTGAAAAAAATTTTATTTTCCTACCTTCTAGTTCTTTGATGCGTTCTTGACCAACAGTCGAGCTCAAGCTGAGAATTTGGCGGATGTCGGTCTTGCTGCCGGCTTCCTGGAGCCAATTTTTGTGTTTTATTGAAATTTCAGTAGTGAAGATCACTTTTAAATTTGATAGCCATAGTCTTTTTCAGAGTGAATATCATAATTAGAAATCTACGATTCGGGGCCAAAAACTTTTTAAAAATTTCAGAAAGAGCTCGGCTTGAAGCCAACATTTAATTTTCTCATCTCGATGAATAAACTACAACTTTTGAAGAAAAAAATAAAGTATATTTTTTTCAAAAAGACCAACATCACTCATGCAAGCTGCGTGGTCGAGGTTCATCAAAGTCGTGCCGAGGTCCAAATGAATAATCTGCGTGCCATTGGGCTCTTTCCACATCTTTTTAAAATTATTATTCAACTTAAAGAAGTGTTCTGAAAACCGCATCAAGACTTTGTTTTCCAGTGTACTGCTTGGCGTGGATTTGCAGCTTGTGCTGAGGACTGTACCGATTGTCGACCAAAGTTATCACGACCTGAAAGACCACAGAAAACTTATGGAATCCCTAGAAGTTTATTTTAAACCTGAACGGCGTCGTCATCGGACATTACCCCACTGTTGGGATAGACAATGTACCTTGTTGGAGCATTCGTCTGATTAAAAACCGCTTAACTTTCTTTTCAACTCTCAATTAAACCTGAAAACGCCATGCGATTGGCCCGACGCCAGGAAGACGTCGCATAGTCAAAGTTTGCTGAGCATTCCGCGGCTGTTCAACGTCAAAAACTACCAGCGTCTGACATAGTCAAATGAAACTCTAGAATTTTGAAAGCAGAAAACCTGATTAAGAGAAATATATTTTTCCGTGTCTGCGGACTCTTCGCAGCTGGAGAAAGAGGAGTCTTTACGCTTCAACCGCATCGAAATGATTGAAAAGTTCAACTTTCAAGACGTTAATAATTCGATCACGTTTGAAATGCATTAAGGTTTATCAAAAAACCAACAAATTTTTATTCAAAAAACAATGTTAACAATAGTTTTATTTTTTAGCCGTCTTTTTACCGTCATCTGACGTGTGCGAAGCCGAACTTCTTCTGCGGGCGATCTTGAGGTCGTGTTGCTCCTGAAAAAGTTCGGTCATGATATTTTTTGTGCAAAAACAACGTCACAAACAATTTGAATGATACAAAAACATGCCTTGGCGTATTTGTTCAACAATTTGTGGTAAGCGGCAGCTTCTTCTCGGGACTTAATTCTCTGGTTGCGCTTCTTCCTGAGTTGAGCCTTGCGGCGAGCGATAACTGTCGGGGTCACAAGTCGTTGAATCTTGGGGGCAACAACGCGAGTTGGCTTTCCTAAATGTGGATAAATTGTCATCTATCTACGAACCCATAAACATTTGCTACCGAAGCATCACACCAAGGGCAGAGATTATGAGCAGATACTGCAGATATTTATTTTGCTTTCTAGTAACGCACGCTCATAGAAATAAATAAGAGCGTTGCGCCAAAAAGCAAGAAAGAAATGATTGCATTTTAACGAGAATAAAAAAAGCAAGAATTTTTGCTTACCTTCCTTCTTGCGCTCGTGGGTGATAACGTATTTCGTAACATCATCTTCCTTGGAGAGGTTGAAGAGCTTGCGGATGCGAGAAGCTCTCTTAGGTCCCAAACGGCGAGGTTGAACTTGGTCAGTAAGTCCCTCGACATCATCATCTCCTAAAGTTTTCTTTGTTTTTGCAAACGAATAGTTAGGGACAAACCTTTCTTGACGATGACAAGGTTGAGGGCGGAAAGGTTAGCATCGACGATGCAACCACGGACCGACTTGCGCTTGCGCTCACCAGTTTTACGTGGGCGGTAGCAAGACTGTCCCTTCTTCAGGAGCAGACGAACACGGCCGTTGGTCAAGACTCCTTGTTTCATGGGGAAACCTTGCTTGTCGTTTCCACCACCAATTCGGACGATGTATCCCTGAATTTAGTAAATGAAGGATAAAAAAAAACGAAATTTTCAATGCCGTGTTCAAAAAAATTTCCCCCGAAAACTCCCTCAAATTCCGTTATCTTTCTCACATCTTGACCTTTTTTTCCAACTTCGCGGAATAACTTTGAACACTCCATAAAATTTTCGATTGTAGTTCGTTTGAAGCTCCTACTGTTTAAAGCGTAAAACTGTGTCCAAAAATTTTATAATGTCAAGGGTTGTTTAAAATTGTTCCGCGAAGTTTTCAATAGCCATGAGAGTTAGAAAAATAAGTCTGAACAAAGCATTACAATAGTATATGATTCAAAATAAAAAAAAAAAGTTAAAAGAAAAACATGAATCGAACATTTACAAAAAAAAAAGAATCAAATTTGTAAACTTTTCTTATAGCGTGTTCCTCGGACAAAACGAAAATTGCTTCGAAACGCAAGAATATTTCTCCAAAACAAAAATTAGTACTGTTTTGGAGCAACTTCGGCGCGCCGATGAGCACGATTTTTGTTTTGAAGCATGTTCCGTTGATCCGATGAATACGCCATTAAAGAAAAAAGCGCACCTTCCACTCGTCTCCGAGAGGGTCGAGGGCAACCTCCTGAGCCATACGCTTGTCGTGCAAGAATCGAAGTCTCTTCTCATCTTCGATTTCGAACGACTTCTGTTGGCCCGTCGCCGGGTAAGCGAAGTTCAATCTCATTATGAACTAGTTTTACCTGCAAAAAAATATTGATTAGAATTTATAGAAAAAAATTGAGAAGACATTGAAAAAAATTCTACCAAAAAAACTGTTTTATTTGAACTTTCACGGCCAGGAAAAAAACAATGAGCGGGAAAAAAGCATACTTCAAGGTCAAACATTTTTTTCACGTCAAGGTTATGAAAAATTATTGAGTGAAATTACATAATTGAAGCGATCGAAAAATTACATTATAAAAAAATTTAATAAGATTTTGAAAGCTTTTTGTAAAATATGAATTTATAAAAAAATTTGAAATCGTGACTTTAAAGACGTAAATCGCAAAAAAATCGACCTTACAAAGCTTTCTTATAGTTCTAAAAACTCCATAGAATTCGAAATGACGTAAATACAACCATAAAGAAAAATAAAAAATAAAAAAAAAGAAATAATTTTGGGCCAGAGAGGCCGAGAGATATTAAAGGCGCAGGGAGGTTTCCCTCTACAGGACCCGTAAATTAGAGAGGAGAGGCGGAGGCACATCGAACCTCGACTCGTTCACGTGCACTTTTTTCATTTCGTGCCATATTTCGATTAAATAAATGTTTTTGTGGTTATTTTTTTCAGTAACGATAAGGCAGGTATAAGAGAAGGATAAAAATCGGGAAAAAGTTTGCTTGAAACGCTCTCAACTTTTTTTCTGCTCGCTTTTCCGTTGAAAAAAATTTTTTTAATCGATAATTTCAAAAATTCTTTTTTTATTTCAGTGCATTTTATTGGAAATTATGGGAAACTGCGAACACTTGTCAAGTGCAATCGGTATAACACCATCTCAAATCGCTTCATTGAGTATTCGCCGAAAGTTTGCGCAAGAAGAGTTTGACGACCTTCCGCCGAATCCCAATCATGGAACTCAAGAGTTTGTTGAAGTAATACCACACTTTTAAAAATTTTATATTTCTTCAGAATGAACGCTTTTTGTACTGTTTGTGGGATGTGTCCCAATTCGTGGCTTTGCCTTCAATGTGGAGACACGTTTTGCTCCCGCACACACAAAAGTCACGGCTTGGAGCATCACAATGAGACTTTGCACAGTGTTGTAGTCGAATGCCACCGTCATCTTTTCCATTGGTTAGTTCATTACCAAGTTTTCAATGATGAAATTGTCGTTTTCAGTTATATGTGCGATGAAATTATCGACGTTGATAATCAAGATGAACAACTGATAGCGATTGTCGAAGCTCTGAAGAAACTTTTCAATACCAACACGGATTACGACGACATTCACTATATGGATGAAGACGGAGAGGAAGAGGGTCGTGACCTTGAAACTGAAGAAGAAAATGATGGTCTTGCAAGATCCCGAGCAAACACGTTAGTTGATTTCTTGCTGGTCGTGGAGCAATCTTCTTTTTTTTTCAGGAAGTTTCTGCAAGACGAAGACACTGGATCTGTTCCTGAGGACGATTCGGTTATGAGAGGCTCGCACAAAAGACAAACGAAAGATTTCTTCTCGGCCGACCTTCTTTCTGGTCCCCTCTGCCCGACTAATGTACGGCAGCGACGCAGAAAAGTGTGCAAAACTAAAAAATTCCCAGAAATCAAACATTTTTCAGGACCGCAAAGGTCGAAAGCAAAAAACCGAGTATGCAAAGGTGATCCGCGAGGCCCCTCCAAACAATGTTCCGAAAAGGCGCGGACTGAAGAACATTGGAAACACTTGTTTCATGAATTCAGTCATTCAGGCTTTGAAGTACGAAAGGAATTTTTTTCCTCAGAAGATTTGATTTTTTTCAGCACTACGACCACTTTCCGTGGATATCTGACACAGTTGCCGATTTTGGAGCCCGACGACATTGCCAACGAAAGACCGCCAGTTGAGGCGCCGCGTTATATCACCCGGAAAGCCATCTCAAATCTCAAGGATCCATCTAAAAATAAGCCGCCCGCATCCACGATGTTAGTAATTAATCAAAGCGAACGAGAAAATTGATGGGTGCGCTGGATAATTTTCTTTCTGAACTAATTTTTCTTCAAATACCGTAGTCGCTGTCGCTATATTTCATTAGACGTGCTATTTGAAAATTACCATCCTTCTCTATAATTATTTAAAAAAAAGATCTTTCCAGTAAATTTTATAGAAAAACGAAAAATTTTTTTGAGAAGGCAGAGACAGCTGTAGAAAAGGACCTTGAACTGAAACAGTTTCACAATTTTATTGAAAATCAAATTGCAAATTTCTTAATTTTTTTCGGAAAGCCGAACTTCAAGCTACTTTTTTTATGATGTATCAAAAAAATTTTTCATAAATTTGACTTCATTTGCTATCTCTCTTCTATCTCAGGTATTGAAAGTCACATAGATCTTTCATCATCTAAAGTTCAACTGCAAAGAACTCATTGCCCCTTTTTTCAAAGTTTTGAATTGGCCTTTTTTTTCAAACAGTTTGGTCAAAAATTGAGAGCAAAATAAGACTCTTCAGCTTTTTTTTTCATATTAATTGAAAATTGTTACTTTTTTCTAACATCTTTCTCATATCGAAAAGGAAAAGTCCGTTTTCAAAATAAGCTTCCAGGGTGCTGGCGGAAGAAATGCGCAAAGTGCTGATTCAGTTGAATCAGCGTGGAAAGGACACGGCTTTCGCTCCACACGAATTCCACCACGTTGTGACGAGCATCAAGCCTTCTTTTCGGTTCGGCCAAAGCCATAAACCGAAAAATAAGGCAAAATCTGTTCAGCGGATTTGGGCAGCACGATGCCCACGAGTTCCTGCGCGTGATCCTGGAGCGGATGCACCAGGAATTGCGCCGGTGCCGGATCCCCGAAATGACTGAACAGTGGCTGACCGACGAGTGCGGTCCGGCTCCGGTCATGCCTAGTGGCTCCGTCGTTTCGCGAATTTTCGAAGGCGCCTTGCAAAGTCAAGTCATTTGCCTGTCTTGCAAGACGCCTAGCATTAAAATGGACCCGTTCTTGGGTGGGTTTTTGGCGATTTGACATAAACACATTCGATTATGTACTGTTCAGAATGAAACAAAAGATATTTTCCGTTAAGGTGTGGACATTTTTTTCCGATTGGCGTTTTTAAAAGAAGCGTAAAAAATACGAAAAGTATTCAGGCTCTGTTTTTTTTAAACTTGACCTTTACATTTCCTAACTGATTTTTTTTTCCGGCAAATAGTGTCCGTATTGAAAGTAGGTCAGCTTTGCGATTAAAAAGAAACCCATTTTTTTGATAAGTTCATAAAAAAATTTGTTAATTTTTTTAGATATTTCCCTGGATTTGAACATCCGAGGGACCGGGAACAATACCCGGCTCGTCGACTGCATGCGAAGCTTTTTCGCCAAGGAAACCCTCGACCAGCACGAACAGTACATGTGCGGTCATTGCGGCACAAAACAGCCGTCGACCAAGCAGCTTTTCGTCAAAGTTCTGCCAAATGTACCAGAAACACTCGAATAAAATTAAAATCGTCCGTTTTTCAGCTTCTTTGCGTCCATTTGAAGCGATTCCGCGCCAACGGTATGAAGAACGATCCGGCCGTCGATTTCCCAATTTCGGGCCTAGATATCAAAGATTTTATGGCACCGGTAATTAAATGAATCGTTCTCCCTCGTTACTAGTTCCTTGTTTTTTCAGGCCAGTGATAAGCGAGAATCGACGGTATTTGGCCTTTCCGCTATCATTGTTCATTCGGGCGCAAGGTAGATATTTGTGAAAAAAAAAGGATTTTTGTAATGGCATGTGCTTTCGTGCGAGGAAAACATTATCGTGACTCATTCGCATTTGTTTTTTTTTAATGTGTTTGTCTCGGAAATTTCATTCCTGGCGCCGTTTCCATGGCTACCACTTTTTCTGTGTTTTTTATGTGCGCACAGCCTTAGGAGATGAGAAAATGCATTTTTCAAAATGCGGAAGGATTATGGTAATAGGGTTCTGAAAATTCAGGAAAGGGGACGTATTGAACATTTTTGAATATATTTTCATGGTAATTTTTGAAATACGAAGCTTTTGAGAGTTTAAAAGCTGAGCAAATTGTGAGAATATCGAACAAAAAAAATCAGTCTGAAGTTTGAGTTTTAAATTCAATTTCATTTTTTTCTGCAACAAACTAACTTCGAGTTTCTAATTAATAGAATTTCGCCCAAGTTCCCTTTTTCTCTAAGTGAAGTTTGAAGAAATAATAAGGTGAAGTTTGAAAATTCCAGTTCCGTAGTTCTTCGAAAACGAGAAAATTGCGCTTTTTTAAAACATGTTGAGGAAATGCCACATCACCAATTTAAAAAAAAATTTTTCTTAATGATTTTTTTCTGCAAAGTAGTATGTTAATGAGGGCTGATGAAACGATCACCTAAAATAAGAACTTTTTTAGGATATAATTTGTTTCTATTGCCATGAGAAATTAAAAAAAGATAAAAAAAATGAACAAATTTACCGAATCAGAAGTTATTTTTGTTTTTCCAGCACGAGCAGCGGTCACTACGTGGCCTACTGCTACCACGAGGGCTTCTGGTTCTACTTCAGCGACCACACGGTCCGATTGGTTGCCGAATCGATCGTCCAGACCCAGAAACCTTACCTCCTCTTCTACACACGACGAAACGATCCCACAACCGTCCATTCTTCCTCCGGAAGCTCCCCCAACACCAGTGGCTACTCTGGCTCGCCTTCTCATCATTCCGGCGATTCCACCCTTTTCTATGCTCAAAACTAATTCGCTCAGCTGTCATCTTTCCCTTTCGTAGTCAGAAACTCTCTCATATTTTAATCGCTATCTCTCCAATTGTAGTCGGTTTTGATCTATGGGCATCCGTGATTCTTCAGGAAATCTTTTTCATTGGCTTTTTCTGTTTTGTACAACTCCATTTTTCATTGGACATATCATGTGCGTTCAACGAAAGCTTCTTCATGTGTTATTCCTGTAATTAACCATTTTCTATTCCTATTCTTGGTTTTGGATCGATCGCTAGGGTGACTGAGATGTGTATGTACCCATCCTTTTTGGATCTTCTGAGCGGTGTTTTCGTCTTTCTCTCCTCTCTTATTCAGTGAGCTTTGTACTCGCAAGCTTTTCCTTCCCTTTCTCAACTTCCCGAGTTTCCATTTGCCATCAGAATACTTTTTAAGGCTTGGGTTACTTTTTTTTGGGTAAATTATAGTTGAACAACTGGCATATGGATGGCTACGAGAAAACGGGGTTGACTCTTTTTCTTTTCTTTTTTGATGAACTTCTTTGTCTTTCATAGTTTCTATTTTCTATGTAATTAACTGTCCCATTCAATTTGACACCATTCGAACGTTTTATTCAGCCCATTTCCCCAGAATTTATTGAGATTTTCTTTTCATTTTAGCGCGGTTTTCTCTTCATGCAAGGAATTCTTCATATCATGTTTTTTTTATTGATTTTGACGCATACCGGAAAGAAGTTTGCTTGAAATAATGCTTGTCAGTTTTACTCATTCGTATGTTTTTTTCTAATGGAAAGTATTATGTAGTTTGTCCCTTTGTTCATCTTCAGTGTTGAATCGTACACGACAGCAGCTGTTGTTTCGAGGCTATCGGCTATAGACTTCAATTTTCCATGTGGATTTTTTCAATAAAATTCTAAAAACCATCGAGTTTTCGATTTTGGGAACGTGTTTTTTTGGTAAATACACAATTTATTTGAGGATTTATAGGAAAATAGTCTTTTGAAGAGTCCTTTTAGTGGTTTTTAATACAGCATGGACAAAACTTTCAGAATTATCGAAAATATTCTTCCATTTCAGTGATTCTTTTGTGGAATTCAAAACCTCCTTGTCTTCAAAAATTTAAAAGTAAAAGAGTTTAGAAAAGAGGTTAAAAAAAAAGGCGAACCGTAAATAATCCCAAAGCAAACGCGCCCTATTGAGAATTTTAATAGACGAGCGAAATTCGAACTTTCCAATCCCATCGTTTTTTTCTATTTTACCTCTTTCCTAATTCTATAAAACATTGAAATTCAGTCTTTGTGATGGAAGAAGAGGAGGAATACCAAGAATTGAAGCCCAGTTGTTCCAGCAATGGACATTGGGGCGAAATTTCTCAGTTTTTCAACAGACATCATGAAAGAAATCTGGCCGAGAGGTGGAATTTGGTAATTTTGCGCTCAATTTTCTTCATCTGAACTGAAATAATGTTCAGTTTCGTGGGGACGAAGAAAGTTCGAGCGGAAATAAGGAATATGATCATTTGGCTAATATTGCCAGCGTTTACAGGACGGCCACGGTTCCTATGAAGGTTGGGATACATTTTTTTTTTCGAATTGGATTATTTTCCGGGTACTCAATCGTTTTTCCGTAAGATTAAGAATTGAAAGTTGAAGTTTGAAGAAAAGTCCAAATTTTCTTTTTCCTAGTTTGAAGGGTATTTTTGCATTTTAAGTCGTGATAAATGAACTTTAAAGGCTGAAAAAAAGTGATTCTGATTATTTAAAATTTAATAAAAAAATTTAATAATTTTGAAAAAAAGAACTTGAAAAAAATTACGTTCTCTGGAGAGAAAAAAATCGAATTTTGGCCTGAAAATTGCTTAACTTTCTTGTTTTTTTCTAGTTAATTTCAAAAAACCTTTTAAATCAATTTCTAATGCCCTGAGGAACTAAATTAATCAAATAATTGATAAGTTATTATTTGAAAAAGTTTCCAAAAAAAGCATTATTTTAAAGAAAAATATCAAGTTTCCGGCGTGAGAAAAATCGAGAAAAAAAGAAAAAAATTAGAAAAAAATCTGTTAAAAATTTTTTTATTTTTTTTCGAAAAAAATGAATGTATTTTTCAAGTTTTCTTCAGCAAAAAGAAGGGAAAACGTCGTTTACCTGCGAACTTTGCCTCGAAGAAAAAACCTACGAATTGCCGAGATCGGAAATCGGAAAAATTGATCGTTCATCGGCACCGGCATCTTCAGAAGCACGTGTTTCATGTGGTAGGTTGTTAATATTTCAGGAAACATTGAAAGAAATTCGGAGAAATAATTGAACTTTCTGTTTCAATTCTTTAATATTATAGTTTTGGACTTTAGAAGATTAATTGGCATGCTGGAAAGTGCGCGCTGTGCGCACTCTTTTCTCGTGCGCACGTAAGGAAAATGCGCACTCTTTTTTCAAATTTTGTACAGGAAATTGCGCGCTCTTTCTAACATCAGGAAAATGCGCACGGTTATCAAATTCCGCTCTTTTCAAGATTGAAGTCCACATAAACCATCTCACTTTTCTCTTTGTCATGAAGAAATCTTTCAGCTAAAGATGAATTGAACATCTTTTGATTATTTGATAATTTATGGAGAATATTTCTTATCAGGAAATGGTCTGCGGTCACTTCGGAATGAGACCAGGTGTATTTTTTTGCAAAAAGTGAGATGCTCTTTTTGAGACCAAGCTGATTCCAAGCTTGGTCTCAAAAAGCTGCCGCAAAAATCTGCTAAAAAAAGTGAGATGCTCTCAAAAATATACAGATCTTTTCCATCTGATAACATTAAACAATACAGGGTGGAGGAATAATTACTGCGACAAAAGTTTTTTTAGCATTTGCTCTCGCCGACCCGAGCTCATTTTTTTGTTCCAGTCATTATTCCTACCTTCATCAAAGCCTTCTTCTATAATATGATGACCGCCGTGCCACGCTGACTTTCGGAAAAAGTCGTTTCTGCCTTTTGGGCGTTTATGGCAAAAGCAGGCAGGCTTGGCTATGAAGGCCTGAAGCCCCCTAGCCCTTGATTTTTTTAATTTCGAAAAAAAGCGCGGGCTCGGGCCAGAGATTCAAGAAACTTTTTTTATTTCATTAAAAAAATTTTCACCGAAAAAAATTATTTTTTTACATGTTTAATCACATTTTTTTAATAACTCAATGAAGAAAAAAATAAGCAAAAAAACCCCGCTTTTCTCGTTAAAAACAGCTAAAAATTTCGAAATGAAGAAAAATTTGATTATTCGATAAGGTCGCCCTGAAGCTCAGTTTGAACGTATTTTTTTTAAGGTTTCGATTCTCGAAATTGATAACGATTCACGTCTATGTAAGCCTGTCAATTGACAGGAATCGAAAAATTGAAGGAATTTTTTTTCCGAAAAAAATAGACATGTGTCTCTACTTGGCACGCTGTTTGGATGCTCTTCATAGGTGAATCGAGAAAGGTTATCGCGAGACCCTCTGAGGCATATCGCAGGGTCTGAAGCCTATCGATGGTAACCCGAGTATACCTCTGAGGACTTTGAGCAAAAATGAGATAGACTTGAGGGAGACTCTAAAGTACCTCCGAGATAGCTCCGATATAGCTAAAAAGGTATGCTGGAGGTCTCACGATGGACACATTATGGGGCCTTCACGATCCATTTTGAGAGGAATTTTTTTGTGGAAAAAAATAAAAGGTGCCCTTCTGATTCGTCTGTGTTTGTACAGACAAAAAAAAAGTACATCATCGAAGCTCTCAAGAACGGTCAAAACCCCAGAGTATTTGCAGCAACACTCACTGTTGCTAATATTAATGATTGGGCTATTTTACTATTCTATCATCCGAAATACGCTATTTTGCTTGAAACTTCGTAAAACGGCAAAACTCAGCTTTTTCGAGTCTCTGTAAGAGATGAGGTCAACTCAGAGAGCAGTAAACAAAACAATTTGAAAGGTGTGTACCTTTTTTCTCAGTACCTTATGGGGTTTAGCAGATAGTATTGCCTGTTTTTAAGTACCCTTACTTACTAGGGAACTACTCGGACTCGGGTACGCGGATCGAATTCAAACTTTAGTGGTTTATAGACCTAAGTGGGAACACTTGAAAACAAGTGAGAATATCTGCTAAACCCAATAGAGAACTGAGAAAAAAAGTTATTAGAAAATGTGAAAAATTAGACCTGAAAAATTTTCAGAATACTGCTTTTTACCTTATTTAATATTTTAATAAAAATCGCCTTGAATGATCCGGCTATGATAAACACTAAAAAAACTTTTTTTCCAGCCAAAAGAAGGATGAAAGCAAAAAATTTGATAGTTTTCAAGCCTAAACTGTTCATTTTCAAAAAAAGCTTTTTCTCAGAAGCCTATAGGGTTTAGCATATAAACTCTCTTGTTTCCAAGTACTTTTTACCCGGGTCTATAAGCCACCAAAGTTTTAACTCGATCCTTGAATGCGAGTTCGCGTAGTTCTCTAGTCAGCTCAAAGCCAATTTTTCGAGTCCTTATCGTAAGGTCTTATCCGGTTAGAAAAAAATGGAGTCTTGTTCTTTTTCTGTTATCCCATTGACTCCAAAAATTTTTTTGAGAAACTTCAATGTGCCTCTTGTAACAGTACACACCAGTTTGCCTACTGACTTTTTGGCCGTTCTGCTCAAAAAAACAAAAAAACTGATTTCGACCATCTGCGTACCGCAGTCAATTGGGTGCCACTACATTTTTCGAGCGGCAGTTCATGTTAATTTTTTTGATTAAATCCCTGTAAAAACTTTATAAAAAAATAATTGTGAGTTCCCGGTCTTTATTGACTATTGACAATTGACATATTGACAGCTCCTTCATTTTGTCGCAGTAATAATTCATCACCCTGTAAATTTTTCTTCAGAAATATTTTTGAGCCTCGTAAGGTCCTTTTCGATTTGTATTTCACATATTTCCCTTTTATAATATAGTTTGTCCATGTTTTGAGTTTCAAGCAGCAATCTCTGCCCCAAACAAAGCCTGTGAGTGGCTCGTTCTCTGATTGGTTTGATCTACACATAAGAGGCGGAGTTCGACCGATGACTTGATATTCAAATTCTGAACAAACTATAAACGCCGACTTTGGCTTTCTTCGGAAAAATAACATTACAAAAATTTAAAAAAACACATTATCACGTGAAGGGTAAATCAGTCTGACCAGTCTAGTGACCGCCTGGTATTATTATTGAAAAAGATGAATGCTGAAAAATCAGTTATATAAACTTCAAATAATCCGAAAGGACAAGATTTGATAACCGTGCGCATTTTCCTGTTGTTAGAAAGAGAGCGCAATTTCCTGTACAAAATTTGAAAAAAGAGTGCGCATTTTCCTTACGTGCGCACGAGAAAAGAGTGCGCACAGCGCGCACTTTCCAGCATGCCAGATTAATTCTATTGTTGAAAGGAACTCAATATTATGGACTATATCGTAGTGAGAGTAACGCTATGCCGCGAGCGATATCGCTTTTTCTTTTTCTGCGATGTCGCAGAAGTCTTTCGCTATATCGCTCTGAAAAATGTTTTCTTTAATTTGATTCATTTAATCATAAAAATAAAAATAAAGCAAAAAAATTTATTTTATTCTCAAATTTATGAGAGGTGCAGCAGGCAGTTTTGTTGGATGGAGTTTGTAATTATTTCAAAGTTGCGAAAATGTGTTAGAGAAAATTGGGACTATCAGTAAAAAAAAATAAATTCAAAAAAAGTTCTATAACTAAAAATGAACTTATTATTCAGCCCGGCGACGTCTGTCCAATTTGTGCGGTCATTTTGCCCCGCGGAACTCTCATCGATCATTTTGTAATGACTCATCAAGGTTATTTCTCAACAATTTCCAGAAAAATCAATGTTACTTTAAAAAAAAAGTTGGCTTGATACGAGTTAGCCGCGCGGAGGATGGCTCAACTACACGTTGAGGCCAACTAATTTTTTTAGTTTTTTTCGGAAAATTGGAAGATTTCAATGGAACGCGAATAATGAAAAAAACTCTACTTTTCAAAAATCACAGTTTTATAACTTGAAAAAAAGTTGGCTTGATACGAGTTAGCCGCGCGGAGAGTGGCTCAACTACACGTTGTTCATTTTTTTGAATCACTTTGAGAAGTTTGAGAAGTCACTGGAAAGCTTGAAATGAATAAAATCGATTTATACCTACCACGTTTTTGAAAAATCACAGTTTTTTTGCTCAAAATTATGAAAAAAGGACCTTTTTTTATTCTCGGTTGAACTTTTTGATTCAAAGTTGCGAATGAACCTCATAAATCAAGTTAAAAAAATTTCCCAATATAAGTATAGATTGCGGATTTTCTCCTGATTTTATTCTTGAAATTTTTTTAATTTTTTTAAAAAGTAGATATTTTGAATATCCCGAACCAGATTAAAGAGATTGAAGCTTGAACTCAAAAAAATAAAAAAATTTTTTTCTCTTTTTCATAGTTAAAAGAAAGCATTTCTGGGTTTTTAAGCTGTGATGAATGAACTCCACATTGTTAAAAAAATTTCTGAGTGCTCAAAAATTGGACAAAACCATGATTATTATAAAAAAAATCTAATTGCTTTTCTCTTTTCATAAAAAGCGATTATCTCATAGTTCCTTTTTTCAAAATATTTCTAAATTTTTCAGAAGTTTTCGAAATCGTAGACGACGTTAAAAATCGCGACCTCGACGTCATCGACTTCAATTCCCACGCGGAGACTTTGATCCATGAAGAGTATCATTTTATTTTGAAACAGTAAACAAAGGTTTCTTTGAGGCTTTTCGACGCAAAATTGTCGAGAAACGCGACGGTTCGATATAAGCAGATCGGCCGTCGAAAGTCCCTTTTTCAGGCTTTTGTCGCTTTTGGTGAGAATCCGGTGCTACAAAAAGAGCGATTTTTCATTTTTCGAAGGGTACTGTATGTAAAAGTCAGCAATGAGTGTGTTTACGTATTTTTTGCGTTATACTCGTGTTACCCATTTTGATTTTGATTTCTATGTTTTTGTTTCATAATGGATCAGAATGTATAGGTAATTCAACTTTTTTCTAAATTTCTAGTCCATTTTCATAAAATTTGGAACAAACCTGGGTAGAAAAAACGCGGAGACACTAAAAGTGTGCAAACACGCCAAATGCGGACTTTCCCATACCGTAGTCTTGGGAAAATGGAAAAAATTCCAGTGGCCACTTTAGGGTTTCGACGTATTAGAGACCATTGCAGTAGTCGAATTAGGGACCACTCAAGTGGCTAAAATTTAGTGAGCCTTTTAGGGATCTAACTGGTAATACTACTTCACTAAAATCTACTGTAATGGCCGTTAAGACGAAAAATAAAGGCTTCTATGGAGGTTTTTTTCAGTGACCTCTATAGTGTCCTTGAGGAACCTCTTAAGTGGCCCCTAGAAGTTTTCCAGTTTCGTATTATCAACTTTTGTTGTTTCAGATGGACGCCGGCAGTCTTTTATCGATGATTACCGGGGAAATAAAGACGTTTCCTTCATTTTCCGATTAGCCCTCGTCAAAAAAAGGCCAGCCTATCGGTGGTTCGTTTCATGGGAACTAGATAATTTCAAACTTTCAAGCCAAATTGAAACAGAAATAAAATTTTTAATTCTAAAAAATTTGCCAAACCCTTCACGGAACAGGTTTCAAATTTTTATTTTAACGAAAAAAGTTTTTTCTGTATTAATAATAATAATATTCTCTCATGGAAGTATGAGAAATCTTAAACGTTCATTTTTGAATCATATTTCTAAGAAATTGCTAAAAAATGGCTATTCTGTCAAGTTGGATCAGTGAAAATGCATTGAAAAAATGTTCATTAAAAAAAAAGAAATTATTCCCATAGTGAGAGCTTTATTGATGTTTATAGAAATTTCAGTGGCTTTTTTTAAAAAAATTTTTTTCAGTTATTGAATCTTAATTGTGTTCTGTGATATCCAAAAAATCTGCACTTCAACTAAAACATTTTTTAAAGGCTTAGAAGTCTTTTTTCCCCCACTTCAAACCCTATTCTTGTATTTTCTAATGCTCCTTCAATCACCCCAGCTGGGATTCTTTAAAAAGCTCTAAAAAACCTATTTTTTCGTGAAAAACATTATTTTTAAGGTATTGTGTCCTATGTGAAGAAGAGCATTTCCAAGATCTCCGCTTTTACGACGATATTTCCGTCAAAATTTTCGCCCTGGCCCATTTGATCGAGAAACATAACCAGTACATGGACGACATGTATGGCGCCGATGTGTTGGACAATGAATTGTAGGTTTTTTCAAGGATTTTGACCTGAAAATAGGAAAAAAAAATCCGCTTTGAGTTGGTCAATTGCGCTCTGATGAAAAGATAACTGTTTCTCACTCTTTTTTTGATGTTTCTTGTTTTATTCTATCTTGTTTTCTTTGTTCCTGGGCTTTTAATGCTTTTAGACGCTGTTAAAAAAAAAAGAAAAAAATAGCCGTTTTGAAATGATTAATTGCGCTCTAATGACAAAAAAAATTGCCTCAGTTTATTTTTTCTATGTTATACAGTGCGGGACAAAAACTATAAGACCCCCTGGTTTTTTTCAAGTTTTTTTGGAAAAAGACATATCCTAGAAAAAAATTGTTAATGTCAATAAATTTTGCGTATTTGAAAAACCTACGCATACCAAATTTGGTCTCTGTCAGTTGCCGTTGAAGCGAATGAGAAAGGAAAAACGAAAAATCAGGCGGGACAAAACTATAAGACCCCCTCACTTTTTTGATTAAAATCAAACTTTTACCCAGAATCTCTTTCACTGTTCCAATAAATTTCTGTTCATAACAACTTTGAGCATCTTTCAGCTGCGGTTGAACTTCTTTTCAATTTGAGAAATCTACGAAATTTGTTTTAAATTTTGAATTTTTGTTCTTTGGAAACTTTGGGCTTTCTGCCTGTTTCGTTTCAGAGAGCAACCAGAAATTAGGTTACATTACTGAAGGTTAAACATTTGAGAATGATTTTATAGCAAAAAAAACCCGATCAAAAAGTTTGAAAGACTCGAAAAATATGACTTTTTGATGATCAAAACCGTCATTCTATCGGGTTGAGGCTGAAATTCCAAGTATTACTCCATGAGATGATACTCGACAAAGAAGAATTAGTCTTGGCATGTACTCAAGAAACTTCAGCTTCTCATCGGATACACTCTCCAGAAACGCTGCAAAATGCGTAATAGGTTTCGGCAAAATGCACGCTAACTTTGTTGCACACTGCACTGCCTATGCATTGAACATGAAAAAAAGGCAGAATGCATTGTGCAAAAAGTGGCACGCCTTGTGTAATTTGAAGTCTAAAGGCACACTATTTAGTTTGCTAACAACTGTTTTTAAAAAGTCCTTTGGTTCACTTTGATGGTCTTTTTCAGAAACTAACTTTTTTTCGTTTTATTTTTTTATTTGTGCTCTGAATTGTTTCCAACCATTAATAGAGCAACATGTACACAATTCAAAAAAATTTTTGAAAAATTTTGAAATTATATAAAATTAAAAAAATCGTTTTATGGGTCGGTTAACTTTTTCCCATTATTGACGTCAATCAAAATGGGTAGAGGCTGAAGCGAACAAAATTTTTTTCTCGGTTTTTCGCATCAAAGTTTTATTTGAAACGTTCTTAAACACGTTTCCAGCTTATTTGAAGCTTCATTAGCATGTGTATCATGTAGTAATATTTGGAATTTCAGCCTCAACCCGATAGAATGACGGTTTTGATCATCAAAAAGTCATATTTTTCGAGTCTTTCAAACTTTTTGATCGGTTTTTTTGCTATACAAACATTCTCAAATATTTAACCTTCAGTAATGTAACATAATTTCTGGTTGCTCTCTGAAACGAAACAGCCAGAAAGCCCAAAGTCTCCAAGAAATCAAAAATTCAAAAATTAAAACAAATTTCGTAGATTTCTCAAACTGAAAAGAAGTTCAACCGTAGTTGGAAGATGCTCAAAGTTGTTATGAATAGAAATTTATTGGAACAGTCAAAGTGATTCTGGGTAAAAGTTTGATTTTAATCAAAAAAGTGAGGGGGTCTTATAGTTTTGTCCCGCCTGATTTTTCGTTTTTCCTTTCTCATTCGCTTCAACGGCAACCGACAGAGACCAAATTTGGTATGCGTAGGTTTTCAAATACGCAAAATCTATTGACATTAACAATTTTTTTCTAGGACATCTGCCTTTTCCAAAAACTTGAAAAACCAGGGGGGTCTTATAGTTTTGTCCCGCACTGTATTAAACTTATCTACACCTATATTTTTGGTTTTTGTGTTTTTTTAAATTGATATTTTTTTCCCTTTTTCTGCTTTTTTTATTGCCGTTAAAATTCAATCAGAGTCATAAAATTCAAAATAGCCGTTTTAAAAATTGTTAATTCCGCTCTGATGATATCAAGTTTTAGATTTTTTCATATGATATTATATGCTCAACTACACTTTTTTTGTTCCTAAGCATTCTAGGTTCATATTTTTGCTCTTTTTCGCTATCGGATGACGTCAAAAAGTTTGATAAAAAAACAATAAAAATTAAAAAAATAGCCGTTATTCGTAGATCGACTGCGCTCCATCGATAAAAAAATTCCAAAAATTGAAATTTGCTGATTATCCAATGAGATTCTAGTTTTTTTCTTGATTAAACTCCAATTTAAAAAAATTTAAAAAAATAGCTTTCTAAAAAGTAATCAAGTTTGCTCCATTGATAAAAAAAGTTCAAATTTAAATAAATTTCAAGTCTTTGTCTTGTAAAAATATTGAAGTTTTTTTCCGTTTTTTTCAGAAATTAATTGAATAAATTTAGGTTATTTTATTTTTTTGATGACATGACTTTGTTCAAACATGCTGAATTTTTTTCTAGTTTTTTTGGAAAAAAATTCTGTTAATTTCAGGGAAATACTGGAAAAGGAATTCGCGACTCCAATAAGAAAATTAATAAAGGAAGTGATACGAAGGAGAAATGTCGTGGGAAGGTTTGTATTCAGAAAAAGAAAAATTGAAAAATGATGATTTTGAGATTTTTAGGGCTTAAAATTGAGAAGAAAATTTTGATGGATTTTGAAGTTTTTCATATTGGACGGATAACCATAAAAAGTGTTCATAGGCAAAGTCGGAAAGGGTGGAAAAAGGCTCCATAAATGGCCCTTTAAGGGGGAAAAATACTCCCTTTTTGCTGCCTTTTTGCGCCATTTTCTCAGCCCTTATGCACCATTTTTGCTGCCTCTCTTTTTCTCCACCATTTCTCGAGCCTTTAAAATCCCAGAAAAATGGAAGGCTTGATAAAGGGACTCTATTTGATGCCTTTTTGGAGCCTTTTTTGAGCCTCTCAGTGGCCATCATCCATAATTCCGACTTTGCCCGAGTTCTTTCAAAACCGCTCTATATTCACGAAACCCTTTATCTAATTTTGATCGACTTTTCAAGTGAATTTGCTCCAAATGAACGTTTCCAGAAGCGGTAGAACGTTTTATTTACTGGGCGTCCGCGAAATGAACGTGATTCTGTTGTCGGAAATGATCGCCCGTGGCGGTTATGAGGTTTTTTTTAATCAAAGGAAATTAGCCAGTAAATAAAAAAGAATTCAGATATTAATGCCATATTGTAGAGTTTTTACCGTCGCATTTAAAAATTTTGTACTTGAAGTAACCCAAAAATGACTATTTTTTGAGAAAAAGTGAATTTTTTGAATTTCGCGCCAAGACAAAAAAGAACGAGGTGTAGAAAGTTTGCATTCTAATATTCAGAAAAAATATTTTAATGGTCAGACATTTCAAAAATCTATCTTAGAGAGAAGCTTTCATGCCGCGGAGGAAAACAGGAAAAATTAAAATTGAGAGAAAATGAGAAAAATTGAAATAATTTTTGTTTTCAGAGCAACTGTGCAATCGAAAATAACTTTTGTCCATGGAGCAACTTTGCTCCGAAATTCACATTCAGCGGAAATTCGAACTTTTTCTTCAAATTGATTCTATTTGGAAAATGGGAACTTCTGCGCAGTTTTAAGGAAAAATTTTGAGACTCAATAAAAAGCTCTACAAGATGACATTAACGTCTCAAAAGTCATTTTTTACTGGCAATATTATTTTCATAGCAATAACAACAAATCAGATTTTCCTACAGAACATAATTATTGAAGACGCGAAAGTTTGCGTTTTTTGTCTCCGTTTGGTCGCCGAGTGCTGGTCTCATTTCACACAATCCACTCATGATTGTTTGAAAGCGTGCGTTTTTTTTCTTCTATAGATTTTCTGTGTAATCAACTTGAAGCTTAAGTTCTGGTTCATTGAAAACAGTTTTTCAAGTTTTACTAAGAAACTGCAGAGTGGTCCCTAGAGGGGCGACGTTTGGGGCTCTTGAAGGTTCCTTGCTAGGAACCGTTTTACTCTATGGAACGCTAATTTCTCAGTAGACCTTTTAGGGATTCAGTTAGTGGCCACTTGAGGTTTATGAGCTTCGGGTTCAGACCTAAAACTCTTGTAGGGGCAATTATACGTTTCCTATAGAGGCTGTTTCCCCTGAACCCCTAGAGGGACCACTCTGTGGTGCCTAAGTAAGACTTTCTCAAAGTGGTTTCGATCTAGCGGTTAGAGAAAGAAAAAGATAACTGAATTTTGGAGATTCAGAGAAGTTTTTGATTTTTTACGGATATTACTTTGAACAGAATTTGCTATATTTTCATGGAAAAAATGAGGTTGTTTCGGACATTCTTTTAGAACGATTTGAAGCAATTTCAAGCCTTTGAAGTAAAATTTTTTGATCTTTTATCGAATTAAAAATTATTTAAAATGGCCTTTTTGACTTTAAAGTTTGATTTTCCACATTTTTTTCCAAATTTTTTTGAAATTAACCATTTTTGTAGGCACATAAAAACGACTGAGTTTCGTGAAGTCAGTGATGTTACAATTGATGATAAAATCACCGAAACGGACATGCCTCTGGCAATTTTTCGTTACGCGACTTTTTTCCGAGATTTGGTGGGTTTTCCAGATGAAAATACAGTTGCTTGCTTTGAAGCGTGTCTTATGTTCCAGCGCTAAAGTCGTTTTAGGTCGGGCTCCCTTCAAAGGAACCAAAAATTGTCGCTTCATAGTGTATCTCAACTGATTTTCAGTGGATCTAAAGATTTTTTCCCATCAATCAGTTTTTATTGAAGTAAAACAAGTTTAAGTATCGAAGAATCTGAATTTTTCAGTATAAAGATGGTCCAAAAACTTTTTTACCCATCACAAAATTTTGATTTATTTTCTATCGATGTGCAATGAAATTGAGTCTGAAGGCCATGATTTTTATGTATCTGAAGGATATTCGACTTCAGCCGGCGCTAAAAGAACGGACAGCGATGCTTTTCAAGTGGAGATGTGTGTTGGAAGGCGAAAAATGCGGGAAAATCTACGAATTTCCGACCCTGATCCTCCTGAGGATGTTCGCCTTGCGACATTTTCAAAATCAACACGGGGAATTATTCAATCCGAAATTTATTTCCTTTGAATGGTGGGTTCGTCTCGTTTCGACTCAAGATGTTTTCGAGAAAAAAAAAATAGAATTTTTGTATGCAGAAAATTTAAAAAAAATTATGGCGTAAAATATGACGTTTCGGTCGTAAGGGGTTGCACCGAAAGCAAATAAATCCACGCGCAGTTTTAGATTTTTTTATTATTATTTTTTTTGTTTTTTTAATATCTCTTTGGGCTTTTTTTCGAATGTGTTTTTTTGACACAAAAATTTATACTTTTTTTCAAATGTCTCGAAATCGAAAAAAAGAAATATTTTATGAGAATTTATTCCGTCTCGAGATCAAAAAACCCGGTCTCGGGCATCCCCGGTTCCGAGAAAAAGAAAATAATGGGAAACAAGGCCCATAATTTCCTGGCACGGATAATTGTGTGTGTGGTGAAAAGAAATTGGATTTTTCGGCCATTATCCAAGAAACCGATTGTTTTTCTTCAGGGGACTGGTTTCGAGGGATTTGAGGGTGAAGTTCAATTTTTCGACTTTTGATCAGCCTCGAGATTTGACGCGAGGAACTTTTGAACACACGTTTGGGATGCTTGATAATGAAAGAAAAATGAAAATTTCAGGGATCCCAATGATTTTGTGCTCCCGTACCAGAAGCAAATGCTCGAGGATGAGTTCAAAAATGATTATAAGGTCTTTTTTGGAAATTCTCCACAAAAAATGTCATTTAAAAAGTTCTGTCTGACTCTGTCTATATTTTGAATGTCAGAAAACGCTCTGCGAATAGCTCGCTCTCTGATTGGTTCATCGCGCCATTAGGGGCGGAGCTTGAGCGAGGACTTGACATTTAAAATATGAACGGACTGAAAAGTTAGGAAAAAAGTTCAGATCATATTCCCGATTCAAATTATTTATAAAAAGAATCGGTTCCTAATAACGTGAGATCATATTCTATGAATAGGCGAAAAAAAGAATTTTCAAGAAATTTTTTTATTTTTTTGGTTTTTTTGTAAGAACATCGCATTCTTAAGTTTTTTTGAACATGATTTGAGAAAAGTTTTCTTTAAATAAATAAAAATAAAGAATATTAAAAAAATTGCTAGTAATAGAAAAAATTTTTTCCTTGCCCTCTCCTCATAGGAAAATTAGAAATTTCAAAAAAAAAATTCCCATTTCCTGGCGTTCAGGTGTGTGGATTTTGCTATCTTCCTTGCCATTCGGACGTCTTCGAGAAGCACATCGTTCGCCATGGTTATGTCGATAAAGGGTTCGAAATTCCCCAATTTCCCGGAAAATTATTCTGATTGTCTTCCAGAATCGTCCTCGTTCAGAATTCAAACAAAACCTTGAGCGGTTTGAAAAAATTGAAGAAGAAGTATCTCAAATCCAAGGTTTTGGAATTTTTTTTCAAAAAAAGATTTATACATTTTCAGCTTGGAACTCAACCTTTCCACATTTTCAAGCCCAAGGATGGGGAAGAGGAGGTTTTGATCGATTTTTTTTTGGTTATGAAGGAAAATAGTCTATTCACCACTGTTTTAGGCGAAAATTGCGATTTTCAAAGGTTCATTGTGTTTCTATTAGTTTTGAACGCGTGAAATGAAGGAAATTGAGAAAAAAATCACAAGTTAATCGATAAAAATTTGTGAAAAAAAGGAGTGAACATTTAAAGGCGCATGGACCGCGCCTCATGAATCATAACGACGCGAAAATTATTCTTTCATTTTTTTATTTTATTTTTTTGGTTTTTCGGGCGAATGTGGGCACTAGCATATGGTTCCACACTTATTGGCTGGAAACCTTTTTCCAAAAAGATTTAAAAATTTTTTTCTGGAGGATTATAGCCTTTTCACTGCTGTTTTAGGCCAAAAATTGTACTTTTCGATAATTTTTTCAATCAACTGAAAGACGAATGGTTCAAAGGAAGTTGTAAAAAAAATTAGAATCTAATTCTAGATTAAAAAAAGGGCTCAGGTTTAAAGACGCATGACCCACATATAAGAGGGTATCCCGACGCGAAAATCTGTCTGTATTTTTTTTTCGCATTTTTGGCTCAATCGAGTGGTGTGTTAAAGTGGAATATTTCAATCGATGAAATATTTCCGAAATTAAAGGCGCATGGACATCGATCATGAAAGTGTCTCGAAGCGAAAGTCAATTTTCGAACGTTTTTGGCTCTAAAGGCTAGTGAATGAACTGTAGTTTGATGCATTTGCGCCCCAGCGAATAAAAACCTGTTGACTGGCTGGACACGCCCCTTCTTGGCTGGAAGTTCAAAAATGATTCCGGGCATATATTAAGTTCGAATTTGAAAGAAAATAACTGCATTTTTCAAAATGTATACGATTTTGAGCAAAAATGTATATTTTTAGCGTACAAAGGAGGAGAAGAACGTACTATAACTATAATGAGAATACGATTTTATGGAAATTTTGTCTGATTTTGCTCGCCGAGTATAATTTCGAACAAAAATCCAGCGATTAAAATAGATTTTCCTTCTAGGAAGTCGTCGGGAAAGAGGAAGAAATAGCAGAAGTTGAGGATGATTCAGACGGAAATCAAGAGGTTTCGAAGAAATCCTTTTTTGAAAATAAAAGTCAGAACTTTAGGATTTTTCTGCTGATAACGATACCAATGTGACGTCGCTTTTCGATGTTTTGAACGGATATCAGGAGGTTTGACACGGGCTTCATTAGGAACACGGCATTCCCAAACGGGGTGGGAAGACGTCAAGAAGGCGCGAAAATTCAAATCTCAAGTACGCAGCCAAAGGCGAAACAGGCTATTAACGTTGGATACTTAGTGTAGAATGACGTCATTTTTTCCGGAGCGCGTACTTACTTTTTTGTAAATTCAGAAACTTTGACGCCTCGCTCACCCCCTTAAGAATGCCGTGAAGAATGGCTCGAAGTCGTTCGAGGTCGGGCGCAGAGAAATGATACGCACCGAAAGTTGAGCTTGATCTCGAGCGAAGAAATGAGCCTTTCTATGGAGTTTCATGAGGGCTTTAGGGAAAAGTCGTCGCTTTTTTTAGGATGAAATCTTCTCGAATTTTCAATCTTTGAAGGAGTTTTGGCTTTTATTAAGGTTTTAAAAGTCATGGAGCACTTATTTCTTCATAATATGGCCAGTTTCGAAATCGGATTTTCAAAATATCTATTTTTCTCATTTTCGCCAAATAATGCTCTCAAAAATCTTGATAAACAATTTTCTGCACTGAACATATTCCAATTTGAGGTCTGATGAGAAAAATTCGGTTTACAATATACTCCAATTTAGGGCCACTTGACCTTTTGGAACTTCTTAATAACCAAAAATCAAAAAAATTCAAAAATTCAGAATCAAAACATTTACGAAATTTGAAAATAACCTCAAACTAAAACTTCGAAAATCCGAAAAATGATCGATTTAAAAAATGACCAAGACCGACTTTTTCCGAATGCCTTGATAGGATTGAAAATCGAGAGTTAATCAAATAAAATCCCAAAAAAGGAGATTTCAGCAAAATGCGGATGAATCGACATTAATCTTGAGGAATCACGAAACTGAAAATGGAAACTTGCTTGAAAATGAAGAAAGTCAGCGAATTGACGATTTTTCGCATCCTGAATGCAATTCCGTTGTTCCGAGTAGTGGGGGAGTGTCTTCCGACTTGGTTAATCTTGTCCCGGAAGAGGAATCCGAAGATGTTGTTCAGGTATTTCCATTCATTTTTGAGAGAATGAAAGATTTTCTTAAGGGATCTTCTCCGAAAAAGGCGAAACATAAGTTCGTGGAGAGTTTTGGGAAGACTCCGTGAGTTTTGAGAAAAAAATTGGAAGATTTTTTTAGGATTTGAAAGGAGTTTTAGAAGTAAGATTGTTTTTTAAACTAGTTTCGAGATTCACGGGTCAAAAGCGAGAGAGTATGGAATAGTTGGAGAGTTTCAGACACTCAGAGAAAGCTTTATGTGTCTGGAGCTCTCCTCAATTTCCATGCTCTCTCTTTCTTTTGAATGTTCGACTTTTATTGAAATTTATTGGAAGTTGTTGTAGCACGTTTGAAATACGAAAAAGAAATCAAAAGTCACTTTTTTTTTCTTCCCGAAATCCCATCATTTTTCTAGCTTCGACGTGCAAACTTCGCCCAATTCTTCCGGGGAATCTTCGGAAAATGAGCAGGAAAATGAAGGAGAGAACCCGAATTTATATGACAGTTTGGTGCTGCCAAGGTGAAGTTTTGGATCGATCTCTGGACGGAAAAATAGAAAAATCACGTTGGTCCCACGGAAAATGGCTCAAATCGACGCGGCTTCTATGAGTTGCGTCCGACCTCGAAACGGTTTTCGCCTACCCGCATGAAAAGCTTGAAAAAAAGCCTAGCTTGAACCGCAATGCAACCGCGACGCGTTGATCCATTCCCAGTGCGACCAGAAACGGAAAATCTAAGAAAATCATGTATTTTCCCAAAAAATTATAGAGGCTGAATCATCAAATCCAATTCTCTTTGTTTATCATTGATTTTTTTAAAAAGGCAAAAGCGACATTATTGAAACGAAAGGGAAATTTTGGACCGGAGATTACGGTAGATTGAGCTTTTTGCTAGAATTCGAATTTTTCTGAGAAAAATCGCATGAAAACCTCTTTTGCCCGCCAAAAATTCTCTGACTTCTCTGTTCCCTCTTCTCCTCCAGTAATATTTTCAAGTTCCTATGACCTAATCAGTGAGATAAAAGAGAGCGCAGACAGGTTAGAGCAGGCTTTTTGTTTCGTCCTGAGATTTCAAGAATAAAACTCGATTTTTTTCAAACTTACTTAAAAATTTTCATTTTTTTTTTTGTAATTGATTTTTTTCAGTGCTTGTGATCGTATACGAAGCAATTTTGAAACGCCTTTTGATGGGTTAGTTACAAAAAAATGCATGCATTTCCGAGAATTATTCAGAATTTCAAGCTTTGAAGACGTTCACCCGGAAAGACAATTGGAAATTTTGGCTTCGATAAGGGACTTTATATGTATTTTTCTGTCAGGTTCATTCTTTTGATTTTTTTAGGTAATCATTGTATTTTTTTCGGATCCTGAAAATTTACAAAAAAAGGAAATTCTCTAATGGAATTTCGTGAAAAGAGAAGTCTTGTTCAAAGAGAAAAGCGAAAAAAAGAATTTGATGCTAGAATAAAAATTTTATAAAGCTCCAATTGAAATACTTTTCATATCATTATTTTTCATAAATTTCCCTTTTTTTATCTTCATTTTTTTAAAAATGAGCTATAAAAAGAAGTTTCAGCTGCTTAAATTTTGAAAAATTTCACATCTGAGCTCTTTTTTAATGGTAGATAGAGCTTGTCCCGGTAGGCACGTCTGTTCAGTCCGTCCGGTTTGGCATAGTGTAGGTTCAAATTGTGCATACACCGATCGCGGTTTTTGGGCAATATCATTCTTAATAACGAGTTTTTTGTACGAAAAAATAAACAAATTTAAAGAAAAACACAAAAAGAACATTAAAAGATAAAATTTAGTATTAACAATGGAGCTATTGTAAACGACAGCAAGTCTTGAAAAAGACGGCCTAATTTGAAAAAAATCCATTTTGTGAAAAAGTAGTTTTTTTGTGATTTTTTTCATCTATTAATGTCGAAAACAGCGGTCTTCATTTTATGAAATAGAAAAAAAGTGGTCGAAAATGGTCTAGTATGGCTAGCGGAGACGGCGCAGTGCAAATCGGAAGGGTCCCTGTAGGTCTGAACTGCTGAGCACGATAAATTTTTCCTTTCCAAAATAATTTAGTTTAAAGCCTTTATGATATTTCAAATCTCTTGAGACTAAGTTTTTCGTGATAGGAATACTTGAATAATGTGGTCGCACGTAAAATGGCTTATCAGGCTTGATATATCTTCCGTTCGTCAAACCAACTTTTCAGAAAGACTCAAAAACGGCCTCGCGAATAAAAATGCCCTCAAATCCTGATGAGATTGAATTATCGGTCCTAGCTCATTTAGTTCTTCGACATTTTCAAGAAAAGGAAGTTCAGGCGATTTTGAATCGAAGGAGGTGAAATTGGAACAAGGAAATGATAAAAAATGGAAATTTCAGACAGGAAATAGCGGAAAATTCTACCTTGAAGCTCCCTTCTTTCCTCCTACAGCCTTCCGAGAAGGTGGGAACTTCCTGTCGAGAAAATTCGAATAATAGTTGCTCCAGATGTTCTTGACCTGCTCTTCTTGCTGTTCTCACCAGGACAATCGTCTCACTTTCAACCGGAAACATTTCGACGTTTGTGTCCGGAGAATGGCCGGAGTTTATCGGAAAAAGAAGCCCGAACCGCGGCCCAAAAACGAGAAGGATTGTTCGAAGGAGAAATTGTCGGAAAGGTTCGGGATCGGCAGACTTCATTAAAAATAGAAAATGTGGTCTTGATCCTTTCAAAGTGATATAAGGGACGCCAGAGGGGTCCCTAGAGGGCATTCGAAGGTTCCCCTCTAGGGACAACGTAGCCCCTCCCTGGAGGGGACACTAAAGCTTCCAAAAGTGATAACTTAAGGGAAGCATTCTAGTGGTCCCTATACACCTTTTTACGTCATTACGTCCCTATACGTCATTTTAAGTTTAAAACCAAACCAAAAATTAAAAATCCCTTATAGGCACCGCTTGAATTTTACCCCTTTTGGAAGCACTATTTTGTCTTCTACAGGAGCTGTCTTTTCCTTGAACCCTCTAGGGATCCCTCTGGTGTTTTTAAGATAAGTGTGTAACCTTTGTGAAAGAAAAAAAGTTCTGGAAAACTCATTTTTCTGTGCTAAAAACCATGAATTTGCCACGTCTTTCAGTTTTCAAATCAGAAAAAAAGACCCCTATAGGCACCACTTGAATTTGACTCCTTTCGTGATCACTATTATGTCTTCTACAGGTTTTCTCTTCCCTAACCCCTTTAGGGACCACTCTAGCTTTTTCAAGTTAGATATGTAATCTTTATGTACGGAAAAAATCTTGAAAAACTCTGTTTTCTGGGCCAAAAAAAATGATATCGCCAATTTTTTATTGTAAAAAGGGGCGGGGCCTATGTACAGTCTGTTTTTTCCCAACACGAAAGAGCGGGACTTCTCTGCGCCCTCCTTCTCACCCTCTCATTTGCACGTGCTGTTTTCATGTTTCTCTCACCTCACCGGCCGAGGGAGAAGAGAGCGCAGACAAGTCAGACTGCTTCGAGTCGAGTATTGATCGAATTATTTTTAAGAACGCCAGAGTGGTCCCTAAAGGGGCGACCACCTGAAGGTTTCATTCTAGGGGCCACTTTACCTCCCCCTAGAGGGGAAAATGAAGCTTCCAAAAGTGACAACTTTAAAGGAGCATGCTAGTGGTCCCTATATAGCTGGTTCACGGCTGGCTTGAGCCATCGAAAAAAGGGTCCTGACACGATAATGCACCAGATAGTGCGTGTCTCTTGGAGAGCGCAGACAGGCCACGCCCCTTCAGCTTTCAAAGCTAGCCGCGAATCAGCTGTACGTCTTTTTAATTTTCAAATCTAAGCAAAACTTGAAAAACCCCTAAAGGGACCACTTGAGCATTAGGGGCTTAGAGGATAGACTCGTAAACTTAAAATCTTGAAAAACTCTTTTTTCTGGTTCATGTCATTTTTAAAGACTTTTCGCGACCTTAGATGCGAGGGAAAAGAGAGCGCAGACAAGTCAGACTTCTTCAAGTCGGCTAGAATGAAGTATAGCTGAGAATTTCCCCCTTTTTCAGTAGAACCTGTACGATTTGCGGTGACGTCATCAGGATCAAAGAGCATTATGATGCGGATACGGTAGAAGCCGTCCATCTGGCCACACATCTACCCAATCCGACGGCTCAAAAAGCGTTGAAAGACTTGGAGTTTGTTCATTTTTGGCCGAATCCCCTGAAAATCGCATTTTTTCAAGGGTAACCAACAAAGTTTCGCAAAAATGCCCGTTTCTGGACGTGGACCGGCTACTCCGACGCGTTGACCATTCGATCGATTTCGAAAAACCTCTTCTGGGCTGCGCGAAATGTGGATATACGACTGTTCGAATCCGATATCTATATAAACATGCGAAATTGAAGCATGATTTTGGAGAAAGTGAGGAAAGGTTGGTTTTGTGACCCAAAAGGATGGTTTTGCCCAGGGATTTCTTGAAATTTGACCAGAAAACTTTAATTCACTTCAGAAGATTCCAGAAAACCCTAAATCTTCAGAAATTCTTGATTTTTTTTTTTGAGAAAGGCAGCTTTTAAACGGGAATTAATGGAACGGATTATTTTTCTCGACTTCCAGCCATTTGTGATTTTTCGAAAGTGCGGCATAACTTTTTGAGATCAATAATAAGTCTATATGAATGGAATTTTGATGAATAAATTTATCCTTGATTCTCGATATCAAAGAAAAAAGGAAAAATAAAAAAACATTTCTTACACGGTTCACGGTGTTTTTTTATTCGAAACCGGTTTCAAACTACGTCAAAGGAACTGAATAATAACTTGTACTTATAGAAAAAATGTCAAACGAATTATTATTAAAGTAAAAAAAGCCAAAAAAATATGCTTTTTTTCAATCAACTCTTTCCGTAAATCTTGAGAGAACTTTTGAGGGTGGGTCTTGTAATCCAAAAAAACGGGTCCTGAACAGATCAAAACTACTGTAGTCGTACGATTTAGGAAGGCCCGCCTCTGGTATTTTTTTTTTCTGCGTTTTCTTTCACTGACAAGGCCGTCGTGGGTTAAAAATTAAACAGACGATTAGAAGATTTTTAGACAGTACTTTTTGTTCAAAACTGGCGTTGAATAGAGTATTTTCATATTTTTGGAGTGCAGTTTTTGTTCCAAATCGATAATGTTCTTCAGAATAAAAGGTCCATTGGCCTTTTTTCAAACTTTTATTTGTATTTTTCAAAAAATACCTTTTTTGATCGTTTTTTGATGCTCTATCTTCAAAAAAACAAGGAAGTTTTTGATGGGATTGAAAAATTCAGATGTCGTTTTTTTATCATTTTTTTCTTCGAATGATATTTTCTAATTTTGAAGATCGATTTTCTTCTATGAAAACCCTATTTTCCAGTATAAAATGTCCGCTGGCCTGCAAATCCGAGCAAACGATCCAAGGTCTCAATAAAACTTCGTCATTGGCTTTTCACATAATTCTTCATCACTTGGACTCCTCCCACGCCGTTTCGACCCTCCAAAAGTTGTCAGTAAAAATATTTTCTCGAAAATCAAAGCAAGAATTCATTTCAGAGTGAAAGAAAAGGAAAACTTGTTGACCGAGGAAAATAAACTGGGCGTCGATTTGATCGCCTCGATACGTTTATCCTTGGAGCGGAGTTACTTCAGAATCGTGTGCGCTGGAAAGTGCGAAGGGTGCGTTTCGGCTGAATAAATGAGATTCCTGATTTATCCAGTTCATAAATAGGATGAAGTTTTGATTGCGAGGCTGGGGCCAAAGTGATCCCTATAGGTAGGCAGCGCAAAGCCACGCCCCTTCCCACCACCAAAATGACGATTTTTTTGGTTGCAAAAACGGTTTTGAGGCGTTTCTACCGGTTAAATAACGAACTAAAAAAAGAATTTTTGACACAACCATATGTAATCGACAACGCTCTACAAAACTGTATAGCTAGAAATATTCATTCCATTCATATGTCGCTATAGAAATGTCGGAAAAAAACTGACTCGATTCACAAATAGACTGCGATACAGAAAAACCAGATGAGGAACGCTTCTGATTTTTGACAATGTTACTCATGAAGACATTGTTCAGTTAATATGTCAAAACGAAAAAAATTCACCGACGCGAAAAACGAAGCTTGTAAAGTGACAAAAATTTTCAAAGCTGAAATGCGAAAAAAAATCAGCGGCATGACATACTTTTTTTTGATCCAGAAATTGCGTAACATGATGAAAAAAACGATTTTTTTAAAAAAGAAAAAAATTGGATACCAAATGAAAAAAAGTTTTTTTCCAATTTGTAAAAAAATAGCATATTTTTTTTACATGCTCCGTTGGGCTATCATAGATTAGGATCGCTCTTGAAATTTCGATATCTTTATAGAGCATCAAAATATTGGTTGTTAGAAAAAAATTTTTTTAAAAAATCGATCGACGCGAAAAAAATATAAAAACCAAATTAAGTGAAAAAAATAAGCTTTTTTTATTAAATTTTTGCGCGGAAAAATTGAATGTATAAGTGCACGCTTCGCGTGAACTGATTACGGACGCGTCAAATTTCGAAATATTTCGGTCCGATCGATTATTTTATTGTTTAACGTGTCTGCTTCGATTTTTTTGGACCCTGTTAAATAAAAAGGTCTTTTTATTATTTATAAAAAAATTTATTCAATCGTGTAAAATACAGATTTAAAAAAATTTTTTTCGATTTTTCCATATTGTTCAAAAGTTTTCACAACAATTTCATCAAGTAACTCAATTATTTTTTTACTCAATTATTTTTTTATTGTAAATATTTCTTTCGTTGTGGTGAAATTTCTTTCATTGTGGTTTTCCCTTTTCATGTTGAGTTTATTTATTAATCACTTCGCTTTCAGATTTTTGACTTTACGTTAGATGAAAACTCGTTCTACGTTACATGTTCTACTGATATCTTGTAAATGATTCCCGTAAAAAAAAGGTCTACAACCACTCCACGTGCACGTTAGTGTAGACTGCGCACAGGTTGGCATGAATAAGTGCCTCAATTCAATCAAAATGATGAAAAAAAGTGGCGCGACAAAAAAACTTACCAACCTCTGACCAAGCGAGTGGATTCTTGATTGATGTTTTTTTGAAATTGAATAAATTTTACTCTTCTTTGTTCTTGATTTTTTTATTATTTTGTTGAATTTCCTCCTATCTATCAATGGAAATTTTGTCTACTAGTTTTCGATATTTCATATATCGAAATATTTGTTCAATTTATCGTTTTTTTCTTGCTGTAATATACTCAATACCCGTGAAAAAAGTTTGTTAAACTTTCATTTTAAAAAGTTAGTAAAGTTTGAAACCTTTATAACTTTCTACAATTGTGAATTTGACGACTGAATTATGTTTTAATAAGAAAAAGAGCGTGCTGTTTCGGGTCTTCTAACGTCGTGTGAGAACAACTCGTGATATTCATTTTGAAAAAAATCTCTGAGAAGGTTGAAAATATAATGTTTTTTTATCGAAAAAAACCCGATTTCTTTTTTTTCAACAGCGTAATTCCACACAATTATGCAAAGGCGCCGCATGGTTTTGCGGACTCGCCTTAAAAAATTGTGAGAATTTCCCATCCTTCACAAAATTTTTCGTTTTTTTTCGCCTCTTTTTTTCCTTTAAACTTTTTCATCATTTTTTTTAAAAGTCTATTGATATAATGAAATGGACATCTCAAGCTGTCGATTGACATCAAGATCATGCAAATTGAATGGTTTTGAAAAGTACGCTTGCGGTGCCTACCTATAGGGGCAAACTTACTTCTTTGAAACTTCATTATTTTTCCAAAAAAAAAAATGGCAAAAAAAGAATTGCACCGAAAGGATTCGAACCTGCATCATAGGTTTCATGGTGCAAGGCTCCTAGCCACTATACCACGCCGCCTGCTGGCAGCTAGAGCGCAACACATTCTTTCCATCCAATGCATTTGTTGGGTGCAAACTTTGAGGCGCCATAACTCGACTAGAATCAAAAAGGCACACTTTTTTTCAACTTCTTTGGATTCAGGGGGTTCGAAAGTACCTATATCTATAGTTTCATCGAATTCAAATACCTCGACCTTTAAAACTTCCAGTGTTAGAGACCCTTCAAGGTTTCCCTCAAGGGACCACTTTAACTCCCAATCTAGGGGTCACTAAACATGTGAAAGTGGCCATCCAAGGGGCTCTGGTTAGTGGCCACTTAAGGTGAACATACCTAACTTTTAGCCCTAAAGTGACCACTTTAACTCCCACTCTAGGGGTCACTAAACCTGCTTGAAAATGCTAGGGACTATACGTATTTTTAGCCCTCTAGGGGTCACAGTTTTTTTTTAATTCCTATAGTGATACTTGGAATGGATTCAGATTATAAGTTGCATATATCCCTCATTCTGTTAGAATTTCAAGGTCGCATTTGGAATGGCTCAACGCGATGCGGCCCAAATTTAAGTTTAAAAAATCCATTAAACTGGTGTTTGCTCTGAAAATTCCTATAGTTCGGGCGCAACTTCAGAGTAACCAGGACGAATTGAGCCATTCCCTATGCGGCCTTTTGTGTTTTGTCGAAAAGTTGGATAGATAAAAACCTGTCATTTAGGAACCATCATATCGAAAAAAAATTGAAAAATGAATTTCTCTTAAGGTTCCATTTTTCGAGGATCGCCTCCTTTGTGCAACATCGAAAAACACGGCTGCTTCACTAAAAAAAGTTGAAAAAAAGAATTTTTATAAGATAAAGAAACCAAAAAGTTTCCAGTGATATCGAAGAACATGCCGATTTTGAGCAACAATTCGACCTCTTGCAAAATTTATCCGAAGAAGATGATTTTTGCAGGTTTTTCTTGAAAAAAGAATTGGAAAAGCTTTTTTTTGTTGCAGAATGTGCCGAATGAAGATGCCCAAAGACGTGGCCGCAGAAATTTTCCATTATTTGAAAAATCATCTATTGGAAGATACGCCCAAAACTCAGGAAGTCCTGTGGGAAATGTTAGTTTTTGTTGCGATTTTGAGTGAAAAAAAAAATTGAAAATGCCAATTTTGAGCAAAAAAATTAGCTGAAATGAAATAGAAGAAAAAAATAAAACAGTTTTTAGAAAAAATTAGAAAAAGTAGCCGTTTTCTTTCGAGCTTGTTTGCTCTATTGATAATTTCGAAGAAAAAAAGAGTTTTTTTCGAATTTTTTTATGGTCTTTTTATGCAAATATGTGTCGATTTTTTTCAGTGCTTCATCCCAACCGGAAGCGTCTGGAATCGGTCTGGACGTTGTTAATTCGACAAAGATGACTATTAAGAAGAGTAATTTGATTTATTTCTTTGATTTTTGGATTTTTTCCCCCTGGGTTAGATCAAATCAACAGACGGAAGAGTTCATAGCTGAATTTTTGAGAAAAACCTTGTTTTTTTTTTTTTCTTTGACTCATCTTACAACAGCGGCCCTATGATGTGTGATGCCGATGCGCGAAACCCGCTTTGAAGTCGGGCGCAGCTTTAATTCGGCTGCGCTGAGCCATTCCAAATGCGATCAGTGTGTTTCGAGCTAATCTGGGAATTATCTAACAGTAGAGCGTTATTGAATTATCATCAAGTATGACTTGAATTCGTTTGGCCGCATTGAGAAAGGCTCGAAGTGTTGCGGTCGCGCTGCGGATCAATTTATAAAAAACACCTTTTCAAGCTCCCCCGTACCAAAGAAAGAGCCGTTTTGAAGTCGGGCGCAACCGTGTGGAAACCGCTTCGCAACCGCAAAGCGCTGAGCCATTCCAAATGCGACCAGTGGGCTTCAAGCTAATCTGGAAATTATTTAACAATAGAGCGTCTTTGAAGTATCATTAGGCATGACTTAAACTCTTTCGGCCGCATTGAGAATGGCTCGAGGCGTTGCGGTCGCGCTGCGGTTCAATTTAGAATGTCAGAACTTTTTCGACTGGTCCCCGTACCGAAGGAGCTGTTTTGAAGTCGGGTAAACGGCCGCAACGCGCTGAGCCATTCCAAATGCCACCAGAAAATTTTGAAAAATATTTCAGAAGCCGTCGTTCTGTGCTGCGCCTTCTGTCCGCAGTCTTTTGATGTAGTTTATAAACTGAGACATCACTTTTCCCAACACGATATTTTTCTCACTTCTCTCAAATTTCGAAGGTTTATCATATAAACAAATTATCCTCAAATCGTCCTAATTTTCAACTTTCAGAACGATTTGCGACACTTGCCCGGCTCATATCCTCAATTTCGAGACGGAAATCGACGAGAATTTCTCCAATTTCATGCATATTTATTCGTTCCATTTGGATGATCTTTCACCAGTTCTCGAAGCTCTGGAGAAACTGTGAATTTTCTTCTGAAGTTGAAAAATAATGATTTGAGACTTTCAGGAACCCCAAAGTCTACCCATTTGTCGACACAATAAAGACGGCCAAAATGAAAAATGAAAAGCGGCAAATTTCCTGTTCAAAATGTGATTTTGTGGGCTCGAAACCGTTGGAATACCTGTTTCACGCCTCGAAACATCAGATAAAGGCGGAAAAGGAGGAAATCGGGTGAGGTTTTTATTGGAAAACGGGAAAATTAGACATTTTTTGAAGGAAATATGAGAAAACAGCTGAAAAGGTAGCTACAGATACGCTGGGAAAAAAATTACGTGAAAAATTAATTTTTTAAAGGAACTTGATTTTTTTCTAAAGACGGACTTTTAAAATTAGCTTTTTTGGATTTTTGGCCTAGAAGTCGCTTTTAGCTTCTTACAGCTACGGTCCATTCTACGTACGCAAAATAGGAAGTTTTGCTCGCATTTTGATCCCGAGAAAAGTGACCACTCTAGGATTTTTTTTTTTTTTGATGTTTTTGGGTCGTTTAACAATTTTATTTGTCCTAAACATCATTTTTCTGGGTTCATAGTCCCTTAAGTTACCACTCCAGAAGGTATTAAAAAGAGAAATTACTGCCAAAGGCCCATAATAATTCGGAACAAAATCGAAAGTCTCGGAGCAGTTCTAGGGATCACTTAAGAGTTCTGACGCTACTAAAGTGGTCACTAAGAATCTCCCGACACGTTCGAGATTTGCGTGGGTTTCGTGTTATAGCTAATTCACGGCTGGTTCGAGCCAGCGAAAAAAAAAGGTCCTGACACGATAAGGCAGGAGATAGTGCCTGGATCGTGGAGAGTGCAGACAGGCCACGCCCCCTTAGCTTCCTAAGCTAGCCGCAAATCAACTATATCAATGTCCGAGAAGCTCACCATTGTTTTCGTGAATTTAGCCGTGGAGCATACATGTGCCAGCCTTTTCGGGCTCACGCAGGCTTGTGCGAGGGCCGGCCCGTCACCCTCCCGGCCCCCGACCGTTTCGTAAGCCCAGTCCGGCCCGGCCTTAGCGGGGCCTCAAGAAAAAATGGCCCGCCCGACCCAAAACGCGCAATTTTTTACTAGTCGCACATCAAGTTTTTTTTTACGACAAAAATTACGTTTTTGCTCATTTTTTGCACTAAAGTTTAACAAAAACTATGATTTGAAAAGTAAAAGTAACATTTTGGTGAAATTTTTTAAATTTTTTTTCGAAGCCCGGCCGGAGCCCAAGCGGGTTTTTTTCTGAAAATGAGGCCCAAAGCCCGGGCCAGGCCGGCCCTGGCCTGGCCGCCCGGCTTGACGCACAAGCCTGGGCCCACGCACTGCACTTTGACCAAAATTTTTGAGGCAGAAAATTTTTTTTATCCGAGAAGCGTGGATAATAGTGAAATTTTATGAATTTTGAAGCTAATAATTAAAAAAAAGTACTCGGACCTTGGTTAAGCGAACGGGACGCGAATCGGACGTGTCGGGGAATTTCTAGGGACTACTTTAGTAGCGTCAGAACTCTTAAGTGATCCCTAGAATTGCCCAGAAACGTCCGGAGCACGTCCGTTTCGCGTTACCAATGTCTGAGTAGGTTTATAAAAGGCACCTTAATTCACAAAAAGTACAGAAACAGCTCTACGGAGGGCCGTCATATTTTCAGATTTTTTTGAACGTTTCTAGCTTGATAAAAGATTTTTTCAGTTGGTTTTTATCTTCCTAATACTCTTGGCTTCACTATCATCAATTTTCTTCCAAAAAAAAAAAATGGTACCCATCGGAAATTTTTCTCTTCCGTGAAACCCTAGCGTTCACATATTATTTTTCACCTCACAAATTTTTTTTTCAGCATTCGACCGAAAAAGCGGTGCGATTTCTGCAATCAGGCGATCATGGCCTCACATAAATACGATCAAAAAGTCACGCTTTTGTCTCATTTTTTGACGTTTCACTACAGAACCGACGAGGAGAAATCGGCTGTGAAGAAGTTGTGGTGAGATTTTTAGCATATCTAGAAAAAAAAAGGGAATAATGAGCTGAAATAGGCTTTATCCGCCAAAAGTTAGGTCGCATTTAAAATGGCTCATTGCGCTGTTTCGAGAAAAAAAATTCAGTTAATTTTGATTTTTTCGATCTTCAGTGACCGAAAATCGTTCACAGCAAATTTTAAGCTCAAAATTTTGATGCAGTACAAATCCATATTTTTGACTTTGCTGCTAGGATTCTATGATAAAATGGTTTTGAAGTTTGAAAAAAAAATCACGAAAAGTCCTATTTCGAGCGTAATGTTTTTTTTCTCAATTTTAGCCTCCAAAAAAGATTTCAGTGATCTTTTTTGCTTTTTTGAGCACAGATTATGACTCAGTGGAGGAAAAAAACACATTCCTGTTTTTTTAATATTTTTATAAAAAGTCTTTTCTTCCAAAAAAATAGCGTTTTTTTTGCAGACTACGAATTGATCAATGAATTGAAAAACTTGGTACGTACTTTTTATAAATTCTCGATTTTTTTCAGCGAGGAAGATGAATGGATAGACCTGAAAAATGTATTCCCGTTCGTTTCGGTGGAAAAAACACTGGAATCGAGTCGATTTTCGTGTTCCCTTTGCCCGAAATCGTTCCAAATCCACGTCACGAGACTCGTCAAACACGCCGACACGGTTCACGGAAAGAATGGGTCCGTTTTAGAAAGAAAATAGATTTGAAACTACAGAAGGCGGAAAATTGAGTCATTATTGGGAAAAGTGTCATTTGATCTTACTTTGAAACAGAAAGTAAGGAAACAACTGGAAATGGAGTTAATTCTAAATAAAAAAAGAGCTCTATTTCAAAAAAATAAAAGCTCAAAAAAAGGCTGAAAAAAATTGAGCAATTTTAATGAAAAAAATGTCTAATTTGATCATTTTTTTAATGAAGAAATGTTCGAAATGATATGAAATTGAGTTATTTTGAAGAAAAAAAGCTGTTCTTTTGACCATAAAAAGTTTCGAAATTTCAAAACCATTTTTTTTGATCACAAACTTTTTCATGATAAGTAACTCGAAAAGGATTTGCATTGCAAAAATTTATTACAAAAAAATTTGCTTTTTTTTGGCATTTTTTTCAATGAAATTCCTTTTTCAATAATAATAAATATTTGGTTTTCGATCTCGAGACCAAATTTGGACCACCTGAAAAAAATTAATTTTTTTACATTTTCAGACTCGAACAAAGAGGGAGGAAAAATTGTTTCGGCGCCAGGTTCCAGGTGATTTTTTTGAGCTAGGGAATTTATGATTTTACGTCAGAATATTGAACAATTAGATTACGTCTTTTTTTATAAGTTTTTTTTGAATCTGTAAAGCTGAAATAAACTCGAATTGATTTTGGAAAAAAATTTTTCGATTGACATTTTAAAAATATTATACTGCCTTTTGGATAGTTAAAATGACATGGCAGTTTCTAAAAAAGTTTGACTTTCTTCAAAAATTTATTCTGCTCGCACTTGGAATGGCTCGAAGCGTGGCGCGCCCGACTTTGAACCGACTTCCGCTTGGTCTATTTTTTTTTTCTCTAAAACGGCAGTTATTGAAATTTCGGTGCTTGAAGAGTTTTTGGAGCATCCTTGCAGAATTTTTACCTAAAAAAATGTGAAGTTATTTATTTTTTTAAATAGCCAAAAAAATCTTCTTTTTTTCAATTTTTTTCGAATTTAGAGGTGTTTTTTTTTGAGAATTTTTTTGAGTGTTTTGTATTTTAGACAAATTGGGTTTGTCGAAAATACTTTTTGGGTTTTAGCGAGCTGTCAAAACTCGCGTTTCCCGTTTAATTTTAATGAAAATTGCAACCGCGGCGCCTTGAGCCATTCTCCATGCGACCAAGGTCAATAATTATAACAAAAATCACTTTCCAGAAAAGCCAAAAGAACTCCAAAAGCCGAAAAAAACATCCTGACACCAGCCGAAAATCCGAAAGAAAATGCCGAATTTTCGCCTCCAAGTTCTCCGGACGTTTTCGAAAATCAAACGCCGAGAAATCGAACGCTGAAGGAGGAGGTACAGATTTTCTGGAAACACGGCGTTTCCAAAAGGAAAAAAAAGGGAAAAATATTGGCGCGAAAATTCAAATATCTAATACGCAGCCAAAGGCGAAACAAGTTATTAACGTTAAATACTCAGTGTAGAATGACGTCATTTTATCCGAAGCGCGCACTTACTTTTTTTGTAAACTTAGAACCTTTGACGCCTCGTTCACAGTCCCTCACCCCATTAGGAGTGCCGTGAGAATGAGAAAAATGATTTTAAATCGAAAGAGAAAAAATTATAGAAATTATTGGCGTTTATCAATCATTTCGTTTTCAAGCTCTTCATAAAAGTGATTTTGAAATGAAAAAATCATTCGTAATTTTGGTGTGGCCAATACTCAATATTCTTTAATTTGAAAGCGCGTGGCCGCACTTGGAATGGCTCGCTGCGGCCGACCCAAAACGACTTGCGCAATGTGGCTTCGGAAAGCTTTGAATATAGTCACTTGAAAGGGCGGGACTTCTCTGCACCCTCCTCATCTCTCGACGTCTCTCTCCTTTTCATGTTTCTCTGACCTCGCCGGTGAGGGAACAGAGAGACGCAGACACGCGAGAGCTGTCAAGTCGCGGCGGACGGACTATAACGATAAAATGTTTCCATTAGGCTGTAGATCTGTTTTCAACCGTTGTGCGAACGCGACGCATCGAGCCATTCCTAGTGCGGTCACTTAGATGAAGATATATGATGCAGTGAACCGAAAAAAACGGTTTTTTCAATAATTATACCCATGAAAATTGAGCGAAGAGAAAAGTTTAGAAGAAGCTAGGAAATTTCGGAGCAAGAAAAAATAATAGACTTTGAAACTCCGTTCATCTTGATTCGAAAGCTCATGGTCGCATTTGGAATGGCTTGATGCGGCCGACCCAAAACGACTTACGCAATGTGGCATCGACAAGCTTTAAATCAAGATTAAAAGTCGGATTCATGATTTTTATGTACAGTACCGATCATAAAGATACGAACGCTCATATTTTTGGTTTAAAATTTTTTCAATCAATCTCGATTGCTGTGAAACTTCACATGAATATGTGGTATGACCTCATACACGTTATTAAAAAGAAGAAACCGCTCTAAATAAATGAGACTGTCAAAAACGAGATCTGCCAAAAACGCCTAAAGCCAAATATTGTTTGAAAAATCCGCTACTCTGAAAAACTTCTCCAAGCTGTTTTTTCTTGTTCTACACATCTTTCACTATGTTCTTACGAACCTTGACGCAACTAGTAAAGTTATTTCCTGCCCAAGAACGGCCTCAAATAAGACCCTTAGAGCCAAGTCAACTAAATCCTTCAGGATCCTCGAAAATTTCCATTTACTTGATCTGTAGTGAAATTTTAAAAATCCGCTTACCTGAATACTGCTCAGAAGAATTGAAGGAGAAAGCATCTGCTAGGTTATTTTAAACGACAAAAAAAAATCGACCTCAAATAATCGAAAGAACTTTTTCCAGGTCATGACGCCGCCCACCGTAAAAAGAGCGAAACTGGATGAAATTTCGAGAGAACCAATAGTGGAGACGCCAAAAAGGACAAGAAATCCTTTGACGAGAAATATGGAGGTAAAAAAAATACATAAATTGAAATTTTTTTTTAGTTTTTTGGAGGGATTTCAAAAAGATAAAAGATTCATCTGAAAGCTGACCGTTGAATTTCTAACTGCTAGCTTTTTTTCAAGCTAGGATTTATGTAGATTGAAAAAATCGCTATGGAAAAAGAGAAAATTTTGAAAATTCAGCAAAACTTGCAGAATAAAGGGACTTTTTGACTTTTTTAGAGCCTCTCCGAGTTGTTAGATAAAGAAAACTACTGGATAAGTATATTTTTGGCCCTGTTCGACTTCAGCTAGGTGTTCTTAACAGCCTGAGTAGATTTTTGAGATTTAGAGAGACTTTTTGACAAAGTTCTGTTGAAAAATACGAGCGATTTATAAGAATGCGTTGTGAGATTTTATCAAAAAAAGAAGTTTTTCAACGTGAAAGAATGTTGCTACCATCAATCAATTATTTTTTTCGTTGGACGAGACATTTTTGTAGAGCCCGAGAAACACGAAACTCGAAGAAGTGTCCTTTGTGGAAAGGGAAGAAAATCCTGAAGACGTTCCGACGACGTCGTCCATTGGAAACAATACCATGTTGGAAGATCTGAAGAACAGTATTTCGATGGATTTTGACGCGCCGTTGTTCGATCTGGCCCAGATTGATGAGGTGAGGAAAAGCTGGGAAAAAATGTCATGAAAGAGATAGTGTCTGGTTGGTGGAGAGCGCAGACAAGGCCACGCCCCCTTGTGTCTTTAGCTAGCCGAGAATCGACTAAAGTAGACTTTCTCGAGATTGAAACATTCTGGTCGCTAGTAGAAAGGCTCAACGAGGTGTTATTGAGTTGCGCCCGACCTAAAACGACTTTCGCGACATCTTATGTGCAAGTTTGAAATTCAACCTCGATCCACAGAACGACCGAGCCATTCCAAATGCGACCAGGCCCTGCTTGAAAAAAAATTTCTATAGTCCGTTTTTGGCGACTTGAGACTTCTCTGCGCCCTCCTCGTCTCTCGGCGACTCTCTCAAGTTGGCGTGCTATTTCCATGTTTCTCTAACCTCGCCGGTGAGAGAACAGAGAGACGCAGATACCCGAAATTCTTTCAAGTCGCGGAGGCGAATTATAATGAGTTTCATAATATAAACCGAAATTTCAAGAAAACGAAATTATACACATTTTTACTGACTAAATAAAAAATTATAGAGCCTCCTGACCCCGAAAATTCAACAAGAGTCGACGCCCGTCACTCCAGTGACCTCTTGGATCGACGCCGAGCGCCCGAGCACAATTGAGCCCGCGAAATCGGCTCTCCGAGCCAATCAGCGAATTTCCGGTGGAGCGCGACAAATCGTATGGATTTTGAATAGGATAATCAAAGTTTTTCAAAAAAAGGAATTTTTTTCATTTTTGCGAAATTCAGAGCTTTCTCTGGCTCTCCGAAATTTAGTTATCTTTTTCTTTCTCTGACGGCTTTTTCAAATTTCACGGATTTATTTCAAACGCGTGAAACTCATCTAATATTACTTGGAAAAAGTCTGATTTCTCTGCCCTCTCTTGCTTTTTACATGCTCTTTCCACTTATCTATGAGCTTTAGGGGAGAGAAAAAGAGACGCAGACTGTCAGACGGTTTCAAGCAGAGAAAAATTTTGCAAAAAAAAATCAATATTCACGTTAATTAAAAAAAGAATTTATCTTTTTTTAGCCCCGTGAAAAAAGTTTGTTCGCGACGCTGCAGGACCTCTGCGAGAAACAGCAAAAAAGGGTGAGTTTTATCGAAAATAAAAAGTCCAACAAAAAATAAAATGCGTTTATGAATGAAAAAAAAAGAAATATAAATGATACAAATTTAGTTTCAACAGTTAATTTTTTGCAAACGGCAGCAAGTCTTAAAAAATGGAATAATTTAAGAAATCCGTAACGGTATTTTCTGTTATTTTTCATCCATTAATGTCGAAAATAGCGGTCTACATTTTATTAAATAGAAAAAGTGGTCAAAAATGGTCTAGTGTGGCCAGCGGAGACGGCGCAGTGCAAATCGGACGGGTCCGTGTAGGTCTGAACTGGTGTGTGCATGCACACAACACACGAAACTTCACGGAGAAAAGTGGACGTGCGAAATTAACTCTATGCCAGTTCGCTGAAAAAATAAATTTCATTCCAATCATTTTGAGGTGGAACGAATTGGCAAAGAAAAGATCGGATCTCCAGTTGTTGCCGTATCTAATGTTGCGTGAGTTTCATCTTTTCTCCCATTTAATCCGCCAGAAGAAAATTTCAAACCCAATCAATAACTGACCGAATTTTTCTCCGAACTTCAAAAAAAAAGCGCTTTTTCTAGTTGCCAACACTGCGATTTCTTCGGACACAATGCCGCGGGCCTACGACGACACATGGTGAAAGATCATCCGGCAAAAGTCGTCCAAATCGACGCCAAGGATGATCATCGACGGTGTCATCATTGCCAGGAAGTATGGCTCCTCAGGAAGACCTGGAAAAAAATGAACAAAAATCAGGAGTTCAACAGCCGTCTGAAGCTCTACGCCCACATACAGACTGAGCACGCCGGCGTCGAGTTTCCCTTTAGGTATAACTTCACTTTTTTCAGAATTCTGATCCTATGTTTTGTTAATTATTCTTCTCTTAACTGGAAAGCAGGAGTCGAATTTTTGGGGGGGGAACTCAAGTTTTGAAGAAAGTGACTTGAGAAATCAGGCCATCAACCATTTTTTTCTTTGTTCACCTTTCGGTTTTTTTTCAGGAATAGCCTTATAAATTCAGTTTGGTTGTAGTTTAAAGACACGATTCACTAGGAATTGAAGTGAAATCTCACTTTGGAAGAAAAATTATTCCAAAAAAAAGGAATCAAAACTTTTAGTTGGGCGCCAAAGGTGCATTTTGCCGCAAAGTTGCTCTATGGATAAAACGTATTTTTCATGATTTTTTGCTTAATATTTTCTTTCTTCCTTTGTGAATATAAGATTACGGTAAGCCCTCTGTAGACCGGTCCCTTTAATTATCTAAGCAAGTCAAAATTGAGCTTTTTCTCATTTAAAAAAAGCCAGTTTGTGCCTTTGTAAGTACATATTTGAACAATATAGCTTAAAAACGGTTTTACTGGCACCACAAAGAAAGAAATTGCTTTGCAGGCTCTTTGAAATACTTTGTATATTTGGTTCACATTGGCTTGGGACAAAAAAGCCCTATTTTCAATATAAAAATTCAGATTTGACTCTTCGAATCCATTCATTAAGTGAGAAAAATTCTTTTTGGGCTGAACTTACAAAAAAACTTTGAGAGTTTTCGGAAATTCTGTAGATTTCCCGTCAGGTAAAGAAAAAAAAAAGAAGTTTTAGGTGCAACTTCTGCGACAACTGCTACGTGTCGGCGGTTCGGGTCCGCGAACACGAGACCCGAGTTCACTCCTCCGGCAGCTTCGTCAACTGCAAAAAGTGCGGGAAACAGTTCGCCAACAACAGAAACCTCAACGAACACATGAAGAGACACACGGCCGCCGAGCTCTCCGGCAAACAGTTCTACGGCAGAAAAGAGAGAATTTGAAATTTTTTCATTCTAATAAAAAATGGGGGTGAAAAAAATCAAGGCTTTTGCGCTCTATTGACAACTTGATAATTTCTCGGACATTGGTAACGCGAAACGGACGTGCTCCGGACGTGTCTGGGCGATTCTAGGGATCACTTAAGAGGGCTGAGGCTTCTAAAGTGGTCACTAGAAATGCCCCGACAAGTCCGATTCGCGTCCCGTTCGCGTTACCAAGGTCCGAGTTCAAATTTCAGCTCAAAAAAAAAAGGACAACGAAAAACTAAAAAAAAAGTCAGATAAACTTCCAAGAAGAAAAAAGGTTACGGTAGACAGAGAATCTGTGAAATGACGTGAAGTGAATGCACTAAAATCGTGAAATTCTTTTTTTAATTCGAAGGTGCTTTTCCATTAGAACTAATTTTTAAAAATTGCGATGGTAAAATTTAATTTTTCAAGTGACGTCATCGAAATTTCACGTACTCTCTCCTTACCGTAAACTTTTTTTGCTTCAAATTTTTGCCCTCATTATAATAATAGGATTTTTTCGCGTAGCAAATTTATAGTAAGGGTCAAAAATCATCTTTTTATGTCTTTTTTTCGTTTCTTTCCGGTTTTTGTTTTATTTTCTAAGATCTTGAATTTTGTTTAAGTAGTTACTTGAGTTATTTTTCGAAATTTTCGAGCCAAATGATTAATTTTTGGTCTTTCTTTTGTTTTGATCTCTGTTTTCCACTCTTATTTTGCTGATCATATATTATTTTTGATTTTTTTTTTTGCTTGAAATAGCTCTCTCATCTGAATCTCTATTAATCTTTTATTTAATTTCCGCTCAGTTTTCATCTTGTCGTTTCCAAAAACTCGACAAAAGTGCTAATTATTGTAATCCTCAAATATTTACTTTTATTTTTTTCTTTGTATTCTTTGTAATCTTTTTATTTTTTTACAACTACATGCTCCCTTATTGTATGCAATGTATTTGATGATAACTTTTTTCACTCTTTTATTTTCCAATGTTAATTTTTTTTTTGTTTGAAAGTTCATTCACATAACAGGGAAAGCTGACAGTGAGACCGGTGATCAACAAGAAACGGGAAAGGAAATGTCAGTTTTTTAGATTCAGGGAATTTTTGAGGGTCTCGATCCGTCCGCGCAGGTTCTCAATGTCTTGGGAGCTGAAAATTCCATGATTAATTCAAATTTTCAAGGCGGAAATGACTTTTTCTCGACGTTGGAAAGCTTTTTAGAGCGATTTCCGAGATGAGTCTGGACGACGTTGCTCTTCCGGCGTTGATCCGAAACTTCTAGGGCCAGCTGGAATTTTGAATATTTCTAGAAGTAGGAGAAGATCATCTCAATTTTCGAATTAGGGAAAAAAATTTTTGAAAAATTCATCAAAAAAACCTAGTAATTAAAAAAATTGTTATTATAAAAAAATATATCAAAAAGCAAAAATCCGATTTTGAATAGAGAAAATGATTTCCTTCGAGTCAAATTAACGCAATGTTAAGGTATTTTAATTTTCTAGGCAATAAAAAAATCCTAATTCTTAAACTTTCTAATAAAGCAGACCCACTTGAAAATTATTACTTTCACTGAACTTCTAGTATTTTTTTTTCTTCTTTATGATACGTTTCTACTTTTTTTCCTCTGAAAAAAGCTTTTTTCTATTATTCTTTATTGAAATCAATGTAAAAAAATTTCAAACCTGTGGGATTTTAATGGAAAGCATGCTGATATTGTTCTGATGCTCCTTCATCCTTTCCAACATTCGAATTTCCAGTGCGGACAGTGGCATATTTTCATCGATTCGGGCAGTTATCTTCAAAAAATGGTACTGGTTCGAGTCATCAAAAAATAGGTCTTGACACGAAAAAAATGAATCGTAAAAGACGCGGACATTGCCACAGTATGCTCATTTGGCGCGAAATTTGAATTTTACGCTTTTATGAGTTCCTTATGATTACTTGATTTAAAACCTAGAACTTTTTTGTTCTATGATCGACTTAGAGACTCCAGAGGGGTCCCTAAAGGGGCGGCCTTATGAGCATTTGAAAGCTCCCCTCTAGGGATCACTTTACCTTATCTCTAAGGAGCAGTGAAGCTTGCCAAAGTTTCCGCTCCAGGGGAGCAATTTAGTCCTTAATTTTTAGGAACTCTATGAGAAGAAGAAGATCCCTAAAGGGACCACTCAAGCGTTAGAAGCTTAGAAATGAGACTGTAAGCCCCTATAAGGACCACCTAAATATTACCCCTTAAGAGAGCAATATCTTGTCCCCTGTAGGGATCACTATACCTTCTCTCTAAGGAGCACTGAAGATTGCAAAAGTGGCTGCTCTAGGGGAGCATGCTAGTCGTTTATTGTCATGAAATCTATGAGAAGAAGAAGATCCCTAAAGGGACCACTCAAGCTTTAGAAGCTTAGAGTTCAGACCCTAAACCCCTATAAGGACCACCTAAACATTACCCCTCTAGAGAGCCCTATTTTGTGCCCTATAAGGGGTGTTTTCCCCTAATCTCTCTAAGGACTTTGGTTTTCTTAAGAATGTCCATCATGGGAAATTTTCAATTTCGACGCATCAAATACAAAATTTCTATGAACTAAAACCTAAAAAACGTTCAAAAATACTTAAGAAATGTTCATGTCCCTTTTTTAATAAAAAACGAACATTATTGAGCCGTCTGCGGATCATTTCCATGCGATCTTTCAACTTGAACAGCTCCAATTTTGCCTCTTCCACGTTGTTGGATTGCTAAAAAGGATAAACTACATATAATTTTTAACATTTTACTTCAAACTTCGAAAATCCTCGTTTCCAGCTGCTCGTTCAGCTCTTCAAGGGAACTGGCTCCAGTTTGGAGTTCAACGCAACTGAAAATTTCGAAAATATTGAATTTTTATTCAATAAATTCAGTACATCTTTCTCAATCTGAACCACGAAGCTAAAAAAATTTTTTTTTGAAGTTTCGCCAGTATAATCGATATAGTCAATTCAGGGCTAGCTTCCGGGGGCGTGGCCTGTCTGCGCCCTCCATCAACCATGCACTATCTCTTTTCCTATCGTGTTAGGACCTATTTTTCGATGGTTCAAGCCAGTCATGATCAGTTAAATTAAAATTTTGACGCTTTAAAAAAATACAAATTACAAAAAAAAATTGAGGAAGCTTTTGTAGTAGGCAAAAATCAAGTCTTTTTTTGAACTTTTTAATCCTCGGCTGAAACAGAAAAATCGATTTTTATCTTCTTTTCTGAAAATCTATTCAAAATCGCTTCATAAATAACGACTTTTCGTCCCGAATTCCCTTTTTAAACTAATCTTAATGACTACGGTTTTAATATTTGACAAAATAAATTAATTTTTTCCAATTTCAGCTGGTTCGAAAGTGAAAAAAAAACGGAATTTTTGGAGCTTTATCGATGAACAGAAAATACGTCTGTGGTTCTTCTCAATTTTTCTTTGAAGTCCCATTTTTCTATTCAAAGGCCTCTTTTTCACAGAAAAAATCCTTCTGATTTTCGAATGATCACCGTTTCAAAGTGAGGGAAACGGCTTCTTTCTGATTTTTGACCCATTCATCGACCGCATTCAAAAAAACGGCTGGATTGCCTCGGCGGCGTCGGCTTCCGAAAGGTTGCGGGAAACGCTGAAAAATTCATTTTTCGTACATTTTTTTGGAGATTAAAAAAATAGAAAAATTTTTTTCAATTTTTTTCGTGTCACATTGGAACCTTTTTGGACTTTTTTTGGATACTTTTTTTATTTTTTTATATTTTTTTATATCAATTTGATAGTATTAGGATCATGAGAAAAAGACACAAAAAAGCAAGAAAATAATTTGAAAAATCAAGAAAATATAGAAAAAAAACCAGAAAAATCAAGGAAAACAGAAAAACACACGGAAAAATCACCATTAAGAGAAAAAGAAATCTGAAAAATTCTATAAATTATGAATTTTTCCACCTTAAAAATCAAATAATAAGCTTGAAAACCCACACATAAGCCGGAATATTTCCTCGTTTGGCCAAAGCTTTTTCGAGATTTCTGGCAAACGTCTTGGATTTCTGCGATTCGTCGCCTTCAACTTCTGGCGGATCTTCCGATTTGTTGCTTTCTAGACAAGAAGATGTCCAATCGATACTGGAAAAAAAAAAATGAATTTTTAAACAAATTCAAACTTTTTGAAGTGTTCTTTCGGAAGAAAAAAATTTATTTTATAATGTTGAGAAGAAGGTTTCCTATTGAATCGCAGTCAATAAATCATTGAATTGAGCTTTTTTTACAGCAAAAAAAGAGAAAAAAATACGTTTTTTTGGGCATGAAATAACATTGGAAAAAGGCTCGAGAGTAAAATTTTTTTGATTTTTTTAAAAAAATTCCGGGGCTTTCTAAAAGCAGCTCGCTTCAAATTATCGTAATTTTGTGGGTTTTTATTACTTTCTGGCTCATTTCCAAGTAGAAAAGGTTGTCAGAAAAATAAGGGTCAATTTATTCCAAAGGTACAGCTTTATATAAAGGTAGTTAGTTTTTCAAAAACTGTGGTTTCCTCCATTTTCAATGGCCACAAAAACCAATGGTAACCCAAACTTTGCATAAGGCATAACTTCCTGCATAAGGTTAAGATTTTCCTTTTTTCATTATTTTTCCTCATTTTGTGAACTTTTTTTTGAGACATAGACTAATTTTTTCTGTCTCAACCTGTCTCCCTTTTTTTTAAAATCTTTCCCAATTTTTGTCTCATTCAGACCTCGAAATAGCCATCCCAATGGACGCGCCAGAATTTCCAAGAATACAGACGAGATGAAGGACGTCGCAGGTCTCCTGGCCGCTGAACGTCTTCTCGAAGTCGTCTTCTTCTTCCTCTTGATCTCTGTCGATGACCAAAGAAACGCCTTGGACACTTCTCTGTTGGCTTTTTCTGAATATTCAGGTTTTCTCAGCGAAAATTTGATGAAAACCAACCCCTGATTGCCGTTTTCCACGTCGCCGACCACGACCAAAACTTCTCGAACCACACTTTCAGTTGTGCTGAAATCGAAAAGAAAATGTGGCGAAATAAACTTCTGGGATAATAAATTTAGTTTTTCCCACAAAATTACCTTCACTTTAGCCAAATTGCACTGAAAATGATTTCAATGAAAATATTTTTAAAATTCATTTGCTGGGAAAATGTTTAGTGACCATTATAGGGTTTTGACGTTTCAGTGGCCACTGTATTAGTCAAATTAGTGGCCACTTAAGGGTTTAAAAAAATTAGTGGCCACTATAAAGGTCTAAGTGCTACTAACAGACCACTAAACATTTTAGGGGCCACTTTAGGGGCCAATGGATCAACATAACTGGTCCAATCTGTTTGTTTTAAAATTATCAGTGTTACTGGAAGGAATACTGGATGAAAAACTACTGAAGTGGCCACTAAATAGAGGACCTCTATAGTGGCCATTAAAACGGAAAACAGTGACCACTATAGAGGTGGGTTTAGCGGCCACTTTAGTGTCCTCTCCAAGTAGTCCTTGGCGAGCCTCTACAGTGGCCACTAAAAAATTTTTCCCAGTGATTCATAAATTCAACAAAAATCAAAATAACAAGCCACATTAAAGATATTATGCATTTTTTTGAAACCGAGAAGTGAAATTCGACCATTTTTTTCGAGAAAAAAAGTAAAATCCTAACATTTTTTTTGAAATTTTTGATACAAAAACATGCTAGGATTTTTTTACCGTGTTTTTTTCCTAATTTCTCCTATATTGAGTTTGAAGCTGTTTTAAATACGTACATTCCAAAAAAGTCAAAAATTGAAAACGAGTTTAAAAAAACCTGATTTACGGCTTTTTTCGAGTGAATTCAAATTCAAAACATTCAATTTGAGCCGAAATTAGAGTACACTATTCCAATATCGGTTCCAGAAAAAAGATATTATAATAAAAAGCAAAAAAATCATAGACTTTTTCGAAGGATCTATAGCCAAAATCGTTGAAAAAAATTTTAAAAAAATTTAAAAAAACAACCATTTTTTTAAATTTTTTTAGCGTGAGTGTAGAAGGTCCTAAACCCATTACAAGTGAAAATTTACTTTTTCTCGATTTTTTTCAATGAAATTGTGCAAAGAAGCATAATACTGAAAAATTTCTAGCTTTCTTCAAATATCACAATTGGCTGAAACAGAAATCCAAGCTAAACCATTTTTTTAAAAAAATTCTTTTTGAAACAAACCTGGTCCCCTCGCTGCTGGCGCCAACGAAAGCCCTGGTCCATCCAGAAATATTAACAGAATATAGAGCATTTTCAGTTGAAATCTCGTAGGAAGCACTGAAAAAAATATCCACCTTACACATTTTTTTGATATTTGGAAAAATAAATTAAAAAATGAAGCTACAAGGTCAAAAAAGTTATTCATTGAAACTTATTAAGCTTTTTGAAAAAAATCGAAAAAAAGCCGGAAATAAGGATTTTCTACAATTGAAACTAGAAACTCATAAAAAAACCATAAGAAAAATCTTCAAAAAGACCCCAAGATTTCTAACAGAAACTCGAACTGTAGAAAAAAATATCTTTCTTAATTTTTTTAATTATTTTTCTATTTTTTTAAACTCCACCTCTGACAAGCCGAACTAATAATAATCTTCGGTTCCTCGATGGGAGATTTCGAAGGAAGTTGGAACTTTTCATGGAGATGGACCCTGGAAATATTTGAAGCAGTGAAATGAGCTATGTTATTTTTTCAAACTCTATGATTCCCAGCTCATTTGGCATGGCGATGAGATGAGAAACGATATTTCCAGCCGATAATAGAGCGAATACTTGGAAGACCTGCAAAAATTGACTGGAAATGTTAATTCAGATGATTTTCCTGAAAAAAAAATGGTTCAAAATCGCAATTTCGGGCTGAAATTTAGCTGAGATGTCCTTAAAGTCGCTGTGATTTAAATAGGAAAAAAACTTTTCAGGATTTTCTCGTTTTAGTCGAGTTATAACTCTCGGAAGACGTCAAAAGAAAGCTAAACGAAAGTAATTTTTTAATTCATGCTCAAAGCATGCTATAAAAATTCGGAATTTTAAAGTTGTTTTCAGTTCAAAATTTTTTTCAAAAATGCGTAGTTCTTAGTTTTGGCAAATTTCAAAGTTTCAAAAAAAAATCAATTTTAGAAGCCCAAAAAAAGGCGACTTTGTGTTTTTTTAAAAGCATACTTCGGACCAAGAAATTTTTTTCGAAACCTAAAACCAGGATGTATTGTGAGCAGAAGAAGAAGATTTTTTTCGCCCAAAAAAATATGAAAAATTCAGATGAAAAGAGAATATTCAAAATTTTAATGACATGATTTTTTTTAAAAATCAAACTTTGGCCGAATTATAAAAAAAAAGTGTTTTAAAATAATTAAACATCAAAAATTCTCAAAAAACTCGCTCAATTTTCACACAGCTAACACAATGTACAACGTTAAATTGGACCATTTATAGAATGAACATGAAACAGGAAACTCGTCGAAAAATGTTAAATACCCAGAGCCATATAAATGAGAGCTCAACGAAAATTTTTGAGACTTTGAAGGGATTTTCCAACTTCGAGTATTTGAAACTTTACCAAGGGCACAAAAATTCATTCTTACTCGACTTTTTCCGAAAACTTGAAAAATGGACATTTTGCTTATTTTTTTCATTTTATCCGAAAAAATTGATTTTCTGACAGTTTCATATTTATTTTCAGTGGAACCAACTTCAGAAAATGAGTGTTCGATGTGACGAATATCGATCGGATCAGTTGGAATGCTTCTGGGCGTTTCGATCGGATAAATGTCGACGGGAGTCCCGAGGGTGAGGCCTCAAAATGAACTTTCTGTTTCAAAACTTGTTCATCAATGGGTTATTTCCAAAAAATTTCAATTTCAATAACTACAGCAGTGTAACTTCATTCGAAATTATTCTTAAACTCTGGAAATTTTGAAAAAAATTAGGGGGACAAAAAAATGAAAAAAAGTTGATCATTATGAACTTTATAAGAAAAACTAATATTTTTTTGAAGTTTCCAGGAAATTCTGAAAAAAATGAAATTCTTTGAAATGTAATATAGAACGCTTTATACTGAAATAAATAAGTATGGAATCAAAATAATAATAAATTTTAACAAAGCTTTCAAAAAAATTTTAATTTTCTGTGTCTTTTCAACACGATGACGGATAACATGATATCTACGATTTCAGAGAAACCAAAAATTTTGAAACTTCGAGAAAAAATATTTATGTATGTTCTAACCACTGTATCCTACCAAGTTTTTTTCATATATTCTCCAAAAATACTAAATAAGGCCTTTCTAAAGAGAAGGAAATGGCCGAGAAGGCTTTTTGAAACTTTTCTTAATTTTAACTTAATTTCGTATCTCAAAAAAATTTATCGTCGATTCCTATTTTCAAGCACCTAAAGATTTTTTAGAACTTTGAAAATTTATTTTCACCTGGCTTTTCCCAAAAACTTACTCGAAAAATGAACGGTAGCCCCGTACATTTCCCCTTCGGAATCTACGGTCAACATGGAAATGTACGATTGATGAGGCTGGACGCAGAAATCGAAAGAAACTGAAGAAAATATATTAAAAAAAAATTCAAAATCGAAAAAATAACCGATCTCCTTCCTCAAGCCAAAAGTATTTTTGCTTTTCGTGGAGCTCGAAAAAAGAGCCCCGAAATCCAAGGAAAGCAGGACGACGCCGTTGGAGCTGTTTATATTGTAAAATCTTCAAATTTGAACTTTTAAAAAATTTGAAACATGAAGGAGAAAAAAAACCTGATAACGCTATCAGTACACAGGACGGCAACAAGGTTCAAATTTTCGATCGAAATCGGCAAAATTCGGATTTGTTCGATCCCAACCGAAGACTTCATTGTGGAAAAGAGAGGATAACATCTGATAACAATAATTTTCATCCTTTTTTCAAGTTTTATCACGAACTCGCAATAATAATCCGGTTGAAGCCGATCCCATCGTTCGGAAAACAATTCCGATTTTAAACGGATCGCAAAAACTGAGCTCGAACTCCACAGCAAAGCAAATCGCACTAAAAATTCTTTTCAAAATTTCTTCCCTCAATAAAAATCCAACATTTCTCAAGGACGACCAAACCCGTCAGTCGCAACTTTTCTGGCAGTTGGGGCGAGGGAAAAAGCGTCTGAATTGATTGGAAACTCGAGGGAATTCGCCAAAGTGATACGAATCTTGATAAAAAACACACCACTTCTTTGCTGTACTCGACGTTTTTGTCGTTTTTCGCAAATCCGCACAAAATTCGGATGTTTCCATCGTGAATTATCGCGCTGCGCTTGTTGAATGATGCAATTTGAGCGTTTTGGGACAGTGTCGAGAAAAAATCGTCCACCAGCATTTACTGCAAAGAATTCAGATGATAAAGATAAAATTCGTAACGAAAAATAAAGCGCCGAAAGGAAAATTTTCAAACTTCGCATTTCTGCAAAAGTGCGCCCCACGGAAAACCACCGTTTCGTTTTTTTTCTTTTTCAAAATTTATCAATGAAATTTTAAAATTTTAGTTTGGATGATGATTTTTAGCAACTAACTCCGAGTCAAAGTTTTTTGCTGAGTTTTTTTGAATGAGGATAATGAATACTTCTGAGGATCTCAAAGCGAAGAGCCGTTTTCAATGTTTGTCTTTCGATGTTTAAGATTACCAAACTTTTGAAAAACTTTAAAGTTCTTTTATAAACAGAAAAATTACTTCAATAACATTCCTCTAAGCTAGGAAGGGTTTTTTTCTGAAACCTTTTCAGTGAAAAATCTCCTAAACTCGACTTTAAAGCTTGTTAAGAACGACTCAAAGTGGGTGACGTTTTTTCTTCCTTTTTTCAAGATCCCGAGCTGCGCATTAGATTTCATGCGAAATCTTTCATGAGATGAAACCGGAAGCAAACTTTTGCTGAGTAAATAAATAATTGGAAGGATAGCACCAGAAAACTGGAAGAATGAAAAGTGGATAAACTATTAATTTCAACAAGAGTGCAATTGAAATTTTTCTAAATTTAGTGGAAGAACGAGAAGATGCCGTCATTTGCTGTGCGTTGTGTGCATCTTTTGTTTGGTTCGTACAGTAAGCAACAAAAATCTACACGATATTTTTTTAAATATTCTTGCTTTTTTTCTGATCTTGTTCTGATTCTGATAATGTTTCAAGCTTTGAAAAACCCGTACACAGCCATATCGAGAGAAAAAAAACCTGCTCACAAAACTCGTTGAGAGCCTCCAAAAAAGCTTCAATTTTGGCCGTCTTCTCCTTTTACGAACCTCATTTTGGACCAATTTTGCGCGGCTTCGCGTGCGGAGAGTTTTTTGCTTCCTCTAAAAGTGCAATCCATGCCAATCTTATTTCTCGCCGAATTCGGCCATTCCTCCCTTGCATTGTTCTCTTTCATAACGAAACGAGAAGAAGCGCACCAATCGGTTTCCGTGTAATTAATTTATCGATTAGACATTAATTTTGCCCGTCGGCCTTCATGAATTTACGCTTAGCCGGCTCGGTGAGCTCTTGGAAATGGCTCAAGGGAAGGGTGGTGGAAGGAGGCCGCTCCGCGCCAACTCCATGGATCACATTCTTTTCTCTCCCACTACGTCAGTTTTTATGGATGTGAGAGCTAAAGTGCGGAAGTTCCTTGAAAATCGCTCCCACTTTTTTCGTTTCGACTCAAATTCGTTTTTTTCAATTCTCACTTGACGGAAAAATGAAATAAAAACGTGGATTAAAATCATTTGTCTACTATTAGTCATTCCATTATCCCGGAGCAAGTTTTTTACAAACATTTCTTCACAAATTTCATGCTTTTTCTGAGAAATATCTCCCCAATTGTCAATTTATGATTACAGTAGACCGCTTGCTGTGCATACACACTACCCCTATCTCACCAAAACATTTAATCCTCCGAGAAACTCTAGGATTTGATAAAAATTTATTGTTTTGGGCTCTTATTCATCAAAATGTCATCTTATTCGCCATTCGCGGCATCTCTGCGTTCGCCGCCGTTTTTCGCGTTGAATTTTATTCAATCGCCGCTCGGCCTTCCTGCAGCCTGCCGCCGCTTTTTCCCATAGAATAGCAGACGGGTGGCTAACCTCGTTTTTTTTTTTTCGCTTCTTTCCACCCACCCACTTTCCTTCTCTTTTGCCTCGTCTTTTACTGCTTTTATGCGCTTCAACTCTTCAACGTCGCCCCTTTCGACGGAATGTGAAAATTGCCGCCGTTTAGGATGTTTCCGCTTTTTTCCCCGTTCCCTTGCCTTTGTACTTTTATTTGATTGCCTTTAATTGTAGTACAGTCAACGTTTTCAATTGTTGAGACATGGTAGATCTAAGAATTTTTAAGTGAGCTAAAATGTTTATTATAGCCTATTGAAAAATCCTCGGTGGTTCGTTTAAAGGAGCAAAGACCAATCCCATAAGGTCTTAAGCCGAGGAGTCGTTTTCGTGCGTTCCCAGCTTTTGAAAATTTCTCTGCGTTTAAATGCCGTTTGTTTCCAAACAGATTTTCTTAAAGTATGAAGGAAGTGAAAAATAAGTTTCCCAAGTCGTCTGGCCTCCGAAGAAATTCACACTTTTCCCACGAAAAAGTATCGTCTACTTGAAATATTCTCTATTTTCCCAAGCTAAAGTTGGTTTGTGCGAAATGAAAATCGCTTAGTTTTAACTGCAAATTGGATGACGGCTGACAAATGTGTCATTTGGGAATTTCGTGTGAGAAGTGGAAAACAAAATAAATAACATCGGGTTTTAGTTTGGCTCAAACGAAATATGTGTCGCCGCCAGAACATTTTGGAAGCCGAAAATTTGAAAATTTGTTTGAGATACTCCTTTCATTTTGTCGTTTCGGTTATAAATTTAAATTTTGTTCAAACAGCTTTTTGCTGCTTTTTTTCTAAAGAAAAAAAGTTTAAAAAAATCTAGAATTACAAATAAAATGCAGGAAAAAGAGCGGTATTGGACAATTTTGAGCGAAATTTGTTCAAGTTAACTTTTTTTCTTTTAAAATTAACTGAAATTGGAATTTTCGGATCTCTTTGCAATTAAAAAAATTTGAAACCTTCTCAATTTCCAATTTTTTTCTCATGTCGTGTTCAAAGTGATTCCGCGAAATTCAAAAATAGCCGGTAGAGAAAAGAAAAAAAGATAACTGAATTTTTGGAGAGTCAGAGATAATTTTTTTAATTTTGCAGAAATCACTTGGAAAAACGGGATTAAAAATCCCATTTATATTGCTTCTTCATGTTTTAAAAAGTATTTTTCGAAGTCATTGAAAAAGGAAAAATTATTTTTTTGTTAAGTATACTCTTCTTATATTTATTATTTTTTCTCAAAAATCTCATGAAAATCTGGTGAGAGGCTGTGAAATTCGAAGCGGAACCCGAAACTGCGAAGGAAAAGCTGAAAAGGCGGCCAGGTGTATTGATCCGAAAGGTGTGGGGCTCTCCAGACGAACACATGTGCTCGAATTTCTCGGATTCGTCTTTTTTTTCGCGTCCGACGTGTTTTTCCACGACGTTAATCATTTTTCCCGTCTGTGTGTGTCATTTGTTCACCTCGAAAATATCCGTTCGTTCCTTGTTTTTTTTTTTTCTGCGCCAAAGTATTTCCGAAATTCGTTTCAGGTATGGAAATAGTTGGATAGGAATGTCGTTCAAATGGCCCTGGCAATATGATTTCCCTCCATTTTTCACGTCAGTTTATGGGTTTTTATTGATTTTTTTGTGAGATAGAATTTTGGCAGTGATTCTAGAAAGTTATGAAAAATGTTTAGTTAAGGTTAAAAAGTTAAGTTAAAATGGTATAATTTTTTTACTAAATTTCAGAAAAAAACGATCAATTTTCAATTAACTCATTCGTTTTTGGATAGCAAAAAAACATGAAACTTCCTAAGGAAAAATGTGAAAAATTATTATTATTTTTTTGATATAAGCTTTTAAGAAAAATTTTTTTTTCTGTACAAATTATGCTCGAGAAACGAAATCCGTAACTTTTTATTTTGCTCCACAAAAAAATCATTTTTTTCGCTGCCTTTTTCTCAGTGGTTAAAAATATCGAAAAATTAAATTTGTACCAGTTTTTTTAAATTTCTTATCATTTTTTTGATCCAAGTATTATTGAAAAATGACTAGCGTTTTTCAAATTTTTTTGAGCCTTATTTCCAGTTAGGATTCCATTGGAAACTTTTTCTTAGCTTTTTTTGTAAAAATGAAGATTAAAAATCGACGAAGGCCGATATTCCGTTGAAATTTCACTTTTTCCTAACCGAAATTCTGAATTTCCTATTGAATAAAGATATCAGAAAACTAACAATTACTCAAAAATTAGTGCTGGTTTCAACTTTTTGATCCATAAAAGTTTTTTTCCGGCGAACATTTCGCAGAAATTAAAAATCTTTGAAGCTGTTTTTTTGAGAATTTGTACAGAAAAAAAGTGAGATCCTCAAAAAAATCATATTATTTTAGGGCAATCGAACTTTATTTTAAAGAAGAAATCTTCTTCGATCAATAAAATGTACCTCAAAAGTAGAATTTTCAGGTTTTTTGCATACAAACTTAACATAATGATATTTTTGTCGCAATTGAACAGAATTTTCAAGAGGAAAGCTTCTTGATATCAAGAAAATGTTCATGAAAAGTTGAATATTATGTCATTTTTGCAGACTTCAAAAGACGCTGGTAACCCGCGACAAGCAACTGGAGGCTTGGGCGCGGCTCGTCGTCGATTATACACAATTCCACAAAGTCTACACGTTGGACGTGAACGAAGTCACGAACAGCGAACTCTTCTCCAACACAAAACTCAATCGTCAGTATAATATCCTTGTAGTTTTCCTGAGAAGAAAGTGTTTTTCAATGATTTTGCGCCATCTTGTTCCCGTTTCAAAAAAAATGTATACCAAAGTTCCCTTCGAGACCTTTTTTGCAGTTCTTTAGAGGTTCCATAATGGTCCCTATAAGGGTTAGAGGAAAAACAGCCCTCATGGGGTCCGAAAAAGTAGTCGCTATAGGGCGTCAGGCACTGATTCCTTAGCTCCATAAAGCTCAAGTGGTTCCTATAGGGGTTTTTCTTTTAATATTCTCTCTTAATATAATAAGTTAATTGTGCATTCACTACTTTTTCACTACTTTTCATTGATTTCAATTTTAGTTCTTATTTTATCGAAAAAAGCTTTTTTTCTTTCAATAGTTTGAGGAGTTTTTTTTTTCGTTTTGACCTTAATCAATTTATATTCACTGATGTAGAAAAGTTTGGTTTGGTACAACTTTCAAAAAAAAAAAATGAGGAGTTGCAGAAAGTTTTCAATAGGATATTCAGGAAAAAAACGATTTCAAATAAAAAGTCCGATTTTTTTCAGGCCGATTACCGCCCGATGGAGTGAAAGCTGTGTTTGAATATTTGGAACAGAAAAAGTGGGTTTTTTTCTTCGTTTTTTTATGATTTTTTTATCTAACACGTAAATGAGAAATTTTGATGACATTTTTTCACTAAATTTCATTAATTTCAATTCGAGCGTCTTAAAATTATCATTTTTGAGCTTTAAGATTCATTTTTCTTATGATTTTAGCTCTAGAAGTCGAAAAACTTGTATTTTCCGTTTTACTGTATACTTCCTCACAATGATTTCATTTCATTTCATTTCAAGTGTTTATTCGCCATTCCGCAATCAGCACGACAAATACAAAAAAAATAAAACATCAAGACAATCAAATAAATCTAACAGCTGATCTGTGGAAACGGCTGGAGGAAAAGATTGTCTGAGTAGACGGTGCTAACCCCCATTTGGTATTTAAGTTTGTTCTTTGTATTTTTTTAATAAGTTAGAATTTTTTTCTAGATTTTTAGTAGGATCTAATGATTTTAAAAAAACGATGTGTTTGATTCGAACCATGAGGCGAGCATAATCTGAAACTTGCCGATTTCGTATTCAATGATAATTTCTCTCTCCAGTTGGTTCCAAATGGGTATGACTCTATGATTTAGGAAGCGTTGTTTGATCAATTCATTCATTGGTTGAACAAGTCTCATTCCATTTCCTCTGAGTTGATTATTTCTACTCGAATTCATCATTAATTTAACAGGCGACTCACTCCAAAAATATCCATGAATGTATTTATGAACGCAACAAACATCTTTAAAAAGTCTTCTAGTCCATAACGTCGATAGTTTCAGTTTGGCTAATCTACTGCGATAATCCAATTTCGGATATAATCTTTTGGTAAATTTTCTCTGGACGGATTCTAGTTGATTTATATCATTCAAATTTAGCGGGCACATTAGTTCGGATCCGTACTCAATGATAGGCAAGATTTTGGCTTTATAGCATTTTAGAAAGTTATTTTGAGAGAAATGAAAAACAGCGAAATAAATTATTTATTATTTTTCATACATTTTTTTGTACTACTATACTCACATGGTGCCCCATTTTCAGATTACTCGTGAAGAAGAATCCCAGGTCTCTGACATTTTGTTTAGTGCTAAGAGTTTGATCGTTAATTTTTGTATGTACTGGGTTCTGTCTTTTTTTCCAAACTGAACTAACATGCACTTCTCAGGAGATATTGATAGTTGACGGCCCTCTAACCATTGGTATACATTTTTTAAGTCTTCTTGAAGTTTGGCTTTATGGTTTGTTACATTACTAGATAAATACAGTTTACAATCATCTGCGAACATGCTCAAGTTACAGTATTTAATAACTTCTGACAAGTCATTGATATATACTAAAAACATAAGAGGTCCCAATGAGCTACCTTGCGGTACACCTGACGATATTTTTATCTCATTCGAAATACTGTTATTGACTTTAACTTTTTGTGATCTATCTTTCAAAAACTCTTCGAACCAGTTGAGTATTACTCCCTTACATCCGTAGGATTTCAAGACTTCAATCAATCTTCTATGACAAACCGTGTCAAAAAGCTTTTTTAATATCTAAATATATGACTTCAACGTAATGATTTCGAGTTTCCTCAAACAGATATTTTTGAAGTGGCAACAATTGGGAGATAGTACTGCGATGATTTAAAAAAATCCATGCTGGCTATCAGAGATGAGCGAAGATTGCCACATGTGGTTTCTCAAAGCTCTCACCATTAAAGATTCTAAAAACTCTACACGGGACTGATGTCAAACTAACTGGTCTATAATTACCTACGTCGTTTGGATCTCCTTTTTTTGTATATAGGTACTACGATTGATTTTTTTCCAAAAAAACTAGGCAACTTGCCCGAATCTAAACTTTTTCCTGTATATCAGTGATAAAGGGAGAGCTATCGATATAGCTAGACCTCTGCAAATTGAACTAGGTAAACCATCAGGACCTGCTGAATTTACGTTTTTTTAATTCTTCTAAGGCACTCGTACACCACATGAGGTGCAACATCAACGTCCATTAGATTCCTGCTTGTTTTTAGTAGCTATGTTGAAAGGCAAATTATTATCATCTGTGAATACCGTCGAAAAAGAATTTATTGAAATGATTGGATTTCTCCATGCTATCTTTAATAACTTCATTTTTCTACAATTAGGTCTGGTATTTCATTAGGACTTGTTGATTTTTTTTGCGAACGTATTGCCAGAAAGCTTTCGTGGATTTATTTTCTCCTAATGCCAGATTTTCTAAGTGAATCGAATGAGATTTCAGAGCTTGGGTGTACTTTTTTTGTACGAGAGTGAGTATCGCACTTTATTTTTCTTCTGAGTTTTTGTTTACGGTATCGAACATAGTCCCTCTCACACTTTCGTTTAAGTCTCAAAATCCACTGAGGTTTCTTTTCGGTATGAAAGACTTTTTTAGGGACATATTTTTGTTATAGATTTTTTTGGATTATTTTTATGAAGACATCATACATGGCCTCAACCGTTGAGCAAGTGCTGAAACGATAATTCCAGTCTATATAGGATAGCTCACTGTTCATACTAATGAAATCGGCTTTTTTTAAACAACAAAAACATTCCTAGGAGGTTCTCTTATTATGCGCTCTTCTAAATTCAAGTTGCAAATTATTTTATTATGATCACTGATTGGAGATCCTATTACAACTTTCTTAAAGATGTAAGAGTTGTTTGTCAACACTAGATCTAATATATTATGATGCCTTGTAGGATGCTTTACATGTTGAGTGAGGCCGAAACTATTGAAAAACGCTCAAAAAAATCGCCTACTTAGAGAGTCTGTCCCTATATTTTTGGCTCCAATCTATGTTTGGTAAATTAAAGTCTCCGCCTATTATATGTGTTACCGATAACCTATCGAAGTTATGGATGTAGTTTTCAAACGTTTTATGTATATGATCATTCCATCCCGGTTTTCTATAGACTCCTGTTATAATTAGTTTTGAGTTCGAGAGGAAAAACTTCGACTGAAATCGCGTTTATATCAGGCTCAGATATGGAAACAAGGAACTTAGAATGCAATGATTTGGGAATGAGTATTGACACCCCGCCTCCTAACAATTTTTTTCCTGTTACTCGAGTATACCATGTGATTTTTTTTAAAAAAACTGGTAGAGAGAATATATCATCATTATCGTCCATCCAAGTTTCAGTAAGAATCCCTATCGTTAGTGCATTAATTTCATATTCCAAAATTTGCAATTTTGATTTTAAACCTCTAACATTGGCCAAAAATAGATGTGACTCATTGAAATTAATTTTTTCCTCGCTTCTTTCATCCATTTTCAATTTATTGGGGGTTAGCGTTAAGATCAATCCTCTCAGAAGCCGTTTCCACAGAAGCCGCGACCGGCTTTCTTGCAACTTCAGTCAGTTGCAAGTTCTTAACAATGTATTTCTTAAAGCCGCATCGCTTGTTCTCGAGCCGGCACTCAGATCTCAAACGAGAGTCTTCCTGCTGCTCGATACTAGTTAAATCATCACGAGTGTACCAACATAAATCAGACTTTCCTACAGTAGATTTGATTTTATGATAAAAGGACACACGATGAGGAGAAATTTTGGCCTTGATTATCCTATATTGGCCCTCAGGTTTCATTTTACCATGACGGAAAGCCGTTTCAATACAGTCATTGGGAATATCTTCAGAAGACAGACAACAATTAATTTTAGCAACAAGATCTTCATTCTTAACTTCCGGGGATCCAACAATAACAAAAGTACGGTCTTTCTCCTGCTCCTCCCTAATCTTGAGAAATTTCTGTGCTTGCATTGAGGCAATGATGGGATTTTGTCGAAGGGGCTGGGATGAAACTACGGATGCATAAGAAGGGCGGCTAATATCAGACTGGACATTTTTATCTAGTTTTGATAGGATAAGATTTAGAAGATTAACAACGTGAACTTCTTTCTTTTCCTTTTCTGCTAGGGCGCCGACAACTTGGTGTACAAGAGTTTTCAACGTACTGATTTCTGTCTGCATGACGTCGATCCTGCTTTCGTAGTCGCAACGCATCTCCAGAATGAGCTCCTCCGTGGTCTTCTTTAGATCAGGCTGAGATGGCTCGGACACTGACTCGGGCAACGGCTTGGTCTTGACAGCTGACGGCTCGGGCAACGGCGGTCTTGGCAACAGGTGGCTCGGGCAACGGCTTCGTCTTGACAGCAGGCTCGGACACATTGACCGGAGATGATGATCGGGCTTTTAGAATGCCCTTTCGTGCTTGGACAGGAGTATCAGCAACAGACGATTTGGATCGAAGGACAGGAGTATCAGCAACAGACGATGATTTGGATCGAAGATCCATGACGTGGCACGCGTGGAAGAGCAACCGCTCTCCGTGAAAAATTACAAAAAAAGGAAACCTTTGCCACCCGTTTAGGAACAATTAATGGAAACAGACGGATCCGTAACGGACTCCCAAAGGGCCCGTGAAGGGTCCTTCCGACTTTGCCTATGCAAGCTTTTGAATTTTTTGAAGGCTCTTAAAAGGGCGGGAAAAGGGTCAATAGAGGGCTTTAGAAGGGTCCAAGAAGACAGCTTGATGAAGCCATTTTTCAACTTTTTAGGAACAATTGAGGAAAATTTTAGAGTTTTCTCCAGATTATGCCATTTTATTTAGGGAATTTTCCCTCTCTTCACCTTCTAAAAGTTATTTCACGTATTTTTTTTTACAAAATATTTTTTTTTCATAAATTTGAATATTCCAGAGCACATTGAATGGATCGACAGCAGTCGAACACGTTGCCACATTTACTGGCGAAGGCCTGAAGAGTGGGGCGCCTTGATTTACGATTGGGCCGTCCTCAATTCTTTCCTCAACACACCCTTGACTCTGTATGAAATTACTCAAGGCGATGATACTACTGATGAGGGTCAGTTTTATTTTTCTTCGATATCGTCATGTTTTTTCATCTTTTCAATGAAATATGACGCCTAGTTGTAGCTGCGAAAAGCATATATATACCTACGGCAGCATTTCACGTTTTTTTTTTTGGCTAAAATACCGAAATTTAGTTCCTAGAACGCGCGAAAACTTGCGGGTCTTGAAACGAAGCGCACGGAAAAGCTTCTTATACTGTGGTTCTTCTGAAATATGATAGTTTAGCTCGAGATTCAGCATATAGCCTGTTCTGCGTCAAGCTTGTACCGTTTTTACGAAAAAAAAAAATCCTATTCCGGATTCGACCAAACTTCGCTTCGAGACCTTTGCCTTTTGCAGTTCTGTAAATAAAAAAGTAAACCACCTGTTTTTACGGTAGCTTTTCTTTGGATGTGCTTAAAAAATGACGAGCGAAACGTGAAAGCTTTTTGAAAATCACGTATGGAGTTCTAAAAGACGCTGAATCCTTACCTGAATACCTGAAATAAAAATCGAAACGGCTCTTTTTGGATTCATTTTCAAATTACTGCTTCTATCATGATGGAAATTTTTGGAATTTTTATTTCAAATAGATGGTTTTTCGAAAAATCTAACATTTACGGGTTTTAGCGTTTGTTAGGTTTGGAAGATATATGTTATTATACGTTCAATTAATTTTTATTCTTCACAAAGTGTAGATTTTTTGAATAAGAGAAGGATGTTTAGAGTGATAAGAAGAGAAAAGCGAGCAATTTTCATAGAATTACTCGAAAAAAGTAGATTTTTTTAAAAATTACTCTGTTTTTTTAAATGAAAAACTTTAAGTTTTTTTCATTAAACTAATTGCTCAAAAATTGCATTATTCATTGTTTTTTTGTATTGCTCTGAAAAGGTGTTTTTTATAACTGATAGAAGAACTAGTTTTGTGAAAATCCAAGTTTCTATCGATTTTCTTGACTTTCAGCGTTCTTCGGACTGGAAAAGGACGTTTTGCTGAAAGCTTTGCGGAGCCTGGAATCGTCGCGGAAAGCCCAACTTCTCAATATCGGATCCGACAGCGAAGGCGTCAAATTCCTTCAATAAAATCACATTTCTTTGTCTCTTTCAATCCCATTTTATTGTTACTGAATATTGCCCAAATAAATTATTGCCTGTAAAAGAAGCCTCTCTCAGAGGGCTGGTGTTTGTATGTTTTTCCCGAGTTGAAATAACTAGGTATCTTTGCTTTTTTCGTCTCATTGCCATTTCATGTTTTTTTTTAGGTGTTTGTACTTTTTTTTTTCTGCGATAAATTATTGTGAAAAATGGCGAAAGCTGTGGAGAGATTGAAAACAACTGAAAGCGTCGATAGCAATGCCACCGATCCCAGTTAGTTTTTTCTTTTTTTCATTTACTTGAAAAAAGCATAGGCAAAGTCGGAAAGGGTGGAAAAAGGTTCCATAAATGTTCCCTTTTTGCGCCATTTTATCAACCTTTATGCACCATTTTTGCTGCCTTTCTCTTCTTTCCACCATTTCTTGAGCCTTAAAAACAAGAAAAATGGAAGGATTTATAAAAAAACTCTCTTTGCCTTTTTGCTGCCTTTTTACGGCCTTTTTTGAGCCTCTCAGCGTCCATTATTCACCATTCCGCCCGAGCGGGTAAAAAAAAAAATCCGATTTTTTTTAATTTGAAAACGAATAAAATAACCTTTTTCTGTTTTTTCCTCTTTTAACAGTGATTAACGAAACATTTTCTTGTTATTTATTCAAATTTTTGACAGTTTTTTTTTGATTTTTCAGTTTCAAAGATATTTTAAAGACCTCCAGAAGAAGATATATGGTACTTTTGAGTTGTCAAATGCAAAATTCATGAAAGGTTCTGAAAAAAAAAACAGACTTTCACATACCTTTTAATAACTTTTTTCAAGAGCAAAGTTATACAAGTAACATAAATTTCGAAAAAAAGTGAAGAATTTTTTTATATTTTGTGAAAAATTATTTGAATGAAAAAGTATATTTTTTTCAATTTTTTTGTAAAAATATCAAGAGTATTGTCGCAAGAAAAAAACTTCAGAAAAACCGATTTTATCTTTCAATAATTAACTTCAATTCAAAGTTCTCAAACCAAGCTTTCAAATATTGAAAAAAATATTGAAAGAAATTGGTTTTTATTTTTGGTTATTCATAATGTTTTGCAATGAAACAGAGCAAATTTTAGGTTTTATATATATGATGAATCCACAAAAATTTTTGAATGAAAATTTCTTTTTATGTTCATTTTGACCTCTATTTTTTTAAATCATTTTTTTCCAAAAGCGAGCTTTCAAGTATTAAGCTTCAAATTTTTTTGACACCAAAAATTTTTTTCCTATAAGGTTAAATCTTAAAGCCTTCGAAAAACTCTTTAACCATGCTTTTTAAATTTTTTCATGCTTGTGAATGAATACGATTATTATTATTATTATTATTATTGTCAACCAGAGCTTTTTATTTAAACATACTGACATTCAATCCAAACTTTCTCAAACTAACCTTTCAAATATGGAAAAGCTCCTGGTTGAAAGATTATATTTTTTTTGACAACTATGCCATGTAGAAAAGGCCGTAAAGGCTCGCCTTTTCAGACGCCCCTTCTTTTTTCAAGTACGAAGACCGGATCGAAGAAGGCGACACGGCCATCGTCTACGTCTGCTTCGGCGTCACCCACGCCATCGTCGTCAAACGAGGCATGACGCTGGCGATGAAGTACGGCGCCCTCCGTCACGAGTTCATCATCGGCAAACCGTTCGTCTTTTCCTGAAATTGTTCAAAAATAAAAGGAGATTGCTGTTTCAATTAAAAACGAGACTCCTTGTGATTGTTATCATATAGTAAGACATTCCGAAAAGAAAAAAAGGCGAATTCCTTCAAGAAGATTCAGAAAATTCGTTTTTTCTGTTTGAAAATATAATAGGATTGCTGTTTCAATAAAAATAGGGAGCCTTGCGTTTTTCATCATCCATTTGAAAGGCTATAGTTGAAAAATAATGATAAATCCGAACTTTCCGCAAAGAGTTCATCATCGGCAAACCGTTCGTCTTTTACAAATTTTTCTGTGCAAATAAAATAAGATTCCTGTTTCAATAAACCTTGCGCAGTGTTCAAAATGATTCCGCAAAATTAAAAATAGTCGTCAGAAAGTGAAAAAAGATAACTAACTTTTGGAGAGTCAGAGATAATTTTGATCTTTGCAAACATCACTTGGAACACGAAGTTTTCTTTTAAAAAAATCATTTGATGGAAAAAAATAATTTCTTCCACAAAAAAACCTTAAAAAAATCTAAAAAGTGATAAATTTTAAATTGGCGCCAAAACGACATCACGAACCCACATCGCTGTTTCAATCCCAGAATAATAGATTATAGTAAAAAGTTGTTCTTTATTGAGTAAGCTGGATAAATATGAGTAGCGAAAGAGAAAAACCAATTTTTTGGAATTTGAGAGATTTTTGTGCATAATTTTAACACGAATTGCATATTATTCGTCAAGAAAAATGATAATTTCAATTGCCGAGGCGGAAAATTAGCCAAAAAAAACCTACCAGTTCACCATCGTCAAACCGTCCGTCTTTTCCAGATTTTCCGAAAAATATCAGATTTTAGTACAATGAGCGAATCTAAAGTGGCCGTGAAAATCATCATCGACTGGGAATTTTTTCTGTTTTTGAACATTTTTTGAAACGTAGCATGGCCAGTTTGAGAAGTCATAACCTAAGAAGGAGAAAAAGTTATTCGAAATTTTTTCTAAAACTTCTTCTCAATTAACAAAAAAAAAACAAACAATATTGTACATAAAAATACTTTGAAAAAAAGCTTTTATTTTGTCATCTTTGAAAGTGAAAGTAAGAAATTAAAAAAATCAGTTGAGAGTTGGGAGCAGCCAAATGGTCCTGAAGGGAAAGTGCGCTGGAGCGAGCTTTCTCTTTTCCTTTTGTGGAAGATGACAATACTTTGCTTTTTCACAACACGATTCAATCGATTTTTCAAGTTATTATGTCAAAGAAAACTGTTTCAAAGAGGTAATTTCTGAAAAAAATTTGCTTGTTTTTTTTGAAAATTATCTTGATTTTGTGAAAAAAAGTAACAAGTTTCCGGTGAATTTTTCGATATTTTGCTCACAATTTGGTCTCAAAAAAATAGAAAAATATGTTTCGTAATTTGAATATTGTGCGAATTTCCATAAAAATTTGGTCCATTTTTTTGAAGATTTTTCATAGAAAAAGCCAAGTGATAAGTACTGTATAAAGGAATTGACAAAAAAAAAAAATTAAGCTGGGGCTCGCGAATTTCGGCGACGGCGGGCTACGTCTACCTGCTGCGGCCCTCTTCCGAACTTTGGTCCCGTTCTTTGCCCCGTCGGACTCAGATCCTCTACACTCATGACTGTGCTCTCATCCTTCAGCTTCTCGAAATTAAGCCTGGATCGGTGGGTTTTTTTAAACTGAACAAGAAGTTCCAAATTTTTAGTGCAGAGGAAGGAGGGGGTGGAAGAAAAATAACGAATATATAATTTTTTTACTTTTTGATTATTTAAAAATCGTAGCCGAGAACTTGTAGATTCTGAATTTTCCTTTCAAAAATTAAAAATTTAGGCTTTTGAGCGAACATTTTTCGTATTTTGATCCAAGGAAAATTGAAAGGATGCATGAAATCAGGGATACATGAGGAATTTTTGGAGAAAAAAAGCAAGTTTTTCTTGGAAAAATCAAAATTAAATATACGTAGGTGATTCCGAAAAAAATCCCATAAATTGGCTCTTTTTAAACCTTATGAATTTCCTAGCATTGAAGAAAAAAATCAAAGATCGTCTTTTAAATTGGAGAATGTTTATGTTTTTCGAATTTAACGGTGAAAAAAACTAAGTTACGGTAATTTTTTTCGAAATTCTATATTCCGGGCAGATTGCGTCCTTCAAGCATTTTTTTAAACGGATAAAGATCAATTTTGAGAAGTTCATATTTTTTTCTGGAATCAGTAAGTGTATTTTTGCGAATTTTTTTGTTCAGCTGGCTACCGAAACCAGAAAAAAATGTTACAATGAAAAAAATTATTTTTTTATTAGTTGAATCGTAGTTTCTATCAACTCTGTGTAAAGAAAAAAAGCTTGATATTTGACTTGAAAAAAATTGGAGCTTTTTGGGACGGGCCGGTCATTTTTGCTTGAGACCTCCCTAAGGCCGGGCCGGGCTTGACATAAGAGCAAAATTTGAAATTCAAAAAAAGAAGTGCGGTTTTGCGGCTTTTTGTTGGGACGATTCGATCAATATTGTCGTTCTGACAAAAAATAAGTCGGATAAAGAAATAAATAAAAAGAAATTCTAGGTGATTTGTGAGTCGGGAACTGGTAGCGGAAGCCTGAGTCATGCCCTGGCCATGGCAGTTGCTCCGACCGGCCATTTGTACACTCATGACATCGACGAGAGCCGCACCAAGACCGTTGAGCAGGAGTTCAAGGTTGGGGAGTTCAAAAAAAAGTTGAAAAAGGGGCTGGGAAAATTTTTAGTGGCCACTATAGTGGCTCGCCAAGGACTGCTTGGGGAGAACACTAAAGTGGCCACTATTTTCCGTCTTAGTGGCCACTATAGAGGTTTTTTTAGTGGCCACTTCAGTAGTTTTTCATCCAGTATTCCTTCCAGTAACTCTAATAATTTCGAAACAAACAGATTGGACCAGTTATGTTGATCCATGGACCCCTAAAGAGGCCACTTAAATTTTTAGTGGTTTAGTAGTAGCACTTAAACCTCTATAGTGGCCACTAATTTCACTACTATAGTGGCCACTAAAATGTCAAAACCCTATAGTGGCCACTATTTTCCGTTTTAGTGGCCACTTCAGTAGGTTTTCATCCAGTGTTCCTTCCAGTAACTCTGAGACTTCTATAATGGTCACTAATTTTCAACCCCTTAAGTGGCCACTAATTCGACTACTGTAGTGGTCACTAAAAATTTTCCCAGTGCCTCAAATTTTATTTGTGTTCGTCAAAAAGACCCTCTCGTGTTCTCGCGCTATTCTCATGTTTCTTTGACCACGTCGGTGAGGGAAAAGAGAGCGCAGACAAGTCAGATTTTCGGCGAATGAAGTATGAAGATTTTTTTCCTTGCTTTTTAGCAATGAATTTTTTTGAAAATAAAAAAATCGAACAAATTAATTTTTAAGTGTTTCCATTGTATGTTGGGAAAAATAATTAAAAAAATTATGTTTTTCAAAAAAACTCTTTAGTGAGAATAATGCTCAAATTTCAAAAAAACAAAAATTATTTTTGGTGAATTGTTTTTCAATTTTCGTCTTTCAAGAGGAAATTCTTCAATTTCTCCGTTTAAAGTTTCCGAATTTGATTGAAAAACGGAAAAAAATACAGCTTAAGATTAATAAATCAATAATCTCAATTCCAGACTCACGGCCTTTCTGAAGTGACCACTCCAGTGGTGCAGGACGTCTGCAAATACGGATTCTTCGTGAGCAACGCCTGCGACGGCGTCTTCCTCGACGTTCCCGCCCCCTGGGAGGCGATTCCGCATGCCGCCGACGCGATATCGCGATCCCGCGGCGGCAGATTGGTCTCGTTCAGTCCCTGCATCGAGCAGGTGAGCGATAAATCGGGAAAAATCCTAAATTCAATGAATTTTCTTCAAAAATTCTTGACACACATTCTCTGAGATTTCTGAAAATCTCTTGGTACAAAAATTTCAAGTTTTTTACGGGAGCCTGGCAATGATTTCACTGATACTAGATAACATCCTTAACTCGAAGCGCCGGTTTTTGAGAGGCTCCGCCCACTTTCAAAATACCTTAAAAAGTTTAATTTTTTTTCCGGTGGAGCAAATCGGTTCAAACAAGATTTAATTTGAAGAAAATGTGATTTTCAACATTTTTTTCCTGTTGATAGTGACTCTGGGAAAAAAATATCCTTCTTCCAGAAAAAAATCGATTAATGTTGGAAAAACGACTATTTTTTTCGACTTCTGTGTTTTTTTCTTGGTCAGGAACCCCCCGATGCCGTGGATTTTTTTATTTTTCTTAATCAATTTATTAAGGTATTGACAGCACTAAAAGTTCGAGAAACGCCTTGAGACTCAGTAAAAGAGAAAAATAAGGTCAAATGAAATCTATTCGAATTCCCAGGTTCAAAGAGCTTGCGAAGCGATGAGAAAATTCGGATTCGTCCAGATCGAAACCGTCGAAATCGTCCCTAGAACCTACAAGGTGTTTATTCAACCTTCAACGTCGAAAAATAATGATTTTCAGGTGGTCCAACAGAATCGGCAATCTTTGGCCGAGTTCAACGAAAGTGGCGATTCTTTGGCGGCGACGACGAATTTCGGAGGCCGAGATCATCGGAAAAGAAAAGCGAAAATCGAGGAAAATGGGTGAGGAAAAAAGAAGCGAAAAATCGAAAAATGAGAAATTAAAAACAAAAAAGAGGAAAGATAAACTTTTGAAAAATTCGACATAAAAAAGCTCATGAGGAGGAGGAGGCAAAAATAAGAAAAATCAAAAGATAGCGAAAATCAGCTTTTTTTTTAGCACCTGACTGTTTATATTTTCAGAGGGAACGCTGCAAAATAGATCTGGGAAATTTTGAACCTTTGAAGCCGAGTTTATAAATAGAATGAGCACATTTTTTTAGACTTACTTGCTTTGAAAAAAACTGGCTCAAAACTGTAAGAAAAATAACATTTTAATTAAATCGGCTACGAAAAAAATAGCCACTTCGGGGGAATTTTTTTGAAGTCAAAAAAACTTCATTTTTTTACTTCATTCTTGCTTAAAAAGGCTTTATCTAGGAAAATTGGGTCTAGAAAAAGGCAAACAGAGAAGTTTACAGATACAGAGAAGCTTCAGAGTCTGAACTAAAAAAAACTTTTTTCAGCGATTTTTTCAGCGAAAAGTTCGGGCAATTTTGACAGAAAGAGACCCATTTTCGACTTTGAACTGGTTAAAAAAGCGAGAATTTTGTTTTGAATTTAAAAAAGTTTCCTAATCGAGGACATCTAAGCGCTCCAAAGTCAAAAATTTCTATTGAAAAAGATGAGAAATCTTTGAAAAAAATTAGAAAGAATTTTTTTCCAGACATGATGGATGCGAAAACAGCCGTATACAGAGAAAGTTTGAAGATTGATGAAAAGAAGAAAATATATTTTTTGAGCGATTTTGGCAAAAATATCGTTTTCTAGCCTTGAACTGATGGAAATAAAATAGTTTTAGTTGAACTAAGCTTTGAAAAAGAGTGAGAAGAAAAAGATTTGTACCAAAATAGGAAAATTGTAGGGCGAAGAGCGGGAAAAGCTGTAAAATATTGGAGCCTCAATTTTCCCCAGAGAAAACATCCCTCTGCAGAAAAAGTTCAGATCTTTGGACTGATGAAAAAAAAAAGCTTGAGCGATTTTGGCAAAAATAGCATTTCCGAGCTTCGATGTGATCAAAAAAGGGGACTTTCGGTTGATATAAGCTTTGAAAAAGAGTGAGAAGAAAAAGATTTGTACCAAAATAGGAGAATTGTAGGGCGGAGAGCGGGAAAAGCTGGACGTTGGCCTCTGGAAATTGCACGGCCATCACTTTTCCCTACAATCAGCCCACGCATTCCGGCTATCTCACCCACGCGACATTGCTCCCTGTTTAATCATCATCAATATTAACACTTCATCCGTCTTTTAAAGCCTTTTGGATGCATTTGGAATGGCTCGACACGTTGCGGTCGCGCTGCGGTTCAGTTAAAGCTCAGACTTCGCGCAAATCCCTTTAGGGTCGGGTGCACTTTTATGAAAACACCTAGAGCCATTCCCCGTGCGACCAATTTTTCAAAGACGATTTAATTTATTTCTGGTTGTCTTCTGTTTGTTGGAACATTGTTGATTTTTGGTCGATTATCTCTAAAAAATGGCCCCTTTTTTGAACTGTTTCATCTATTTTTTTATCATTTTTTAAAATTAAATTGTTTAAAAATGACCTATTTTTTCATTTTTTAACATTAAAATATTCAAAAATGACCTCATTTCTCATTTTGACCATCATTTTGTGTTGAATTTGAACTTGAACTCTTGTTTTTCTCCATCTCCGTTATTTTTTTTCGGATTTCGACTCGATTTTCCGTTGTTCCTGTTGTTTTTGTGTTGCATTGGAAGCATAAATTCAAAGCTTTCTTCTTTTTGAACATTTAAATTTATTACAAACACTGAAAAGTGTTTCCAACGATGGTTTTTTCGAATCCTTCGCAGCAAGTTGGCCGGCCGAACGGGCACAAGTCGCTGTTGCACGGCTGGAGGCGTTGTTTCTCGCCTCTGAATAACGAAAAATTGAATTATAATCCATTCGCCACGACCTTAAGACTTCAGGACGCACGGAGAATGGCTCCACGCGTTCCGGACGCGCCGCGGTTCAAAAAACAAGCTCAAAATCGCCGCCAAGGCTAAGGCTTACGTTACGGCGTAAGTATTATTGGGTCCGGCGCAATATTTAAAAAGCGCGAAGCGTTTAGCCGCATAGTATCTAGCCATTCCCAGTGCGACTCAGAGGGAATAATCACAAGATTTTTTGCAGTTTTCATTCAATTTTTCAATAGATAACTAACGCGCAAGTGCAGCCACCAAGACACGTTCTGGACTGAGAAATCCTTCCGCAAGATCCGCAAGTTTCGTTGCAAGTCGCACCTTCCACCACAGACCATTCCGACCAACTTGGGTCTTCTTGGCGCGAAAACTGCAGAATTTGAAAATTTAGAAATGATTTTTTGGAGATGAAGCTTACCTGAACAGCGATGATAAGGAGGGAAGCGACAAGGGTGACTTTTTGAAGCATCTAGAAATATTGATTTTTTTTTTTGGCGTTGTGTTAAGATTTGGGAAATATATGGACCGGCATATTTTCAAAAAAATCTATTATTATCCGTGGAGCGCAATTTATCAATCGAAAATAGCTTCTTGGTTAAATTATTTATAAATCTTGTTTGAAACGGTTTCTGAACCATTCTTCTTGTAGAATAAAAAATTTTACTCTCATTTCATCCTTTGAGGCTATTTTTGAAAGGATTGTTTGCTCCATGGGTGAAAAATTACTCATTTTACAGTTTGAAGCTTGGAAAAATTTTCTATTATCTTCCCAGCGCAATTTATCAAGGGAAATAGCTTTCTTGACTATTTTTCTTCAAAATCAGCCTTTAAGAAGAATTTTTTTCTTCGAAAAAAATAGATATTTTTAACAAATTAGTCTTTGAAAAAGCAAACCTCAAAGACGACGTCGGAATAAAAAATGACTGTAGGCTCAAAAATTCGCCCATAAATATAATAACTACGGTGGGCTATTTGATCAGTTGTCCAAATAGTTTTAATATTTACTAAACTGGGAAATTGTAACTGTTTTTCTCTAATTTAACAGAAAAAAAAGAAAATTGTTTGATTGACTCGAATGAACTTTATGAGCTGAGGTTTTTTGTAGTTCAAATCTGGAGGGTTCAATTCATTGAACTCTAGATGTCGAAGCCCCTTTTTAAAACCAAGAAATATCCAAGATATATTCAACAAATTTCAAAAATGGTCCTGACACGAAATCTCATACAGTAACCAAGGACTCCATGAAATTTTCGTGTAGAAAAATCGATGTCTTGAGATTTTTTTCCAGATTTTGAATCAATACAGAGTTTATCACTACCTAGCATGTGGAATGGCTCTTTTCTGAAGAAATTTTTTGCGCCAGACCCAAAACGGCTTTCGCAAATGAGCATCAAGAAACATGGTGAGCTGCGACGCTTCGAGCAATTCTAAGGATATGCACTTTTTCTTACAATAACCTGAAATTTTTAATTATTTTTCAGTCCCGGAAACTCCAGTCAATTTTTGATAATATTCGAAAAATCTGTACTTCAATATCTTGGTCGCAAGTAGAATGGTTAGAAAAAACCGGTCTTCGCCCGACTTGAAACGGTTTGCGCGTGAAAGAATCGATAAGCAATTTAGAAACCTGCTGTATGTCTTTTTCTCCCTCCCACCGCCACCCCTCGAGCCATTCCGGATGCGACCACGACTTCTTTTTGGATTCATTGATTTCATTCCCTCTGTCAGAATCTCCATCCCCATCAAAACGAACTAGGAAACTTTTAACTTCAGAATTTTCCAACCGGTTGCCGCCATATGGTACTGAAATCTCTCAACACCTGTCGATTTAGATAAAAATCGCCTTTTCTCCCTGAAAATGGGCATTTTTCCTCGAATTTCCCCGATTCTTATCGTCTTTTTCAGTTGAAGACTATTACAGCGATACTGTAAATTGAGAAAAATTGATTTTGAGATATGAAATTTGTTAGAAGAGTCTCGAAACTTGAAATTTTCGGTCTGTGAAAAAAATGAAACATTTTGTTTGCTTTGATTTTGTGTACACAACTTTTTTTTGGGACAGAAGAGCAAATTTGATGAGACTAGAGAAGGAGACAGTGTGATGAAATGAGAGACGCAGAGAAACATATATGTGGATCTTAAAAAAACTTAAGTTTCTTAAAAAGTTCACGAAAAGTTAGGATTTTCAAAGATTCACCTCAAGAAAACCGGCTTATAAATAGAAAAATCAAGGAAATGAAAATTTTTGTTTTTTTTTTGAATTTTGAATTTTTTTTTTAAAGTTTGGTTCAAAGCTGAAAAATACGATTTTTGAAGTTTGGAATGCATTTCATTATTGTTTCAGATCAATTTTTTCGTTTCTTTTTAATTTTAATTTTCAATTTTTAGTTTTTTATATGTACAGTGACAAACCCAGGAACCAACAAGCGATTTTTGAATCTCTTAAAAGAGCTTCTAACAATAAAAAAAGCCTAAATTTGAATTTTTTGCACGTTTTCAAGTATTCTTCCTTCCTTTTCTCATTTTTTTTTTCTTCAGAAGCTTTTTTCAAGCTTCAAACATATTGAACCGAGCTGTTTTCAAGCCAAAGTCAGGAAAAAACCAAGAAAATTTAGGTTTCGGCATAAAAATTCCTTAATAAAAAAAAAAACCGCGTTCAAGATTTTTGAAAATAAAATGGAAACCAGTAATCCAGTTATACTTTAGAACCTAAAAGTAAAATTCCAGAGTTTTAGGGAGCATTTTTGAACAGTTCGCGATAAAAAAAGAGCCGTCTCCCCTCAAAAAACTCCTTCCTAATCAAACACGACGCTACTTTCGTTTGGCCCCTTGACCTCACCTCAGCTGATTCGGATCGGCGTCCTTCCTCGACCCTAACCTGTCGTGTCCCCGACCAGTTGCGACTTGACGGATCGGCTTTGGGCCGAGGACAACTGTCCCTATCAGTTCGGCCGTGGATCCGTCATTTTACGAGTTTTTTGATGGATTATTGATAAGTTTTGGAAAAAGACTAGATAACTTCATCAAAAAATTCTGAAAAAAAGCTGAGAAAAAACAGCCGCGTCAGAATGGAAAAGATGCGCTCTGAGGATAAATTGACGAATTTTTGAAAAAAAAAAAGAAGAATTTTTCAGTTGAGGTTTGATCTTTTGATACGCACTATCAACGCAGAAATGAAAAAAATTTGAATTGGAAAAATAGGCGCGTTAAAAAAGTAACTTATGCGCCTTGTAGCTAATCTTCTTTCATTTGGAGAAAATAACTTTTTTTTGTCGAAGTTCGACATTTTGATATATGATTAATAAATCTTGGAAGTGGACTACCCAATTTCATCGAATAGAAACTGTGAAAAAACAGCCGCTTCTGAAGGAAACTTGTGCGCTCTATGGCTAATTTCTTGCGGTTTTGAGAAAAACGTCTACTTTTTGCAAAAAACTAAAAATCTTCACCTTGAACCTTGTTAAGTTGCCTAAAATCATTGCTAGTTACGAAGGAAAGCTGCTCAGAAAAAATAGCCACAAAAAACTTTTACTATTGTGTTCCACGGCTAAACTTAGAGGCATAGGGGCAGTAAAAAATGGGGTTTCAGGTAAAAGCAGTATCTTGTATAGTTTTTCTTTGCGAATCGAATGGTGTACTCAAAAAAATTACAGGTGTGACAACTTTAGAAGAAAAACGCGATTTCACTTTCCCGCCATTAATTTTGAAAAAAGCTTTGGATCGGCCTACGGACAAATGTTTACAGTAGTCGTGCACGCGATGTTGCGGACGTCTCTTTAGACTCGCATTTTGTGAGAAATAACCGGATTTCTGTCTCAAATTAAGGGTTTCTTTCCTGAAAAAACATTTAGTCAAACAAAAAACATACAGCGATAATAAAGAAAACACAAATAATCGCTATCCCAATCGAAACTTGTGTAAAATCATCATTTTTCACAAAAGAAACATTTTTGCGATCAAAGTTTGCAAATTATACATGAATAGAAAGCTGTTGTGACGAAAAAAACTTTGGTGACAACAGAAAAAATTGAAAATTGAAAGAAACGAAGAAAAAAGCGAAAATCCGAAAAATGGTGATACGTGTTGTCCATAGAGCAACTTTACTGCAAAGCGCCCTTTTTGGCGCCAACTCAAACTTTTCTCTCTCCGACTTTGAATTATTTTTTCTCCAAAACTAGGAAGTTCGGTACGTTTCCAAGTTCACCGTTCGATTTGCAATGAAAAGCTCTACAAAGTACTGCTTTGAACTGAAACACCGTTTTTTACTGCCCCTATGCCTTTAAAAGAAAGACGCTTTTACAAGTTCAAAAAATTTCGAATTAAATCAGCAGTTCCAGCCTTTTATTGTCCATAGAGCACACAAGCTCTCTTCTCTTTAGCGGCTTTTGTGCGTTTTTTGAGCCAATTATATTTCCCTAGCCAAACTTTTCTCCGAATTTGCCTAAAATTTCTTCAAACCTCATTTTTTTCCTCTTGAAGAATCAGGCTATACCAACACTTGAGGCTCAACCAGTCGGTCCGGAAAAACCCCCCGAAAAAGGAAACAAATTGGGCGGCACCTTGACCAAACACATTGCTCAGGTCAGCGATGTGTGCCAATCGACTTACGCCATGGGAAATTCGATCGTTTCAGGTCAACCAGTAGGGCTTCCGACTGCGTTTGACGACTAAACTGAGGTGTTTGGCAAATAAAGCGACCTTGATTGATTGGGTGGATAAATTGACCGCGACGCGGAGCCGCAACGCGTCTGGCGATATTGACAAGCGGACTTGTTGCCAATAAGATGACGTCACAACCCTGTAGGTGAGTTCAAAAGAGCGAGCTAGCTCAGCACTTTAATTATACAATTATACACTAATGTCGATTGGAACCAAAATTATTGAAGAAAAAGATCATTAAAAGTCAGGAAAAATTGAAAAAATCAAAAATCGGCAGAACCGCGACGCGGAGCCGCAACGCGTCCGGCGATACTGAAAGTTCAAACCGATTGAGAAACGGCAGAGTGGTCATTAGAGTGACAACCTTCTAATCAGAACGAAAATTGATAGACCTCGAAAGGGACCACTTAAATTTTAGCCCTCTAGGGAGCACTACTCCGTCCCAGAAAGTGGCTTTTTTCCCTAACCCCTATAGGTACCATTATGGCCCTTCTAAGGAGGACAGGGGTCCTAAAATCCCTCGAATGACTTCAAAAATTCTAAAACCCAGAAAAAACCATTTTTTCTGACAATGTAGACCTTTCAAATTTATGACGTCATGAAGAAAATAAAAATGTTTTGATGGCTGACCAAAGTCAGAAAATCTTGTTTTTCTTTTCACCTTTTTTTGAAAAAGTAAACCGAAAAAAGGTACACAAGCCGTACTTCCTTGCGCTACGGAGATTTTCAACGAGCCCACTTTTTTTCCTCCGTTCGTTTTCGAAAAAAAGGTTTGGTGTTCGTTTCCGTTCCTTAACTTCAATGGTTTGCTTCTCAATTTTTGATTTATTTTTATTTTATTGTATTTTAGGAAATCGCATTTTATTGGCATTGATTGGCATTGAAAGAATCAATAATCCCTGTTTCATTATTTTTGTTTTGTTTTTTTTTAAACTCGAAACTCGACCTGACAGGAAATACACTATATAAATGGACATACAGAGCGTTTTTCAACCTTCTTTTTAATTTTATTTTTGGGAGTTCGAGTTTTTTTCAGTTTCCAAAAGAAGTATAGAGATAAGTCAAGAAAGAAATACTGACTGAAATTGGTATTTTCTTCCGAAATTTCAGTAAGAACTCAGTTTTTTTCTTCCTCGTTTAGCTAACTCTGAAGCTTCGTCCACTTTTCCCCCCAAAAACAGTCCTGAAAACCCCTCGGAAAGCCCCAGAAAAGCAGCAAGGCGTTCGATGAAGACGATAAAATTCGATTTGCGTCTGTCTGGACGCTCTCCTCGGCAGCCGACGCCTCGAATTTACGACGCCGTCCAAATTCGATTCGGAGAGCTCTCAACGGTCCAGTGCTCCTTTCTGAGGCTCAGCTCCATGAGCAACAAGTTTTGAGATGGTCCAGTGGCTCAACGAGTGCTACCAAAAAAAAAGTTATCTGAAAAAACTTCGGGAATTTTTTACTCAGAACTTGAGGAAAAATAGTTAGGAGTAAGAGGGGCTACTAAATTAGAAAAATTTTATTTTTTTGATAAAAAGTTTACATTTTTTTAAAAGAGCGTTCAAACGTTTGAAAGGAAATTCAAGTTCAAAGAAAATTTTTTTCTTTTCCGAGTTTCACTAATTTTTTTATACCTCTTTTTTTAAAAATAGCGAATAGTCAAACTAGAACCCTTTTTGAGTCTTTAGTCTTAAAAAAATGAACCTTCAACCCTCCAAAAAAACCTTTTTCATTAAAAATAGCAAAACGTTTATAAGAGTGGAAAAATGCAAAAAACTCTTGAAGCCCGATGCGGGGCTCGAACCCGCGACAGCCAGATTAAGAGTCTGGTGCTCTACCGACTGAGCTAACCGGGCCGCTGGCATTCACTGCGTGCCAAGGCCATATCCCACCTCGCCGCGCATGTTTACATTGTCGGTTAGCGAAAAACTTCTTTTACTTTTTCTTAGAATTTCTCAGTGATTCTCATCAATCATTTCATCAGTTACCAGAAGCGCTCGAATATTAGCATAATTTGAAAGATCGCTTACTCTCTGGAGGTTCCCTATTGGGAATTTCCCACCACCAAACGGGAATCTTGCGCAATTTCGATTCAGAAATTTATAAGATTTTCCGGTTTTCTCGATGTTTCATGAGAAGAAGGAGAAAAACTGAAGATGGGAAATTTATCGAGAGCGTTTTTGGTGTTGAGAAACTCTTTTATTTTTTTTTGAAGACCTTTTTTCTTTCCTCAAAGGAAATTTAATTTGTTACTGCCTAATCTTTTTGATGATTCATGAGTGTTTTCTGGAGCTTTTTTCTTATATTTCGTGAAGGCATCTCTTGAAATATTTGAGAAATCCCTTTTTTTTTCGAGCCCCGACACGATTTTTCAACATTTTTCATGGTAAAGTCATATATTTACCAGTAAATTTCAAGCAAGCACGAGCCGGTACGTGCTCTCTTCTTTGTAGAGTCAAGAAGAAGAGAAAAAAACGACTGAGCCCACACAAAACCTTGGAGTGTTTGCCGACGGTCCATGCCATCACCAAAATCGACCCTTTTTGGGTTATTTTTGAATATTTTTAAATAAAAAATGAGAATTTCTGATTTAGAACCTTTCTTTTCATTTCTATCAACTTATACCCGCAAAAACCAAGAAACGACTCAAAAAGAAAAAAGAATAAGTTAATCTCCAGGAAAGCTCATTTGTCAACCAAATTACGCGTAATTTCACGCGTTTCGACCGCAAAATTAGGGGTTCCAATTCTGATTGATGAGGCGAAATGTGTGTGGGACGCCTGCAGGGCGTGCTACACACAAGATGAATGGCCTGTGAATGCACAAGTGGTTCCGTTGGCCGGCCATTTCGAAGCGAAATGAGCAATTATGAGCAATGGTCGGTTTTTGGAGGGCTCAAAATGAAATAGTGTCACGGCGGCGATTTAAAGAGCATAAAATCATTTTATTAAAAAAAACTTCGGTACGAAAAGCTTTACTAGAAATTTTCATCATTGAAATAAAAATCAGAATTCGCCCTTTTCAAACCCCGTGAATAAAGCCTTCGCAACAACTACGACGTTCCGTCCGCACTTTGATGGCAACTTTGAAAAGCTACACAAACACCCAGAAGCGACAAAACGACATGAAAAACGACGTCGTTCAAGGTTTCGATCCTCAAATATGCGCCAAAAAGGAAAAAAGCCGCTCAAGCCGTGTAATTATTGCTCTAGCGCGCAAGTTCAGGGTCAGAGCCTCCATACCGAAAGAGGTGCCTGTAATTATCGTAATTAAGCACAGAACTTCTCGCAAGGACGAGCAATGTTCTTGAATAATGAATATTCAAATTCCAACTTGAAGGGGCGTTTTGCGCGTAAGGTCAAGTGCACTTTGTGCAGCATTACGTAGCGTCGAGTGTAAACAAAAATGAAATTTATGAAATTTTTCTTTTTTATTTTATTTTAATTAGTTTTCCCTACACCCAGTTTTACGGACGAGGTCGCAGCGAGAGAAACGCTATATCGCGGGGGAGCCGCGAGCTATATCGCTCGCCTCTCGGCGCAAGGTCGCTCACATCTCGCTGCTATGTCGCTCTTTCAAAAAAATTTTTTTAGCTCGATTGGGCTTTTTCTTGATTTGCTTTCTATGCTTCATACTTTTTATTGTGTTGTACATGATAACATATCGGTCTTTATCAACCTTCTTTACTTTTTTTATTTAATTTAAACAATATATATTAAAAATGAAAAACTTGAGAGCATTAAAGAAATTTTTCCAAATAATTGATGATACATTTTTCGAATTCGAAGTAAACGGAAAGTATGTACAAATCTGAAGAAGAAAAATTGAATTGAGGCGAAAGAGTGAAGCTTCAAGTAAGAATAGAAAAAGGACAATATGACGAAAAAAACATGTGTATCGTTTATTTTTTTGATAGGAAAAAAATGTGACTAGGAAAAAGAGTAGGTTCAATAAAAAAACATAAAAAGTAAACCGATTGTAAGCTCGTAGATGATCTTTAAAAAGTTCAAATTAGAAAAAATGAATGAGGGAGGCTCGAAATGAAAAATGAAAGAAGTTTTGAAAAAAAGAAAAATTAAGTTAAACAATCAGATTGACACTAAGTTCCCTTAAAAAAATGTTACTGTAAGCTTTGACTCGATAGTTTTTCGGCATATCCTTCATTTGCTGCGTCAAGAACTTTTCTAAATGATAAAATCGGTTAAAAAAAGAAAAAAATACTGAAAAAAAGTCCAACCTTGAATAAGAGAATAACTCACAGGAGCGACTGTATCAAGACAGCAGTACGTGCTTTCTCGAAATCATGCCTCATTTTTCCCTTACCCATCGACGCCAAAGTGCAAATCATATCTTCAAGTAAAAAAATGGATATACTGTTTCAAAAAAATAGTTTACCAAAAAAATCTTATTTATTGTATCCAAAAAGCAAAGTTTCGGTGCCATCTCCCACGGATCTTTCTTGACTTTTATTGATCGAAAAAAAGGGTTAGATGCCTTTTTGAAGTACTAATAACCTGAAATTCTTGGTTGAAACATAAAAAAAAAATGCGGAAAAAGGACTTTCAAATTCAAGAAAGGTGTGCAGTTCCGTCAAAATATGTACAAAAAAGCTTTTTCTTTATCACAACTTTCTTTAATGGGATTTCACCCTTTTGAAACTTTCTGGAAATATGATGACTGTTGATTGTAACACCGTGGTGAAAACTTAGAAACACAGCTGAAAAAGTTTCAGAAAGATTGAGCTCTATACGAGGAAGTTGTGAGCGAAAAAAACATTTTTTTCCTTTTCTGACGGTACTGTATGAGCGTTACATTAGTTGTGAAAATTAACATTTTAGAAATATTAAGTGAAAAAAATAGACATAAAAAAATCAGAGAGAATCTAACAGACGAAAAAAATAAAACAATTCAAGTAAAATTTTGATGGCACGTAAATAGTGACCAATCGATAATCCGCGACCTCGCGCCGATATCGCGCCGGGAGTTTGCTAGAGCTGAGCGAGATGGCAGCGAGATATGTCGCTGCTATGTCGCGCCACTCTCGCTGCGATATAGTCCACGAAACTGGGTGATAGTTCTGCACTGTAATATGCTACATTTTTCGGTAGAGGGAATTTTTTTCCCATTGTATACATTGTATCAGTCACCCTGAATCTAATTTTAAAATTTTCGTTCAATTCTCGATTTCTTCAAAAAAAAAAAGAGCGAAGTCAACATTTTTCTAGTTATTTTTTCGCTGGAAGGACTCCTTTTTAACAATTTTGTTTATTCATTTTTACTGCTATTTTCTCGAGGCTCAAATATTTTTCTACTTACCTTTTCTGAGCCTCGATTAAATTTTTTTTTGTAGTTTTTTCACTAAAGGTACTTCTTTTCCCCTCACGAATCATCAATAGAAAATTCCACTTCGTCTGTAATAATTTACTGCTGTATTCTGGAAGCTCAAATTCTCCTTTACCCTCATTTTCTGAGCCCCGAGCGGTCCGTGAGGCTTTTGCAGAAACGACGGCGGCGGCCGTCGGAAATTTGCATTGCAAATGCCTGCGTCTCGACGCGCTCCAGTGCTATTTCGCGGGTCTTTGGGCCGCCGCCGCCGGCGTTTTTCCGCAAATGGTTTCCAGGCCCTCGTTGCACACATTCGAGCCTTTTCAGACAGATGGTTGGCTCGATTGGCTTGAAAATTGAACCGGAATGAAATGAGCCGATGAGATTCGTACCAAATGCGGAGATTAGACGCGAAATCATGACGGTTTTTAGAGATAAGACTGTTTTAAAATTGGAATTTTGTGTTGAGCTGCAGGCTTATTTGAAAGCTTTGTCCTAAAATAATGATAATAGAAGCTCTTCGCCTCGATTCATCGATTGGAAAAATCGTCTCTGCGCCTTTAATAACCCAGATGAATTTTTCCGAAAGACCCGAACTTTTTATTATTTCTAAAGTTTTTTTTAGAGTTTTATGTATAATTTTCCTGCAGAAATAGCGCTCTAATCAAAATTTCGCTTAAAAATCACGATTGGTATCGGAAGCTTGTAAACTGTAGGAGCAAAAAAAGAGCCGAAAAATTTAGGAATTTTTTTGTTTCAAATTGAGGTTTATTGATATTATTAAAAATATACTTAAAACTAACGCCAAAGTTGAGTTTCTAGATTTCAATAATCGTTAAAAATTCTTGAGGAGCCATGGGTTTTTTTGATTTTTTTAGGCTGTGTTTAAAGACTTGTTTTCGGTTCTGTGGAGGGAAATTGTATTGAAATCGGTGGATTTTTTTCAAGTTTTCAATGGAAAATTTGAGCGAACTTTTTGATTTGCCACCCAGAAATCGAGGAAAAATTGCCCTCCAAAAAAACAAAGAACCTTCGATTTTAAATATTTTTTTATATGGTAACCGTATCCAAGCTCCCAAACCAACTCAAGGATTACTGTAAACAACCAGAATTAGCATCATCATAAAACCAAGTTTGGCCTGGATCCAAGGCGTATTAGTCGTGGAACTGGAAATATCTGCTTCTTCTTCTTCTTCTTCTTCTTCTGTTTCTGCTGCTGTTGGTGGGAAGATACGACGCGGTTCTTCTTTTTCTTCTTCTTCTTCCTCTTCGACGAACCGTCGGATCTTCTAGTTTTTTTCCTGATCATGACCAGGATTTTTTGTAAGCTAAAAAAAAGTCATGATTTGCGTTTGGTTCCATTGAAAATCCGGCCGTCTCCGGGAAGGTTGGCTTGAAATGGGAAAAGTGTGCGGCACTTGCATTAGGTCGAAAAAACGTGCGGCACTTGCATTAATTTTTTTTTGGATAATTTTATTGTTAGAGAGGTTTTCTCAGTGCTTAATAACAATAAGTAAAGCTGCATCAGCACTTATTTTAAATATTTTTTTGTGATTTGAAAAAATTTTTTGAAAAAGCGTTCGGCACTTGCATTTAGCAAAATAAGGCGCAGAAAAAAATTCAAGTTCTTTTTTTCTGGCCTTTTTTTGAGTTCACTCTTAAAAAAATAATAACGTATAGGATTTTTTTAAAAGTTCATAATGCAAATTTTTCGATTTTTTTTATAGATAAGCGTGCGGCACTTGCATAAGGAGGAACTGACGCAAAAATATCCAATTTTTCTTCTTTTTGAAATGTTTTTGTTGTTAGAACCCTTGGGACTTGTTTAGAATGCTCCACAGAAAAATTTTTTTCACTTATTAAATTTAATTTTTAGCAAATTTAGTGGCAAATAAAGCTATAAAAAGTCATGATTTTGTTGATTTTCCGGACTTTCTTGAGTAATATTGGCATTCCTCCCAAGCTTAATATCGATAAGGGAAATCAGAATGGCCGCACCCAAAATGAGCGAGCCTCGGCCGATAAGGACACACGTCCCGACGGCCCTATCAGACGCCCGAATCTCCCAATTTTCCCCCTCGAATGGCAGATTATCTTTCCTTGATATGACGCCCTTTTCAATCCCCAAATCTTCCTGGTCCCCCCGAGTGGGAGAAAATCGGGAGAAAAATGCCCTCGCAATGCACTTTAACGTCGCCGAACCGGTCTCCACGTGCGAGAAGAGCACGCGTCGGCGGGTCAGCCGAACCAAGGACCGGATTCTTTTTTGGCTTCGAACACCTCTTAGAGAACCTTTTTTCGGAGTTTCGAGTGCCTTTTTTGCGACATTATGGCGTAAAAAATGGCTTGGGACGGTTTCTTTGGAACCTTTTTGGTGCTGAAAGCTTGAAGAAGGACTTGCAGCCATAGTTGAAAAAAAAATCTGCAACGATTTTGATTCTAGGTCAAGAGAATTCATCATTTTGAAGACTTTTTCGAAGTTTCGAGTGCGTTTTTGTCGACATTTTAGTGTAAAAAATGGCTTGGAACGATTTTTGGGGAGCTTTTTTGAGAAAACAGAGAATAAAGAGTCATTATTTAGCTTCAAAAATGATTCGGAACGACTTTTTGTGACTCAATTTTGTGAATTTCAAGAATTTAGTGCGGAAAAATGCTCATTTTGAGATTTTTTTTGAAACTTTGAAGACTTTTTGTTCGATTCTAGAGCGAAAAGTAGCTCCGAAAAATTTTTCTGCTCAACTTTTCATGAATAAATAACCGTTTATAAAAAAAACTTCATAACCACCTCTATGGAAGCTACTAAATTGCGTCTTAGTGGCCACTATATTATTTTTTTCAGTATTACCACTCAACCCCTAAAGAGGTCACTAATTCAGCTACTATAGGGACCACTGAAACGTCGAAACCCTAAAGCAGACCCTAAGAATGTTCCCTGACTTGAAATACTGGGAAATTTTTTAGTGGCTACTATAAAGTTTTGACGTTTTAGTGGCCACTATAGTAGTCAAATTAGTGGCCACATAAGGGGTTAAAAATTAGTGGCCACTATAGAGGTCTAAGTGCTACTACTAGACCACTAAAAATTCTAGTGGCCACTTTAGGGGTCAATGGATCATCATAACTGGTCCAATCAGTTTGTTTCAAAGTTATCAGAGTTACTGAAAGGAACACTGGATGAAAAACTACTGAAGTGGCCACTAAAACGTCGAAACCCTGAAGCGGACCCTAAAAATTTTCCCCGTAAAAAGGTTTTCACATTAGAATATTAAAAAAAAAAAGAACTTGGATCTCTTTGAAGTTTCCATTTCTCTCCTTTGGATCTCTGGATTATAACTTTTAATTTTCTGTTCAAAAATTCAATCATACTATATAACTGCTGTAACGCAGGTGCGTGTCTGTCGAACATCTGCGAATCTCGAGTTTTTCAAAGAAAGTCAGTGTTCTGAAGCCTGAAACGCATCTGTGTCGGAGATCACTATAAAATGGCGGTTTTCTCAAATTTCATCAGTCATTTTCTGCGTTCTATCGTGAAATTATGATCTATATTTTTCAGATTAAAAAAAATTTTCGCAATAGGAGCAAGTTTTTTTTGAAAAATTTGAACCTTTTAGTTCACAATAGAGCAACCTAGCCTCGGAAAAATTGAGCCGTGAAAAGGTTTTGTGAAGGTTTGACGGGCCAAATCCGCTATTATTGATTTTTTTACAGCCATATTTCTTAATTTTTGAACGTTAGTCTTGAGAATTTTGTAAAAAAAGTGCAGAAAAAAAGCTTTGAAAAATGCATTTTCAAAAATTTATAGTTCGATTTTTTTCGAATGATTCTATCGATCGAGCGCACAAAATTCAACAAAAATAGCACTTAAGGGGACACTTGGATCACAATTTCCACTTAAATGATCACTAAGAGCTTTCTGGACTATTACAAGGCAGTTTTTGTTCATAAAGAGTTGATTTTTTGAGCTCATTGTCTATTTTACGTTCCAAAACATCACTTAAGAGGCCTTTTCTACTAAAGTGACCACTTGAAGTTCTTCTAAACCCTTTCCAGCTTTCTCAAGAGTTGAAGTAGGTTTGAAACAACCGTTGGTTATCACAGAAGTGGTCACTTTAGTGTCGTCTTTTCCATTCGTTTATCCAAAAGATCTTCCACTAAAGTGACCACTTCTCGAACCATTTGGTCCCTCGAACCGACCTCCCATCGGCTCAAAACCCTCCGCAACGAAGCCACGCCCACTTTCCTATCGATATACGATTTCCCAGCGGGTCTGTTTGCATCTCTGGACCCTCTCCGTCTCACCCTCCGTCTGCTGGTCGATTCGCCAGGCCTTTTGCCTATTTTCCGTCTTTCAGGGCCCCCTTCAAGGCCTTCTCCGTCTATTTTATTCCCTCTATTCCATGATTTTATTGATTTTTTATTAGTGTTTGATACGTTTCTATGAATTTTGTGAGAAAATTGGGTTTTTTTTTACTTTTATCATTTTTCTTGACAATATATGAGCAAAATTTAGATTTCCAAGGTCTTAAAAATGGTTTTTTCAAAGTTTTCTGGGGAAAAGGTTTATTTCATATTAGAAATAGGCCATAATTTTCCAAGTTATCTGATTTTCGCCGCAGTTTTATGGGTCTAATTGAGCGATTGACAGTTTTTACAATCTTTATAATGTGTCCCATTCGATCGATTCCTATCTTTCCATAGATTTTTATTAGATAGTTAGATTTTTTCTGTAGAAAAATTTTAAAATGAGAAAATTTTGACTATATTTCGCATTTTTTATGTTTCGATAAAGACCTAGTCATCCAAATACCGTTATTTCGCTTCAGTTTCGACTCGAAAATACGGACTTTTCTTGAGAAAAAAGCTATAAAAGTAGTTAATTTTGAATCATCTCAAAAACTGCTGTATTTCAATGTAAAATTATTCAAGGACTAATCACCCAAATAAGTGAACCGTGGCCTAATTTTCCAAATCCATTGATTCTAAACTGAAAAAAATTTAACTCATCGTAGAAAAATATTCGAAAAATATTTTTTTTTAATATAGGAGCATGACGGCCTAATAATCCAAATAGTGAACTTTGAGCCGCGGTCTAATTTTCCAAATATTTTTGCTTGTTTGAACCTTTCAGAAATTTTTTCCATTTTTTCTTCCGAAACTTAAAGTGAGCCCTTATGAACCTTCTCCTCCTTCCAAGCCTATAAATGATCTGAAAATCCGGAAAAATCGATAAGAATCGATCGATTTCCCCGTGGAGCGCAGTGGAGGCCTGTCTGTCGGCGGCGGTTTTTGTCGCCTCAGCTTTTCCCCGCCGTCGCTTTTCGTGTATGCTTTTGTGCAGAGAAAGAGCGTCTCTCTGTGTGTGTTTGGTGTGTGTACGGCCGATCGATCCTTCTTTTTATGTTTCATTTTTTTCTTTATTTTTTATCGCCTGTTATAGATTTTAATAGATTTTTTAGTCTTAAAAGCTTTGATTCTTTGAAAAATAGCTGAAATAGAAATATTTATAGTCAAAAAATATTTTCATTGTGATCCTAACTCTGAAAAGAACTCAAAATTATTGAAACAAAGTAAGAACTTTATTATTTTTGTGGTTTTTTTTTTGGTTCTAGACCAATTTTGATCAATTAGAAAGATTTTTTTCTTGTTTTCGTATTCCTATTGCATTTTTCTGTCCACTTTTTTGTTTTTCTCTGAGATAAAAGTACAGGAATGCTAGATTTTCAGGATTGAGGCCTTTTCTTCGATTTAGACATCATCTCTGTTTCAAATTAGTCAAATATTGATTTTAAATAAAATCGTAACATTCATATTTGTCCACTGATACGGATACTTTTCTATGATTAACTTATTATCTTTACTTCAATTTTGATATATCAATTCAGAGAACCTCCTTTTTCTTCCAAAATATTTCCCAATAGTGGCGCTTTATTGTGAAAGCTAGGCCGTGAGTCAACCAATTTGGAAATATCGGTCTTTTAGAAAAATTTGCAAAATGACAAGGCTTTTAACTAATACCTCCTTCTAATCCTACAATCTCATGATTTGCGAAACTCGGCCTCGGATCATTATGAAACCTCGGCCACGCTAATCGCTTGCGTAACACAATTCCTTCTCTCGCATTTCTGTGTTTTTCCTTCTAATCCTGATCTTTTCGATCCGGAAATCCTTGGCCTAAGCCGTCGGCCAACGCCTACGGAAAAGGGGATGGCTCTAGATCTCGTAGTCTTTTCGGATGAAGCTCAGGAGAACAAAACGCTTCCTTTTTTCATATCTGATATTGCTTTATATGAGGCCAAAGCCTGTTTCGACACATTTTACATTTATTTTGTTCTAGTTGACTTTTTTGAATAGAAAATGCGCATTTTTTTTCTTCTAAAATTGATTTTCATCGCTCTTTATGTATTAAAAGTTTCAATAAAATCTATTTCTTTGATTCAACAACCTATCATCTTTCTGATGGCCTAAATTTTATAATTTATTTAGCTTTGATGTTTTCTAGTCAAAAATTTGTACTGCACGGCATAACTTTCCAAATCAGTTTTCACGACTTTCGTTGTACTGAAAGCTCCTAAAGATCTAACAGTTCCTTATAAAATAGTATTTGTGATTTCCGGCCATCTCTGAAAACGGTGTTCCAGACCCTCTGGGGGCCACTTTCAGCTATTTTTCATGACCTAACTTCCCAAGTTCATTCAGATCTGATTTTTTTATAAAAATGTACCACATGGCCTACTTTTCCGAATCAACGTTGATCAATTTCCTTGCATCAAGAGCGCTCACGGGATTATTATTAATAATCAAAAAAAAAACTCAGTTCCCATGGATCCTTCAGTGGCCACTTTCAGCTTTTTTTTCATGACCTAATTTTCCAAGTTCATTCAGCTTAGATATCTTCTGGCCAACATCCATTTTATGTTCTGCACGACCTTACTTTCCAAATCGAGTTTGAGGGATTTGTCGCATATTAAGAGCGCCTAAAGGATTACAAAAACTACGTGTACCACATGGCCTAACTTCCCAAATCTATTTTTATTGACTTTCTTGCTTTAACGGCGTCTGAAGGACTATTAATACTACTCAAAACCTTCAGTAATCCAGCAAAACGAGCCCTCAAGTGGCCGCTTTCAGTTTTTTTTATGACCTAATCTTTTTCAAATTTCATGCTCTGCACATCGAGTTTGATAAACTTTCCTTCCTCAAAAGCGCCTTTAGGACTTTCATTCCGAATCAAAAAAGATCTCGGTCTTCCACCCAGATGATCCCTCTAGTGACCACTTTGAGTTCTTGTGTCAGTCCTTCAGTCGTCGTCCCTAATTCCATCATTCGAGTCCATTCACTCGTTGGCCTGCCACAACCCCCGGCCCGTCTTTGTTCGTCGTGTGTTCGGCGACGGCACAGCGGCGTCGATATTGCGCAAACGGAGGCTGTTTCGTGTTGCGCGACGCGTCTGTCGGCATCTGTCCGCACTCTCCAGATGTCGGGCCACGCGACCTGGCAGTTCACAAGTTCAAGAGGTCCTGGCTGAGATATTTTTGGATTTTAGAAGGTGAAAAGCTGAAAAGTCTATTGGAAGCTGCGACAAACTTGATTTTTTAAAATTACTTCATTTTTGATTTTTTGGAGTTTTTTTGATTTTCTGGCTTGAAATTCCCGGTTAAAAGGAGTGAACAAGACCGTGGTCGGGTTTCACAAATCTTCAGATAGTGATTTGGTTTTCCAGTCCATGGAGGTCGATTTTTTTCAATTTTGCCCAAATTTCTGAGATTTTGGTCTTTTATCTGTCTCTAAGGTTTTTGACGTTCGACTGATGACTTTGGAACTCAAAAATTCCAGATAAAATTGCCAACACGCGACCGGGTTTTCCAATTTTTCGATTTGTAATCTCAGTCCATGAAAATAAGTTGATTTTTTAGCGCTAGTGTAAAGTTCAATATTATACTGGAGGCCTGGATTTTTTTCTTTATAGTCTTTTTTTTAGCCGTTATCAAAAAAATTAAGGCATAAATTTCCAAATGAAGATCAAATTAAAATCAATCACTGTCAAAAATCTTGATTTTTTTCTAATTTTGAAGAGCTTTTTTTAGGATTTTTTTCGGCCGCGCTTTCATACTGTTCATCTTGTCTGCTATTCTTTTCTGGGTTCTTATTTTGCGAACAAGCTTTTTTTCAGTGCTTTTTTTCCGAATATTTTTTTGACCCCTCCAAAAAAGTTGGTTCCGTTGCTCGCTTTTTCAAAAACCGTTCTAAGTTTTGTAAACCCCAAAAAAACTGATCAACTAGCCAATTTTTCAGATGGTCCACCTTCGAATTGTTGGGACGAAAGGACGTCGAGACGCCTATTTTTTTTTGTAAGTTTTTTACAACCGCCACCTCGTCTGCATTCTTTCGCCGCCCCCTTCTTTTCCTTCTTCTTCTGTCCGATTTCACGGCCGTTTCCATTCGTACTACCTTACCAGTTTTGTCCAAAACCTTCTTTTTTGCCTTTCCCGAGGCCTGACTTCCCAAGTTTCTACAGTAGGAGAGAGTCACTTTAAAGTCTTTTCAGAAATTGAAGGGTTTTTTTGTAAACTTCACTGAAAAAAATCAAGTTTTTCCAGTATAAAAAGAATCTTCTAAAAGTCCAGAACTCCCAAGAAGTTGCTTTAATGACGGCCTAACTTCCCAAATAAAGCTTCCCGGTTGTGGTCTAACTTTCCTAATATTTGAAAGTATTGCGGAATTTAAAAAAAAGAGACGGCCTATCCTTCTGATTGTCCTAGTTCTTCAGATGCCACATTTATCTTCGAAAAACGACGGATTTTGCGAGATGGTCGAATTTTACAAATAGCTGCATATGGCGGCCTAATTTCACAATTTTTCATCCCAGCCTTATTCCCTAATTACGGAAATTCTCGAAAACAGAGCAATTTCAGATTTTTGTTTCCTTCTAGGCGGCCTAACTTCCCAATCAAACACACCTCAATGGCCTAGTTTTCCGAATGATCTCTTTTTGGCAAAACTTCACAAATTTTGCAGTGTTTTGAGATTATTGATTAGCATCGCACTTAAAAATTAGTCAATATTCAAAAAAATTCCTATCAAGTCCATCGGACCACCATACCACCACAGGACGCAAAATAATAGAGAAAAAACCAGCTTTTTGGCTTTCAACCATTGTTTTAATGGTCTCGTAACGATTTGTGTGGGAGGATCATTGGTGGTCCAGAAACGGGTCTCGATGGGAACAAGAAGCTTTTTTTTTGTGATTTGCGGACTTCGAAATCATAATCATAGTTTGGTCTGGATGAGGGCGTCGTTTGGGTTTTTAGGCCGTCTGGGATGCCGAATTGTCAAACTATAAGCTGCACGTTTGATTCATCACAGTTTTCTTAAAGTTCTAATTTAATCCGGGAAGATTGGCCGCTGAATTCGACTTCTGATTTGGAAAGTTACACCGTTCGAAAAATTCAATAGGGTTCGATTTTTCGTAAAATTCACTAATAACTACAGGGATAGCTCAAAAAGAGACATTTCTAGGTTTGGAAAACAAGGGCACCGGTGTATTTGTGAAGTTAGGCCACTTCATTCAAAAATCCTTTAGTTATTCGAAATGACTATATTCATCGCTTGAAAAAGCTATTTATCTACAAAATACATAAACTTTTTCAAAACGAAAATTTGTAAAACTAGGCCATCTCTATTTGGAAAGTCCGACCGTCGGGCAAATTTTCGAATGAAATTCCAATATCGAATTTTCCGAGTTTTTGTAAGCCTCAAAATCCAATTTGGATAATCAAGAACCTCACCTGGCACAGGTTAACGAAATCGGAAACCCTCTTGGATATCTTCCAATAGATCCAGACCATTTTTTTTTCTCGAAGCTTTCCTGCCTTCCAGACCATAATCGTAATTGATTGCGTGTTCTGTCTGTGTGTCTGTGGCGCAATTTCGACGGTCCCCCCAACCGGTAGCCGCCGAGACTCGCCTCATTTATCGTTGTGAGGGGACTGGAATACTGGTATAAACCTTCCAACCCGCACATCTCTCCGCATTTTTGTCAATTTTTGCAGTTTTGTAGAGTTTGAAAGGTTATTTATGATGAATGTTTGGATTAAACGTCATTAGGAAGGCTACAACATCTTTAGGATTTTTGGATATTCGAATTAAGGGTGTGAATGTTCATCTACTATTCCATTTGAAAAAAAATTTTTCCCTAAAAAAACGAAAAAAAATTTCGACAGCCCAGTTTCCCAATTCTGCGTGGCCTGGAAAGCCAAATCACCTAACCATTTTTTTTCGTTGACTTTAGTTATGTTCGCAAAGGTAAAAGGTCTAAAAAAGAAATCTCCAAAATCTCGCCTCATTTTTGGTAATTTTTGCTTTGCCCTATAGATTTTACAATACTCAAAAGGATGATTTATAGTGTATTTTTGATTTAAACGCCATTATAAAAGCCAAAACTTGATGAAAGTTGAAAAATAATAGTGTCAAAATGAATCTAATAGTTACTGTTTCATTTGAAAGCTCAACTTGAAAAAAAGTGGTCGACCGATGGTCTAGTTTTCCAAATCTGGGTGGCCTGGAAAACCAAATTTTCGCCATTTCTCTCATAAAAGAAAGTCTTATCTTTAATTTTGAGCTTCACTTCAGCTTCACCACTCTAAAAAAAACATCAACTTTGTTTAAATTCATCCAAAACTGAATTGGATTCTTGATTCAGAACAACAGAACAAAAATTCATCCGATAGTTCCTTTTTCCCTTTTAAGCCTTAGACTTTCAGAAAAAAAAGTTTAGGTGGCCTACTTTTTCAATTCAGCGCGGCCTGAAAACACAAAACATTTTTATATCTTGATAATGAATTATTGTACATATTGAAACTTCTCAGTGGTGTTTCCCAATTTTCGATGGCCTAGAAAACCAAAAAAACTGATCGATACCACTCTATCATTAATAATATACATAATTTCAATATATTCGTTCCAAAAAAAGAGAATCGGAAAAGGAGCAAAACGATAGTTTCCCTCTCAATTTAACACAGCGTTTCCTATGAATATTCAAAAAATTCAAATTCGAATTCATCGTGAAATCGCCGTCGCCACCTTCCCATCCATTCTTCTTTCCCATTTTTTTTCTCCCTTTTTTCGTTTTTCTCCCTTTTCTTCTTCGTCAGCAGGAAAACGACGTCGTCAAACACGACGACTACTTTTTCTTTTCTCATTTTTTTTTTTTCAAACCTTCTATTTTATATGTCTTGAAATTGCCCTCCTTCCTTAAAAAATGGAAAAAAAACGCCTAAAAATATCGCTGAAAACACTATTTTTGAGAGAAAAGTTCAAGATTACATCATTTGATGAAATTTAAAGGCGCATGGCGTTTTGGCGTTAAATTGGTCCTGAAAATGTGTATTTCTAAACTTCGTTATTTCCCGCCAAATTTTTGCATACAGTTTTTATGAGGAGAAAACGAATTTTTTTTAAAAGCTCATCTCAAAAAAGAGATAAATTATCATGAAGAAAAACTTTAGAAAGTTCAGAAATTTAATTTTTTGAAAATTCTGAACAACGTTCAGGGTTTATAAGGTTCCAAAATTTAGAAAAACTGCGAAATTGTTTTTTTTTTTTGGCTTTTAAGTCTACTCCTTGAAATTTCTTGTTCATTGCAATTTTTCTAATTTTTTTATAAAACTTGCAACGTTTTCAGCTCTGTATTTTCTTTCGATTTCATGAGACAAGCTTTATAATTTCTATTTTTGCGAATGGAAAGACTTGAAACCGAACGAAATCGTTCTGAGAAAATTCCATTTCAGGTCGATTTTTCTGGAAAAATCAATTTTTTTCGTTTTCTTCTCCTTTTTCGGCTTCGTTTTCGAGTCAAGAATAACTGTGAGTGAAAATCTCTATGATTTTTGATAGTCTCAAAGAAAAAGCCGGAACAATTGAGGCTTAAAAACCTTGAAAAAATTCTTCCAAACGACGATTTCTATCAAATTTCCCCCTCCTCGGCTTTATTTCAAGTCCTCTTTCTTCTCAACCCCATCAATTGTAAGTAGAAATCCCTGGGACTTTCGATAATCTCAGAGGAAAAGCCTGAATAGGTCTAGGTTGATGGGAATCGTGGGCCTCAGAGGAAAGATTGGCGATCGATAGGCGCGGCGGACGGAGATCGTTAGCCGCGATTGCAGCCGCCGTCGCCGAATTCTTCTCTTCTGTAAGCCTTCTGGTCTTGTCGTCAGTTCTTCCGCGTCGAGATTCTGACTTTAATGGCCTTTTTCAGGAGAAAAATAAGCCTAATTTCACTTACTTTGCTTGTAGAAGTTCATCTAGGCGTTCTGAACCTTCTGGTCTTGTCTCCAGTTTTTCCAATCCAAGAATCTGACTTCAATGACTTTTTTTTAACAAAGATTCAACCATTTTCACACATCCTGCATGTAGAAGTTCATCTAGACGTTCAGAAGATTCTGGTCTTGTCGTCAGTTTTTCTTAGTCGAGATTTTTATTCTGATGTCCTTTTTTTGACAAGCCTATTTTGACTTTTCGTACTCGTACAAGGTCATCCAGGTGTTCAGAAGCTTCTGGTATTCTGGTAAATTCTTGCCAGCTGAGATTTAGACTTCAATGACCTTTTTAACAAAGAGTTTATCACTTTTTTTCACGCAGTCTGCTTGTAGATGTTCATTTGAACGTTCAGAAACTTCTGGCCTTGTCGTCAGTTCTTTCTAGTCATGAAATTCTCAGAAGCTTCTGATTTTGATTGGCTTTCCTCTACACGAAAACCCGTCAGTTTTGCTCTCTTTTCTGTAAAAAAAATACGTTTTTGTCTATTTTTGTTTATAAAATCTTCTGAACTCTCATAAACTTTCACTGACTTCAAAAAAATCTTCTTTCCTCTATATTAAACTTTACACTGCATTTACTTTCGGAATAAAAATTATTTTTTTCGAGTTTGAGGCTTATTTCCCGAAATTTTTTTCAAAAAAATCCGCTGAAACTTGGCGAAAAAAATAACTTCATTCGTATAATTTTGCTTCTAGAATCTTGAAATATCGTTCCCCATTTAAAAAAATGAAAAAGACAAAAAGTCAAGCCATAATTAAGAAAAATTTTTCGAGCTTTACCTTCACTTAATAATTTATGACTCAAATTTCGTCTTTACTAAAAAGCATCTGCCAAATAATCTTGATTGTATTTTTTTCATCTGTTGATTTTTTTCTAATAAAAAAATGACATTTTCATCATTCTTTTTATTAATTTACAAATGAGTAATTTGCGTGGGTTCCAGTTTTTGAGCAAACTTTTTATTAGTGTGATGAATGATATTTTTTCTGAACGGACTAATTTTCTAAATCGCTGAATTTGAAAAAAACAATTATGACTTTGTGAATCATTGTTCAAATTTTGAAATGCTGATTTTGCAAGGACTAATTTCCAAAATGGACGGATTTAAAAAATGTTAAGGCATTAAGTTCTGCAGAAATTTTTTTGCTAAGATCAAAAGATCTGAGCTCCAGTTCCGTTTTGAGAAATAAAAAATTCATCTCGCAAAACTGATAAAATCGGCCTAAATGCAGAGCGGGCGCGATTTTTCTGCGAGTGGCTCACAGACATTTTTTGTTTTCTTTTCGCTCCAATTTGAAAAATTGTTGAGTTTCATTGTATATTCTGATTAAGTTTTTGAAATAGAATAAATATAAAAAAATAATTTATAATCTTCGAAATTTGCCTCAAATGCAACGCTGGCGCAGTTTCTCTGGAAGCTTTTTTTATTCACTCAGTTTATTTTTTTCCTTTTCCGCTCATAAAAAGTTTCTAAAAAAATTTTAACTTTCATGCTTTCTGTTTCAAAATTGGAGCTTCAAAGTTTTTTTTCCAAAAAATCCAACATGGGCGCAGTACTTTTGCAAACGACCGAAGATCTCCATTTTTTTTTTCGTTTTTTGCTCATCCTTTTCGGCCGTTCATCTTTGTCTCTTCGTCCGTTGTAAAAACGCGTTCTGATCTGTTTTCCACGGCGGCCTCGCTTTTCTGCACTATTTCAGTGTATAGTTGGTGTTATTTTTGTCGGTGGTCCCTTTTTTTTCTTCTTAAAATTAAGTAACCAATTGAATACTTGACGGAATTCTTTTCGAAGCTTAAAACTCGGCGTCAGAAAAACGGAAATTATCATTGGAGCGCGATCGTTATCATTTTATCAGGGCCGCATTTGGTGGAGAAGACCACTTCTTCCAGTCTTCCCCATTTGCTTCGCAGCCCACCGTAAGACGCCAAAAACGGTCCTTTTTCGTTGAGAAATGTGTAGTTTGAACGATTTCGGGATAGTAAATTTCGAATAAACTCATTAAAAAGCATTGAAACACTGCTTTGTCAAATTCGAGGCGCCTAACTGCTCCTGTCACGAATAATATTTTCGAAAATGATTGATATTTTTTTCAGCTGCAAGACTAGAATTCTGTTATGGTTTGAAAAATTTTTCTTTTTTGATGTTTTCGATAATTATTTCAATTTTTTTCATTGGAAAGCCTTTCAAAAAGAGCAAAAAAAGGATGATTTCGATTTTTTTGTGAAGATATGGGAATTCTCACGTTTTTTTACCAACAAAGAAATTTCAAAATTTTCGACACTTTTCAACTGGTAAACAGAAGCGTAATTTGAAGTGTAAAAACTGAAAAAGTTGTCGAAAAATGGTCCAGCATTATCTTTTCCCTATAATTTTTGCATGTTCTTTTTTTTTGAGATTGCTTTTTTCTAGCTTCTTTACATTCCAATCAATTTTTATTCAGTTTGATCTCCACCTGCCCCGGGAATCACTTTAAACCCACTGGACATGACGTCAAGTCCCTCTGTTTTCCTTCTTTTCCAAGCATCTTTGATCATCCAACCTACTCTAGATATCTGTTCGATTTTATCGCGAACATTCTTTTATATTTAACGCCTCTAACGTGTCGATTATTATTGATGTTTACGTGACACGTTCTTGATCAAAATTGAAATCATTTTTCAGGGATCACAGATTTGAAAGCACCTTTCAACGATCGGTTTGATTTTTTTCCATTTTTCTTCTCACTCTGTACTGTCCGAAAGATTTATTTTTTTATAAAGACGTGCTTTAAAAAGTGTCGTAAAGTGGAATGTATCTTGTGTGATCAACAGTGCACCGTGCTTGCGTACTTATTAGCTACTGTAACCTTTTTTGCTCTTTTTTGTGTTTTGGAATTTTTGAAAATAATTCTAGTAGAGATTAAAAAAAGATGGACTTTGTTGATTGTTGATCATCTTTGAATTTGACAACCTGATTTTGATCAAAAAGCATTTTATTTAACGAAAAATTATCTTTTTTTTCGCGTTTTTTGTACACGACAATCTTGTCACCTTAGAATTTATCGATCTTGTGCTTTTTTTTATTCGTTTTCTCACTTCCCCCACGAATTTATACAATAACCATCTCTTGAATTGCGAATTTCAAGGCGCAGGACAGTTTTTTTCTTGTAAAAACCAATTATGTTCCAAAACTTTTCCTACCTGTTCTGAAATTACCAGTCAACGTTCGCCCTTGGCTGCAAGGACGAACCAGAAAAAGGTTCCTGAAGGCCGTCGAGTGTTGGTTTCGGCCTCGTTTGTGACGACGATCGATGGCTGACGGCAGCCGCCCAGGCTCTCCCGCTGTAAACCCCCGACTCTCCCGACGTCGTCGTCATTGTTGGCGTTGGCGTTGGTTGGAGGCGATCCTGACCTTCTGGTTTCTTCCTTTATTGTGTAGTTTCTAGCTTGAAGTTCACCTTTTCTTCTCCTTTTTCATTCTATTTTTTTTTTCTATTTTAAGTTTTATTGGTTTATTCAGAAATTCCATATTTTATAGTTGAAAATAAAGCCGCAGCTGACCTATGGCTTCACTTTTGAGCTTTTCAATGACTTCATTGGATTTTTCTCGCAGGCTCCATTTTTCTGTGTTGATTACTAATTCTTTAGCTAAATATTCATTGATTCTAGTCTAATCGATCATATTTGGAAGTAGAATCACACTTGATTTATTTATGCACTTCTGAGCGTCTTAATGGTCTCAATTTCGAGATCATAATTTTTTTTTTTCGTAACTGATCAGCTTAAATATTTTTTTTCTGACTATACTTTTGGTATTTTTTTGAACGTACAACTGGAAAAACCTGTTCTCAATTAATTTTCGAAAAATTCATTCTGAAGCCAACGCTGATTATTGACTGCTTTTTAATGATATTTTTTGATCGCATAATCAGTATTTACCTCATTTTCATGTTTTTTTTTGGTTCCATGATTGTTTAATTTTAATCATCTAATCTCGCCAAAGTCGTTTCAAGGTCGGGAGCACTTTGAATCATTCCCAGTGCGACAAAAGTCTCCGTCTCTCTTTTATTTATTTTCTTTTCACCTGGATGCATCTATTACAGCAGTCCTAGACACACAGCTGACCCCTCAGCTGTACTAATCAGCTTTTCTGTTCGTACTTTTGAATTTTTACCCAACTTTTTTCTGACTGAAATTTTTTTCGGATCCTTTCAAGATCTTTCTACATTTTTGAATTGTTTTTTGAATTTTTGCATCCTGGTTTCACTTTTTAGAAAGCCTTGTGTGCGTTATTTTTTTCTGAATTTTTTTCGAATTTTAAAAGAATCCTAGATTTTTTTCGGAATAGTTTTTTTAAAAATTTATCTATAAATGTGTAAAAAAATAAATTTTATTTCTGTACTTTTTAATTATTTTTTTGCAGCTTCATTTGAGCTTTTCCCTCTTATCAGTGTCCTTAAGCCTCTTTTTGAGAGATTTTGGCCATATTTTGAGGATTTTGAGAACCTTTATGACTTTCTACAGATTTTTGTTCCTCTAGCCTTCAATTCAAGCGTTTACTTGCACTTTAAGCTTCTCTATCCTGTCTTTTTCCGAATTTTTGGTTCTTCTCAGCTGTTGACAAACACGCTAATACGTCTTTTTACGTACTTTTGTTTGCACCTTGGCGTTTTAAGGATTCATAGTAGGTTCTAGAAGGCTTCAGAACTAATTTTTGCACTTTTTAGTTGTAAATAATGGTTGATTCCGAATAAGGAGGTTTAAATAAATTTAGACATAGAACAAGCCTCAAAATGAAAAATCTTCCAGTGCTGAATGATTATTTATATTATTTTTTTTGGGATTTTTCAAAACTTGGATGCTCGATGAAAATGGTTTTTTTCAAGGCTGTTCTTTCCGTTTTTTTCCACTCTTCTCCAACCAATTTTGAAGCCTTTTTCAACTTTCAGATCTTTCAACAGTGTTCAGTGATGTTTTAGGGTTTTCCCAACGTTTGTTCGTATTTTCTGATGTTTATCAGCCCCCTTAGAAGGTTCTATGAGTCCCATTATGTTCGCTTTTTAACGTTTCAAAGCCAATAAAATTGAAACGAGTTTTGAGTCATGGCTATAACATCAGACTTTGTTGGAAGTCTGGCTTGTATTTTATGGATTTTCGACTAATTTGAAGCGGTATATAATCGAAAATTGCTGGAAATATGTCATTTATGCTAGTTTTAAGAATTTAGGAAGCGGTGCGGTCGCGTCGCGGTTCGAAGCAAAATTCTTTTTCGAAATTGTTTTCGATAGTATTCACTGAATCGATTTTGTCGGAGTTTAAACTCAATTTTTAAATTTTTTTTCATTATTGAATCGAATTTCAGTTTACTTTTGCATTTTCCACACCTGGGGGTCATGAGTTTATTATTTATATCGAAACGGATTCAATTTCTCGGTTTTCTGTTTCATTTCAACTATAGTTGCTCTTTTTTCCAGTGTTTCCCTGATTCTTGAAATGTCCCGGACGATTCTGGCGTTTATAGTGACCGCTTTAGTAGCGTCAGAACTGTTAAGTGATCCCTAGAAGGGAACGTTCGTTCCGCGTTACCAATGTCCGAGACGCTTTAGAAATTTCGAATAAGTCATTTCTCGGAGGGAAATTTTTCAATTTTTCTGTCTATTTGAAAAAAAAAACTAGGAATTGTGTTTGTACGCAAAAAGTTCAGGATTTGTACTTCTAAAAAAAAGTGCTATCTTTTTTTTCCAGTTGAGTCAACCTTTTTGAATTTTTACATGTTTAGTTGAATTTTTTTGTTTTGAAATCGTTTTTTTGCTACTTTATGAATTGTTTTTTTGGCGGGATTTTTTTATTCTTTTTGGAGCATATTTAGTCGTAGAGTCGTCCTCCAATAATTTTTTCTCGCTTCAATTTACTCGGTTTTTATTTTCTGAATTTCGAAAACTTTCCCAAATTTTTTCTGGATCCTATGTAAATCGCTAGTAGGTTTCAGAGCCTGTCATGAACTGAAAAATTTTCGTTTCGAGTATTATTTCGTCTCGAAACTATTTCTGTTCGTGGGCATGCGCCTTTAATAAAACGCAAACTTTTTGGCTTACTAAAGGCGCATGCCCACAAGCAGGCCGCGTGCTTCGAAAAGAATCTTCTCGTGATTCTGAAGCTCGGGTGATAGAGCAAAAATGACTATAGTTTCAGTCACAAAAATTACTGTAGTTTCAATCAAAAACTTCCATAGCCTTGAAGGAAATCAGCCTAAATTTTCCGTTTAAAGGCGCATGGACATAGAAAGGTTACGCGCATCAGAGCGAATGATTCTGTAGACCGGAGAAAAATAAAAATCGTGAAAAGCGCGGAATCGGCTATATATGTATTTTCTGCCCTTTTACAGTGCTGACTTGACCTCGTATTTTGGTTGGTTTGCCCTCTGAAGCGTCGTCGTCGACGGCGATGGCAGACAAACGCTCACGGAAACGACGCTCACAAGAGCCCTTGGCGGATCACTCACGCTCACCAAACACTCATCGGAAACCCTCCCGAAACACTCCCTCACTCACACAAGGCAGACGGAAAGAGACGGCAAAGCTCCCCGCCGCCGCCAACCAACCAACGAACCACTCGGATCGACTCCCCCTCAAGATCCCGTCTTTTTTGCCATTTATTGCCAATTATAATGGGTAGTGAGAAGTAAGGCAGTTCTTCGGATACCTATATTTCTCCTGGAACCCTTTTTATCCCTTTTTTGTCCTTCTGGTTACCGATTTTTATTCTTATTTAAAGGTTTGGAAAGAATTTAGAAAGGTTTTTAGGTTGTATTTTTCAGTCTTTTTCTTTAAAAAAATCCTCATTTTTTTGCCTTTTTTTCTATAGTTTCTGAATTTTATTTATTCTTAATTTTGGCTGTGTTTTTTTATTTCATGAAAAATAGTTTCGTTAAAAGAAAAGAGAAACTTTATATAGGCTTTGTGGTTCAATTTCCGTATTTTTTTGAGCTGTTCTGGACTTTTTTTACCCATTCGGCGGAATTTTATAAGATCTTTTCAGTTTTATTTTTATGACGATTTTCTTGTCATTTTTCGCAATATGTCGATTTTTTCTTCACAACCAGCTTTTTAATGAAATTTTCAATGAGTCATGCACTTACTTTCATCAAAAAACTTTCAAAAAGTATAAATTTTTAAGCTTTTTTACTTCGGATTCCTGTATTTTTGAGCTTTTCGGACTGTTTTCCTTTCACTTTTTCTCATGGAAACTGTGTTCGTTCAGTTTCGAGCACTCACTAGTTTTAAGGTCTCGTCATTGCCTCGATTCGTCATTTTTCTCCCTGTTTTTCCGGGTTTCAGTTTCTTTTTATCGTTCTGGAATCACATCGTCATCAAACTTCTCATCATTTTTTTCTTTTTTCATTAAATTCGGAAATCGACCCCGATTTTTGTCATTTTCCATACTCTTTCTTCCAACTTGAAAGCTTTTGTTTCAACTGAAAGTTTCCATTTCAAACGATCTTCCTCTTGAGAAATTTTGTGAGAAGAACGGTCATTGATAACTCTCTTTTTTAGGTTACCGAGTGGGTCTTATCAAAAAATGTTTCACTTTCGCCTGTTCTTTCCATCTCTCCTGTCTAAAATTTTCAAGTTGAAATTTAGTTTTTCTTTTCTCAATTTTTCTTCTTTTTCAAGGTTGATATAGAAGTTTCCCAACAATTTCTTGAAAAGATGAATTATCAAGAATTTCCGCCGTTCAGAACTTTCTTTTTGTATTTCTCTCGTTCCAAAATGGTGAAGCAGTTTATTCGCTGGTACTACCAACGAGCCCACATTATTCCCCAAGGCGGTCACGCCGGGACTTATCGGACAACGGTTGTGGACCGAAACCCGCACCGACGACTAACTCTTCGATTATACCATGATTCAGCAAAGATTTTCTTCATCTTACTCTGAAGACTGAATAAATGAATTGAATTGAATTGAAAAGGTGCGCTAGAACGGTAAAATACATATTATTTTCCGTCGTTCAGAACTTTCTTGGAGTTTGTATTTCGATTATCATGTCTTGAAATTGAGTTTTTTCGATTTTTTTCATCATGAATTCATCTGAAAAATTTTTTTTTTTCCTTTTTTCCACTAGTCTATTCATTAGAACCTTTTAAAGAGAGTATTCTTGTAGGTCGAACTGGAAAAAAAAATTAATCAATGTTTGAGTTTTTCCTACTTGAACTTTCCACAGCTTCTTTTTCTCATTTTTTTTTCCTCCATTTTGGTTTCTTCCACAATTTTTCAATTTGCTGTAAATTTTTTTCTTGATATTGCTAGAATTTGTATCCATTTTTCCGTTCTTCGCTTCGTTTTACAATTTTTAAACCACTAAAATTTCAAAATTTGAATTTTCCAGGCGCTGGTGCCGCTCGTCGATGGATCCGTTGTCCGCGCGAGTCCTGGCCGCCGCCGTAGCCTCGTCGTCGACCGCGCCGCAAGCCGCGCCGCCCCAATCCACACAGTCGGCGACCGCAACGCAACCGCCGACGCAGCCCGCAGGACAGCAGTCGACCACCGGCCTATTGCTGCAGCAGATCCAGCCTGGAGCTGCTCCAGCCTCCGGCCGCGGTGTCTCCTTCTCCAGCCAACTCGCCCAGATCGCCGTCAACGTTCCGGTGGCGGCGGCTGCTGCGGCCGCTGCAGCCGCTTACGCCGCCACTACGGGCAACCTGCCTCCCTACATGCCCTACGACATGAACGGATCCTTCACGACGCCGACCTACATCATGGCCCCCAGCAGTGTCTACACTCATTGTGTTAATGCTCAGGTACGCCTTCTGGGGTATCTTTCAGACCTCATAAAACAATGTTTCCAGACGCCGACCGCCGCCCTGTGCTCCTGCGGACTCCCCCAGGCCCTCAACCAAACGTGTTCCCTCCACGCGACGACCCAGCAAGTGCTGGCCAACCACCAGCAGCAGATGAACACCTTCTCCAACGGCCACCAGAACTTCCAGATGGCCCGCCTCACCCAGCAGATCACCCTCCAGATGCATCTCAACCATCTCGTCCAACAGCAGAATTTGCCCATGCCGTCGTCACAGCCCCAGCCTTTCACGTCTCAGCCCCAAGCCACTCAACAAATCGTTAACGCCAATTGTCATGCCCCCGAGACGCCCGCCCGGCCTTCCACCGAAAATCCTCTCCTACAGGTTCAACTCCTTTACTTCACCTTTTTATTGATGGCACTTTTTGAGAGACGTTTTTTCAGGGCTCTAGGTGTCTCATGTTAGATCCGAATGCTAATCAGAAGGGTTAGGAATGTCTGGAATCTTTTTTTTGATCATATTTTAGCTTAAGGTGTCGATTTTAGCTCCAAATAAGGTTCAATAAGGCTAAGAATGTTTGGAGTTTATATCATTTGTTCAAGGAATTTTTCAAAGCTTTAAATGTGACTGATTAAGGTTGAGAAAAATATGTTTTTCAAGATTTTTCGTTGTTTGATCAAAATTCAGCTTCAGGTACCTCATTTTAGTTCCAAATTCAGTAACGATGAGAAATATGAAGAAAATTGAGCTTTAAGTACCTTAATTATGCTCAAAAGGCGCTTTAGTATGGTTGAGAGAAATGTAAGTCTTAAATAATTTTTTTTTTCATTTCCTGAAAATTGAGCATAAGGAATTAAGGTACCTTATTTTTTTGCTCAAAAGGCGGGTTAGTAAGGTTAAGAATTTTTCAAAAATCTGTTTTGAGATAATGAATGAAGTTAAGGGACCTTATTTTAGCTTTAAATCCGGATTAAACGTGAAATCAAGAATTGTCAAAAGCTTTCATCTCTAATCGATAAAAATTGATCTTTTTACTCAGAAGATAAATTTTTGGATTAATCCAAATATATTATGAGGGCTACTGATATTTTAATGAGAATTTCTACGATTTACTGGAATTTTTGAGGATTTTTGATTTCACTGACCAGGAAACATTTTTTTTCTTGCAATAGATCTTGTTTCCGAGTTGAGAAGCTTCCAAGTCCGCAAAATAAGCAAATTAGGCCAAAAGAGCAAAAAAAAAACTCTTTTTCTGGATGATATTTTCGATCTTTCAGCACCTGCAAAGCTGGCGAAATGGCGCGTTGTCGTATTCAACTTCCCGGCTCCAAGAACAGGTCGACTTCCTCCAGACGCAGAACCAACAGCCGATGATGCAGCCGACCGCCGCCCAGCCGAGTATTTCCACCGGCGGCAGTGGTCGTGGCCGGACCGAGATCTTGAGAGATTTGGAGGTCCGTTTTTCAAGTTTTTCCGTTCTCCGTCATCTTCTAAATCATTTGAAATGGCGCCCGGAGCGTTTTGAAACGTTGAAAAAAAGGAAAAATTAGCCGATATTTCGATTGAATTTTGAGGAACGAACAAGTTCATTTTTCAATTTTTTTTTTTTCTCATGTCGCAGAACTTCTAGTGTCCACTTTCGTAGCGTCAAAACTCTTGAGTGACCCCTAGAATGGCTCAAAAACGTCCGGAGCGTCTTGCGCTGTAGATTATAAAGACAATATTCAAATGTTTTGACTTTCGGAAAACTATTAGAATCTTTCATAGTCTGATTTTTGTCACACACGCTCTGAAAAACGCCTTCAATGAATTTTTAAGGCTTTTCTTCACTTTGACCAGAAAAATGACGAAAAATCTTTCTTCCAGGCGGCTCGACAGCAAACGAGCATCGGCTCGTCGTCGCTGCGGACCTTTGCGCGACTGAAGAGAACAATCGCGCGAGTCGAAGAGCGACAACGACAGATGGACGAGTCTGACGCGCCGCCTGAACTCGAACGACAAGAGCCGACGTCATCGACGAGTCCCCGGAACGACGAACCGCGACCCCCCAAGCTTCGCCGAGTCGGATCCGCGACGCTACAGCCGGAACGGCTCCCCGAACCTCCCCTCCCTTCGACGTCGACGACGAATTCCTCCTCTGCCTCGTCGTCGCAACACGTCACCGGCCTGGTCCCGTCCGGAAACTGCCAGTACTGCCACGCGGTCACGGGCAATCAGTCGCAGCCGTCGCAAGCCTCCTCGAGTCTCCTCCCGCCGCCCTGCGGATGTCCCACGGCCCATTGTCAGCACACAGCCGCCGCGATCGCTGTGGCCGCCGCCGCCGCTGGACCCTTTACCTTGAGCTCTCCGGCTCATTCCAACCTCTTCCAGCAAAGGTGAGCGTCTTCGGAGGGGCTTTCCACAGTGTCTTCACCTTCATGCTTTCTTCAAATAGGATTTTGACGTCTTTTTTTGATTAAATGATACCGTATAGTATAGTCTGTGTGCCAAGACTTGAAATTTCACGGAACGACATTCCGTTGTTCCGCTGCGTGCGTTCGCGAAGCGTCTTTCGAACATAGGTCACGCTTCCAATTTATTATTATTGCTGCGGGAGCACATGAAAGTAGAGTACCTTGATAAAGAAAAAAAAAATTAAAAGCGCGAACAAGGTTCGCAAAGGCGCGCAGCGGAACAGCGGAATGTCGTTCCGTGAAATTCCAAGTCGTGGTAAACAGGCTATACAAAAACTTTGAATTTCTGGAGCCGTGAAAAAGTTCCCTACAAAGAGATGGCGTCTTTGCGCGAAATTCAATAATTGGAATTATTCGAGCAGTTTTAAGCAAATATTTGGTTTGCAGGTGTAAAATCCTTCATTCTGTTGTAGAACCCGATTTTTTTTATAAAAAGTATTCAGAGTGCCACTACAGCGTACTTTGCGTTATTCGAAACGAAATAGGACGCAATTTTTGGAATCTCTAAAAGTTTAAACCGGGCATCAGCGTTTGAACCTTCGAAAGTTTGCTCCACCGAAATTGAAAAGCAAATGATACTCCTTATTGTACTAAATATATGCACAAAAAGACTCTCTTGCTGATTTCTGAGAAGACTGTCTTAAAAAAATTCAGGAATTTCGAGATTTTAGGCCTTAGAAAAGCAGCAGTTCCAGACTTAAAAAAGGACAAATTTGACTAGAATTTTGAAAAAAAAACGCTTCATTTTTGACTTTTTTTTCCGTGTTCGAAACGATTTTGAGACTTTGGAAGAGTTTATAATAAAAAAATGATACCCCCCTAATACAAGAAAAAAAGCTCAAAAAGGAAGAAAAAAATTTCTCTTGGTTTTCTCGAAAAAAACTTGATTTTTTTAAAAAAGAAAAGGCCTGATTTCTCGATTTTCAGCTCGGGCAGTAACATCCAAATCCCGACGCCGATCCACCCGTCGAGTTTCGGACCGACGCCTTATCAGCTCCGGATGTACCAAGAGGGCCTCATCGCAGGCCATCAGCACGGGCTGCAGAACCGACGACAGAACGCCCTCACCGCCAGCGCCTTGAACCGTCTCGGGAGCGTTTTCGTCGTCCCCGGCGGCCCGAACTTCCCCCACACCGCCTACAATGCCACGGTTTGCATTGGCAGTCTTGAGAACTTGATTCATGATTTTGTCAAGAAAAAAGATTGGAAGCTGATTTCAGGACTTTTTGAATACTGGAAGAAAAAAAACGGGAAAGTGTGAAGGGCCCTCAGGATCCATAAAGGCTGCTGAAAGGCTCCATAAAAATGTTCCTTTTAGGATGATGAAAACTCTCTCTTTGCTGCCTTTTTGCACCATTTTTGCTCCCCTCCCTTTTTCCACCATTCCTTGAGCCTTTAAAATCCCAGAAAAATGGAAGGCTCGATCCTCGATCATAGGAAAAGTCGGAAGGACCCTCCGAAGGTCCATAAAGGTCCATATCCATATAACCGTTCCTTTTAGGGTGATGAAGGCTCTTTTTTTGCTGCCGCTATTTTCTCAGCCCATGTGCACCGTTTTTGCTGCCTCTCTCTTTCTCCACCATTCCTTGAACCTTTAAAATCCCAGAAAAAATCAAAGACTCGATAAAGGGACTCTCTTCGCTCCCTTTTTGCTGCCTTTTTGCGACCTTTCTGCGGCCTTTTTTGAGCCTCTCCCTTTGAGCGGCCCCCATTCGGACTTTGCCCGAGGGTAAAGAAAAAAAATACCCAAGTTCATAAATTTTTTGCACCAGCTTCGAAAATTTTATTAAAACCATTGAAAAAAGTGTAAAGATCTGGAAAAAGATGGGAAAAATCTTAATTCCTTCATAAAGAATATTTTTTTGGATTGTAGTCTTTTTTCTCAATATCAAGCTTTGAAAAATTGTCTTGAATCTATAATTACAAGAAAAAAATGGCTTTCAAAAATTTTCTCAGGAAGCTTTGAGAGAACTTTTCAATGTGAAAGCTTTAAAATGGAAATTCTATTTTTTTAATTTTCGGTAAAACCTGTTTTTTTAACGTTCCAAGCCCTTTCGCCGTCCGAAAATTTTGAAAAAAAGTCAAATATTCATCAAAAAAAGTTAGAGAACAGTATTGAAAAAAATTTTAATAATCAAAGTTGAAAAAAAGAAATTAAAAAAATGTCAAATGTCATTACATCCTTTCAATCCTTTTAAAAAGTAATCAGTACTTCCCGAAAAAATCGTCTTTTCCAAACCCAGCTCAAATTAAGAAGTATCCGAGAAGTTCTGAAGAGACTTGGAAAGAAACGCTGAAGACAATTGAAAAAAACGGGAAAAGGAACATTGAATATTTGCAGAATGGCCGCGTAATGGAGCTGAACATGATGGTGAACGTGATCCCGACGGAGCTGCTCAACGTGCTCGACCGGCCGACCCTCGACCGTCACCATATGTTCATCGCTCCCGTAACGGAGCCCCAACCCGTCGGCGCCAGTCCTCAAGACATCGAGAAGTGCACCGCCAAAATTCCTTTCGTCAAGGATATTGAGGTAACAAGACCAGTCATTCATTCTGGAAAAGACTGTCGCTATGGTATCTTTTTTAAAGTGGCCATTTTCAGGAAATTTTGAAGTTTTTTAGTTCTAAATTGGTTCAATGTGGGATTGAACGAATTGGGGCCAAAACGCATCGCGACCGCTTCGCATGCAAATGCCGCAACGTGAAAAATGATTAAATCTGATTTTTAAAACTTTATTTGAAAGTTTTTTTGATATGATGGGCAAAAAAACGACCTCAAAAAGACATCAATAGATCTTTTTAAGCGGTTTTTTTCTCAAATCCAACTTTTTTTGTTATTTTTTTCGAATTTTTGCCTGATTTTTTTAAATATTTTAGTAGCCTTGGCTTCCAGGCGTTTAAATAACAACCATTTTTAAGAATTTTTTTGTAGAAAAATTGGAGTTTAAAAGGTTCAAAAAACCTACTTTGCTGAGAAAAATTTTCAGTGGCCACTATAGGGTTTTGATCTTTTGGTGGCCACTATAGTAGTCAAATTAGTAGCCACTGTAGAGGTCTAAGTGCTACTACTAGCCCACGAAAACTTTTGGGGGTCACTTTAGGGGTTAATGGATCAACATAACTAGATAGACAGAGACCGGCTAAATAGGAACTTCTATAGTGGCCACAAAAACGGAAAATAGTGGCTACTTTAGTGTCCTCTCCAAGTAGCCCTTGTCGAACCTCTAAAGTGGCAACTAAAAACTTTGCCAGTGTAACACTTCAAAAAAATATTCTCCCAAAGAACTTCCTGATCATTCTTGAGAGAGATCAACAAAAAATTCTAAAATTCTACAGGCGCCAGCCGAGGAGACGGAACGTTGCACGGTCTGCCTGTGCGACTTCGAGACGGGTGACGAAGTAAGGTCGCTCCGCTGCACACACATCTTCCACCCGGACTGCATCGACAAGTGGCTCGTCTACAACAAGAAGTGTCCCGTGTGTCGGCTCGACGTCGACAAACCCCTCGTCGTCGCCGAAGCCGTCGCCATCGGAACCATCAACTCCACCACCGCCATCGCTCCTTGAACCCCAGTCATTCGATTTCCCTTTGGACCTCCTGCTGTACCATTCTTCTGTACTGATTTTGAGCTAGAAAGAGAGCATTTGGGATTGAAAATTTGGATTTTTTGAAAAGATTTTAAAGATTAAAAGAAGCTTTTTAGGCCCCTTGAAATTTTTTGGTTCTTCTCTTGAACAAGAGTGAGATGTTCTTGAGTAATTGGAAAAAAAGTGAGAGTTTTCCAAATTTCAAGCTTTTCCCTGGAGAAGTAAGGGTTTTTCCAAGAATTTTCGTCACATCCTCGATTTTTTAGGCATTTTTGGATCTTGATGACAATATTTTGACCTTTTCTTGATTGTCAAGGTGCTCAATGAGGCTCTAGAAATCGATTTTAGTTTCATAACTTTCGGACATTTTTCAATCCCAAAACCTCTTTCTCAAGTCTCCTCTTCTTTCATAGACTTTATTAGATTTTTGAGAATTTGCGTTTTTTCTCCGCTCAGACCGCTTTGATCTACCTTTCCCGGCGCCCTTTTTTTCGAAAAATTTCTATTTAGCAAGTTTTTTTTTGTCTTTTTATGTATATTCAAGCCCAGTAACGTCTGTGATTTTGTTGTGTTTTTGAACTAGGTGTTCATTTCATTCAAAAAATTAAAAAAAAAAGAAGTTGTTGGCCCAAGGCCTTTTCCCTCTGATTCAAACGAATCGAAACTCGCTTTTTGTCCTGGATTTCACTTGGCTCCTTGCCCACTTCCTCTTCTTTCTTTCTAGGATAGAACAAATACCTTTTTTTCCCACAATTTCCTCCTGGTCATAAAAATCGTCTCCGCAAATGTCCCAACATAGTTCTAATAGGTCATTTCTATTATTCAATTTTACTCGCTGCAAGTTTTTTTCCCAGCCACGGTTGCTTCCCAATTTATTTGTTCGTTTCTAATTAAACTTTTTTTCGATCCCGGTGAAAATTTAATCTATAAATTTGGACGTTTTTTCTGTGTTTGTGTGCGTGTGAACCCCGTTTCTCGATACTTGAAAGTCTGGATTTTTAGCACGAATTCATATAAAAAAATAAAAAAATAAGAAAAAAACTGATACTCGGATTTTTTTCTGGTTTTCTTCTATTCTCTTTTTTCGCTATTTCAAACCCCGCGGGTCATGCTTTCTCTATTCCTTTACATAGTCGCCTTTCGTTCACCTCCGTTAATACTCACTTCGTTTTGTTCGCGCTTTCTCACCTCTATAGAAATTATTTTTAAAAACTTTGGGTACGGTAGTCGTTTGGTCTGCAGAGCTCGGTGTGTGCACAAAAACAAAGTTTTCCCACATTATTTTTCGCAATTTTCATGTAATTTTGCTTGAAGTCAGTGCTTTTACACTTTTCTACTACCGTGACCCGATGCAAAACAAAAAATATGAAAAAAGATGTAAAATTGCCAGTCTTTCTGCCCTCAAAAATCCGCAACCCCCCACGCGTACGTCAAAGTGCACTGTGTAGCTTCATGTGATGTTTTTTTTTTTCTTTTTACCATGAGTTTTTCGCCCTTGTGAATTTCATTTCACTTTTCTCCCTCCTCATTAACCATTTTTATGATTGCAAGAAATCTATATGTGATTCCATTTGGCAGAATGAATAGTTTCGGCTTTTTGTGTATTTTTCCGTGGTTTTCGGTTTGCAAGGCACATTTGGACAAGGAAGCTTTGAGTTGAATGCAAGTGACTACAAAGAGAAGGCATTTAAAATAAATCTCGTGTTCTGAAAGCTTTACTAACACTGCACCGAGAGAAGTCAGCACGCTTTTAATTGGAAGAAAAAATCCAGACTTTTAAGAATCATACAAAAAATATCTTATCGCTTTCATGATTGCTAAATTTTGTGTCTTCGTGTTCAATGAATAAAACAGTTTACTATATTGGCCAATAAAAACAAATAAAGAATGAATGAAGAAAGAAAAGAAACACGTCGAAGAAGCGAAAATAAAAAGAAAAAATATTTACATTTATGCGCGTAGGACGAAATGCATTTGTCGCATCAGTCGTAAGGTCAGTTGTATTGTCCGCAGAACTGGTTTTTCCAGATTTTGAAATCCCAGGTGTTTTAAAAGATTATTCTCTTCATCTCTAATGCCGTTTTCAGAGGAATTTCGACGATTTCAAAATCTCGGGCAAAACTGAAAAGCTCCCCAAAAGCTTTTCTCAAAAAAAAGACCTTGAAAGGGTCCCCAGCAGATCTTTTTCACATCATTTCAATTCTTTTTTGCATCTTTTTGGTGGTATGAAAAAAAGACCAGCGAAAACTCAAACGTCGATTTTTCCGATTTTTTCATATCGCTAGGGAACTTTCCGACGGCCACCTTTCCGACGAAATTTTTTCCGACTTTTTTTCTCGATAAAATCTTCGTTTTAAAACTTCCTATATAAAGTAGGTAGTTGGTTCATGATTAAAACACAGAGAAATAGGAAAAAAATATGTTTATAGATGTTTATAAACATAAAAAAACATAAGGGAAAAAAAGTCGGAAAAAGATTCGTCGGAAAGGTGGCCGTCGGAAAGTTCACTAGCGATATGAAAAAATCGGAAAAGTCGTCTTTTGAATTTTCGCTGGTGTTTTTTTCATACCACCATCTTTTTCACATCCTCTGACAAAAAGGATGCTGGAAAGCAACTAAAAAGATTCGAGAGGATTCAAAAAGGATCCTCTGAGGCTATGAAAAAGGTGCTCAAAAGCTTTTTTACATCATTTTAGGAGCTTTTAGAGGAAGCTTTTTATCTCCCTCTCAGGATCCTTTAAGGATCCTCAAAGGAAATTTTCCGTTTTACCTATGATTTATGTAGAAAATGCACAAATCATTTCAAAATCTTGAGTTCGCGCGTAGAAGTTACTGAAAAAATGCATACCTAACGAAATATCGTTGTGGGACTCGTTTTCTCTGCGCCTTCCTGAAATACCATTTCTGTCTGTTTCCCGAAATCGTTTTAAACGTTAGGTCTGCTTAATCATGATAATATCACTTAAATAAGATTCCGGGTTTCTTTTAAAAACTCTTGTTTTTCTTCAATTTTTTGATTACCAAATCATTTATTTTGTTGGTTTAGTCATAGATTTAATTGACTGGGCGGTGAACAAGAACTTTCGAAGCTATAAAGAACAACCTTATTTGGCGATTAGTTAGTTAATTTTTGGAAAAAAAAAACCCCCGGCTGGTCTTTTTAAAGGCGCGAAATCTCGAATGCTCTTAAACAAAAAGTTTGCACCTTGAGGCAATCTTGATATTATGCTTCTTCAACCACATCAGGAAGAAAACCTGAAAATAATATAGTCGTGTTCATTGCATTCTTTTGTTTTTGAGCTCCTCTTTCTCAGGAGAAACTTTTTTTCTGTTTCCTAATCCTAATTTTTCCGTTCTTTTTATCCAGTTATTCATTATTGCTTATCGATTCAAAATACGTTAAAAAAAGAAAGCGTTTCGCAAAAAAAGACGATAACACTCTTGGGCAAGTTCGCGCCATTGACAAATTTTTGCTCGTTCGCGAAATATTTTCGTTCTCGAAAAATTTTTCCGCGTTTTTCTATATTTTGAATCTCTAGTTATTTTTTTTCATAGTTCTTTCAAAAATTTGAGAAGCCTCTATCGAAATTTTTTTAAAAAAAGCTCAAAAAAATTTATAAACTGAAAGAAGAGTCCCGGAAAAAAACAGGCGAGAGGTACATGAGAAAAAAATTTTTTTGCCGAATTTTATAAAAAAATAATAATTTAAACTTGGACAGGATTTTTTTCAGAGTACCCTACAAATTTTTCTGGTGAATTTTAAAAAAATAAACTCTCTCAAGTTTAAAAACCAACCATTGAAATGTTCAAACTGGCTCGTATAAATACATTATTACTCTTTCTTTACTTTGAGAACTTGTGCTTTCTAACTTGTCTGCGATCTCTTTTCTCTCACTGGGAGATTTTTGAGTTCTCATTTTATCCCTTTTTGTAATGTTCCGTGTCACTCAAAAACAAAAAAACTTTTTTTGAAGGATTCAAGTTGTAGAAAATGGCCGAGGTGAAAGAAATCGATGGCTCAAACCGTGGTATTCCGACCAGCGAAGTGATCGTAAGTTTTTGAACTTTGATTTAATTATTGTTTAGAAATATCAAGTTAAATGTGTGATTATTTTTTTCATAAATTTGTGTCGTTTTATTCGATTTTTCGAAAGAATTCTCGCGTTTTTAAAAAAATAGCAATTTGTTTTTTTTTAAAAGATCTATCGATTTCTTTCTTCATTTCCCAAGCCTGAAATGATTATAACTTAATTCACAAGTTCACAGGAGTTTTTCCCTTTATTGAATGTATATTTTTTTGAGTAAATTTAGGTTTTTAAAAGTTTTAAGAAGAAAATTTTGAACTTCTTAAGTTATTTTTAGAGTTTTTCACTCAAAATTAGATAGCATGTGTTTCATAAGCTCACGGAAACATTAGTTTTCAGTTTTTTGTGTTTTAATAATCTACCCTCCTAAGGAAGATGAGGCTTACCTGCTTTTTGAAAACCCATTTTAAACGAAACTTTCAAAATTTCTCCGATTGACTGAGGATGCGTGAGCGGATGACAAATAGTTGATTTCTGGTCACGATAACCAGAGAAATATTTGAACGGACCCCAATTTATGGTCGTCGTTGAGCTTATCCCGCCGCTCCTTTTGTGGCCCTTTCAAGAATAGAATCAGAGGGGTTCCTCACTTCAAAATATGTGAAATTTGAAAGAAAAAGATTGAAAAGTGTGATTTTATTGAGTTTCGAAGCCATTCTGATTGTTAACAATTTAAGAAGAAAGAAAAATTGAATCAAAAACGTCTTCATTTTTTTCCTTCAGGAAGACGTGGCCGGCTGGCTGACCAAGGAGAAGCTGTCGCCGGAAGAAGCCGAGCTGGTTCTCCGGGAAAAGTACCGAAAGTACAAATACGTCGAGAACAACATGACCCTCTCACGGGAAAGGTTCCAAGTTTATTTATATTTAAAAAAATTGGTTTAAACGGAAAAAAAGGAAAAAAATGAAGTTTTTTTAATGCCAATTCTTGCTCGAATTCGGTTATTTTGATAACAATCCGAAGAAAAAGTTCGAATTTGTTCTAAATCTTGCCAAAAATAAGAAAAAAAGGGCGAAAAATTCTATTCAAAAATTGTCATTTTTTTATTGAGTTTCTGAACTTTGAAAGTTTGTAAATAATGTTCTTATAAATTTTTTTCCACTGTAGTTTTTTTCAAAAATTTTTTTCAAAATTGTTAGATTTTTTTCAATCATTATTGTCTTTTTTAAACAAGTCCTGGTTTTTTTCCCAAAAAAGTCTTCGTATTACGAAAAAACCATATTCAATATTAAATGTCTGTTTCAGAACGAATATAAATTTGTTTAACTGATTCTTCTATTTTTCCTTATCGTTATCAATAAAAAAATAAAACTAATGGGTCTAAATTTTTTTACGATATTTGAAGTTTTATAATCTACTGATTATTCAGAAAAAAATTGCATAATTCATAAAAAAACGCAACGGAAATTTGCATGTAGTTAGGTCCCTCACGGGAGTTTCGGACTGAATAAAAAAAATTTTTCTTTTTGATTTTTTTCTAACATTAGTTCGATAAACCAATGGGATAATCTCTGTTTGAATACTCCATTTCACCACGATTTCTTTTCAGAATGTCCGAAAAACTTCCGGAATTCAAGAACAGCTTGGCGATTTTGGAAGTGATGCTGGAGAAGCGGGTATTTCCATTCGAAAATCTTGATTAAAATCAATTTTGAACATTTTCAGGACAAAGAAGAGCCTTTCGAAACGACGTTCCTCCTGTCGGACGACGTCTATTCGCGCGCCATCGTTAATAAGCCTGACAAGGTTCGAAAAAACTCATTTTATTATGATTTTTCATCTCGGCTTGAAACGGCGATTTGCGGTTCATGTCCGTTTTTGGCGCCATTTTTTTGATGTTGCTTATAGAAAATACTGTTTTCCTTTCATAAAATAATCCTTGAAGAAAATTCTTTTGCAATTTATACACAAATAATGGTGGTTTCCATAAAAGTTCTGACTAATGCGTTGATTTTTGAATTCGCGCCAAAGCGCATCAAAACTTGAAAATGCTGGAGTGGCCACTAGAGGGGCAACCTTAGGGTCTCTTTTATTCTCCCCTCAAGGGACCACTCCATTAGATTTAGTCATTGATTTTAAAGTTTTCGACTTCATGCGTCTCTCTGTTCCCTCGCCGGCGAGGTCAGAAAAATATAAAAATAGCAGGTCAAAAAGAGAGAGTCGTCGAGAGACGAGGAGAACCCAGAGAAAAACAGAAGTTTTTTCGTCAAAAACGGACTATGAATTAAGAGAATTCCCATCAAAATGCGATAATTTTTGAATCGGCGCCAAAACGCATCGCGACCGCTTTGCACGTGAACCCGTACTTGGACCTTATATAAAAATAAGTTTTAGGTGTCGATTTGGCTCGGCGCCAATGTGATGGTCGAATATGAGTTGGATAAGGCGAAAGCCTTGCTCGAGAAAAATCAGAGCAGCGTTCAGAAGGTAATCATATTTTTTTTTAGTTCTTTTTTCAGTTTGTATCTCGAAGTTTACATAGTAACAACTTTGAAAGAAAATCATGGGATTTTTCTATTTTTTTACGATTTTGTAGATTTTCCTCTGATTCATTATTTGGCTCTTAAAATTTTTCTCATTTCTCGTTCTGAGCACTTTAAAGACTGTAATGTTGTCATTTTACCGACTTGAAAGGCGAAATTAGTAAATTGGCGAGCGTTGCGTGTGCGTCGCGGCTTTTTTTGGCGAGAATCTCAAGTTCGAATTAAATCATGAAAAAAAGTGTAGAAAAAAAGATTTTCTATTATTTTTTTAAAAATTTTATCCGTTCAACTAATCGTTTGTCTTCATTACCGTGAGATAATTGAAATTATTGATCGGAAAAACTGTCGAAAAAAATAAAAACGGTATAGTCAATGTTTTCCGACTTGAAAGGCGAGGGAGGCAGGGGGCGGGACGCGTAGCGTGTGCGTACGCGGTTCTTGGCGCGAGTTCAGATCAACCGCCAGCGACTTTTTGGAGAGTTTATCGCTCTTTTCATTTTTTTAAAAAAATTTATTTATTGATTTTTTTATGCGTGCATTAAAAAAATAGTAGATTATATTAAAAAAAGAGCGGTGACAGAGCTTTTTTTGAATAGTCGGTGCGCTTAGATTGAACTCGCGCCAAGAACCGCGTACGCACAAGCTACGCGTCCCGCCCCCTGCCCCGCCTCTCTCGCCTTTCAAGTCGGAAACATTGAGTATAACTCGTTTTTGACCTTGAGTTCCCCGCCAAAAAGCCGCGTCGCGCACGCAACGCGTCATCTTTGTCATTTTACCAATATCGCCTTTCAAGTCGTTAAGGATTACTATACCACTGGATAAGTTTTAAAAACAATCCTCGTATAATTTTGAAAAAGAAAGGAACTTTTCCAGCTAGTGGACGACCTGACGGCGGAGTTGGCCTTCATCAAGGACCAAATAACGACGACCGAGGTCAACATGGCACACATCATCAACTATCGGGTCATGCTCAACAAGACCAAGGGCGACGCCAAATAATTCCCCTTTTTCAATCCGAAAAGATCTCCTTTTCCGGCCGTTTCCATGCAGTTTGACGCAGCGTAAATGAGATTCCTATGGAAAATATTTCAGTTTTTACTTTCTTTTTTTGTGACATTTAGGAATCGTAAACACGTGAAAAAATTCGATTTTTCTCTGCTTGTAAATCATTTACGAAATCAGGTTTACTCAGCGTAAATTAAAGGAAAGAAAACCGAATTTTCACTCTTATTCAAACTTCCTGCATACAATTCGCTTATTCGTATGAAAAAAAATTCGAGTTTACTTGATTTTCAAACTCATTTACGCAGCGTAAATGGCCTTTTTAGCTTGATTTAAACTGAAAATTAGAATTTTTTTGACGATTTTTTTAATTTTTTTCAGAAACTGAATGTCTCGAAACGCCCGAGAAAGGCTTCAAAATTGAAAAAAAAAATTTTTTTCGAAGCATTTTTAAATAAATGAAACTTCAATTACGAGACATTTTGAATTTTAGCATTAAAAAAAAATTTAATAATGAGGTTTATTTCAAAAAAACCCAAGTTTCTGTTTGTTTCTCTTCAATTTTTGAACATTTTCAGTTCAAATCCTTTTTTCCACATCAAAAATGACGATTTTTCGCTTTTCTCCCTACGCTTATGAACTATTTTATACTGGTTTTGTTGTCTTCATCCGAATTTTTTTTTTTTTAGCTTTCCATTGTTTTTCTGAATGTTTTCTATTACAATTTATTGCTCGAACCTGAATTCGAAACAATTTCAGCTTGCGGTGACCTTTTAGTGTGCTTTTTTTCCCATTTTTTTATTTGTTACTTTTTTTCATTTATACAATTGTTAATGTTGACATTATAAAAGCTTTTGATTTTGGAGAGATTTGGTGTTTTTCAAGTGGTTTTTATGGATTCCAAAGTATTTATTTTCAAGAAAAACCATTTTTGATGCCATTTTTCAAGAAAATATTCATTTTTTGATCGATTTTCGAGCTGTTTCTTCACTTTAAGGCTCAATTTGTTGAATTTTCGAAGTTTTGCAGGTTTTTTTTGTTCAAATATAATGGGCTGGCGAGAAAAATTGAACGAGAAGCTGGCCAAAGTTCGACTTTTGGTAAGTTTTTCGAAAAAAAGTTTTTTTCAGATTTATGAAACTAGAAGCTCAACGAGGACTTCTGGACGCTCTTAGTTTTTTTGAAAAAAATAATTTTTTTGCAAAGTTTAGTTGTGACGGCTTCAAAGGCTTCGTATTTTATTAAAATTTTTAGATAATCGCAAAAAAATTTCAAAAAAGCGATATTCTGTTCAAATAGAAGATGTATTAATCAGAAAAATTTTTCGCAGATTTACGATTGAAATTGAAATAGAAAAATGAAAAATGAAATTTATCGCTTGAAACGAATTCGAAATAGTAATTTAAGGCTTTTTTCGACAGATTTCCGATGAAAATTCAGCTTTTTAGCGAAAGTTTTGAAATTACGCACTTACTTTGACATTTTTTTAGAGTTAACTTGAAAAAAAACGCCGATTTTTCAGGTCGTCGGAGCCGGAGGAATCGGTTGCGAACTTTTGAAAAAAATCTCGCCCAGACGGGATTCAAAAAAATATCACTGTTGTACGTTTTCCTTCGTTTTTTTTGTCATAGAAAAAGTAAAAAAATTAAATCTAATTATTTTCCAGATTGATCTGGACACAATCGATGTTTCGAATTTGAACAGACAATTCCTGTTTCGTAGGGAACATGTTGGAAAATCAAAGGCTGAGGTTTTTTTTTTTCAATTTTTGTCGTGTTCTTTTTTCGGTTTCGAAATGGATATTTTCATCGTTTAGATTTCGCGAAATACTCGAAATTGAAATTTTGGAAGGTGTTAGAATAATTGGGTCCTACAACGAAATGGCTTTACGTGCCAATTCGAAATTTTGATCGGAAAAAGCTGAATGAATATTTGTAAGAATTTTATGCGCGAATTCAAAATTCCGATAAAAATGCTCAAATAATGCCGAATTTCGGATGATTCACGCGCTATTTCAATATTTATGTTTGAAAAAAAAAAAATTTTTCAAAAAAATTTTGATGACTTTTTACGCGCGAATTCGAAATTTCGATTGGAAAAAGCTCATAAATTCTCGATTTTTTTGAGTGAACTTTTTCGTTTGATCTCGAAAATTTTGGTTAAAAAAAGCTCGATTAGGTTCAAAATTTGAATTTCTTTTGATGCGCGACTTCGAAATATCGGTTTTAAAAAAGGCACAAATATTTTTGAAATTTGATTTTTTTCCAGTTATCCAATTATGCCTATTTCTAGAGAGCATTTTTAAACGAAAAATCGCCGAAGTGATTTTGACAATTTGTTCCATTTTAAATTTTTTTATGTTTAATTATGTAATTTCAGGTCGCTTCTGAAACTGTGAAAAGGATTCGCGCCAGATTTGCAAATCACTTTTTATCATGATAGCATTTTGAGGTAGTTCTTTCTTATTTTTTTATGAGATTTCTCAGAATTTAAGTTTTTTTTTAATTTTCAAAAAAATGCTATATATATTTTTCAGCACTGATTTTGGGCCGAGTTTCTTCAGCCAGTTTGACTTGGTTTTTGAATGCGTTGGACAATAAAAGTGGGTTTTTCTTGCAAATTTTTTTCGGTTCAAATTTTGAAGTCTTTTTCGAAGGTCCGATTTATAGTTTTCGAAAAAAACTAGAGTATTTTTTTCTTATAAAAATTTCTCGAGTATTTTTTTAAACTATCTAGAAAAAGAAATTGATTAATTATCAGAGAATTTGAGATAATTTCAAAATTTATTTTTTTGAGGTGAAAAATATCTCGTAAACTTCAAGATTTGGCAATAAAAACGCATTCTGTCTTCTGGATATGAATCGCTTCCTTAAACATTTTACGATTGTTTTTCTATGATCAGGTAGAATATTTAGAGAAATATTCCGGCATAATTTTTTTTTAACACAGAAGTTGTCATTTCTGTTTTTGTGTGATAAATTTGAAATGATAAATTCGAATAGAAGGCTCATAGGAAACTTTTCCGTTTAAAACTCTATTTTTCAGCTGCCCGAGTTCACGTCAATCGACTCTGCTTGGCTTGTCGAATTCCCTTGATTGAAAGTGGATCGGCTGGTTTTTATGGACAGGTAACATATTTTGACGTTTTTTTCGATGTTTAGTTAGGATTTGTGTTTCAAGGTTTTTCTGTGCGTTTATTTACACTTTATTCGAACTTTTGAGTAAATTTGGAACCGAAAAACGAGTTTTTATGTGGGATACTGTTCGAAATAGCAACGAGAATGGAATTTCAACGAATTTCAGACTTTTTTTTTTCGATTTTCAGACCCATTTTTGCAGGTCTCAGTGATATTGCGGGAGAAAACCGAGTGCTACGAATGCATGGAAAAGCCGAAACAGAAGACTTTCCCCAGTTGCACGATCCGGAACACGCCCTCCGAACACATACACTGCATCGTCTGGTCCAAGCATCTTTTCAAGTCAGCATTTCGGGTCAAATAATACGGAAACTCACCGGGAGCAATTTTTCATTTTTTCACTTCAAGTTTTCCAAATTTTTCGAAGGGCTTTCTGAAAAAAAGAGCTAGAACCAAATGAAGTCATGAGATCAGAAAAACTCCTTTTTCCCTTTCAAACTTTCACAATCAAGGCGGTTGAATTTTATTCGTTAAAAACTCAAAGTCAAAACTGTTATAAAAAAACATGAAATTCCAGAGAAATATTTTTTCAGTTTATCTTAAATATCGGTCAGAACATAGATTATTTTCATTTTTAATAAATAATATTGAAGACAGATCAAAAAAACCGCATTTTTAAACAGATCGGGAGTGTGCGCCGAGTGGGCTAGCGCTTGTATAGCTGAAAAAAAAAATGAAAACTCAATGGGAATTCCCAAATTAGAGCAGTTTTTGACGCTGTTTCGGCCTGAAGTTCATTCAAGGCTGCCTTACGATCAAATTTCGAATTCTAGCGAAATAGTGTGTGAAAAGAAGAGATTCAGAGTCTGAATTTCCGACCTCAGTGTAGTCATTTATGCTCGAGCCGCCGGTGAATGGAGTTTTACAAAAAATATAAATTTCCTATAGAATAAGTTCATGGACTTATTATTACTTTTAATTTGTTCAACTGATTGGTTTTTTTGTAGAGCTTGAAAAAAATTGAAATTTTGCCACCAGCGACTGTTGAAAAAAGCTATGACTGAAAAAATCAGCTTGATCTCGTTTTTGAACGCTATAGCTGATTCACGGCCATCAAAAAAAGGGTCCTGACACGATAAAAAAAAAGAGAGATAGTGCATCTCTGATGGAGATCGCAGACAGGTCACGCCTTTTTGCGTCTCAAGCTAGTCGTAAATTGGCTAAATATGTATAGAAGTGGCTGCAGTGGACACAGAAACCTGAAAAATGCGTAGATCTAGAAAATTTTAAAAAAAAGTTTTGATATTCAGTCAATTGTTCGGCGAGGTGGACATTGACGACGACGTCTCGCCGGATCTGGAAGACGACGGGGCGAGGGAAGACGACCCAAATGCGTCTAGTAACAATAATAAGAATGAGCAAGGTAATTCGCGGATAGAGTTTTGGAATTTTTGTGTGAAATTGGGGAAATTTTTTTTCAAAAATAAAAGTCAATCCAAGTTCATTTATCACGATTTTTTCGAATTTACTAAAGTTTCGAAGAAGATCCAGAGTAAGAAGAACAAATTTCAACATAAAAATAATTTTTCAAGTTTCAAAAAAGTTCGCGGGAACCCGCAAAAAAGCTCATAATAATCTCGTTTCAGCCACTGAGAACCAAGAAAACGAGACGGAAACGCCGGCAGAAGTCCTGAAGAATGGTAATGGAGTCCAGGCGATGGAAACCGACCAAAATGGCGCTTCTGAGGAGGCCAAACCGGCAAATACCCGACTTTGGGCCGAAAAAGTCGGATATGATCCCAAGAAGCTGTTTGACAAGGTGATTTGAAGCCTGGAATCATATTTCCCGGTAGAGAAACTTACAAGATTTTCGAAAACTAGCTAGAATATTCATTGATAAACCAGAAAAGTATTCTGAAAGTTTCAGCCCAAAATTTCCTAGTTTTCGAAGAATATGGGCTCAAAGTCTCAAAAATTGCCTGTTTTAACGGGTTTTGAAGTTTTTTTCTGACTTTGAAATGCTCTTTTTAAAAAAATTAGGAAGTTTTTTTCAGGTTGATATTTTCCGTATGTTCATCTGAGACATCAAAAATGGCGAATATTTAGAAAATTCTTCACTTTCACCTAGTTCAGCGCGAGAGAAAAGCGATGTCGCTGGCGATTTATTAAAAATATCGCGAATTTACCGCTTTTTTCGCCGCGCCAGACTCGCATTTTTCGCTTTTCTATCGCTTTTGAAAATTTTAAAAATTGCGGTATCGCGCAGAGGAAATTGCGATATCGCGGCGAGGGAGTTGCGAATCCGGCGGCGCGGCTTCGAAGCAACATTTTTGCGATGTCGTGAAGTCACCGCCAGCGACATCGCTGTTACCTCAACAGTCTTTCTTAGTGACCAAACCAATACTAATTTCTCGATTTGAAGCTTTTCCACACGGACATCAACTACCTGTGCAAGATGGACCACCTGTGGAAGGAACGGAAAAGACCGATCGCCGTCGAGTTCGAAGACGTCGTCGCCGAGAATGAGGCTCCGAGAAGCCTCAGCCAAGTCTTCGACGACCTCAACCATGTACCTTTTCGGTTTCCTCTTTGAAATAGTCCATTTTTCGCGACTTCTCTGCGTCCTCCTCGTCTCTCGGCGACCCTCTCATGTTGACGTTCTATTTTCACCTTTCTCTTTTCTGGGTGGTGAGGGACAGAGAGACGCAGACATCTTGAAAACTGTCATTTCGCGCGCGGATGGACTATAGTCTGTTTGCATGTTAATGACGTCATTGGAAAACGCTCTGATTGGCTTATTGCCTCATAATGGGCGCAGCTTGGCGCTCAATTTCTGAGCAGCCTGTAGAAGCACGGAGTAGCGGAGTTAAGCAACCACTTTAATTTGAAAAAAACTCCTTAGAAGTACAGAAAGAAAGAGAGAAAGAAGAATTCAAATGACGACTTGAAGGTCTGGACGCGATCCGAGTGCGCTCGCGTGTTCGCCGCGGCTGTTGAATCGTTGCGCGACCGAAAGATCGCGTTGGGCGAACACGAGATCCTGACCTGGGACAAGGACGACGACGACGCGATGCGATTCGTCGCCGCCTGTGCCAACATTCGCGCCTCCCTCTTCAGCATCCAGCCCAAGACGTCTTTCGACATCAAAGGTACTCCTTCATCTCAGTTAAGCCTTGGAGGATTAGATATGAAAGAAAATCTTTCGAGAAGGAACTGTTCAGTCACTTTTTTCATGAACCTGTAGTATAGCTAAGCTGAAATTTCGAAGTCAGTTTGCTAAAACTTACAGCGAAACAGTGTGAAAAAAGGAGAGGCTCAGAAGTCTTTATGCTAATTTTGTCTGAAGCTGAGTAGAGTATTTTTGTAAAAGTAGAAAAAAAGGCGTCTGAGATGTAAACTATCCTCTTTTCCTGCTGTAAAATAAGAAAATTGAAGCAGAAATTAATAAAAAAGTCTAAGTGAGGCTACAGTCGTTATGTGCGTTTTTGCCGCTGTTTTTGATCTCAAATAAATGCCAGAAAGGCCTGTGGAAAAGTTTTTGTGCGCTGAAACTTTGATTCAGTCGATTGAGCTTCTTTTTTGAGACTTGGTGCTGGACGCATCGACCACGGAATTTTTTTTTTTTTTTGGAAAAATATGTAATTTTCAAATTTTCTCATGTGCTTTAGACATTCCAGCGAGCGTGTCCTTTTTTTGGCGGCTTTTCTCGAAGTTCATGTTCAAAAGTATAGATTAGTTTTTGCTAAACGTAGTTTGAATGTATCCTGCAAAAACTTTGAAAAATTCCAATTTTTTAATTTTTCCTGCTCTCAAAACCAATCTCACTAACAAAATTCATTTGATTTCGATATAATTGGCAAGGGGAAGGGCTTCGTATTGGGCGAAACAGCTTTCATGGATTAAACTATATTCGCAGGCGTTCATCGTCCTGCCGTTGATCTCGTAGGAGAATAACCGGTACTTGTACCTAAATCAGCGATTTTTCGTATTGAAGCCCCTTTTTTTGAGAACTTTGCCATCATTTGAAGTAGTCGGAGCATTGAAAAGGCGCTCCCGTGAAGCTCGATTAGAATCTGAATTTTTTCGAGGTTATGGTTTATTTTTGTGTGGAAAGAGGTGATCTGGATGCTACATATTGAGGATTTAAAATTTTTGTTTTGGCGGCATTAAAATTAGAATGGTTCAACGCGTCGCGGTTGCGCTGTAACAGGCTTGGAATGAACTTATTGCTAATCTTAAGATTTATTTTTTCGAAACGCAAGTCGTTTTTCGGTCGGATGCGCTTTCGGGATGACCGCGACGCTTTGAGCCATTCTAGGTGCGGCCAAAAAGTTTCAAAGTGAAGCCAATTTTAATTTTGACTTGAAAGGTTTTTGAGATGGTTAGAAAGATAGGTTTCATGGAAAAATTCTTTTTTCTTTGTGGAGTACGGTTGTTAAAAGGCTACTGTAAGGAATTTAAAGAAAAATTTGAACTTGTACAGATTGTTGAGTATGTAAAAAAGGCGTGACTAAGAAATAGATCACGGGGAAGATTAGACCACTATATAAGGGTCTAACTCCACTGATCATCAATTCAATATTCACTCTCGCCTCGCCTCAACCGTTTCGCCTATCCTGATCGCCACTTTTATATATATATATATATATATATATATATATATATATGTGTGTGTATATGGACGTAATAGGTTACACCCAAAACTTTTATGTAACTGGGTATAAAAAGAGGTAGTCGAGTCAGTCGGCGTCGTCTGCGGCGTTGTCGACGGCGGCGCAAGACGTGGTAGGCGAAACGGTTGAGGCGAGGCGAGGCGAGAGTGAATATTGAATTGATGATCAGTGGAGTTAGACCCTTATATAGTGGTCTCATCTTCCACCTGATCTCTTTCTTAGTCACGCCTTTTTTACATACTCAACACAGATGAACTAAATTACAGTAGTTTTCCGTCTGAAACCTGAATTCAGTTTTGTATCGTTAGTTTTTTTCATTGGGTTTCATATCAAATTTTAAACAGAAAAACCACCTGACAAACTTGAGAAGCTTCCAAAAATGGCTGAAGCGATGAATATTCGGCGCCCTCAATGTCGATTTTCAGGATTTCTATCTTATTCACGTCGAATTTTCGCATCAAGTCGGCTGAAAAAAATCATTTTTCAATTTGCTGTAATGCGCGGAATTTAAAGGAGCAGAGAATTTTTAAATTAATGGTCTTGGCACGAAAATGATAATTTTCTACAGTAACCTGATTTTTAATGAAACTAAAACTGAATACGGATTTTAGAAAGTTGCTTTCAGCTCTATTTCACTCAAAACTAACTTGAATGTAGGAAAATAGTTTCGAGACCATTTTTATCAATTTTCGCTGCTCCTTCAGATTTTTTTTTGAATTATCAATCATTTCATTTTATTACCTATACTGTAATAAGGACTGTTGTGTATAGTTTGATGCGAAATTACGGCGGTGAAAAGTGTTCCTTTTATTTTCCCATAAGCGATTTTTGTCGTGTTTTTCTGGTCTTCCTGAAAGTTTCGAAAGATAAAGCGATTGAATATTATTGAAAACCTGATCGAATCCGAATATTTGACATCTCCGTTTCGTCAAGTTTTGTATGTCACTATCGAAGGAGAATTGATCGTTCAGGCCGAGGGAAAAAATACTGAAAAAAATTATCATTTTTGCTTCGTTTTTGTGAAAAAAAAAATGAGACAACTCTGCTCGAAAGTTTCAACTTCAGGAAAAGCAAAATCTTTCGAAATTTGACAAGATTCTTCAAAAAAACAATTTCAGCGAAAAGAAGAGAATCTTTTCTCAAAAAAAAAAAACTGACGCGCAGTTTGCGGGAATCGAATGAGGATTGCAAATCCATTTCCCACCGTCTTCGGGTGTCCCGAGCCTCACAAGCTTCGGGCAAAAATACCTCAATTAATTAGTTAATTTGATTTTTTTGAAAAGAAAAAAAGACTAGAATATTTCGCAGACCGAGAGGATCACTAATCAAAGCCATCATAGAATCTTTGGGCAAACTTCCAGAAAAAAATCCGAACGAATAAAAAAACCTCCGGGACGAGAACGTTATATAAAATGCCGAAATCCGAAGAGGAATCGATTTTTTTGAGGAAATCGCGACGTTCTTCGGCTTGTTTCTTGTAGATTCGCTTGATTGTCTGCAATTTTTTTGGGGTTTTTTTCTTATAAATTGAAACTCTTAATTATTGAATAATAAAGCTTCAACTAAACGGGTTTGAAAAAAGACATGATTCTTCAAGAAAAAAAATCAGTTTTTTTTAAACTTTCCATCCGAAAAAACTTCAAGTGAGGCTCTATGGATGAATATAGAGAGAAAAGAATTTTTTTTCCTCCGAACCTTTTGATCCCTTTTTTTTGAAAATATAAAAGCACCTCGAAATTTGACAAAGACGTCAAGTCTTTGAAGCTTTTATCCTCTTCAGCCGCTTGAGCTTTACTCAATTTTTCCGCTTCTTCTTTTTCAATCAGGTTTTGAACTTGAAGAAGTTGTTGGTGAATATCCGCGATCGTTTCTTCAATTTGAACAGGTGATAGATTTCTCTGATGGCGGTAGGATAGAAGCGGGATCCCTGGAAATGAGGAAATTCAGGGTTTTCAAGACAGAAAACTTGATTTGATGGAGGAATCTTACATTTTGATTCAAATAGAACGAACCAAAAAAAGTCTTTTATGTAGTAAAGTTTGACTTTTCACCTAGAAACTGTTGATAGAAGTAGAAATTATGAAATCTCTCAAAAAAGGCTTGAAAAATTGAAAATTGGTTTAGTAGAGCAAAAGAAAAGTCGTGTTTCACCTCGATTTAAAATGTTTTTGGCACTCACCATTGTTAAAATCAGAAGAAAATGCGATCCATGCAATCATAGATATAACTAATAAAGCGACGAATACTAGAAAAGCCTGAAAATTGGCCATTTTTACAGAAAACAAGGTTTAATTCATAGTTGCTAAATCACGGAGAGTGCGTTGGCAGCTGAGAAAACAGACGGCCGCGCTCTTCCTATTGTTTGATATTAATTTGGTCAATTGGATCTTCAAAAATTGGAACTAGCATTCAGAAGGAGTGTGTACTGAAGAAATCATGAAAAATTTAAGTCAAAAAAGGTTTTACCGTTTTTGAGAATGTGAAAAAAGGTATTGAAAGCGGGAATGATTGAAAAATCAAAAAAAAAAGGGTTTTTTTTTCTTCAAAAGTTAAGGAAAGGTAACTTTTTACACGTTCTCAGGGGCATTCAAAAACATTTTTAGAACATTATTAAAAATTGGCTGCAAAGAGAAGGTCTCGAAGCCAAATTAGATAAATGGTTTTTTTGGCAGAGATAAAAAAACGTGACGAAAACTTTTTAGGGCTTTTTGGGCTTTTCCTTTTTGTTGGGTACCAGATTTTTCTTTTTAATCTATAGATTTTTTTAACGTCAGTATTACCTCCCTGAGATCAAAAACTATTCTATTTGTCGAAATACCTTCCCAAAACTCAGTTTTTACTCCTGGCCTCTCGAGTTTTTCGTATCTCATCCTTTCCTCCGGGGCTGATCGGGCACCGCACTTGTCCCTACCTATTTTTCTCATTTTATTTGATTGCAGCCATGGCCGGCAACATCATCCCAGCGATTGCGACGACGAACGCAATCGTCGCCGGAATGATGGTGACGGAAGCCCTGAAAATCGTCGACGGCGACCTCGAAAAAGTCAAAAATGTCTTCATCGCCAGGGTTCCCAACATGCGCGGAAAGGTGATTTCTTTTATCAAAATGCTGGTGAAATGGACTGAAAGTTTTTAATTGTCTTTCCATTTTTTTTTTGCATTAAAGGGCTTGTGGTAATTTTGAAATTTATCGCAAAATAAGTGTTTTTTTTTCAACGGGATCCGGGCGTTTGATAGTGGCCGACGTTCCCTTTGGCCCCAAATTCAGGATGATTTCGAACTTCTCCCTATCTTTGTTCACCTTTCCAAAGTTAAGACCTTGAAATTTCATTCAAACTTTTTTTCTTCAAAAAAATATCTGAAAAAAATCAGGCTGTTTATTAAATTTTTCCTCCTCTTTTTTTAAACTTTAAAGTCAAAAAAATCTATTTTTTTCTGTTTCAGATTCTCAGTGACGAAGCGCCTCAAAAACCGAACCCGAAATGTTTCGTTTGCTCCGAAAAAAACGGGAATGTTTCGTGAAAGTCAACCCGAGTGACATGACTATCAAAGGACTCAATGATAAGGTTTGTTTCGGTTATTTAAAAAATAGTTTAAAAAAAAGGATTGAAATTAGAGATATTGACACTAAATCGTAGAATTTGAAGAAACGAAGTAATCCAGAAAAAGTAACTTTTTTTTTGAAAAAAAAATTTTCGACTTTGCGCCAGGACAGCTAAGGAACGGTGTAAACACAGTTACTTACCGTTTTTTTTTAAAAAAAATCAGCGTCCAATTTTCTGCTTTTATATTCTAATAGGAGGTCTCGATAACGGTGGATTTTACGGAAGCAATATAAAAAATTGAAAATTCAAAAAAGTGACGCATTTTGTCCATAGAGCAACTTTGCTGCAAAATGCGTTTTTTCGATCCACTGTCGTAATAATTTTTTCTCAGAAAAGCAGAAACCTCCGTGAAATTTTCAAGGATCACTCAAAAAAATCGTAAAAAGTTTCATGAATGGTATAAAGCACTACAAAAAGTACCTTTGGAACTAGAAAAAAAAAAGCGATTTTATCGATTTCATCCAATTTGAGGTCTTGAAAGGCGCTTTGAACATGATCGCCCCGGATGTGATGGATTTGAGGACGAGTAACGTTATTATCAGCAGTGAAGAAGGCGAAACTACCGGTGAGTTTGAGAAAAAAATTTTATCGGGTGTTTTTGGATTTTTTTTTTAAACTTTGATTGAAAACTTGACCGGAAAAGACCTGAAAGCAATATTCGTAAAACTTTTTGAATTCATCAAGTATCATAACAACGAGTTTTTAATTCGAAACTGGGAAAATAGGAAAAATCAGGATGTTGCTTTTTGGAAATTTTTTGATGTCTTAATAATAATAGTTTATTAACTGCTTCTTTATCATAAAACTTGATTTTTTTTTTATTCCGATCCTTATCACAGGACTTTTCCAGATCTGGAAACGAAGAAGTTGGCGGAGCTGTCTCTGGGCGAAGGAACGATGCTGGAATGCGACGATTTTGTGCAGAAATTGACACTCAAAGTGATTCTCCACAGCTCTCCGGACCTCCATGGCGAAGATTTCGAGGCAATTCTCAAGAATTCATTCCATTTGATGTTTCGAATCGATCTTTCAGATACTGAGAGATTCGGAAAAGAAGAAAGAAGAGGAAGAAACTCGGAAGAGAAAGCTGTCCGAAAGCGAGCCTGGCCTATCTCCACCCAAAAAGTCGAAGGTTCGTGGAAACTTCCGACATTTTTTGGCTTTAAAGGCTGCCTCTTGCAACAAAGCCTTTTCAACCCCCCGACCGCAAGTAGTTTTGGGTCGGGCGCGTTTCAGAGCATAATCAAACTGTGAAGCCATTCCAAACGCCTTTTTTTTTTTTTTCGAAAAATTATGGGGAAGTACCACTTTTAAATTTTTTTAAAGCTTTTTCAGGAGAGGGGCTAATGAAATTTAAAACAAGTTTCAAAAGTGTATCTGCGATTTTTTTTTTGTTCAATTTGGATAGGAATGCTTAAAAATGAATTTTTCGACTACTTTGTAAAAAGTTTTGAGATAAATTTTGAATGTCACCTTTACATATCAATCAATCAATATTTATTAGTTGTTTTAGTCAGATGGAATCGACTAGGCGGTGTAAAATATTCGATATTTTATTTCAAAAAAATTGTCAATTTTTTTCAGGCGGAAGAGACCAATGGCGAAATCACTGTTCAAAAACTGAAATCTCACTTTTTTCAATCTTACTCTAATTTGACTTTTTTCCTGTTTTTGTCTTTCCAATCCACAAGAATTTTCCATTTTTATATACCCTGACCTCTAATTTAACGAATATTTATCTCTTTTTTGGTGAACTACGGTCTCTTTTTTTATTCCATAATACCAAAAAAATAATGGAATATATAATTTATCTTCTCGTGCCTATATATTTGAAATTTTTTTTTTCTTAATTTTATCTTGGAATCTCTCTTTCGCTTCTATTATTTATTTTGTCTCGATTATTTATTTTCCTTTTCCGTCCGGTTTTTAACATGCGAATTGTAATGATACTCTTGATTTGTTCAACATTTTCACCAATAAACGATTTTGTGAACTTGGTTTGATGAAATTGAAAGTCTTTGCAATTTTATTTTAACATTTTTTTTCGAGATGTCAAGTGGGAAAAAAGTTGTAACGGTCATTTTCGTTATCTCGACAATGATGGCGCACGGTGCATTCTGCTTTTTTGCACTCTGGTGCGAAAATGGAGTCTGCACCGTGCAGTTTTGGTGCTTTTTTAGTGTCGCACTGGTGCAGCACGCTAAAAGCACTGATTTGACACCTTTGCACCAAAAAATCACCGAAATCGCACGGTGCAGACCCCAATTACGCACCAGAGTGCAAAAAAGCAGAATGCACCGTGCGGCATCCGTGCTGAGTACCGGCGACATCAAGACGCAGCCGGCGCTGCTTGGGCTCACAGGACCTGCTTCAAACTTTTTCTGTATTATAGTTTTTCTTTATATCAATTTAAATGCTACATCTAATTTAGTGTGCAACGTCTACGGAAAAGATATAGGGCATTCCGCGCCAGCTTGTCACAATTTCCAGTTTATTCGGAGCTACAGAACCCCTTTCGGCGCTTCGCTCTGATGTTCTCGGTGTTCCCCCCTGCGTGCGCCTTCAATAAAACACATCATTTGCGAACTTCGAAATTTTCTTATTCTACAAAAAAATTTTTACATGAAAATTTAAATCAAACTAACTAGGGAACTACTCGGACTCGGGTTTCGAGTTGAAGCTTTGGTGGCTTATAGACCCGGGTAAGAGCACTTGAAAAAGAGAGATTATCTGCTAAACCCCATAGGCTTCTGAGAAAAAGCTTTTTGAAAATGAACAGTTTAGGCTTGAAAATTATCAAATGTCTGCTTTCCTCCTTCTTTTGGCTGGAAAAAATTTTTTTAGAGTTTATCATAGCCGCATCATTCAAGGCGATCATGTTAAAATGTAAAATAAGGTAAAAAGCAGTGTTCTGAAAACTTTCAGGCCTAATTTTCACATTTTACTAATTTTTTCTCAGTTCTCTATCGGGTTTAGCAGATATTCTCTCTTGTTTTCAAGTGTTCTGACGTGGGTCTATAAACCACTAAAGTTTCAACTCGAAACCCGAGTTCGAATAGTACCCTAGTGAGTCAAAAATTATATGCAAAAAAAAGCTCGAGCAGACGGTATCATTAATAACAATTGAAAAGTAGTAATTCAATCTTTTTGATCTTCTTTTTTCTTAAAAATCACGCATGGAATCTGATTGTGTATAGTTACAGCAGAAAATGAAATCAATCCATTGAAAACAACCTCGTAAATTAACAAAAGAGAGAGGAAATTGAAGCAACATCTTAACTAGAAATAATTTTTTATTAAAGGCGCACGCAGGGGGAACACCGAGAACATCAGAGCGAAGCGCCGAAAGGGGTTCTGTAGCTTCGAGGAAACTGAAAATCGTGACAAGCTGGCGTGGAATGATCTATACGAGAATGTGAAAGCGGAGGAGAGCGAAGAAAAACCAAAAAAAAACAACACAAGGGCCACGTTGTCTTATGATCAACTTCCTCTCTTTCCGTATCACCGATTTGAAAAATAAAAGGACAGGTTTGATGAATTTGAAGTCCCTTCATGCCTTTATAACGCCCGCATCGGACCGGTTCAAATCGATCGAGCATTTCGTTGACATCGTCGCCACCTGCAAACTTTTTTCGATACCTGTAACGAAAGAACTTATCAACGAGAAAAACCTCGAAATGACGATAAAAATCGTGACTCAAACTGAGATAAAAAGAAGAAAAAGAGCAAAACAAAGCTGAAAAATGGAGGAAATTGGGAAACCTCTGCTCAGACAGCAATGAATGCATGCCTTACTGCGTCTACAGAATGGAGGTGAAAAAATATTTTTTTTTCAATTCAACGTTTCAAGAAAAGCAGATCCTATATCCGATGAGGAAACTGCTTCAAGTGGTATCACTTTGTGCGTTGACATCGTCGAAGAATAGATTCCCGCCCGTTTCATTGTAATCCGTTCAAAAAAAAAAAAAGAAAAACTCAGTAATCACAGGTTCACTGTTGCGACAAGAGACACAAAAAAGTGACCTTCTGTTTTTTTCACTACAAAATACCGTCGATAATCGTAACACGGAGAAACAAAACGATGGTTTTCGATTCAAAAATAGATTAATGAACTTTTTCAACAGAAACGCACAAGAGAAATAGATTTGAGTGTGACTCCACAAGAGTTTCGCGAGCTTGAATAATTATGTTTCTTTGGGAGCCTGCCACGGTCGTTGAAAAGATTTTGCAAAAATATACCAAAACTAATTTCCAACAATTAGGTCAACTTACAAGTAATCAGGCTTAATTCTTCTTTACGGAGTATTTGGAAACTCTATGGTCTGTTCAGATTTTTAATGTCAAGTCGTTGCTCAAGCTCCACCCCTCATGGTGCTATAAACCAATCAGAGAGCGAGCCAACCACAGAGTGTTTTTGAATGACGCCATTGCACTTCATTAAAAATCTGAACAGACTATATAGTCCGTTCTAATTTTGAATGTCAAGTAGAATGACGTCGTTCAAAAATGCTCTGTGGATGGCTCGCTCTCTAATTGGTTTATCGCGCCATAAAGGGGCGGAGCTGAAGCGAGGACTTGACATTTGAAATCTGAACAGACTATAGAAGAAGAGTACGATGCAGTGGGAATCATGAAAAAAGGACGATGTTCAGTAAATTGATTATAAACTTTTGAAGGCAACTGCGAATCATTACAACTCTATGTTGGCTCCGAAAAGCAAAAGGCAGCTTAGGTTAAGAGAAAGAAAAATGTTTTCTATGCCATAAGAGGAACGGCGAAAACGAACCTGCTTGAACCTTTAAAATTTTTCCATCGCTGGTATACAATCGGACTTCTATCGGAGCAAGGAGTCGAAGCAGCTCATCCTGCTTTCGATCGGGTGTGGATCCAATATAAGCAATTGAAATCTGTTGAGTGGAAAAGTATTGAATTTTGATAAATCTTCTAGTGGGAAGTGCTCTTTAAGATCTTCTATAGCATTAAAATCATTTTTCTTTTGCCGAGTTAAAAAAAAATATCAGCTCCGAAAGAACGACATTCGCAAAAATGGTGTTTTTTCGAGCAGGAATCAAAGATAAGCCGGTATTGAGCATAAACTTGCACAAAAATAAAACGCAAATTCCCTTCTTTAAAAAAAGGCTTACAGTGCCAATTATACTTCCAAGCTAAAAAACCTGAAACATCAAAAACTTTGATGGAAAACAATAATATCGAAACCGAACCATGAAAAAATAAAAGCTAGACGGATAAAAAAATTTTACTCCATTTCATATAAACAACAGGAGAAATTTGGTCATGAAAAAAAGTTTTTTTGCTTTTGGGAAGCATCAGAAAACATAATCATTAAAAAAGATGATGGCCAAAAAATCGTAGCTATCCAGGTTCGAATGAAATTGAAATGTAAACATGCCCTGAAGCCAAATGCAAAAATATAGTTAAATTACAAAAGTAAAAAAAAAACTATGCGGCTGATCAACATTTTCAAAGAACGAAAAACAAGTTCACTTCCCTTGAAAACCTTCGATTGGAGTTAAAATAACTTCAATTACAAATTAATCCAAAATCTTGAAAATTAGACATGCCAAGAGAGGTCGATGAAATAGCCACGTAGACCAAATATGACGACGCGGAAGAAATGAAAAAAACCCACGTAGACCAAATTTGACCACATTGAAAAAAAGTGAAGAAAAAAACATTATTGAAAAAAACTTACAACTGCTGCTGCTATTGTAAAGGTTGGTTTTTTTTTGTTGTTTTTTGTTTAAAATATCAATTATTTGAAACTAGTTTTTTAGCTGAGAGCTTCGTCAAGTCTCGTTTTTTTTAAAACCATAAATCCTCGCAGTTTTTTTTTCCAGGAAATATTTGAAAAAGAAATATCGATACGTGTATATCGAAACAGGTAAAAAAATGTAAAAAAAAAAAAACAACCTCTTTCTTGCAGCTCATACACTTTTTTTCACAAGAATGTCAGCCGTGAAAAAATCAAAACGTCTATCATGCTTTCTTTCCGTGAAAAGCTCTCAGTTTCTTCAGAGAGTGTATAAACTGTCAAAGTTTTAAATTAATCATAGAATTGTACAAGATGCAATGAACTTAGCGCGCCAATGCGCGTAAGATTTGCCGTTAGCTGTGTGTAGACTAGTGACGCAAACTCCCATGCTGATCAATTTTTCAATTTTCGGAATTGACAGAAATGAAAAAATTACCAATAAAAAACTGGATTAAAAGATGAATTAAGTATATGAAAGGATAATTAAAAGTTTTCTTGCACCATGAGATTACAAAAAAAAATCATTTCAAGTTCATTTCATTAAGGTAACTACAAACTACAACATCAAGCGATTCGAAACTCCTTTATAGGTCATTCCGCGCCAGCTTGTCACGATTTTAATTTTCCTCGGAGCTACAGAACCCCTTTCGGCGCTTCGCTTCAATGCTCTCGGCGTTCCCCCTTGCGTGCGCCTTTAATAAAATATTATTTCTGATATTGCTTCAATTTCCTCTCACTCTTCTATTAATTTACGAGGTTGTTTTCGATGGATTGATTTCATTTTTCGCTTGGACTATACACACTCAGATTCTGTGCTGGATTTGTAAGAAAAAAAGAAAATCAAAAAGATTGAATTACTACTTTTTAATTGTTATTAATGAAACCGGCTGTTCGAGCTTTTCTTGCATATAGTTTTTGGGTTAATGTGATATAAAATTTGATGTTACAACTGTTTTTTTGTAGAATAGGAAAAATTCCAAAGTTCCAAAAATAATGAGTTTTATTAAAGGCGCACGCAAGAGGCACACCGAGAGCATCGAAGCGAAGCGCCGAAAAGGCTTCTCTAGCTCCAAATAAACTGGAAATCGTGACAAGCTGGCGCGGAATGACCTATACAAGAAAACGTACTGTATATAGCATACACCGAACCAATCTAGATAAAAAGAAACTAAAAAACCGAAAAGGGTAGTGAGACGCAGAAGGAATTTTTAAATAAAGCAGGAAAGTGCTCCACCGCTAGCTTTATAAGCTTCGCACTCGACTCACTGCGAGAGAAGGTCGTGGGAAACATCTGAAAAAAAAAAATTTCGTTAAATTTTCTATAACTGTGAGATCAAGTGAAATATTATAAAAAAAACCTAGAATGAGACGCTTGCGTTTTAGTTCTAAAGGTTTAGATCAATTTTATAAAATTTGTGAGCCGGAAGGAAGAGGTTTTCTGTTTCAATCACTCAATTCCCACATCTTTGTCCAGCATTATATTCAAAAAATATATCAAGAAATATAATCTAAACCAAAAAAGAATGGGCTTTGCGGTCTCCGAGAAGAAGTTCCCATGAAGATCATTTTGAAACATGGTTTTTTCGGTGTGAACAAAAAAGTACTTACATCCCAGTAGATATAGCTGATTCACGGCTAGCTTGGGTCGCTAAGGGGGCGTTTCCTGTCTGCGCTCTCCACGAGCCGGGCGCTATTTCATGCACTATTGTGTCAGGACCATTTTTCCGATGGCTCAAGCCAGCCATGAATCAGCTCTATCGGAAATCTAGAATCAACGGACTAGAAATTCGGAAGAAGACTGATGCCACACTATTAATGAGAAAAAACTCCAAGCCTCAAAATGCGTTGAAAAACAAAAAAAAGGATGTTCAATAACATAAGTAACTTACCAGCCAGTAAAAAAAAAGCTTTTTTTCTAACACAAAAACCCTGAGCGAAGTCTGAGATTTTTCGGATCAAAAAGTGACAAGAATGTGAGGAAACCGTTCGCTAAACTCAAAATTGTTATTTCATATGAAGAACAATTTTTCTTGAAAATATCAACTAAAAACTAAGAAAATCATATTTTCTAGAAGCTCGTCTAAACTTTCATACATGTCCAAATCGATGATTCAGGAACTTAAAAATATAAATTCCTGGCTAACTAAGATATCAGGTTGAGATTATTTTTTTATCTTTAGCAAATGAAAAAAATCAATTTTTAGAGAATTCCAAAGTTTGAAGTAGACTGACCTTCCTTCTAAAAAATTTCCGACTTCGATAAAGTCATTTTTGAGCTCACGGTTAATAAACTTCTATTCCAAAAAGCCAAACTTGAGATAGCCTTATGGCTTTTGTGAAAATTAAGGCTTATTCAAAATCATTGATTTGAATCTCAAAAGACTCTAAGTTCAATTTCGAAAAATTTGACGGAAGAATCAGAATAAAGAGAAAACAAAAACGATAGTAGGCAAATAATTTATTCTATTCAGATTATCAAGCAACTGCGATCAAATGGATGCCCGCATGCAAGCCCCACAAGTTCGTTTGATTTCTTTATGATAATTTTTTGGAAAGAAAATGTTTTCAATGATGATCTTGATTTTTTTCGAGTTTGATGCAGCCTCTTTGAAAAACTGTTGGCGATTAACTTTGGATTAGAGGATCGAAGTTTCGAAATCGGTCTTATATAAAACTTGAACGTTATTGCTGCACTCCTCAGATTTTTCGAGACGATTCGAGATGAGATTTCGTCTCGGAATGTCTCGAAAAACTCCTCGTCCACTGTCGAGATGCAGATTTAATCTACCTTAATTTGAGCTTTTTCTTGCTCTGCTATTTTTCTGCTTCTCCCAGCTAAAAACAGGTTCTCAGAGACTTGAAAACTTCAAAAGATGAAAAACTTTTTTGGCTTTTGTAGGTTTCTGTTGATTTTTTAGCAAAAATTTGGGCCATTTCAATAAAAACATCACCCTCAAACTGGAAGGAAAAACCTTGCCGACAGCCAATTTATCTGTCCCAACCTGGAAAAAAACGACTTTAAATGGACGATTAGACTTTTCGAAACTGTTTAGGAATGAAAAAATGGAGCAGAATTTGCGTTTGAATTCAAAAACCTTAGCAACCTTAGCGTTACCTGAGCTCCGAAAATGTCACTCCGAAAATTCCTATCTTTAAAAATGGAATTTCGTTCCCAATATATTTAAATGTAGATTTTCAGGGCCAATATTCAAGTATTTACAATAATTCACAAAAATATTTACAAAAAAATTCACAACAAAAAAATAATTTCCAATTTTCAGCTCCCTCCAAGATCCGTCGGCACCCAAACCGACCAGGTGGGATTTTTTTCCCTCAAGTTATGGAAAAGAAGAGATAGCATCAGCGTTGCAAAAATAGGAAAGAAGAGAAGAAATGTCGCAATTTTTTTCGTGAAACTTGAATTTTCTAGTAAATTTGTTCTTACTAAGTAAAAGAAGAAGCTGAGCGTTCAAAAATGGACTCAGGCTCTTTCGACAATTTCTTTTCGAACTTTTTTTATAAATTTATTTTAATCAGTTTCCTTCAAATTTTATAAGTCTTCAATAAAAATTAAATTTCCAGAAACTGATATATTTTTTTGAGACCTAAGTTCTCTAATTTTTTAACACCACAAATTTTTTCCTGAAAAAGTCACTTCGAAAAATCTTCAAAATCGGAAAGTTGTCAAGGAATTGTTTCAAAAACATGAAAAGAATTTCGTTTTTTTCATGGAAAAAATTCAGACAAAAAATATTAGATAAGAATGAAAAAAACAGAAAACTTTTTAATGATCATCTATTTAGGAGTTGTGGGTTTTTGACGAGATCCTGGTCCACCGAGAAGGCCAGGATGCGGAGATGTTCTTTGATGCCCCGGTAAGACTTTCAAGCTTCTTTCACATAAATACTAGCTTCGACTGAATTTTGATGGAGAAAGTTCGAAAATCTTAGAGACTTTGAATTTTCATATCTATTTCTCCTTATTTTAAGAATAAAAACTTTCAAATAAAAATTATTGTTAACTGAAAAATTTAGGAAGCCCGTGAGAGCCACGACTCGGGCAACCAGACGGAGGTGAGCCTTCTTTCTTCTTTTCATCAACAAAACTGAATACCTTAATTTTGCGAGAATCCAAGCTTCTATTTTGTAAAATAGCTCGCACTTACCTTTTCGTAGACACATGGGGAAGCTCTCATGCATCAGAAAGAACAGCCGAAAAAATGAAAAAATGGCGAGAGTTGGACACCTGAGAATATAAAAGTTGATGCGTTTCAGCACATAACGAATATCATAAAGCTTTCTAAAACTATTTTTGACCACACCAAAAATAAAGAAAATTTTCAGCGCGTCCAGGAGCGAGTGGTGGACCGTGCTTTGGACGAACACCAACGGCGTATCCGGTTCTATCTGGATACGCTCAAGGCGCGGACACAGCACGGAGGTACAGAACAATTTTAGAAATACTAGCCTTTCTCACGATTCTCAACTAACTCAACTAATCTAATTTTTCAAGCTTCCAGCAAAAAAACGGTCTTCAAGATAGGCTGCAAAGCTTCTGGAAACTTCGATATTTGTAACTTCCGCTTACGATAAGAAAGACGAAAAATCCGTTCAAAATAAGAAAAAAAAAATCTTTTTCTAGGAGTTGATTATTAATAATAGGTAGGACTTTTTTGATCAAATACAGAGAATTTCGAGAATAAAACTTTTTACATAATCAAAAATAAAATTAAACTGTTTGATAAAAAAAAAAATGAGATCCACATCAGTATCTGACTCTGACAGGGCTTAATCTCTGAGTGATTCCATCGAGAATAAATAATGAAAGAATAAAACGGATTTGACAACTTTTCGCCCTTTTTCAGCTAATATCAAGTCTGTCAACTATTCAAAATTGACCCAACAATGGAAAAAAAAACAGCCAGACCAGGGAGAAATGAATTGATGAGAAAAAAATATAAGCTCTTTTCTATATACTTTTTTTTCATAAACTGAATATACAAAGCTTTTGGAGTGTGCTAACCTCGAGAACCGGATATAGTTTTTTTTATTCAGCATATCCTAAAGTTCCCTTTAGCGAAGTATCAGCATAAGTTCAACCGGGCCTGAAAAACGTTCCCTAGTGAGAAATAAAAAAAATCAATATCACATATCAACAAACATTTAAAACCTTTTTTTCAGCCCCACTCAGAGCGATGGACGCCGGTGTTGGAACCGACGAGTCGTGGGCAGAGGAAGAGGCGAAGAAGGAGAAGCTCGAAAGAGAGCTCAAAGAAAGGAACGAGGAGATGAAGTATGAATTTCTCAGAAGTCTAAATAAGAACTGAATAAATTCAAAAATACAAATGAGTCTTATACAGAGAAAAAAAAAGAATCATTCGATTCTGAAACATAACCGATTTTTCGAAAGACCGATATTCACATAAAAAAAAAGATACTTCTTTTTCAAAAATGTCGGTTTTTTATTTGTAGAACTGGACCGTATCGTCCAAAAGCGTTATCATCTTGGAGTAAAGAAATTTTTTCGAACTGCAAGAAGTTTCAAAAATGTTGAACAGAGGAAACATTCTGATAGAAAAAGTGGTGAAAGAATTATTCAGTCGCGATTTTGAGCAAGTGAATCATCAAAGTGAGAAGAAACCAAGCTGAGAAAAAAATTCAGGAAAAACAAAATTGAAGTCACCAAACGAAACCTCTCAATCAATTCAATATTATTATAGGGAAGAAAAGGAGAAGTTGATGAAGGCCAATGCCGCGAATGGACGTCTGACGGCGCACCTCGCCCAGACGTCGCTCGAACTGGGGTCGACGTTGGCCAGAGGTCATTTCTCTTTTTCATGAATTTATTAATTAAATCATTTGCAGAAGAGCTCCTGCGCCAAGAAGTCCTACTTCTTCGCGCGCGGCTCGCCGAAGCCGATGAGGAGAGAGTGCGGCTGGCTGCCCTACTCCAGGTTACTGAAAAACTATAGAATAATCACCTGTATAAGCTTGGGAGAAATTCTACTATTTTTTTCAACCCATGAATGAAAAAACAATAGTGAATATAAAAATAAATGAATAGAGCGATAAAAGAGCTCTCCAAATAGTCCTTGAGGAGAAATTTTGACAAAGTAAAACTTGACGAGGATTTTTGAAATATGAACTTGGTGAAAGGAAGTACTTTTTCTGGAGCCCTACGTAAATTTTACGTTTGTTTTTTAATTGAACGAATTATCATAAATCAATAAATATAATGCAGTTAATCTCAATTCGCATGGTTGAGCTTATAAAAAAGAAGAAAATATTCAATTTGAATAAATTTAGGCCGCCGTACAGGCCATCGACATCCCCGTCGAACCGGAGCTGGTGAGATTTCCTTTTGAAATAAAATTTATCCAGTACTAGTTGCCATGAAATTGTAAAGGATCTATTCCAAAGAGTTCAAATTCCTAGTTAGATTCGAAATCAGACTTTTTTCACATTTTCCGTTTTACAATAAGACTTGGAATTCAAAAATATATATTCGAACATTTTGCTAAATAACCAACGAAATGAATAAATTAAGGCCGCCGACGTCCAGCAGCAAGAAGACGAAGTTGAGCATCTTCTCCGCCCTGACGTGAGGATTTCTTTAATGAATCTCTTTTTTTTTGCGAAGTTGGAAAGAAGCTTTCGAGCCCTATGGGCACTGCACTGTTTGAAAAAAAACGCCTTTAACAATCTTTCCGAGAAAATTCAAATCTCTGTCGCGACATGAAATCAGCTCTTCGATAACTCTTCTCTGAAAATTGTAAAGTTCTGTGGGAAAAAAGACAATCAAAATCTTCAACTAGCTTTAGCTCACGAATTTCAAATAAGCTTCCATTCCAAAACCTTCAAGAAAAAGATTACTAGGGAACTACGCGACCTCGTATTCACGGATCGAGTCCAAACTGGGGTGGTTTAAAGATCGAGGTAAATGTACTTGAAAACAGGCAACATCATCTGCTAAACCCAATGAGATACCAAGTAAAAGCTTTTTGAAAATGGCTTGAAAATTATCAAATTCCTGTTTTCCTCCTTCTTTTGACTGGAAAAAAAGGTGTTTAGGGTTCATCATAGCCAGATCATTTAGGCGATTGTATAGAAATATAAAAGGAGATAAAAGCAGTATCTTAAGAATTTTCAGGCAATCTGCACTTTTTCTACGAATGTTTTTTTTCAACTGCGAAGACTTTTAAGTAACAATAACATTTAGAAGTAACAAGAAAGCTTCAGGCTCTGTTTCGAATTCTCTCTGAGCCGTTTCAATTCATTGTGATTTTCTTTTTTATATTTTCTAATTTTTTCAATATAATATCAAAATTAGTCAAAAACCATTTCTCCAACCAAATCATAATAAAACGGCTGTTTCTAAAACATAAAAGCTTTCGAAATCAAAAAAGGTTCAGACTTTTCAGGCTTTCATTGAATTACTTTCAACGAGTTATGTAATTTTTTTATTGTTATTGAACTGAAATAATGATAATCCTTGATAGTTTTTTTCTTTCAAAAATATGTGGAAAAGTTCGAATGCTATTTAGTTTTGCAAAGATATTTTCAAAAGCTTTTCAAACTGATACTTCTTTGTGTAAAGCTTTCGCTAATCGAATCAGTGTACCTGAGAATTTTCGATTGAAGGTAAATTGATCTGGCGTTGTGGTTTCTGAAAATGAGATCGGGATTAAAGAAATGGGAAAAATTGGCTCGAACTTCCTATTCCTTTGAATAAAATCAGGGCTACGGAAAGAGTTCATAGACTTGAAAGAGAAAGAAAAAAAGGTTTACGGATCATTTTTATTCTTCCGATTGAAAAAATAAAAGAAAAACAACTTTAGATGGACCAGGCCAGTCCCAGGAAGCGGAGAAGAAGCTCTTCTTCATGCTCGGACGGCTCCTCTGTGAAGAGGTCCCGAAGTGGAGCCGAGAGCCCGGACGTCTTCCGGACGCCGGAACGTGGCGTCGAGCATGCCAGAAATGGTCAAGACGCCACTTCCGGCGAAGAAGAAGAAGAAGGAGAACGGGAGCCGCAGTTGGAAGAAGAGGACGAGGTCGTCCCGGAGAGCGACCAAGAAGAGCTCGCCGAGTCCTCTTCTTCCGGCCCACCATCGCCGGCCCCGTCGTCCCCGCCAAGATCCCTGCCCCCGGCGACGCCACCGAGGACGCCCACGCCGCCAGTTCAGCCAACGAGACGGGTTAGTTTAGGTCATCAATACTGAAATGAGAGGATCTTGAACCATTCAGCCAGTGAGAATCTATATGCAAAAATCATCCTAAACAGCTTTCTTTCTCGATTCTCACAGTCTACTTGATAACGCAGTTTTTTGCATGAAAAGTGTTTGAAATCAGAAATTTCGAAATCAAAAAAAGGAAAAATTATTTTCATCGTTTTGTCTACGCCTGAGATTTTCGCGCATGAATCTGAAATGAAAAAAAGTTGAAAATTGCTAAATTATATACTTGAAAACCCTGCAAAGTTCCGATTCATTACTCCATAGGAACTCAAAAATAAGTAGAACATGGTCCAAGTGAACTGAGATAGAATACGTTTAAATTTATCTGTAAAAATAGGAAATTACGCTTTTGATAACAAAAATAATCACGAGTCTTTTTGAAAGAAAAGTTTGAAATGAGGGTCTTTCGATTAGAAAAAAAAAAGTTCACAACTTTTTCAAGAACAAAAGCTTATTTTGCTATTTTTTGAACTTAAAGCGGCTGTTCCAAAAGAAAGATTAGAAGTATTACTTTAAATCGTAGGAATAACAGAAAACCGGAAGCTCTGATAAACTTTCAATAAAAACTCTAGGAAAATTAGCAATGCTCTGTTAAAAATCCAACATTTATCAAGTAGTTCTCCTTAACTTACCAGAGTATCTCTATTCCTTTATATTACCTTTTTTCTAAATTATCAAAAAACGAAGAAAAAAAAATCAATCATAATAAACAAATTATGATTGTTTTTTGTTCAATATCAGAGAAGAAAAACAGTTTGAAAAAATAAAAATTAGAAATAAACACCAACCTTTTTTTCTTCTTCAAACTCCAGCTGCTTGCGTTTTTCATCTTCTTAAGAACTAAAAAGTTACAGTCTAGTCAATGATTTCGAAAAAAGAGTCGAATCTGAAAAATAATTACGGAAAACGAAGCGACATTCACAAAATTCAATGGAGAAAAAGCGATTGTCGTTCCGATTTCAAGCAAAAATGCTTTAAAAAGTCGCATATATAATGAAAAAAAGTTCACAAAATATTTTTTTCGAAAACTAATAATTTTAACATTACTTACAAGTGGCTAAGCTCAATGAATAAAACCTTTTGGAAAACGAATAGCATAAAACAAAATTCAAACGAATTGATTATTCTTTCAATGATTTGAAAAAAAACAAGAATGATAACCGCAAAAAAATTAGATTGGGTTGGTTTCAGTAGTTATTTTGAATATATGAAAACAAACGATATCTTTTCAGCAACGGCGCGCCCAGGCGGTCATGGGGGTCCTCAAAAGGTCGAGCAGGATCGGCAACACGCTCCCTGGCCCCCAGCCCAAGCCGCCGGTGGACGCTCAGCCGATCCCGTTGGCCGTTCTGGCGCCGCTGACGGCCGCCGAAGTCGGCGCAACAATCCAGACGAGGCTGGCGGACTACGACAGCGGGGTTTACATCCAGAACCTCGCTGTCGTGGTCAAGTTGGGACGTTACCTCACGACGGCACGCAGACTCTCGAGGAACCTCCCGTCGTCCATCAAGGACTTGCAAGACCTCGAGAGTCTGAAAGAGAGTCTCTCTCGCCAGTTCTGAGGTCAGTGTATCAGAAAGTCAAAAAAAAGCAATAACTTGAGCCATTTCGCAAATGTATGTCAGTAATTCTCATTCAAATTTAGCCTTTTTTAGTCATTAATAACCGTGAAGAACAATAACGAATCGAAACAATAACATTAATCAGGAAACTTGGAGAAAATCTTTGCTTTTCAATGGGAAGAAAAAAATGAAAAAAAAAACCGCGATTTACGTTTTTGGGGTGACACATCGATTAGAAACCAAAAAGAAAAAACTTTGAAAGGTCACGAAAAACTGAGTGAAACATGGTGATATGTTAAGAAAAAAATGCCGAAAAATTCCCTAGTGGTTTTAGAAAACTGGAACAGTCGTCAATGAAAAAGCACAAAAGATAACTTACCAGTCTGGCGCAAGAGGAAAAGCGAACTCGCTGGCGGTACATTAACGAACTCGCAAAAATCTCGCTCTGCCTCGCATTTTTCTAGGCGCGACCTCGCATTACGAAAATTCTCCAAATGCGAAAGCGCCCCAAGGAAAATGCAAGACCACCGCATTTAAGAAGCAGCTTTGTTACATATTTTTGAGGTATTCAATGTACTGCAAGCAACTTCGCAATTGCCTTCACAGTTACTCTTTGTTGATAAAACACCTCTAAAGTTTTTAATGTGCGTAATTGCGTCGGTGTGATTAGACCAAATTCATAACCTCAGGTTTAAATTGAACAGGAGCCTTTTTTAACTAGAGACTTTTTTCAATAAAATTAAAAAATATTGCATTTTCTTTCAATAAATATCGTTATTAAAAACCGAATCAAATGCTGCTTGATTTCTTACACAAATCTTTCTGAGAAACTGTAGCCTTCAATTTTTTTCAAGTTTCTCTCGATAGCTGAAAAAAGAACTTGGCTTCTTTCTTATCAAACATTGTGAAAAATATCTATCGAATATTTACTTTTCGAAGCTTGAAGGTCTCCATTGAGATATTTTTCCAACGGAAAAGCCGCTTTTGAACCGTTGGAAAATTTATTATTTTAAGGTCTCCCCAATCTTCAACTTCTCACCGTACTCGCTGCTCTCTGCTCACCCTTTTCGGTTAGTTATTTTCTTATCAAAAAAGCTTGAGTCGTGGGAAATAAATATAGTTGATTCTCGGCTAGCTTGGGACACTAAGAGGCGTGGCCTATCAGCCCTCTCCACTAACCAGGAACTCTCTCGTGCATTATCATGTCAGGATCCTTTTTCGATGGCTCAAGCTATAGTCTGTTCATATTTTGAATGTCAACCAGCTAACTCCGCCCCTGCTGAGACGGTACCTTTTCGCGTCGATGTTTTATCGCGCGGGACTAATTTTGATCTTTTTTGATCTAAAAGATAGAAAAAGAAGTCAAAAATGCAGCATTATAAAAGGTTCATCGTCACCTGGATATAAAACATTGACGCGAAGGATATTGTAGCCTTGGGGGTGGAGTTAGCTGCATGACATTCAAAATCTGAACAGACTATAGCCGTGGATTAGCTAAAAAAAAAGTCTGAGAGTTTCGTAGCTTGAAATTAGAATCATATTTCTTATTTACTGATTTTTACATCCATCAAAATTTTTTATGATGTAGAATAGAAATATATCTTAATTCTTCAAAAGCAGGAAATGGCCTTCGTTTCTTTTTTCAAAAGATGCTTGTTGGTTCGCCATTAATTTGAGCTCATTCAAGATTTTTTTATTTGAAAAAAATCGAGGAGTAGTCGAAAAAAATAAATAATAATTCTGATCATTTTTTTGCTGAAGTTTATAGTAAAAATTTATACAGTGTATTCTGTTTGTTCATGAAACTCAACCCGGGTTTTTCTCAAGAAAAATTAGAACGTAAAATACTTGCCTTCTTCTGAAAAACTCGAGCGAGGGTTCTCGAACAAACGAAATGAACGGAAATTGGACTCCTGAAGTTCCCGGAGCTCTCAAAATAATTTTTATTTGAATTTTTATAAAAAGGTTTTATAAAAAAAGTAAATGAAATGGAGAAAGCTTTTTTTGATGAAGTTCAAATGGTAAATTTCGTTGATTCATGATATTTATATCAATTGTAGCAAAAAAATACGTTTTTAAAAAAATATATTCTATTATATTCATATCGTTAAATCGTCCGAGCTTGTTAGTAGTTAAATTAATTACAAATTTATTTTTTGACTTCGATTCAAATCATTATTTTCAGCTGCCCTCCTTCTTTTTGTCTCGGTCAAGCGATTTTCATCGTACCGAAGAGGAGTGGAACACGGTCTTTCGACCGTTAGTACAACCTCATAGGAACAAGGTAATTTTTGAATTATTTTTGCCTTATTTTATTTCTCCCTTTCAGCAAAAATGGTTGGCCTTTGGTTTTCTCCCATCCTTGCTGAGGATCGTCTCGTGGTCTTTCATTCACGGACGTCGTCTCCTTTCTCCCCACCAAACTGTAAGTTTTGAAAAACTTACTGACCTATTGCTTTTATTAACCACGACTTTTTTAATGGTTGAAGTCGTGATTGAGAGTTATCTCATAATCCAAGGACTTATTTCAGACTTCATTTGAATCGTTTTTCGCGCTCAGTCGCCAAGGTTTCCGCCGACAGAGGCATCATGTGAAGGTGGAATGACGACAATATTGGAAAATTTGAGGTAAAAAATCCGCAAAAACTTGACTTCGATGTAGAAAAAAAAAATAAAAGATAAAGAAAATTAAAAACGTTCATAAATCGAAAAAAAGCTTCAAAAACCTGTCAATCAATTAACAGAAACTTATCGAAAGCATGCGAGTTGTCGAAGTAACGTTTTTTTGAGAAAAATAGACTTGAAATCTTAGTTTTTGTTTAGATTTTAACGAGCAAGATTGAAATATTTGACTAAATTTTTTTGAAAACCAAACGCTCCTATAGCCTGGATTCGATGTCATTCGAGAAAAAAAGAAAGCTTCTTGAGACATTTCCATTGAGTAAGAATTTGGAACTGCTAATTCCACTCGCTTGGTCACAGAAAATGTAAATTTTGAGCGATAATTCTTCCAAAAAAAATACCTTATCCGGTTTTCAAAAAAATAAAAAAATGTCTCTTCTATAATTATATAGAAGAAAAAGATTCTTTTTTTAAAGGAAACTAGATTCGGCATTTGATTATTTTCTCACGAGGGAACTACTCGGACTCGGGTACGCGGATCGAGTCCAAACTAGGGTGGTTTGTAGACCTAAGTGAGATTGCTTGAAAACAAGTGAGAATATCTGCTAAACCCAATAGAAAAGTGGGAAAAAATTAGTGGAAAATGTGAAAATTAGGCCTGAAAATTTTCAGAATACTGATTTTTACCTTATCTTATATTTTAATACAATCGCTTCGAATGATGCGGCTATTATAAACTCTGAAAAACTTTTTTCCAGCCAAAAGAAGGAGAAAAGCAGAAATTCGATAATTTTCAAGCCTAAACTGTTCATATTCAAAAAAACGTACCCGAGTCCGAGTAGTTCCCTAGTCAGCTTTAGTCGAAAAGAACTAGTTTTTGATATCCTCATGAGATTCGAGTCGTTTTTCAACCTTATACTCATAGTTAGTTTTTATAAACACACGTTTTTAATTGGCGCAATTTCATTTTTGAGAAGTTTTAGTTTTGTTGTGCAGAAAATAGTTTAACCATTTTATTTGTTTTTCCTTCAGAAAAAGGAATTGTGGATCTTTTTTCCTGGTAATGACGGCAACTTCGCCCAATCGAAGTTTTTGGTGTTTTCTGAAGGTCTTGAACAACTAAAAAAGAAGTCGACAGACTATTCTTCTCGCAGGTAAGGAAATTTGATGATTATGTGGGTCAAGAATAAGTTTAGAATAAAGTCCGTTCGTTTTATTGCTGAACGAATCGCGAAGGAGGTTCTTTTGGACGCTAATAGTTCTTCCATGATTTTTCGCCGCCGCTTTCATCACTCGTGAGTAGTTGGATGGTTTTTGGAAACTTGAAAATTTCCTCATACAGCAAAAAAATGAAAAAAAGTTTTATTGATCTTATATTTTCTTTCATTTTTCATGTGATCAAAGAGCGATCTCAACTGAAAGGGGCTTTTGAGGAAGGTTTCAATTTATTAGATGAACATTTTCGAAGTTTTTCACCTGCTGGAAGCCTTCCAGGTAGCAAGCCTTTATGGTTTTTCTGGCTTTTCTTGTGATTTTGAGCGTCCTCCATTTTTCCCAAGCTTCAAAGCTAGTATTTGCGTATTTTTTCGGAATGAGCTCAAAAAACTGCTATTGTGAACCTAGCTAAATTTGGAAAACTCAATGTGGCTGCGAAAAATCCCTCGTCACGCTCATTTTTTTTTCAAAGCGTAAAACAACCAAGCGGAATTCCATTTTTGGAAAAAAAAATAATTGACTTTTTTGGTCAAAGACGTTTTTGGGCGATTCTAGGGATCACTTTAGAGTGCTGAGGCTACTAAAGTGGTAACTAGAATGCTCCGACATGTCCGGTTCACGTCCCGCTCGCGTTACCAAAGTCCGAGAAATATGATTCAAAAAATAGCTTAGCCCTGGAGCTCACTTTCAGCCGACTCGAGCGCCTGTAAAGACTTTTCGGTTTTGTATACTATATTAGGACCTTTTTTCTGACTTATTTTGTGAATGGCTATGTGAAATGCTGTGCTCACGCACCCAACTGAATTCTGCTTTCATTATTCCTTTCTAATCGTCTTCTCGTTGGGAAAAGACAAGGGAGGTCATTTTAGTGTACCTTTTCGAATTTTTTGATGAAAATCAGTTCAAACGTTCTCTGAAAGTTTGGATGAATCCCCCCGCCGTTTTCTAACTTGGAAAAAGTGAATTCCGGAAGTTTTTAACTTTGGCATTTGGGATTTGAATTATTAGAGAAAGAACTGAAGAATTTTCGAGCAAAGATTCAGAAAAAGCCAATCTTGACACAAAAATAACCTCCCTTGTTGAAAAAATTTCTCCATCCCAAATATTCCTTCAGGGAGTTTCACCACGGAAAAACTACCGCGATATCCATTCTCCGGCTTTTC